TAGGGTCTATAGTAACTCTATAGCGGGAGACGATAAAGCCTAAAAAGTCGACCCTCTTTATATAGAACGTATACTTACTAGGTTTAATAAATAACCTCTACTTAATTAGGCGTTCTAGTACTTCTCGGATATAGTATATATAGATCTCCTTATCCTTCGAGAAGATTAGTATATTATTAAGATATACTACTAGGTAGACGTTAATAAGTCTTACTAAGGCTCTATTAACGTACGCCTAGAAGGTAGTAGGAGTATTCGCGAGTCTAAACGGTATTACTATATATTCGAAATATCTATAGCGGTATCTAAACGCTATTTTCTACTTATCTCCCTATTTTATATAGATCCTATAGTAGATATCTTATAGATCTAGTTTAGTATAGATCTATACTCCTAATAATCTTATTAGGGACTTATTAATTAGCGGTAGAGGGTAGCGGTTCTTAATAGTGATCGCGTTTAACCCTCTATAGTCTACGTAGAGTCTAAGCTTACCGTCTTTCTTCGGTATAAAGAGAATAGGTATACCCGATTAACTCTTTAAGTATCGGATCTAGCCTTTTTCGAGGTTCTCCTTAATATACTAGCGGAGGACTTCTAACTCCTTAGCGGATAGTATATATATTAGCCTCTAAGGGGATATCTTACCTAGTATTAGCTCGATTATATAATTATATTCTATATAGGTTAGAAGGGCTATAGTACCTTCTTTACTTACTATAATAGCTAGATCTTAATATTCTAGCGGGAGTTTAGTTAGGGGTTATACTAGATAAAAGGTCCTATCTAAGCTTTATATTACCCTTAGTATTACTATAAACTCCCCGGTAACCTTATTAACGTCTAAGTATAGCTCTCCGAGTATACCTTATAGTCTTACTTTTTCCTCGAAGTCTTCTAGCGAGAGGGTTTTAATCTTTAGCGGGGCTATATTTCTATATATCTACTTATTAGTTACCTAGTTAATATCCGGATTTACTAGTCTAAGCTAATCTATTCCTAGGATTATATCGTAGATCGTTATATCTACGGCTTCGTAGGTTATTTTAATAACTCTACGGGTTCTATTCCGGTCTATTAGACTAAGCTATACTTCTTAGCTTCTATATAAAGGGATCTTACGCCTATCTATAGCTTCTATTAAGCGGGTACTTATTATATATATCTCTTTTAGGTTCTCTTTTATCTATTTCTAGCTTATAAAGCTCTAGATTACGCTACTATCTATTAGCGTCTTAGCTACCCTTATTAGGGCTCTAGTCTTAACGTCTAATATTAGTATATTATAGACGAGTACTCGGTATACTCTCTTACGTTCTCCGAAGAGAACTATCCCTAATACTATAGGAGTCTATAGTATAGGATCGTCTATTTTTTTAACTCTTCTACGGCTATAGCGTTTACTATAGCTTTCTTATAATAGTCCTTTATATAGTAGCCCGGCTTACTATAGAAGTTATAGAATTTACTATCTCCGCTTTAGTCTTATTTAGACTCTATAGTAGCTTTTCTACCCTCTATAGTAGTTATAACTTACTATATAAGGAAAGCGCTATTTCCCTTAAAGGGTCTTCTACTAGATCCTTATAAGTCTATAGTATTTCTTAGCGCTATCTTCCTAGCCTCTCTAAGATATAATATTCTACTTAGTATTACTTTCTTAATTTAATTATAGAAGGCTACCTAGTTATCCTATTAATCTATAGCGGGGGCTATAAACCTCCTTATTTTATCTTATACCTTCTTAATAATACCTATCTCTAAACGGTCGATTCTTATCTATCTAATCGGTATATCTTTTAGGCGGTTATAGAGTCCGGTAAGCTTTAAGGCGTATTAGTATATATCCTAATACTTAGCTTACGTTATCTATTACTAGTTATATTTAGCTTCTCGCTATATCTCGATAGGGTCGGTAATCTAAATAAGCGCCTATATTTTAAAGACCGACTAGATAAATATCGTACTTAGGTTATTCTTACGGTATTCTATCTATATTATATTAACTTTTAGCGCTAAGAACTTAGTCACTCGGTCTACCTTATATATATCGCTAGCGAATTAGTTAGGGTATCTATTCTAGAAGGCTTCCTAGTTTAACTTAAAGAGATTATATTCACCTAAACTCTCGGCTTTATACGTTATTATATTATAGGGTATATATAGTTCCCTCGCTTTCTTCTAGTAGGATAGGTAGCCTCCGGCACTTCCTTACGATATAATCGAGTTTATATAGGTAATATTAGATAGTTAGTAGATAGTTTAGCTAGTAGTACTATCTAGCGAACCCCGATAGATCCTAGATCCTTATATTCTCGCCTATAGGATTACTACGTTTTCCTCTTCGTCCTATAGCTCCGCGCGGATCCTATTTTTCTCCTTTACTAGAGCTAGACGTCTTTTAAGGGTCTCTAACTCTTAGAGTTCCGCCTCTTTATCTACCTTAGTCGGGGTTATCGGATCCGGCGGGTTTCCTCCCTAAGGGTTATCGTCGACTCCCTATATCTCTACCTCTTCTAGTAGGGGTTATAGGGGTCCCGGGACGTCGTTCGTTTCCGCGATTAGGGCTAAGGTTCCCCTTAGGCGGTCGCTCGTACGTCGAGTTATCGATATTACGTATTCTAACGGTCTAGTTTAATTAAGATTTAGCGATTAGAATATTAGGACCGGTGTGCTAGCGGGTCCTAGTAGGTAATATAGAACTAGAGTGAAGGAATAGTAGGGTGCTAGTATATTTATAAACTAATCGCTAAAGAGCTAAGTTCCCCTAGTAGTCTCTATATAGATAACCTTTAGCGGGTTACGGGACTAGGTCACCTGACCCGGTAGGACTTAGTCTCCCTAGTACGGTCTCTAGCGGGGGGTCATGCTACCCCTACTAGGTCACGGGTTCTAGGTCATAGGACTAGGCGGGATCTAGCCTATGAGGCACTCTCCTAGTAGAGGGTCGTAATAGAAGGACCTCTTCGCTCTTTATACCTAGTTCGGAAATATAACTAAGCGTCTCGGTATTAAGATCTAATAGGAGCTCGCCTTATAGAGAGCTAGTCGGGAGATTAACGGTAGCCCTCTATTTATAGGAGTTAAGACACTAGTTACTTACTATATAATTAAAAAGGTACGATTAGTATTTAATTACTATCTACTATCCTATAATAAGAAACCTCCGATCCCACTACTATACTTAGGTATTATAATACTAATATAGGGGTATCCGTATATTTACCGTATTAACGAGGCCTAGATAAGGGGTAAGAGCCTTACCTAGGCCGACTTTTACCCTTATTACTAGATCTAGCGAGACCTAGCGTATACTAATATAATTAATTACCCCCGGGTAATAGAACTCCGTATAGTAAACCCTTATATTATACGAGGGCGTGGTCGCCTACTATAGTTATCTTAATAGTTATCTTAATAGTTATCTTAGTAGTTATCTTAGTAGTTATCTTAGTAGTTATCTTAGTAGTTATCCTAGTAGATAATCTTATTATCGCGAGTATCTTAACGCTTTAAGAGCTTAACCCGTCGTAAGCTATCACGATTCGAGATTATACGAAGGGACGAGGAGGTAGCTATTCGTCGGTCGGGTCGGTAGAGGATAGCTAGTAGGAGGTATAATAATAATTAGACTATATAGGGGGAGATAATAGAGTCTAATAATTAGATCGTAGTTAGTAGTATTATAACTAGGCGGGGAAGGGGACGTAGATATAGACGTAGACGTAGAAGAGGGGGCCCTTAATAATATTAATATCTAGTTTATATATTAGAAATATAACTAAAATCAGTCGAAATAACTTATTAAAGATAAAAGTTTTACTATATAGGATAGTAGGAAACTAGCGTTAATAGCTATACTATCTCAACTATAGTAAGAAAACTCGATTAGCACTATCTTTAAAAAATAGCCTCTATTTTACGATCACGTGACCGATTAAACCCTATCTCCCCAAACCCCTTTCTCGGTAGGAAAAAACTCGATTAAATCAGCATCTAGGAATAGCTTTATTTTTACACTAAACCCCTTTTTAGTAGAAAAAAACTCGATTAAATCAGCATCTACGAATAGCCTTATTTTTGCACCAAACCCTTTTTCAGTAGGAAAAAACTCCATTCTTACACTAGAACTTAATCAAATCAGCATCTAGGAATAGCTTTATTTTTACACCAAACCCTTTTTTAATAGGAAAAAACTCCATTTTTGCACTAGAACTTAATCAAATCAGCATCTAGGAATAGCTTTATTTTTGCACCAAACCCCTTTTTAGTAGAAAAAAACTCGATCAAATTAGCATCTAGGAATAGCTTCATTTTTGCACTAAACCCTTTTTCAGTAGAAAAAAACTCGATCAAATCAGCATCTACGAATAGCTTCATTTTTGTATGGTAGTGTAGATAGCGTGCGAGATTCTACATTACTGATAGGGTGCCCAGATAAGATTCGGGTACTGTCCGAAATACTAAGGGAGTACCATATTAAATACGACAGGCTATGAACAAATTATGGCCAGTGGGAAGTAAATCGTAAAAGGCTTAGCGCCCTGGGTGCCCGTAGTAATTTTGGGTGCCCATAGTAGTTCTCTAAATATAAACGATTTAAAATCCAAGGGGTGCTAGTCTATCCTAGCATAAAATATATGTCAGCCTATTGAAATGAAATCATTATAAGTAATCGGGACTATTCTATTCCTACATACATGTTGTATAAAAGTGTGCTGTAGGCGGAGATAACCTTCGCGGTTCCGTGGGCCCACAGAAAAATAAAGGGCTTACTAAGCTATCCTCCGCGGGCTGTCAGCAACCGTGGACTTTCAAATGCCATCTCCAAGCTGAGTGAACATAATTCTCATATCCGTTCTATTTGAATTTTGCAGCTAAATTCGATTGTATCTTTGATCTGAGCTGCTTCTTTAGCTGTGTTCAGGATGAGCTACACCTTATGTTCCTGACATTCTTCGTGCAGCTTCCGTTAGCTTGACTTCCGCCAAACCTCCGTCATGTCCGATTCACGCCCAGGACCGGTTTCACTAGCACGATACCGGCCTATTCTCTACCTCTTCACTGGTGTTGCTGCTGCTTATGCGATTTTATATGTTCACAGTACTATCCTCTCGCAGCCATCGTCAGCTTCACTCCGGCGTCGAAATGCTGTACGCCGCACCAGACCAACGGATGGTGAAGAACTCGGAATCAACGATACCCCCTCCTACCGGGCCATTGCCCACCTTGAACAACTAGAGCGTCAAAATGGGGTATACGGAACATTTCGCATCGAGACCGAGGATGGGCGTCGCGTGGAGAGCGGTCTTCTTCCATCACTCCTCGCAACACGCGATCAACTGATGGAGGAAGTGGGCGTCCCACCTGCCCATGCAGAGCGCATGCGCGAGATGATGGAGGATACCTTTCTTGAATCATTCCTTGCGCTAGATTTTCCATCTGCGCACACCCTTCCCGCGGACAGCCAAGAAAGAACATACTTGACAGAGCAACTACAACGTCGAGGCATCTCTCGAGCTGGTATCGAAAGAGCTCTGGTGCGATTCAATGCAGATGTGAACTATGGAGAAGAGCTGCGCCGCCGCCGTCAGAATGGAGAACGAGTCACTCTCTCCACTTCTACTTTCCCAGATGTGTCTGCGCCGCCACAAAATCTTGACGGTGGAGAGACTGTAGTGGATGATCAGAGTGTTTTCTCATGGCGTGATGGAAACAATGATCCTTCTAATCGGGAAGGCCAGAATTTACTCAACCTTCTTTATCACATCGCCGAGGATCAGGCCCGGAGGGATGGTTACATCCATCGGGGAGTCACTTGCAACAGCTGTGGCGCCATGCCGATTCAGGGTATCAGATATCGATGTGCCAATTGCATTGATTACGATTTGTGCGAGACGTGTGAGGCAATGCAGGTTCACATCAAAACGCATTTATTCTACAAAGTCCGGATTCCAGCCCCATTCCTAGGAAACCCTCGTCAATCCCAACCTGTATGGTATCCTGGAAAGCCTTCAATGCTCCCACGCAGCCTTCCACGCCCGCTTGCCAAGCGTCTCATGAAAGACTGCAACTTCGAAAACACGGAGCTTGATGCACTTTGGGATCAGTTCCGCTGTCTGGCAAATTACGAGTGGGCGGATGATCCAAACAAGTTGCATATGGCCATTGATCGCAAAACATTCGACCGATGCTTTGTGCCTAACACTTCGATCCGGCCGCCGCCTCCTAGTCTCATTTATGACCGAATGTTCGCATTCTACGACACCAACGGAGACAATCTTATTGGATTTGAAGAATTCCTTAAGGGCTTGGCCAGTCTCAATAATGAAAGCAATGATGAAAGATTGCGACGTGTGTTCCGTGGCTACGATATCGACGGAGATGGCTTTGTCGAGCGAAAGGATTTCCTCAGGGTTTTCAGAGCATACTATGCGTTGAGCCGAGAACTTACCAGGGATATGGTTGCTGCAATGGAGGATGACTTCCTGGAGGGTGGAGCCCGTGATGTGGTCCTTGGTAGTCAGCCTATTAGCTCGGCATTTCCTGGCAGCATCCCTTCGGGCGAACGCTCTCGCACAGATGAGGGCAAGCGCATGAACCTCGAGGGAGACATGGAAATTGTCGATAACGAAGGAATCTTGCGACGGGATGGTGATGATACTGGAGATCGACATTCGGTCGTGGGTGATGCTGCTGTCAGAACACAGTTCAGTCGAATGAGACCATTGTTTCCGTCTACCCTACGCCTAGCCCCCAATGAATCTACTCCTCGTCAAGCCGTGGAGAGTGACCAAAATGACGAGGACGGGGATGATGAGGACGGTGCTAGCGATACCAGTGGATCAGATCAATCCAGCTCCTCGGTGGCCAGTGGGACTTGGCCACCACCTGAACATATCCTTGAGGAAGATATCATCGAGGCTCTCGGCACCTATGTTCCTCCTCACGAGATTACCGATCCAATCGATCGGGCTCGTGTCGCCGATGCCGTTTATCACAGAATGCGCGAGGATGATCAGAGGCGAGTATTTGACGCTCGTCAGCGTGGAATCGAGGAGCGTTGGAGGCGCCGAGCTTTCTACACGGATGAAGAAGATGGCGCCACTGCTCCAGAGGGCTATGAACAAGATCTAGATGTCGATGACTCCAGTGATGAAGACTTGGATGACCATGAATCACGCCCACCCTCTCCCCGTTCGCGGTCTTCATCAAAAGTGCGATTCCAGGATGATCTCAATGATGATGACTATGACGTTCGATCCAACCCATCAACCTCGTCACGAAGTATTCCCGTGGGTGAGCGATGGGGTGGGTTTGAGATCCCAGAAGTTGAAAAGGACCTTGGAAAGGAAATTCTATACCAAGTCACACAACAAGGATTCAACGAGCTTCTTGATATTCTTTTCAAGCCAAAGGAGGATCTTCTAATGGAAGTCTATCACACACGAGCCGATCGTAAGATCTGGGCTCACGAGATTGAACTCGTGGTTAAAGACGAGCCATTGAAACGCTCCCCAAAGGAGGTTGCTCTAGTTGAGGAGGAACTCGAGGAAATTATCAGTGAACGCCCACTTGACGAGCTCTTGCAACGTGCTGGTTACGGCGTTCAGAGCCCAGTCCTAGCGCCTGCTCACACCGGACCAACGCTGGCTCCTCCATCGCCAGATGTGTCCGCCTTGGATAATGACGACGACAATGATGATGATGACGATGATCTGCGGCCCACTCATCTCGCTGATCCCGAGAGTGACACCGGACTCGGGCAAGTGCGACCCTTTGAGGAATCCGATACAGCCTCCACAGCCTCTGATTATGACGACGACATCACTGTGTCGCAAGCATCCGATGCCGGGCAGTCCAGCCTACATATTGAAGATGAGACATTCTACTTTGACCCAACACTCCCACAATATCGTCCCGACACGGAAACACTAAGGCCCTATCTTTATGTATCTGCGGGGCCAACCGTGCTGCAAATGATTGATGAACCCGATTCCGAACCCGAAGAATCACCAAGCACAAGCACAACTCTTGATCTCCCTGTTCAGCTTCAACTACAACCCGGAACCCCTTCTCTTCCCGCCCCATCTTCTCCCCGCTCTTCCCCAGAAGCTGAAGCTACAGCCCCCAAGCTTCCTCCCTCTCCTATGCAACCTCTCCCGCCCCCTCACCGTGTCAATGACCAGACTCATGAAACTGCTGCCCCGCGTCGACCTTCCCCCCAGACTCTGGCCCGCTGGGCCTACCTGAACCAAGTAGAGCGCGAAAGCAAGGAACGCGGTGGCAATGGTGCGAGACTCAACTTTGAAGAATTCTCGCGCCGCATGGCTGCTGATCGGGGTCGCCGACTGGCATTTGTGGCTCGTTGGATTGAGATGGCTAGCTTTTGAGAATCTTACGGATTCATTTGTACATGATTAGTCTTGTAATTTAGCGATATCTCGGGGTTAATCCGGGATTGTCAATCAAATGCCAGTTTGGCTACTCCGCACTACAAAACTCCCTCCTCAATTGATCTTTAATTCTGGATAATGAGGAATGTGAAGATAATCGTGATGATTTATTGCTCTCACGTATTTTGTTTCATTGTTTACCATTCTACTACTGATCTCAGATTACGTTGTTTTGAAATACTCGCCAGTTTAGTGTTGCCAACCTCAGAACTCCTTGATCAGTGACTACATACCACACTTGTTGCGACTACACTATTTCACTTGACTGGCTAATAATGTCAAAGATCCGTAGTTCTTACAATAAGCAGTTTCCTGGTCTAGCGGTTATGATTTTCCGTTAACAAATGCGATTCGCATATGTTCCGGAAAGGTTCTGGGTTCGATTCCCAGGGAAACTATTTTTTTGAATGTGCAATTTCAATGCAGCTTTTTGCTCCTTTTTGATCAGATCAATTTGAATTAGATCATTGTGCCAGGGGACGGGGTACTCGCAGTGGAAATTTGAGGAAAGCAGCCCAAAATCTGAGAATGGGGGGGGGGTATTAGCAGAAAAACGACAGCAGAAAAGTTAGGCCACTCCAAACAAGTCGAATTCGAGACATAACATAGACACGGACATAAATCTCATCTGGATACAAAACAACACAAGCAGATGGTCCAGACATGGAGCAAACTCGCGGTTTGGTGACATTATAGAAAGTGTATAGATGGACGTGAATGCTGGAGAATATATCGAGACAACCAACCCAAACGCCGTGCCAGAGACAAAAGAAAAAGAAAAAGAAAAGAAAAAGAAAGACACCAAACCGGGGGGACCCGACAAAACCACCGCTACATCACTAATTCCCAACGGCAGAGATATCGATTCGAGCGCAGTGTAACATTTTGATATGGGGCGAGAGCTGGACAGTTGCAATGATCCAAATACTCGCTGATAATATAGGCCATGATTATTATCCGGAGTGGGGTATCAACCCATACATCATCTGAGGGTATAGAGCTGCCTGGGACTTTGTCCTGGCTGAGAATTGTTGATGCTCCAGGATACATGTCCCCCGAAGAGAATTGTAGAACAAATGAGAAAGCCGAAAAAGGGCAAAAGAAGGTAGGGACAGTCGAAATCCATGAAATATCCATGGCAGGATAGAAAAGAACAGTGGCATCCAACCAGGGACTGCAAAAACGGCCATTTTCTATCCAGTGGATTTAAGGATTTGCAAATCTGACACGGCGGCCGCGTCGCTCAAGAATCAACTTCTCAGTCTCAACATAAAGAGAATCGAGTAGCTGCATGGCAGTGGAATCCCTTAGGATTTTGGCAACCTGAATACCCGCAGATATGAGCTGCAACACGTTGCGGTCATCCTTGACGGGTCTGGACTGATGCTTGGCAGCATGACGCATTTCCAGGGAGTTCTCCAGGACAGTGATGAGTTGTTTAATTTGGCGGTTGTACAGGAGATGAGCTGGGATACGGCGGGTGGTGGCCAGTCGCTTCAAGAGATACACCCATTCAGTCCATTCGCGGTCCGAGGGGACCTTGACACGTCTTTTGTCCTGCTCGACAGGAACACGGAATTGATATTTTGCGATGAAGTCATAAGCGCACTGGGACAGGCATTCATTGACCTTGTGGAGGATGCTGTCTTGTTCTCCGGCATCGAGGTTAGTAGGGAGCTGGGGCAGCTCCTTGTCCTGAGCTGCTATGGCCTGTGGAGAAGGCGGCTCTAGAAACTGATATGGGCCGTCAAATTCATCCCGGTTGGATGTCCGTCTCTGGGAATAAGAGTTTGAGGCTCCTCTGGACATTCCATCACCCGGTCGGGTGTTTCTTCCTATGGCATACTCCGGGCTGTCCGTAGGGTTCATTGTTTCAAGGTCCCGCCTCGCGGATTCTCGAGGCACATGGGTTGGGTGGCTCCATTCGTGGCTCCTGGGTGATGAGAGAGGCTGCCCAGCTGAAGGATAGGATGGACGTCCTCTGGGTGAGCTCATTCTGCGGTTGTGACTACCCAGAGGAACTGAGGCTCCGTGGTGACGGGTCTGGTGATCATAGTCCATCGGCCCCATAGGCACTTGGTGGTCGTCTCTGTAGCCATATCCGTGAGAAGTAGGTGGCGACCTTTTACAACTTAGCAAAAGTAACGAGACCCATACATGTCGAAAATGGCTTGGGAAAGATTGCGATGAAATGAACGATGACCGAACAATACCTTTGTTGGTAGACCACCGGCGAGGGTCCTGGAGTTGCATACATAGAATGTTGTGGCATGGCGCTGCTATGAGATGTGAGCATCAATTCTCACGAGTTATGGTGTAGGGAAATGGCGATGTTGATTTTGCTGACCTATGACGAGACCAATTATCTAATCTGGCGTTGATAGAGCTTGCACAAGAGCCTAGGCTTGCTGGAAGAGAGAACGGATGGGCTGGCCCCGTTGCCAATGGGTGTGGGAGAATGGGAAGCATGGAGAGTGTAAGACAAAGTTATAGCAAGGCCTAATATAACAAGTGAGTATAGTGTTTCAAAAAGGATCGAGTGAACGAATATATCGATTGAAAGCGCAGTGGAGCGAATGGGCCTACGAATTCCGAGCAACGGGCAGATAATATAGTTCTTTTGGAAAGTCCTTCTGCCCGGGCCGAGCAAATTGGTACATGTGCCTGACGAAGGGGGATCACAGCCCACCAGTTTCTATGCAATAGCATCGTAAGTGGACAGGGAGAGCCGCGCTAGAAGACTTTGCGCCACTGGCGTTGGTGGAGTACGGAGTACGGAGTACGGAGATGAGGGTTTGTTGAATCTATAGAGGCCAATTGCACAACGGAATGAGGAATGTCCGAGCGATGTACACTGAAGATCTCGGTCGATCAGGAATAGAACCGGTGTACAGAGCTCGTTGGCAGCCGAAGCGCCGTGAAACGCTTCTATTTGCGCATGAGAACGACACCGGTGAGACGACTAACCTTGCAATTCAAAGCATTGATCTTCACAGAGTGTTGGAGAGTACCGTGACATTCCGGATTCCGTGCCACTTTCACCCTGGTTTGACGAGGTTGACAGGGTAAAGTCTCGGGCAGCGAGGTGGATGTTGGGTAGAAAACGCAAGGATAGGGGGTCTGGCGTTGGAAATCCTTCATCTATGGGTACCCAAGCGTGTAGGTAGACAATGCGATCTGCGCTCTCCAAAGTCCTGAAAGAAACATGAAGATGAGGTAAGACCAAGACGAGGTGAGAATCCCGTGACGGACGCGGTTTCTCTGCGTTGGGCACTCAGACTGTTTGGGAGCCCAATGCAATAAGCCGCATGGACCATGTCTTTGCTCGAGGGATTTGAGTGAAACAAAACGATGATCATGTAGTATGAAGGTTTACAAGTGCGGAGAGCTCAATTGTGCTGATGGCCGCCGAGCTACGGAGTACACTTGCAGCCCAACAAGAAGCCCAATGCCCATGCTTCCAAGGCTGTGTCTGCATTGGAATAATAATATTAATAAAATCCTGGGCGATGATAGGAGGTATGATGAAATCAACCAAGCCAGTAAACGCCTCTCAAGCCCCAAAAAATCACAATCAAAGTATCTCGACGGTATCAGTATGCGTAAGCTTTTCTCAGGAAGCCGGCAACTGTATGCGAAGATCATCAACATAAAAGTCACTATGTTTGCCGGGATTCGCTGTTCAAAGTTGATGGTTTGATTCCTAGACGAGAAGCGTAATCCTGGATTGCCCCAGTAAATACGGGGATGTAAAAGCTAGCGCTCGTGATATCTGCTTACCTCGCAACTCAAACGGACGGCTTCTTCAATTCCAACGTGGGCTTCGTACCCCAGAATCTCCTTAGCCTTGTTACCACTTGCATATCGAGTGGCACATGCGTCTCGGACACTTCCACGGCTCAAAGTTGTTGCTGTCCCCATCAACCAGGTGACCGTCTCACACACCAGCCCAGCGAAGTAAGCCAGGCTCTCTGGGATTCGCAATTCAAACGGTGGAAAATGCCCAAAATGCGCCCAAATTGCTAGACAGAAGTCACGAAAGGTGATAGGCTCGTTATTCTGAATAAAAAAGGCTTCACCGGCAGCTGTGCGACATGATAACAGGTTCTCGATGGCGAGGACATGGGCATCAGCGATATTGCTGACGTGAGTTATATCCCACAAGTTGCAACCATCGCCAATCAAGAAAGGAGTTTCGAATTTTGCGATACATGCATGAATAGATGGTATCAGCTGGGTGTCGCCCGGTCCGCAAAGTACCGATGGCCGGAGGGCACATGTCGCCGTTTTGGCGCTTGAGGCCTTGAGAACGAGTGATTCCGCAGCAGCCTAGATACGGCGCCGGGATGTGTTACTGCCCGGCTATTATGTGGTTCATCATTGGGGCTGAGCATTCTACCGATGGGTGCTAACCTTAGACTCTCCATAGATGGTCGACCTAGATGACAAAGGCCATTCTTCATTGATGTTAGCGTGAGTGATATTCGTGTCGTCGATCACCACGCAACAAGAGCTTGTGTATATGAAGGCCTCAACTTCATTTTGCTGAGACACGTCCAGCATGTTCCGTGTGCCTTCATAGTTGATCTTCCATACCTCCCTTTCAAGTCGGCGGCCCCACCGCTCTGCTAGGCCTGGAACAATCCCCGCGGTGTGGACAACAACATTCGGCTTTATGGTCTTGAAAGCTTGGCTCAAGGCTTCAGCCGAAGTGATGTCGACCTGTATGCACGAAGTTCTTTCTGGCAAGACATGTTCGGGACGTGGGGGATGTTGATCGATGACGGTGATGACAAAGTCCGGGTGTTTTTGTGCAAGAGCTCGTACAATGGCCGAGCCAACAAAGCCCGTGCCACCTGATATCAGGACTTTCCTCGCCGAGTCTGCCATTATGAGAAGTGATCAATGATCAATGTGGAAAGCTTGGAGAAAGTCGGATGAGTGGTTGCCAAGCCTGTGCAACATCACTGCAAGGTCTGGGTTTCCGACATTCTTCCTGTCTCATTTTTACCCGGCCGGAAGATACAACAATAGTTAGGAGAAAGGTGTTTGAACGATGGCCTTTAGATGGAAGAATTGGGATTGATGCAGAATTATGCCATTTCAAGTGACCATATCCGTTGAATCAGTGGATTGAGATCTGAACTTCGTTCTTTTCTAGAGTTCTAAGTGCTCAAAGGGTGAATCTTTCTGGACTATGTACTCGGTGGAGAGCTCTTTAGTCTTCTCCTCCTCCTCCTCCTCTTCCTCCTGCTCCTCTTCATCCTCTTCATCTTCATCTTCGGAACCGCGATTGGGATCAATGACATTCAACACGTCTTCTAGCCCAGGATGAATGCAATGCTCATTGGACAATTCTTCCAACTCCAGCAATTTCGGCCATAACGCTTCCGGTCTCTGATCATTCTCTCTGATTGCTCTGATTTCATCTGGGGTCATGGAATTGATGATCTCTGTCATTGTCTCTACAAGAGAGGAGTCAGATTGGAAGTGCTCTTGTATGTCACGGCCCACTTCATGGGTTGCAGATAGTGCGATTGTCTTGCCAATCTTGCGTAGCACGGAAAGTCCGTTGACGCGCGTCTGAGGGCTGGCGCATGGCCCACATTGATCTGCAATTGATTCGATGGTCTCGACGATTTCCGTGACAACTTCTTGAGTTACACCCCAATAATGATGCCCACTGCGCCTGGGGCCATGTGTGATATTGATCAATCTCCAGATAGACCTGGAATGATCGTCGAAGCTGAGCACGGTATTGCGCTCCTCCTCTTGGATGTCCCAAATAGCACAATTGATCATTCTCAGGACATCGGGATGGGTTTGCGCTGCTCGGATGAAGATGTCAATGCTAGCCTGCGGATCGATGTCATCGAGGTAGTGGACACGCGAAGAGACTTCCTCTGCTGAGATTTGTGGTATTCCGACTTGATTTCGAGTCGCATTGATGTGGGCTTCACCAAGCGTGTTGGATCGCGCGCGTTTAGCACTTTGAGGCTCAGTCATGGTTTGTGTTTTGTGATGATTCTGTATCTCCCAATCACTGAATGTGCGTACTGGGCTTCAATCACAGGTAGGATTGAGAATAGATGAGTCCTGGCGGCGACCAAAAGTAAATGAACTACCCAAATTGAAGGTGAGATTGAAGCAACTTCAGAGATTAAAAAGGATGGTGTCGATCGAGGGCAATGAAATAGAAAATTCAGGAGAAGCGGCTACGGACAGGTTGAAGGCATTCAATGTGATGAATGGCAAACAAAAAACAAATCTTGCTTTTTCGTGGGGCCATATCGCTTCGACGGACCCAAAATCCAATTTTTGCGTCTGTCTGAGCGGGATATAGCTGATAGCTGAGATAGACCCAGGCTTCTGCCACAGAGACTCAAAATACAAAATTACCCAATTGGGAAGAACACACTTGCACCTCTGCCAGGCTATCCTTTCGATTAAAGCCCTTCATTTCGAGATATTTCTATAACAGCCCAATGAAGGCTGGGACTTTAATGGTTTTAGGAACTCTTTTTTTCTATGTAATTGGTGTTTCTGGAGTTTGGTATTTCTGGCCGTTAATACTTTGAGTCTTCCTCGGCGAAATACAGCTGAGTTATACCCAGAATTCTGCCACTCAGTCCCAGAATTTCTTTGTGTCATCACTGATTCTGGGACTGTGTCTGCTTCAGAGGCGTGATCTCGACTTTTGTTCAGCCGCTTTTAACCCCTCTGAGCTTAACACCAATATTCTAGATCCTGGAAAACTCAAATACCCTAATCTTACTAGGGTCCTAATAAGGATATCTTAAAATGAAGGGCCCTAATAAGAAGTATAGCGCCGTAGAGGTGATAATGTGTGCACATGTTAGGTGTGTTTTAGTGTGGTCGTAGGTGACGCTAAGGCTGGCATGGCTCAGTGTGATTGGTCCAAGCGGATTGCAAACTCACCAAACATAGTCCCAAAATTCTGGGACTGAGTGGCAGAATTCTGGGTATCACTCAGCTGTATGCCGCTCTTAGCTGGGAACGAGTCCCTCTTGTTGAAGATATAAAGGTATGATATAGCATGTAGGGTTCAACAATGGGTTCAAATGATACTAGGAATAGGATCTCTTATGGAAGTATTGAATTGTCTAAAGATCTAGATAATATCTGCCTTTTCCTGCTATTTATGCCCCTTTGTGTGCCGAGGATCGGAGTCCTTAGTTTGGCCCCCAAAGGTGAGCTTTTCGGCAGAAAAGACAAAAAGGGCGTAGCGTTGATAATCCTGCGGATGAGAGAATCCTGCCTCAGGCATGGTTCTCAACACCTCTCGGCTACATGTATATACCATACCGCCTTCGATTTGTAGCTACCAGACACAGTTGTGATTTCCGTCCTAGTGTCATTGACAAGAAGCATGGTATGGGACAGGACACTTTCTCCATTAGCAACTGTTTATATAGAACACAATCCTCGGTGTCAATGTTGTTGATCGTGGTCATATGCCAAACCACCTGGATAACTATGTATGGACTCCACGGACAGACATGAGGCTGAGGCATATCCATAATGACAGCCTGAAGACTACGCCATGCTAGCAAGCTCTCTAAAGAAAGGGAGTATGGACATATTTCAAGTCATAATCTATACATTGTGTCACATTCAGGACAGCTGCACAATCACCAGCAGAGCACGCAGAATGCGAGATACGCAGACATCTAATATACAGATCCTTGACCCAGGTATTATCCCAACAGTCACAAAAAGTCTAATCTCGAAAAGAGAAAGCGCTGCGACTAACCGACAAACTCCAAAGTAAATGCAAAAAGAGAAATACAAAACCCCCACTGGATAGCTCCGCTTCCCTAGGTTGGGGACATAGTCGCTAGGACAATCGCAGACTTATAGCACACGGCACAGAACCAGCCCACCAAGCTTTTTCTCGACACACTCGCGGGCTTCCAGAATTCCCTTGTCTGTGGAGAGGTACAGACTCTCGCCCGGCGAGCGGATACCGGCCACGAATCCAGAATCCTCACCACGCACAACTCGGCGCAATCCCTCGACATCAATGTTGACCCGTCGGGTGGGCTTGCTGACCATCTTGATCTTGCCCAAGACGGACTCGTTCTGCCAGTACTTCAGGCCCAGCCACAACCGCCTTGATGCGACGTTATCGCGTGTTATTTGCTCAATACCTTCGACTTCATCGTTGGCTGCAGGATAACCGAGGATGCCGTGGGCTGGGGGAGGAGTCGGGCCTCCGCGGACCACGGAGGAGATGTAGCCGGAGTTTTGGAGGGCGAGGGAGAGCTTCAGGTGGAGGTTGCTGTTGGGGATGGAGGTGAGACCGAGACGGGCCTTGGTGGCATTGTTCAAGTGGGAGCAGACGGAGGCAAGGTTGACGAGAGACATCTTGATTTCGCGACGGCAGCAATTAAGCTCTACCGGCGGGCGTTTGGATAGGAAAGAAGGTGTTGATCAAGTTCGAAAAATTGAGAAAGACGGAACAACCGAATGCGCACAGGGAATGACCGAGAGGGACCACAATGGACAGCAATCTGGGGAAGCAAAGACACGGCAGGAGGTGTTGCAGCACCATGCGTTTGGGATGGAAATTTTCGGAGAAACTGTGCTTCCGGGCTGCGGACTTGGCCAAGTACCCGGTACTTTCCCGCACCGCAGTGGAGATATGTGACGGCTAAGTCCCTAGTACGGAGTACCATCTCATCACATCACATAGTTCGGAGATCCTAAGCGCCCGACTTGCATGGCGGTTGAAGCTGGTGTTTCACAGCCATACCCCTCAGTGGAAGCTATAAATATTAATATAGACGTAGGTTTTCCTTCTTTTCTTCCCCTCTTTTTGGTGCATCGTGTACTTTAAATACCCTGAATTAACAATCATGCCACCATCAGTGGGCGAAGAGCGCATTGTGACTGTGTGAGTTGAACTGACTTTCCCCGCAGATCAAGACGATGCGATTCTCGAGTTGTGTCTAACAGCCGAGATAGGTTCGCCGATATTCACTATTACTTTACGGAGCCAACTCCAAGGCCTTCACCATATCACCATCGATTTGATAAAGGCTCTTATGTTTATATTTACCATGACGCCGCTCAGAACAAGGCTCGGATAGAGATTGCCAATAATCCTGGGTGTCCAGAGCAGGATGCCTTTTGCGGGGGTTGAACACTGTTCATATACGCCACTCCTCTCAATTCCCGACTCTTTGTACATTAACAGTTGATGCACACTCACCCTCACCACAACATCAACAATATGCACAAGCTATCCCTCAGCATGAATGGCGTTTGCCCAGTGGAGGCCCAAGTGATGACCCGAAGGACTACCGCACCTTGCCCCGCTTGCATACATTGGATATCTACTTCTGGGCTCAAGACGATGCAACCGACTTCCTGGACGCCGCCGTCCGCGTTTTAGCTAGTGCCCAGATCGAGACAGACCGAGAACCAGCTCCACAGCCACAACAATCCATGAGCTCCGTAGTCGAACAACTCGAGAGCATCGCAGTCTCAGACCCGGCCTACCAAAATGGCCAAACACCCAACTCACGATCAGAACCCATAGCCACAGCGGCACCAGTCTTCCCGGGTCCTCCACAAACCAGCAGCTTCCCTCCACCGCCTCCAAGCGGCCCCCCAGCTGTCCAACAGTCAAGCGCCAATTCTCCTGCCGAGGAAAAGAGAGACTCAGCCAGCTTCGCCCCGCTCCCTTATAACCCGGCTGCCCCGGCTGCCCCAGAGCCTATCCAACACCGAGAGAAGACACCGCCACCAGAGGACGGCATGAATGGCACAGGCCTCGCAGCCGCAGTTGCAGCTGATAATGGCATTCCTTTTACACCTCCGCAGCAATTAATCGGAGGCATAGGAGGCGTGAGCGGATTTGCATCCCCGCCCCCGTCGAACCCAGGATTGCAATACGCCGGCCCTCCAATTGCAGGAGCACCATCATATGCATCTCCCCCACCAAGCGCAGGCCTACAACATTCAAACTCCTTTTCCACTCCCCGCTCCTCACTCAGCAGTCCCGGAGTTCCCGCTGCTTCGTACTCGCAGCCGTTTGCAGGTGCACAGGGGGCTCAGCAGTATACCGCCAGCCGACAGAACTCGATGTCCTTTGCTCCGCCGCCGCAGGATCCTAACGCCCATCTATATGACCAGCAGGTCTATGGCGGTGGTGTTCAAGCCCAGCCGCCCCCGCAGCAACAGCCTGGTGCAGCGGTGCCGGTAGGGGGATTCTCCAACTTTACGTATGGTCAGACTCAGGCGCAGCAGCATCAACGTAGTGGCTCTGAGTATGATATTCATAGCCAGTTGTATCGACCCACCGAGGTGGAGGCAAGCTCTCATTACCAGAAATATGCTCAGAAGGCTATGAAGCATACTGGACAGCGGTCGAAGAAAATGGAGGATAGGGCGGAGCGATTGGAGGGTGGTATGAATAGATTCTTCAAGAAGCTTGAAAGGAAGCTATGAAATGGTTTTTCCTGGGCGGAAAGCCTGAGATTCTGCATGATTCTTGTCAACGATTAGGTCACTATTAGCTCCATTGTTATTATCTACACGCACAGCCTCTCTGACAAACATCTCAAGTATGTGCTACCTAAGATACAGCTGGGAAGTCGATAGTAGGAAAGCTTTCAGGCCCCGCTTTATTGATAAATCAAGATGCTATGTAAATTTGACAATGCCCCTCAGCGCTAAGGATAATATGCCCACAAATTTGATACAGAGAATGCAAGAGAGAAAAAAAAAGGCCAAGAACAATCACACAACCCCGAACACTGACAGATATGGATATGCTAGCATAGAAGTAAAGATTCCCTGGCAAAAATAAAATGATGGAAAGGCCGAGAGCAGGCCCTAGAAAAAAGAAGACGAGGCTCACACTTGGTGATGTAGAATGGAAGAGACAAGGGTATGATCAAAGAAGATTAAAAGTAGTCCTAAAATTTACCAGAACCGGAGATAGGCAAAGTCAATGTCGAATGAAGATGGTGTATTTCTGATACACAGACGCTTAGTTCAATGCTAGGTTGGCAATATCGATGGCAACGTTGCTCGACTCAGCCTCAGATGCCGGCTGCACAGCAGGGGCAACTTCCTCAGTGGGCTTCTCCTCAGCAGCGTCGGCCAAAGGCTCGGAAACGACGGCCTCCTCAACGGGGGCGGCATCGTCCTGTTCGGGCGCGTCGGCTTGAACCTCTGTTGGTTCCGAGGTCTCAGACACCTCAGGCTCAGCTGCTGGAGCATCTTGCTTCTCAACAACCTCGGCTTCATTGGCAGTCATTGGGACAGAGGTTGCCACGGGTTCAGCGGCAGTCTCTTCGGTTGCGGTGGCGGCCTCAGCGGCCTTCTCCTCCTCGACATCCTCGGCGATGGGCTCAATGGAGGACTCGACAGGGGCATCCGCCTCAGCATTGACCGAAACCTGGGTTTCGTTGGACTCAATAGGCTGGGCTGGGACCTCCGTGGCATCCTCGACTGAGACCGGCTCGGGAGAGCTTTCAGCAACAGCCTCCTCGACGATCAGTTCAGGCACCTCAGCCGACTTCTCGGTTGATTCAGCAGAAACGATGGTGGTTTCTGGGACGACCTCCTCAACCTCAGCAGGAGCAGTGATCACTTCAACTGGCTCGGCGGCAGCCTTGGGCTGTTCCTCGGCGACAACTGGGGTGGACTTCACTGCGGCAGGCTCCTTCGGGCTGGACTGGATAGGCTTCACAGCATTTTCTTTCTCACTTTCCTGCTTCTTCTGGGAAGGCTTAGCAGGTTCCTTGTGCAGAGTCTGGGACTTCTGGCTTTGGAGTCGAAGGGTGCTGCTCTTAGGCTTCAACTGGGCGGCGGCACGCTCTGGCACCCTCCCGATTGATTGCCTAGGGGCCTTGGTGGCGGAGGCTGCCTTGGTAACGGGCTTTGCATCAGTCTTCTCCTGGGGGTGGGACTTGCTAGCAGAACTGGCAGTTGGCCGCATCATTCTCGCAAGGAAGCCCTCATTGACTGGCTTAGCGCTCGGGTCGTTAGCGGCCTGAGCGGCCTGAGCGGGTAGCGAAGGGCGAGAGGACTGTCTGCGGACACTGGACGCGGGAGTAGTAGTCTGCGGCTGACTTCCGGATGCGCTTCTGAGACTTGAAGGCTTCCTTGTCAGCGTTGATGTGGCGGTAGTAGTGCGGGTGCTTGGAGCACTCGTGCTACCTAGCCTATTGGTAGATGCCTGAGCCGGCGCACTGCGAGCAGGTCTAGATGAAGATTTGATTCCAGTCCTGGTGGATGCACCTGCAACTGGCTTTGCAGTATCTTGGGCCGTTGTCGGGCCACGGGTTGGCCGGGCTGTGGGCTTGTTATTCAGCGAGACACGGCTCGGCTTGTGGACCAGAGAGTTGGCACGCTCCTTGGCCACTTCGCGGGCAGTGAGCTTGGGGCTTGCGTTGCCGGTAGAAGGCTTCGCACTAGCCAAAGAGGCAGTGGTTGCCGAATGCTTGCTTGCCGCACTGCGGGCAGAGCCAACGGAAGAAGGCTTTTTCTTGATTCTTGCCGGAGAATCTAGCCTCTGTGAGGAAGTGCCCCGGCTTGTCGGCTTGGAGTCTGCGGGAGAGGGCTCTGCTTTTTTTGGTGAGGTGTTTCGCAGCGGAGGTGCAGTCTCAGCATGTATCGCGGGGTCCTCCTTGGCAATATGATTTGATTCATGTTTGAGTTCGATATTCGGTCGACCCAGAGCGATTATTTGTCCCAGAGTCGGGTTCTGTGTGTGATCCAGAGGACTGATCGGGGTAGGCGAAACCGCACTCTGCCGGCCAGCTTCCACATCCCCAGAATTGATTGTCGGTCCAAACATTCCAGAATTATCACTGCGTCCATTTGTTTTCTTCAACGGTGAGGCAGGACCGGAATGAATGATGCCGTCCACGGTGACAAAACTGGCCCGCACCTTGGACAGCTGCTGAGCCGTTATCGAGGAGTCTGACGCGGGAGATCGACCGCGAGATGGCGGGGAGGCGATAGGGCTCTGGCCTTCGAATTTCGCTAACAAGCTACGCACCCCAGGGTGGTGAGCATTGTTATCGGACATGGTGGCTCACGGGGGGGGTATGAGGGTCGATCAAGGGCATATGGAATTGAGGGGGGGGATCGGGCAACGCGTCTACCGAGCACAGGGGTGGTCCTGAAATCGGCTTAAAACGGCAGTATGGTACAGTGTCTAATCGGATAGCGGCAGAACCCACTGCATGTTCCCAGAGGTGTTCAGGTTCAACGCGTCAAAATAAGGGAGAATGCGAATGAGACAACTATGGAAGGCAGCGGGTGTGAAGAAAGGGTTGATCCAGAAACTATTACATACATACACGCTAGTCCAGGCTAGCGTATCTAATAGGCTAACGCCTTACGTTGTCCTATTGCCCATATAGTGCTCTGTATAGAGAAACCCCTGGAGTTTCAGGGGTTTCTCATTTCTCTGTGACAGGTGACCTCATTTGGAGTCCTGAGCTCATTAATTTACGGTTCTGGTACTGAAACCCCCTGGGCTCTGAAACATTCCACGGCTTCTGGACACATTCCAAGTGGAGCAAGAAAGGGGCATTGGGTGCCTGAGGCATGATTCCCGATTTAGTGCGAATTTCTTCGTTTCAGGTCCGATCTGCTGGTGAGATGTTAATTGAATGTCCATGTATCCGACACAAGAATGCGATCCGGCAACTTAGGTATTTCCACAATTGAAAGCTAAAACAGTGTACGGAGTACTCCGGAGTGAATATCTAGGTACCTGGGTATACCGCATGGCTCTATGGGGCAGATGAGGAGATCACTTGGGTCTGAGGGTAAGGCCTAGAGACATGTCTGCGCGAGTCTCATGATGGATACCCGAAATACCCACGGGGTACTCCGTACTCCGTCCATAGATCGGGATATGTGGCTTTTCAATGGCACATAGCACGGATGAAAGACGAATTCAGCACAACCGAATGTCTCCATAGAGAAGTGGGGATAGCGCAATGTCATCTAGAGTTATCTACCTAGGTACTCCGTAGAGCCATGAAAGTTGTAGGTCAAGAACTATGTCCGTGAGATTGACTCTTCCTCCAACCTTGGAACGGAAGGAAAGCAACCACCAATGAGAGGCGTGTCCGTTCATCAGCACGTGACAGTACCATATTCTGCTATCCAGAGCTCCCCCAACCTCCTGATGCCGATGTGAGATTATTATTCAAGATGATTGGTGTGCCTTGTAGCAATAGCTGGTCCCTCTGTGTCAAACGCCGAGTCAAAGTGTGCAGGCTATCGATCTGGGCCCTGGTCAAACGCACCGCCGATTGACAACATCACAGTGTGATCAAAGGCTTGCTGATTGTGCCAAATGCGAGAAGTATGGACAACGTTGCCCTGGATATGACCGGGGCTTCAGGTTTGTGACTGGCCAGCCGTACCGGAATCGACCGGAGTAACCAAAGCGCCAATATCACCAGTGATTGATTGAACTTTGGGTATTCAAACTTCAGCGATAGGAAACAAGTGATCCGAACCAACAAAAAGGGAAGGGTCAAGGTTGTGATAATCACAGCGCGACGACCAGACTCGGGGAGAACTGATCGCGATTTCACCGCAAGCCACCCAACAAGACCGCATACGTAGGCGAATGTGACAAGAACAACAAATCCAGCTTTGCCCAATGCGAGCATGTTTATATATCCACCCACCACTGCTAGGACGGTGGCCAAGTTCATAGGAAAACGGAAGAAGTTTGGAGCGAAATGGGTTATTTTGGTCCATTTCGGCCAGAACCAGTTTCTCCGGATTGTCCTCTGTTCGGACACATATGCCAGCATCGTTCTTTGACCAAAAGATTTTTTCCGACATACCACCGCAACATGATCAAACTGATCTCAAACAAAAGGGGCGACAGGATCCAGGTACATCGTGGAATTGACTCATCCGAGTTTAGCGTGTATGACTCGACACTCAAAAGACCTGTGGACGAGTTGAACCTCAAAAGTCAAGTAGAAAAATGGAAATTGAGATTTTTGAGTTTAGTGAAGCTGTGAGAAAAGGCCCTACAACATAGAAAGCTGGAAAAAATCATTTGCATTCAACTTCGCGATAACTGATCCGTCTGGGAAACAGCCGTCTGTCCCATGTCCCAGACGCAGGCTTGAAATAGACCAGGAGACTTCGGAATGATGTGACAGCCAACTATAGCACCTCCTTAACTGGAACCGAGATTAAGTAGACCCCAGGCAGAGAATATCATCTCACCATCGTTATGCCATCAACCCTAAGTATGTACCTGCGCGGTAGAAAGCGGCAGTGGGTCCGAAGAATGAGTCGTAGCTTCTCCGGACCCCGGAGTCATGCCGGACCAAGGATAATCCGAGCACGTATACAAAAGGGAATCCTCCGATGACGGCGAATATCGATTTCAAGAAAGTAACTCTGCAAAAAGTTTACCAAAATGGCTGCTGCTGCCCGGACACTTCGCATTGGTATAGTAATCCAGGTTTTGCGATTCCGTGGTTTGGCAATTGACTGACATGACCGGAAACCTATAGGTCTCATCCCCGGAGACGGTATCGGACGGGAGGTCATCCCGGTGAGTAATTCCAAAATGACATGGAAGGCGAACCAATTGACTAATTGAGAATTGTTTGATGTAATATAGGCCGGTCGTCGGATTCTTGAGTCCCTCCCCTCATCTCTGAACCTCAAGTTCAGCTTTGTCGACCTCGAAGCCGGCTATGACACATTCCAAAAGACCGGAACCGCTCTGCCCGACAAGACCGTCGACACCCTGAAGAAGGAGTGTGACGGTGCTCTGTTCGGTGCTGTCAGGTAAGATGCAATGTTCTTACTGCAATATACCTGTTCCCGGCTGACAATTGCTGCCAACCTCAAGCTCCCCTAGCACTAAGGTCGCCGGTTACTCATCACCCATTGTCGCTCTCCGCAAGAAGCTCGACCTATATGCCAACGTTCGCCCTGTCAAGACTACCGCTGGCAACAGCAATGGTAAGCCAATTGACTTGGTCATTGTTCGCGAGAACACCGAAGATCTGTACGTGAAGGAGGAGCGCACTATCGAGGGCCCCGACGGAAAGGTTGCCGAGGCCATCAAGCGCATCTCCGAGCGCGCCTCTTTCCGCATCTCCAACATCGCCGGTGAGATTGCTCTCCGTCGCCAGAACATCCGCTCCTCTTCCGCCATCTCTACCCGTGACCAGCCCATGGTTACTATCACCCACAAGTCGAACGTGCTCTCGCAGACCGACGGTCTCTTCCGCGAGACCGCACGCAAGGCCCTTGCCGCCGAGAAGTTCTCCTCCATCTTCGTTGAGGAGCAGATCGTCGACTCCATGGTCTACAAGCTCTTCCGCCAGCCCGAGTTCTACGATGTCATTGTCGCTCCTAACCTCTACGGTGACATCCTCTCCGACGGTGCTGCTGCCCTTGTTGGCAGCTTGGGTCTGGTCCCCAGTGCCAACGTCGGTGATAACTTCGCCATCGGTGAGCCCTGCCACGGCAGTGCCCCTGACATTGAAGGCCAGGGTATCTCCAACCCCATTGCTACCATCCGCAGTGTCGCTCTGATGCTCGAGTTCCTCGGCGAGGAGAACGCCGCTGCCAAGATCTACGCTGCTGTCGATGGAAACCTCGATGCTGGTCAGTTCCTTACCCCTGACATGGGCGGCAAGGCCACCACCCAGCAGGTGTTGGACGATGTCCTGAAGAGACTGTAAGAACAAAAATTGTACATGAGTCAAAGTTCCTAGATCATGCTTAGAGATGAAACCAAGTTTAAATTATCTTTCTTCTTGCACTTACAAGTGCACAATTATTCAATCGCAAGAGACAACAAGCAATGGTGATATCGACTCGTCCCCGTCTAGATTTGCGCCATGTCTCCGGCTGGAACTTGTTCCATGTCAAATCGTGATCTATCACTCAACATCGCTAGCTGATGATTTCGACTCCCCCCAGACTTCCCTAAACTGTCACTCTCACTGCTCTCCTGCTTACTATTCCCTTTTATGTCCTCGGTTTCTGGTATAACCACCGAGAATAGTACAGCAAGATACACTCGCCCAGTGGAGACGTCCTTCAGCGTATACCGCAGCTCATGGTTCTTCTCCTCCACGTATTTCATGACATGTAAAGTGAACGCAGGAAGACGGACAGAGAAATCTATCACCACCATCAGCCGGAGACTTCAACCTTGCGATCAATAAGACATAAACACATCTAACTCACCGTTGAATGCCAGATATGGATTTCCAAAATCAGCAACATACATCCTCCCAGGTTCAAACTCGAACTCTTTTCGATTCGCCTCATTCTGAAAATGCTTCCTGCGTCCTTCAACCGTGTCGGGGATATTGAATTTCCGACGCGTCTCAGCAGCCTCTTCGCTATAAGCACCCTCTTCAACCACCTCATCATGGAGCTTTGGCACCTCGTCGGATTTCTGCTCTTTATCCCCGATGCGGAAGAGGTCCCATGAAGCTAATGCTGGGCTATATAGGTAGGGCTTATCGGCGTAGACATCACCATCTAGGCCTGGATCCATGGTCCATTTGACCATCCGCAGCGCTGCATTGAAGCCCGGGGGTAGGAGGTCGCGGATTGGGTGATCAAAGTCATTTCCAAAGAAAAGGTTGTTGCCATTGACCGGTTCTTTGAATATTATTGAGAAACATATGGAGTACAGGTCTTTATTGTGCAGAGGATGGTCGAAATATGGGCTCGTGGTTGGTGAGTTTTCGGGATAGCCTGTTTGAATAATGAACTCTGCTTTTTGACTGGATAGCTGGAATCGCTAATTGTAAGGCCGGGGTATTACCTGTATAGTCTTGGATCCGCACGCAGAGACTTATGATAGCGTGCTCATTTTCGATTCGGATTGTTTTGCCATTTACAGGTACCACTTGATGAGTCTTGAGGTCGTAGTCTGGGCCTGCCGTTACCTTCAAGCGGCGCGTGTTGGCTTTGTTGTCTTCGTCACCCATGTTTGGAGGTTGGTGGGAGAATAGCCGATATCTGATTGGGAAGAAAGCAGTTGCCGGAAATATGTTAGAAGAGTGGCCAAATCTGGATTTCCGTCTTCGGGTAGACTTGACGCTCAACAACGTCATCGTCGTGGGAACATTCAACTATCGATAAGCATCGACAATCAAGCGTCTATTCCTCACTATCCCAATGCTAAATAAACACTGATCTAAGTCAAATCCTTTTTTGTATAGGTATGCATGCAAGGATGGCCTCGTATAAGATGTACTGGCTGGCCCCTGTTCCTTGTTGTTGTGAGTGAATTTGTCTATACTGGTAAAGAAAGTGACAGTTCCTTCAACGAATGAGAGGTAGTGCTAAAAATGGACAGGTCTAGCCTTGCAATATGGGAACCTCTCCCCCTATCTTCATCAAAATACCGATTGGTCTCTGAGCTGATGCAGTCATTCAGCCCTGCTCAGGTGGCCCCCAAGTCGAGGTACATACTTACTTTGAAGTGACATCATGGCCCCCAGAAAGTCCCCGGCCTTCAATTTGATTGGTCAGAGCGGTGCGTTGCACCCAAAGCGGCTAGCTGATATTAACTATAACTCTAATTTATACGAACGCCAAGATCTTGCGCCTCGGGGCAGTGAGATGATTCCCTCTCGTATGCATTGGTGGACACGGGCTATATATATTGACCAAGTCTCCCCTCGAAGTATTCTAGTCTGACGGATCATAGGATCATAGTTAACATCAAAACAACGCCTTGAACCCTTCAATTCTACATATTCAAAACAATGGCTTCATCTAATATCCATCAACCCAGTCAAACATCTTCTACTTCCAACAATCCATTTTTGGCCACCGAGTCAAAGTCAATGGCTTCACCAAATACTACTCCGTTTGATCAGACTGCCCTCAAAAGCTCCGCCTTCACAGTCGACTTCACATGGAAGAAGTGGATGGGCGTAGTCTCTGACGCCAACAAACCAGGCTCAGACCCCCTGTACACTATCCACTTCCCATTCAATGTGTTATCCAAAAATGCGGCCACCATGGTCTTCAAGCAAGCTTCCAATGAAGAAGTTATTGGAAGTGGAAAGCTGAATGTTGTCTCCATCAACGCTAGCTACGAACTACATGGACAGAAGGCCCACCTTCTAGCCCAGAAACGCTGGCGAACGGTGTACACACACCGCTCGCTCAACTTCTCCGACACAGACTCTCCAGTCACAATGACATGGACCAGTGATTGCGGATTCAAGAACTGGGACTTTGTCTGTGTCGATGAACAGCAGATGCCCGTGGCAAAATTCACAGCCAATGCCTGGGGTGTTACCAAAATTGGCAAGATTGAATTTATGGGGTCCAAGGCCGATAATAGAGCTGCGCAGGAAGAGATCATGGTTACAGGAATCACGCTGTTCTATTGCATGATGGTTCGCTGTAATAATATTTTCAATTTGTTTGGGGCTATCTTTGCTCGGCCGGGGCATAAGCAACACATTGAGCCCCAGGCCAAGACTACGGCCAGCATGGATAAAGCTTCGCAACTTGCTTGATCTAGATGGAGTTTGAGATATGACTTTTGTTTTGTGATTATAGAGATACCATTTATTTTGTTTTTGCAGGATTCAAATTAGTCCACGACCAAATATCAGCCATGTTTGGGCTATACATAGCCTATACTTATAATCTGTCTGGGCAGCTTATAATGACTTTCCTGCCTATCACGTCTTTGTCTAGATCGATCCTGCCTTTCACCATCCTCGCCCATCAGGCCAGCCACTAGCATCAGGCCCTTCTGTATGTTGTTCAGATGTACGTATATTTAAAGCTCAAACGCAACAACTTACAAAGAACTCAACTACTTGAATCTCAAAGGCCTAGCTTTTACGTTTGGGGGACAACTATAACTATCATAATCTTCTGGCCGAAAAACTTATTTCACTCTGACGAGGGGATAGCTAGGCCAACCAATCATATGTACATTGTCAATCTCTTCCTCATGCCCAGAATCTTGTAGTCCAAACAGCCATGTTGGATAAATCATACATCCATTACATCTTGCTGCAAGAACTCAATGTAGTATCCATCAGGATCTTGCGCGAAAGCAATTGGCGCGGCTAGAGTGTTCCAGAAGTCTTTGTTGCGGCCTTTTCCTGAAAGCTCAGCGCCAATAGCCCTAGCGATAACATCGCTACTGGCCTCGTCTGTCTTGCCGGGATATTTCAACACCTTGTATCCGGACTTTTCGATATGTTCCATTGCGGCTGCGATATCCGGGATAGTAAACATAAGCTTGATGAATCCAAACCCAGGGTGGGTATCTGAATTCGTGATAAGTGGAGGAGAAGTCTATCAATAAAATCATTTGTAAGCATAAGCTTCAACAGCTTGTTCAGAACTGTAGATTACCTCCGACCAGATAAGTTCAATCACTCCTGAACGATCAAGACGTAGTCCGGGATTTTCCTCTCCCTCGGGAACATAGGCCATAAAGACAATAGTAAATGTCTCTACTTCCATTTGTTGAAGGACAGTTAATCCCAAAACATCCCGGTAGAAAGAGATGGACTTCTCCAAGTTCGAGACTCGAATACCGGATTGGTGAAAGACCCAGCCTTTGTGAACTGATTGAGCGGGTGCGGCCATTGTGCTGATATTGATTGGTCTTCACGAAGATTGATGTAATGAATTGAATGTGTTGAGATAATGACAGAGATGTGGTTGAAGGGTTTATATATAGTTCTTCTACTGGGCTGTATACAGAACAGATGCCGAGGGGCCAAGCGTGTTAGGAGGTCTTTTACCCAATTACCTCATATCCACAAAGGTTGGTTCTCATCACGATCCACATCCTCTCCGTACTCCGAACCCTACATTACGCTCCCCCACCCGGTTATGCGAAGCTAAAGCTGCTCCCAGCCAGTTTCCATTCATCATCAATGGCGGGGCAAGGGTTTACAGGCCTGATCTTCACTTTACCTAAAACAACTAGTTCTTCTATTTCCTCAGTGGGACAATGATCATCTCGGGTATCACGTCTGCATTGTGACAGCAGATAGCCTCTTGTCCATCCGTGGGCCTTCCGCACTGCAGCTGGAACGATAACCTAGGTTCCAAGACGCCTCAAAATGATCATCCCATAGTCTTCTCCGCATTGGCCTTCCCCGCTTTTTAAGTTAGTGTATGTAGTTAGAAGAGCCGATTCTGTGCCTGCCAAGCTGTAAATCTGCGAGGGGTACATCAGAGGCATCGCACGTGCGCAGTCCCTTGAGGCGCTCCCCGGATTTGTGACTCTGCCACCGGCGGGTCCGTCGCGGGGCTCACGCGCTTTTAGTGACTACCTTGCGAACAGAACGGTACTAACAAGGCACAACGAACCGGAATTGAAGAGCATCCAACATGATTTGATAGCCCGCATAGTGACTTGGTTAGATAATATCGCATCGAGTGAGATTTGTTGCTCAATTGAGAATCCAAGCCCTCACGTACGACTTCCCTGCGTCAAAGGAACGAACGAGCCTGGTGACAAAAGTTCGATTCCCACTTGGTGATTCTAACCTAGGTTAAACCGCACTTAATTCCGGTTTGATGTCGGCGTTCGGTGTGGTATGAACAACCTTGGAAGGTTCCGGGGCCGATAATGCGGGGGAGAAATGGAGACTACGCTAGCGTTTCCGGGCATCGAATCTCCGATTCAGAGTTACGGTTCAACCGGCATCTTCCGGCGTGTATTATGGAACCATGATGACGGAGATAACAATATGGTAGGGGATTGCACTAGCTATTTGGAAATTGGGAGGGGTTGATGTAATGGAAGCGGGGGAGGTTAATTTACCTAGGTAGATACATCCGAATATTACATTTAGGACTAATATACATCTTCCAATCAAGAGAAGGAAACATCCCGACCAAGCGAGCGGGCAACCCAATAACCAATTGCCTGTCGAACAATGTTGTTGCTCGCCCAGTTCCGGTTCGGCTGCACACGATGGGCCATCATGACCATGAAGGTATCTGATGCGCGGTCAACGACAAGCGTCGTACCGGTGAATCCAGTGTGGCCTCCGGCTAGCATGTTGGCCATAGGTCCGGAGAAATAATGCTGGTTAAGCTCGAACCCGATGCTGTGCTCATTTCCAGGGAATGCGGTATTGAAGTTTGTGAACATCAAGTCTACAGTCTTGGGCTTCAGGATCTGCTTGCCGCCGTATGTACCGTTGTTCAGAATCATTTGGCAGAAGATTGCCACATCCCCAGCAGTGGAGAAGAGACCAGCGTGTCCGCTAACACCATTCAGAGACCAGGCATTCTCGTCGTGGACGGTTCCGCGCACCGGCTGGGGACGCTGAGGCTCGGAGTCCCCCAGGACTTCGATCTGGTACTCTGTCGGTGCCATGCGCGAGTAGTAGTGGAACGAAGGGGACTGATTGTTTCCTTTGTTGAAGAAGGTGCTGGTCATGCCAAGTTCGCTGGTGAACGCATGGACATACCTGTCAAATGGAGTTCTGGTGACTTTCTCAACCAAGAAGCGCAGGTTCATGAAGTTGAGGTCTGAGTAAGTGTAGGTAGATCCGGGAGAATTTTCAAGCTCATACCCAATGACAGCGTCGACACGCTGCTGCATGGTCTTATAGCTTGGATCAGTCAGCCCAGGAAGAGGATCAGGAGCGAAACCACTTGTGTGGGTCAACAGCATCAAGACAGTGATGTTCTCCTTTCCATTAGCTGCGAACTCAGGCATATAGAAAGCAACGGTCTTTTCCAAGCTCAGCTTTCCCTCGTCGATGGCCCGCAAGGCTGCAACCGCCGTGAACACTTTGGTCAGACTAGCCAGGTCGTAGATGGTGTCCATCCTTGCTGGCATCCACTCGTCGGCAGGAAGCAATGTGCCCATGGAGTCTGCATACAGACTCGCATTTCCAAAGGCAAAGGAACTCACAATAGTCGACTTATGACCGACGATAACGGAGCCTCCGGGCTGGAGAGGATGCACCTCGTTATGCGAAGGTGATCCATAGTTGGCAGGGATCGTGTACTGGGTCAAGTTCCTGGGCAGCTCTTGAAGCGGCTGAGCCAGGAGTCCCACTGACTCTGGAGAACCATGCTTGAGAAGTCGATCTGTGGCACTGCAAAGCGAGCCGTAGCTTGCAATGAGGCAAATGGCGGAAGATTTGAATTTCATGCTTGTTCAATCAAGTTGAATTTGGTAACACATTTACCCCAATGGCCTTCACAGAGATATATACACACTCGCTTCCCCCTTATCTGGTGACTGAATACGACTCAGAGGGGTAACGGTTTCATTTTGATTCGGAAAGGATCTGCCCTGGACAAGGGGTAGCACTCCATACCCCACATCCAGCGTTTAACAACACAGCTGGTATCTTCGGACCAGCGAGGTAGGTATTTCCGGTGGAGAGACACCGGCCCCGCATTCAATCTAATGCCCAGTGCGTTGTTCCGAACAGGTGATGGAGATTCGAGTGATTATAATAGATCCGAGGGAGAGAAAAGAAGCTATGTCGTAGGTACTCTGCACATGTGTGTAAGCTAAATATGAAACCGACTAGAAGCGCTCCGTTGCTTAGATCCAAACAAAGTAAATAAACGAGAGCGTGAAATTGTGCGCTAATTTGTCCACAAAAATTAGGCCGAATCCGACGCGGGCTGAATGTCGGCCGAGATCGGGTATCGCCGAGCTGTCATTACTTATTGCTCTTCAGGAGTTCCTCAGTCAGAATCCCGATACCACTATCCACTCGGCGTTGCTTGCCCCGCCCGACTTCGACATTCACAAAACGTGCGTTGCTGACGGGAGTTATGGGCTCGCTTTCGCCTCCTATTGTACTGGCCCCATCTGACATGAGATCGTCCGATCTCAATTCCCAATTGGCTGCGCGAACCTTGGCTCTCCGGCGCTCCAGGTTTATAGTCTCCTTCATATAGGCAAACGATCGCTCTTGATCTGCAGTCCACTTGTCCAGAAGCTCACTGCGAGCTTCGACTTCTTGCTGAAGTTGCCCTTCAAGGCCGGTATTGAGGTTGTGGAGACGCTGTATCTCACATTTGGCGTCATGCAATGAAGTGGTGAGGTCTGAGATGCGAACATTGAGAGTGCCAGTCTCTGCTTCGTGGTTTTGAAGTTGACTATTATTCCGCTCAAGAGTCTCGATAGTTCTGCCATGTTCTTTCTCAAGTAGCTCCACTTGAGCCATCAAGTCGCAAGCTCGAATCTGATTACTCTTGACTGTTTCTTCCAACTCCCGGATGCGAGCATCAGTTGCAGCAGCAGAAGCTTTGGCTGAACAGAGTTTTGAACGTTCATAGGCCACTTGCTTCTTAAGCTTGGATATCTGCCGAGCGTAGTCTTCCTTTGTAGCTGTGTTCTTCTTTTCAAGGTTGTCAATAAGTGTTTCAAGATCGTTCACTTCATCATGGTATTTGTCGAGCGCGGTATTCAATCTGTCAATCCCAATGGCCTGCTCTTGGCCTTCGCTCTCGAGGGTTTGCATTCGCACCCGAGTGTGGAGCATATCACTAGCAGAAGATGCGATCGAGTTCTCAAGTCTGTCAATCTTACTTGCGGCTGTCTCATATTTGTGTAGTAAAGCGTCAAATTGTTTCCGCAGGGCTTTTTCTCGGCTGAGGGAGCCGTGGTGGTAATGGCGCTCTGTCCCCAAATCCTTCGCCAATGACTCGACACGCCTCACCAGCGCACCTAGGGTGGCCTTCCCGTCCTCAAGACTGACGTTGGCAGTTTCACCGGGCAGAGCACGTTCAAGCTCAAGTCGTGCCGACCGGAAGTGCGTCCGCATGTCAGAGATTACATCATCGACGCCCTCCCCCGAGAATCCCAAACTGGAGCATTCTTGGGTGGCATCTTCAAGAGCCTTGGCGGCACTTGAAGCACGTAATAGGGCATTCTCCAAAATGTCTATGATGTTGTCGAAGAAATCCGATGGTGGAGATGACTGGCGGAAAATGCTATTGATTGTAGGTTCATTGAACCCGGAGATGCGTGATCGACATGCATCGAATAGATTCCTCTTTTCTCGCCTGGCAGCTTCTAGATCCAGTTCCAATGAATGTATATCAGATGCTTCTGTATTGGCTGAAGGTCGCATTCGAGTAACGGATATCGGTGTTTGTGGTTCGTCTAATAGCATCAAGCTATCAGTAATCGGTCGATTATGACTTCGAGTGCCACGGAAATCAGGAGAGCTGGATACAATGACAGCACTGTCGCTAAACATGCATGTTGCTTCATCTCCACTCATAGAGGTAGCATCATTATTGATGCTACAAGTGGAAGCCATTGGTAATTCCTCGCAAGATCTGGGTGTTGCGGGTGCCATCCAATAAGGCTCAGCCAGTGACGCTTGGTGGTCGAAGTCCAGTCCATCTCGTTTCATGGCCATGAGCTCATTCTTCAAAGAATCACGTTCCTGAAGCAAAGCTCGCATAGTCTTTTCCATATTGCTTGCCTCGCGCTTTTCACGCTCAATGTGATTGATCTCATCGCTCAATCCAATGCGCCGAATTCTCCTCTGGGTACGTGTATCCAAAATCTGACGCAACGGAGTGAACTGGATTCTTCGCTCGGTGCTTGTTTCGTCAAATGGTTCCTCTGGGTCATACGACCGCTGGAAACGAGGGGTTGGTGCCGATCTGCGCCGGGCTTTGCGGCTAGGCGTACGTGCTCTGGATTCTGGATTGAATGATGTACGGCTCATCGCTGGAGTCAATCCGGTTGATCCAATGTCTGCGTCATGTAGCAGTCGAGGACCTGGGTCGGAAAACCGAACTTTTTTTCTCGATCTCTTTGGTGTCACACAGACGGTTTTTGGTTGTTGGTTGAGATCGGCATTTTCTGTCACTGTTGCCAAACTTCGTCTAGTCCGATGGGAGATTGGAGACTGGCTTGCCGAGTCCAAGAGTGTACTCTTCCGTTTTCTTCCTGACCGAGTGATATCCATAACAGATACAGAGTATATTAGAACAACGAAAGTCAAATCAAATCAATTGCAAATTGGACTCGAGGTTGCACGAAGATAGGGTGACAGCCTACGCAGGGACAGGTGCTTATAAAGAGAAATCTATAGATCACAAGTTCGGGGGTAAACAAACAAAGTGGGGCTCTACAAGCGGCACCCAGACGCGTGACTGGGGAATGTTCTTGCCTATTCGGGCGATAGTAAACAAGATGCTTCTTCGGGCGGTCAGGTGATAGTGTGACACGTGATGCTGCCGTGATCTAAACAAACTGAACATACACAACAAACCCAACAAACGTGAAACAAACTCATTATGTTTGGATGCAGATGCATCGAGGTCTTCTATCGAAGATACGAGGCATATTCCGTACATATGTATCAAATACATGCAATAGGGTTCAAGCTATGCACTAATGATTTGCATTGTACAATATATGTACCTGGATACTCCGTACATGACTGCATTAGGTGGACCACTCGGAGTTGCCAACTGGAGCCACACCGCCCCGCCACCTGTGATCATTTATCTTATCGATAGCTTCCAAGCCCAGAGCACTCCAACCTTGGAAGGTTAGCTCCATTATGTATTGCTCAGCTCCAATCCGAACCCTGCAAGATTGGGCACACTGATTCTCTTCCCTCCTTGGCCCCCCGCGTCTTTCCATCTTCACTGCGTGACCCTGTCATGTTTCCTCCCCGCCAGTGATGTCATTTACGATACTCTGAAGAGGCTCAACCGTTGATCACCCTATTCTTGCAACTATCCCGGTGATATATCGGCAACCAGGGCAAAATGGCAAGCATTGAATATCCTAGCCAGGTATGTATCATCATTCTCTAGATACGAATCACCGCGGACTCATGGCACTATACTCACACTGCGCTGATGCCACAGGAACAAGATGACGATGGCCTCAACGACCAGCTTGTTGATATTGAAGAGCTTTGGGTGGTTGATCAATCGTCACTCCTTGAGAAACTGCCCGCAGAGATCATTCAATGTATTGCATCTTATCTGCCGGCTTCAGACCTCGCCTGTCTCGGTGTCACTTCCCGGACCCTCGCTGATCACGCATACAATGACTTGTTATGGGCCGACCTTGTGAACGAGAGACTACCTGTTCGTATCCAACACCCAGGCCCCTTTGGGTCATTCCGTCGCCTTTATCTCGCATACCATCCCTGTTGGTTCATCCCTCAGCACAAAATCTGGTTTGGAGACACTGAACACATGGGCACACTGATCTTGGCGCGATATGATAATCATCGGGGTGTCATCGAAGCATATAAGATCGTTGCAGATCGTGGATCTCCTAAATTCCAAATCTGGGAGTCGAACCCAGAAGTCATAGTCCAGTCTTTTGATCCCGATGTCCATTTGTGGTTGGATGATTCAATCTTGTTTCTCAAAGACCATAATCCCTCTTCTCGAACTGCTCCAATCCAGTCCTTTGAGCCAATGTCAGAATTCAGACGCATGCCCCTGGCCTTAGAGGCTCACCATATCTACAGTGCGCTTTCCTTTTGTTCTATCTTCACTTCCGAAGAAGAAGAAGCGGTCGGTCCGGATATGATTTGGCCACCGCAAAGCATCCCGAGCAATGCACGTGCGCTCCGTGCCTCACGGTATTTTCCCTCGCCGATTCCGAAAAACATGTCGGATTTGTCCGAGCTGTGCTTCCGTATCAGGGAGTGGACCCCCTCGCGGCTTATGTATTCACCGGTTCCAAATGAACGGATAGTGACTTATTCAACTCTTGATCCAATCATGTACACCCCCACTGAAGAGAAGCCCTACCAGGGGATTTGGGTTGGAGACTACTCAGCCCACGGATGTGAATTTCTTCTTATTCTTCAAAAGGACGTGGAGGCTGTAGTAGGTGATGAGGGAGAAGAACTGACAACTAGGGATGCTCAGCCTGAGACTGAGCCCGACTCTCAGGAAGAAATTGGACAACGAGGCCGATTGGAGGCCATCAAGCTGACAGGCGACCCCAATGTCCCTCGTGGCCAATTCTCGTTCATTGCCGAAGACATCGGCCGCAGAGGCTTGGTCGGTGTAGCGACAGATGAGCCTTTTGCTGGTGCCCGTATTGTGCGTTGTTGCGGTCATTTGGCAGGACTTGGCTTTCATGATGGTAAGCGGCCAAACCAAATAAACCAAAGAGTATATTCTAACATGAGATTGCACCAGAAACCTTTATTGACTCCAAACTGATTCTCATTTCCCCTGATTGCATGGCTCACTACTGGACGGAACTGGGTCATGTCTCATATTTCCGCCGTGTGGACGTTGATGCTCTGCTGCATACTTGAGTGATGTATATTGCACTGCGGATTTTATCCTGTTTTGTTCCTTTGATTTATTACATACCCCATCCATCTGTCTTATTATTTGCATTCTATGTTCATTGACTCGTCTGGTGTATGACAACAATCATTGTAGACTGGGCCCGGTATTTTTTCAAGTATCCGTCAACGTCTTTGTTCCGATCACTTCGGCTTTTCTGGCTGTAAGATTCCTGCAGTAATAATATCAATGACCCGTCGATTCCATTGGACCTCGAATTTACCTGAGCTGTGAGTTATTGAGGAACTACCTGCTATCATCATAGCCGAGTCTAACAGCAGTTGTTTCACTCCTTTTACCGCGCCAAATAAGTCCAAAGAATGTTCCTGTTTTGCCAAATGTGATTAGGCTAGGTATTCATTATACGAATGACACATACCTAGTGTGATGGCTGATTGGTGGATGGATGCATGTAAGTATGCATTTCACCGCTGATTTTGTGCTCCCATCTGGATCAATAGTACCGACACATCCGTCTTGAATACATGGTAATATAGTAGTCTTTTATCATTTGCTAGCTGCCATGGGAATTTTTTTCCAAAAAAAGAATGGGCAGGTTTCATTAAGTTGACATGGCATATGTTCGTGTCTCCAATACAGATGCGGATACGCAGAGGTTCTGATCGTGAGTTGTGAAATTTCCTTACGGAGCTCTTCCTATGAACGGATTATATTAACAAGATACTACCAGCTCGTGGAGTGGGTAGTACCCGATGAACAATCGTCACTTGTAGCAGAGGTACTGATCAAAAGTACATGTAAGTTTCCCCGTTATCAAGAGAAAAAGCACGCATGGGAGAAAACCAGCTGGTGGGGATGCCCAGTGCTTGTTTCACAGTCTTGATAGCCAGGGCTGGATGTGCGTCAATCTTCTCTCGCTCTCATTAGTTGGTTTCACTCTTGAGGACACCTTCACAGTCTCCTCGACGCTTGATCATGAGCTCCACCTTCTCAGTCCTAAACCCGTCTGTTATATACTATCTTTGATCCTTTATCTCCTATAGCTCCCGATTAATCACGGTAGTCGAACTCGTCTTAAAAAGGACCTTGGGAGTTTTGTATCCGCTTACATTTTTGATGACGGGCCAGCCAGTAGGGCCATATGGGGTATTTTACAGAATCGTGGGTTCGTGCATTTGGAAGTTATCTCATTTCCATATTCTACCAGGGTGGGAGTCCCTTTCTGAGACAGAAGCAAAAGGCCAGGTCCGCCGGCTCAATCTCATCTTCCAAATTCGAAAGGCTTCACTCTCTTCCCCCGGGCCCCCGGCCTCACCTCCCTCCCTCCCCGTGTAACCAAAGCTAGGTGCATCTCTTAGATTGGTATTTAAGCACATCCAGTAGGTCGTCGGGCGAAAATGCTTCGGCCATAAGTCCCCGCAATGTTGGTTCTTTCCGGTACAGTCGTGACAGCAATGGTAGCAGGTCTTGCTTAGGAATCTCGGAGACCAAAGAATATTGAACCTCCATGCCGTTCTCCACAAGCCACTGGAGGATGGTTTTTATATCCATCAGATCAGTGCGACACCTCATGTGAAATTCCATACGCGTGGCGCGATCAGCAAGGCCCCAGGGCTTGAGTTTTGACAATACAAGCGCAGAGGGGTGCATAATGGGTACTGTGTAGTCCATTCAGTAAATTTTCTTCAGTAGACGAGCAAGAACGTACCATGGTCATGCAGTCGACGCTCCGGGCAGTCCCTCGGGGCTACAAGGTAAGTGTTGAGCTTACGAGGAAGAGGAACATCGCATGATGTGTCTCGCCAGCGTCCCGTGATTAGGATATCGATATGAACAACTTTGTCGCGGTACCTGAAGGCCAATCGATTATCAGTGCTGACTGTGAAGTCACCAGATTCAAGCAAATATTTGCGACATTCTTTTTCCGTGATCAGGTCAACATCCTGCGTTGTCAGATTAGGAGAACTCATCGAATCAAGGGAGTTGAGGAGAGGGAGATACCTCAGTAACGCGGGCTCCACCAAGGAGACAAGTGGCATATCCACCAATAAAGATATGCCTGACCTTTTCTTTGTTCAAAAGGCTCGTAAGCCTATTGACTGCTGCATCTAAGTGGTCAAATTCCTTAGGATAAGGCGCCATGATTGGTGGAGTCATGAAGAAATCTGCTATGGATCAGAGAGGTGGATAAAAAGGATGATGAGATGGCTTTAGACGCAAGAGAAACAATCATTGAAAAGGTGGAGACAATTTTGCTGCAAGATGGCAGGTGTCAAGGGAAAGAGAAGAAGACAATAGTTCTAAGACCTAAGAGAAATGAAAAAGAGAGAAGGGGAAGGCAGTCACAAGATTGCCTCCATGGTCCAAGACGCGCTACTTTACATGCATCAATATTTCTTCTCTCCATCTTATCATCCCCATCCGCCTATTGGACATCCTTTTCTCAATCACCCAAAACTTATGTTTTGCAATATCTTAATAATGGAGACAGAACATATTTCGAACCTCCCTCCCCTTGTCTCGCCCAATATAGAGATTGCGGAGACTGATGTTCTCTCGCCCGCGTCTCTTCATGCCTTGCCTAGTATTGAGCCGATGTCGACTCCTCCAGTTGAAGTGGATGATGGCCTTATTCAAGGACCAAGCCAACAAACCGAGAAGACTAGGAGGCACTCCGCTCCCCTCACTCTTCCCTTGTCGGCCATTGAGACGATGCCGACTTCCCCAGTTGAAGTGGATGATGGCCTTATTCAAGGACCAGGCCAACAAACCGAGAAGACTAGGAGGCACTCCGCTCCCCTCACTCTCCCCTTTTCGGCCATTGAAACGATGCCGACTTCTCCACCTCAATTTAATGGTGGCCCCTCTCAAGGATTAGTCCAGCAGATCAAGACACCAAAAGAATGTCTATTCAATGAGCCGCTCAGCGAGCAATTTCACTATCCGGAGATGGAAAATGCCTTGAGGGCATTGATAGATCGTACCATATCAGTTGTGGAGTACGGATCCCAGGTTCTATACAGATATGGATACGCAGAGGTCTTGATTGTAAGTAAAGAGAATCTCTAGTCCGTTTTATGAACGGTTTCATTGACAATATTTTAGCTCGTCGAGTGGGTAGTGCCCGATGAGCAAATGTCGCTTGCTTCACAGGTATTGCTCGATAATGACTATCCGCGATTCCACGAGAAAAGGCTCCTGTGGGAAAAAACCAGTGGATGGGACGCCCAATGTTTGATGCACAGTCTTGATAGCCAGGGTTGGATGCGTGTCAATCTTCTCCCGCTCTCTTTGGTTGGGTTCACGCTTGAGGAGACCGTCACAGTTCCATCGACATTCGCTCATGACCTCCACCTATTCACCCCTGAACCTGCCCATTTCATGTCATCTTTGATTCGCCATCTTCTACAACTACCAATCAGACACGGTAGTCGGACCCGAATTGAAAAGGACCTTATGGCTTTTATATCCGCTTACATCCTCAAAGACGGACCGGCTAATAAAACCCTATGGGAGCATATTCACGACACTGAGAGCGACCAAGACTACCAGAAAAGAGTTGAGGAAGGAGTCAAATTCATGAAGACATGGGATTGGAGCAAGACTGAAGGGAGGTACCTTGGTATAGCTGAATGTCTTGTCCGAGACTGCCATTACGTTGGCATGTTAACAGACGTGCGGAAATCACGACACGCTCTGAGTTGACCATCGAGTTCGCAGGGATTTTTCAAGGCCTCTTTTTCAAGCCCGGTGTTTTCCGACATTTTATCTACCTTTTATGCTCGCCGTAGCTCGTCAGAGCTATACCAAAGGGAAACGAGGAAATATCAATTTTGAAACTTTTTAAAAAAGAGCTCTTTTTGTATAATTCTCGTTTTATCGCTATATTTCTAGACTTTTCGTCCAAAAATGTCACAATACTAACATCAAATTCCTATACTGCAAGCCAGTCATAAGGTTTATTGGCCACAGCAAAAGTCTTGCCAGCAGAGAGCCACGTTTCCAACGAGTGAACAAATTTTTGACAAAGCAGTGTTCCCAGCTTTGAATCTCTAATGTCGACCCGAGTCATATAAGTTATATACCAAAAGCTGTGGTCTGGTACCCAATTATGGTTTGGTTAATTACTACCCCTGTGGTGATTGATATAGCGATAGCGCTTGATCAAATCTATAGAAGGAAATTGCAGTCATTGACTGTCTCTCATGAATGGATTCGTATGATGATATAGAACAGAGACAAAAGCAAAAGGTATCGTGAACAGATCAAGACGCTGTGGCCTCGAAGCAATGAATCAGTCGAAAGTAGAGCGTAGATAAGAATTGGTCATCACTCGTCAATCCAGCCTCGAGGCGTGCGTATGAATGTGATATACCAGTGGTTCGAAAAGGCAGACTTTCCACAACACAAACTCGATCTGTACAAACTATTGTAACATTTTCCGGTGGAGCTGAGCTTCGAGACCAAGGCCCAATATTGTGCCGCCAGTCCAGTCCCGTGGCAAGTTATGTGTCCCCTTCCTTATCCTATATCCCACCGAGGCCCGTGATCATACACACATCAATGGCTGAAAGTCAAGTCGTGAGAAAGGAATCGTCGATTGTCTCCCCGAATTGAGTATGGTAGCGTCGATCAGCGGCGTCGTTCGAACCAGGCAGATGAGCCCATGACAGCGACGGACTGATCCATCACCCATTCACCAACGCCGAGGTAGTTGTCAACCCATTTCTTGACATCCTTGTTCTCAGTGATCTTGTCTGAATTAACACTAGGGCTGCGAAGGTCCCACACGCACACGGCCCAACGGATTGGGACGCGCGGGGGTGACAAGAGTTAGCCCATAATTTCCCCCTGCATAGGTGGAGAACCCCAGGAAAAGCTCGGAAGAAGGGGATCGTGAGGGGCAGGTATATTTACGTGAGGCCAGTTGAGCGTTTGACACCTGCTAGAAAGGCGGAGACTGTGGAAGGCCTCAGTTAGTTTTTATTCTGCAGTGCAGTATATTATTTTGTAGAGTAACTCACAGAGAACCGCATCAAATGCGTAGTGAGTGAGGCGACCGAGCTAGATTGCACCGAGCATTCCGAATCAGTCATGCCATGCTCTATGCGCATGAGGTCTGGCAACCTCGGCTTTGCAGGATCCGCCAGCATATCTTACCATGATGAAGAGTATGAAGTGTCAGCACCGTAGATATTGAAGAGCTAGTAGTCACCAAAAGGCTTAAGAATCACAAGTGAGAAAGAAACGACCCAAGTCGTCTTGGGTACCGCCTTAAGAGTGGTCACGTGCAATTTCACATGACGTCTATCACTGGGGTGGCTGGAGGTGGGGCTGGTGCATTGGTACCTGACATAATCCACAATGTGGCTGGGGCTTCAGAACACCTGGGCAGCCCTGTCCACTAGTCCGATTTCGGCCTATCGATAAGCCGTTCGCATCCCACCGAAATCCCCTTTTGCACCTGGGGCCATGGGGCCATGGGGGCTCGATCAATTGGGCGGCTTTATTTGTCACGTTTATTCGATAAAAGGACTCCATTGTACAGCGCGAAGGCCAGAACGGGGCACTCCGCTTTTTTTGCGGTCAACCGGTCTGGAGTTGATGTATAATTTTTTTTCTGCCTTGACTACTGATGCCGCCTATGCCAACACATCCGGTTCTCAGTGCTCCGTATACAAAATGAAGAACAAAGGGTAGTAGACACGGAGGAAGGAAAAAAGTTAAACGTAGTTCAGTGAGCAGATAAGTTAGAGATTGATTGGGTTTAGATTATGTATGGTCCAATGTCAATAGTACAGAAATGTCTTGGGATGGCCGGAGATGCTACTCACACCGGCGGCCAACATTTTCCCTCCCGCCCCTCACCCATCCGTTTTCTCTTTCCCTCCACCTCTCACCCTTTCTCTTTTCCATCCATTCTGATTCTCAATTCAATCAGAAGCCTCCGGTCTTTTCTAAATCAATCCAACAATTGTTGACCATAACAAAATGGCGGCCACCAGCTCCCTCGACCACCTGACCAACCGTATGAAGCTGGAGTGGCACTCCAAGCTGAACACCGAGATGGTCCCTGCGAAGAACTTCCGTCGTACTTCTATCATTTGTACCATCGGTATGTCACACCAAAAATAAGAGGCCCCTTGAGGTCGAGTCTCCAAGAAAGATTGGAATGGAAAAAAGAGCTGGTTACTGACAGGCGATTCATCAGGTCCTAAGACGAACTCCGCAGAGAAGATCAATGCTCTCCGCACAGGTATGACAAGCATTTTGCGATGGAGATGAGTAGCCTTTTTTTGTGGCCGATAGGCTGACTTGGTCATAGTTGGTCTTAACGTTGTTCGCATGAACTTCTCCCACGGTTCATATGAGGTTTGTATCACCCATCAATGAGTGACAAAGGTGTCGCTGACTTGTCTCCAGTACCACCAATCTGTCATTGACAACGCTCGCGAGGCCGCCCGTACCCAGACTGGTCGCCCTCTCGCCATTGCTCTCGATACCAAGGGCCCCGAGATTAGAACTGGTAACACCGTTGATGATAAGGATATCCCTATCAAGGAAGGCACCGAGCTTAACATCACTACCGATGAGGCATATGCCCTTGCCAGTGATGATAAGAACATGTAAGATCATCCCCTTTGCTGAACGGCGTAGCTGGGCGTGCTTGGTTGTGACATGGACTGATAAGTGCGATGACAGGTATCTGGACTACAAGAACATCACCAAAGTGATTTCTCCTGGCAAGCTCATCTATGTCGATGACGGCATTCTGTCTTTCGAGGTGATTGAGGTGGTTGATGAGAAGACTCTTCGGGCCAAGTGTCTGAACAACGGTAACATCTCATCTCGCAAGGGTGTCAACCTGCCAGGCACTGATGTAGACCTCCCCGCTCTCTCGGAGAAGGATATTGCCGATCTGCGGTTCGGTGTCGAGAACAAGGTCGATATGATCTTCGCCTCATTTATCCGTCGCGGCAGCGACATCAAGCACATCCGTTCCATTCTCGGCGAGGATGGCAAGGAGATCCAGATTATCGCTAAGATTGAGAACCAGCAGGGTGTCAACAACTTTGATGAGATTCTTCAGGAGACCGATGGTGTGATGGTCGCTCGTGGTGATCTTGGTATCGAGATCCCCGCCCCCAAGGTTTTCCTTGCCCAGAAGATGATGATCGCCAAGTGCAACATCAAGGGCAAGCCCGTCATTTGTGCCACTCAGATGCTGGAGTCCATGACATACAACCCCCGTCCCACTCGTGCTGAGGTGTCCGATGTTGCCAATGCCGTCCTCGACGGTGCCGACTGTGTCATGTTGTCTGGTGAGACTGCCAAGGGTAACTACCCTTGTGAGGCCGTTAAGATGATGTCCGAGACTTGCTTGCTGGCCGAGGTTGCCATTCCTCACTTCAATGTCTTTGACGAGCTGCGCAACCTTGCTCCTCGTCCCACTGACACCTCCGAGTCCATTGCCATGGCCGCTGTTAGCGCCAGTCTGGAGCTGAACGCCGGTGCCATTGTCGTTCTGACCACCAGGTATGTGTCGCGGCGGTTTGTTGTCGTCCAATTGAGGATCATGCTGATAAATGTATAGTGGAAAAACTGCCCGTCTTCTGTCGAAGTACCGTCCCGTGTGCCCCATCCTGATGGTCACTCGCAACGAGACTGCTGCTCGCGTAAGTTCAATTCGATCTGCCCAGTATCGATCTTTGCTGACATGGAATTTCAGTACTCCCACCTGTACCGCGGTGTGTGGCCGTTCTACTTCCCCGAGACCAAGCCTGACTTCAACGTCAAGATCTGGCAGGAGGATGTCGACCGTCGCCTCAAGTGGGGTATCAACCACGGTCTCAAGCTTGGTATCATCAACAAGGGTGACCCCATTGTCTGCGTCCAGGGATGGCGTGGTGGTATGGGCCACACCAACACTGTTCGTGTGGTGCCCGCCGATGAGAACCTCGGGTTGGCCATGGAGTAAGCTTCCTGGAGAATGACCACAAGGTAAGCTCTTGGTGAACAATCATCCAATGTGCTTTTTTGACCGCCGGTGTGCGGATGGGATACATACCTTTTTTTTGCTCTGTTCTCGCTTTTTTTCAAGCCCGGTTTGTTCTGCGCTGTGGTCTGGACCACAGTCTAGAAGGTTAATGCATTGCTCATGTAAATGAAACGAATTTAATGCTTTTGTCAATTCTGTGGTTTAGTGAAGTCTGGGAACCCAAGACTGAGTAAATCTGTAGCTGAAGGTTAGTATTCGAGTCCTTGGCTGTGGAATCAGTCTGTTCGGTCTGTCGCATCCTCCAGGGATCTCTGAATGTCACGGCATTAGACACTGGAACCTTGCATATGAATGCCGATTTATATGCAAGCGCGTTCGAACTCCATGCGCGACAGCAATCGAAAACCGCAATAAGTCTCTGAGAAGAAAATTGAGCAGAGAGAGTGAGAAAGAAAAACCAAAAGTCCAACGAAAACCAGATGCGGGGACCCGACACAGCTCCCCGACACCAAGGCCCCTGTCCCCGAGAAAACGACGATTCTCACCCGGGCACATGGAGGGTATTTTCTTCTTTTACGTCCCTTCAATGCAGAAACACGCCATTGTGGAGATTGTTCAGCCATCATTAATAAAGAATTCATGAATGCTGTTTCTATTAAAAAAAATTCAATCGAATTAATAATCGCGATGCAATGGCTGGACAAAATGCCCAGAATCTATCCCGTCCCCATCCCGGTTTCCGCCGACGGTTCCACTGTACATTGATGGCCTCGATTGGACCTGAAGATACAAAACCAGTACTTAGGAAGGTAGTATATACGACGTTATAGGTGTATACCTGCCAACTGAAGCCCAGTTTCAACAAGTAGGACAACGACGATATCTGGATATCGTGCATACTAGCCCCTGGCAGCATATACACCTGCGCAATCCTACGAAATCCCCAGGGCTAGATATACTACAAATCAAGCTAACATTTATCATTTACCACCTGAGTGCAATGCATCTCACATACAGAGGAAATAGCACATACCAGCGCATCTACTATGTATTGAAGCAGATTCGATTCGAGGTTTTCCGTCTAGCTTATTCAAATTCTAATCATGCTTGCCATCGAGTTTTGAGTAGTAGACCTTTCTACTTTGTTAGGGCTTGTTGGGCCAATGAAGCGTCCTTTCTAGCCATCGTGAACGCGAAGAAAAGAAGGCAAACAAGAAACAAAGTTATGATTAATGGTGAATCCAAGGTGAATCCAGCATAGCAAAATGGCAGGTGCTTTTAACGCACTATAGAGCATATATCTCTTAGTAATTCTAGAGCTCTCAGAACATCCTGGTATGCAGTTCGTTTATCATCAAGGTGTAGCATCAGAAGGATACAACCTCACGAGTACTTGAATGTGTACTGATACATTATCATATATGTAGCAGTAGGTACATCCATTGATGGGTAACCTCCGTCCACGTCTTAACATACACACTTCCGAGTATGTACATATTCGCCCACTGCCACTACGCATCCCGTCAAAATCATCCCACTTTCTCTTGTTTACTTCGTCTTATTTACATTATCGGTTATTCATTATACATAGTAACAAGTGCGTACAGCCAAAGCATCAGATGATGGTGTTGCAGATGGTGCACATCTATATCTTACGTATACATGACTTGTGCCCTAATTTCTCCATGTGCACCTGTAAATCCCTACGAGAACGTACTAACCGGCCCCTAAAATTTTATACCAAAATTACGGACCCTCGTAAGCGAGGGTCCGCCACCCAAACCGTACATCCCACCCAAACCGTACATTCTTCCTATATTTTACCTTAACTACCATTTTCTATATAATAATATAGGAAATTAATAGTTTAAAAATCATAGATAAATCAATTCACCATTTGACTATTAGTATACAAGATTATATCAATTTCCCTTGCGTTTTTGTGCTCGCCTATGCTTCCTGATTTCGATCAACACCTTCTTCCACTTCCGCCTCGTTTTATCTTGATCAGCTTTCTCAGTTAATTTGAACTCTTTTCGCTTCATCTCTTTGACTTAGGATGAGTTGATGATGCTAGTTATCTAGGTATAGCGCCGAGAAGTATTATATCGGGCGTGGCGAGCACCTATAATAGCACTTGTTAAGTCGAATTCCCGCCGTAGTTCGTGAGCTAGTGTAGCTTATACTTTAGCACACTTTTGAAGCTTTTCTAGTGCCCTTTTAAACCTCTAACTCCCCGGATCTAATTAGTTAAGCTAGTCGCTTATCCTTCTTACTTTACTAGCAGTTTTTAGAGTGCTAAACTCGGAGTTTTAGGAGGTAGTTAAGGGTGTTCTCGACTAAGGGAGATTATCATTATATAGATTATAAGACTCTAACTTATCCGTAATAAGCTTAGAATTAATAGGCTAAAGGCTAGTTAATTTAAACCTAAGCTTAATTATATTCGGCTAGAAGGTTTTTCGTCTAATTTCTCTAATTAAGTATAAAAACTCGTCCTTTAAGAATTTACGGCATCTAGTTATTATAGTAGCTTCTATAGCCTTACTATACTAATATTTATATACACTAAATACCCCGACATTAAGAGGCTATAGTATATTACGACCCTCTACTAGGAGAGTGCCTCATAGGCTGGATCCCGCCTAGTCCTATGACCTAGAACCCGTGACCCAGTAGGGGTAGCATGACCCCCCGCTAGAGACCGCACTAAGGAGACTAAGTCCTACCGGGTTAGGTGACCTAGTCCCGTGACCCGCTAAAGGTTATCTATATAGAGACTACTAGGGGAACTTAGCTCTTTAGCGATTAGTTTACGAATATATTAGTACCCTACTATTCCTTTACTCTAGTTCTATATTACCTACTAGGACCCGCTAGTACGCCGGTCCTAATATTCTAATCGCTAAATCTTAATTAAACTAGACCGTTAGAATACGTAATATCGATAACTCGACGTACGAGCGACCGCCTAAGGGGAACCTTAGCCCTAATCGCGGAAACGAACGACGTCCCGGGACCCCTATAACCCCTACTAGAAGAGGTAGAGATATAGGGAGTCGACGATAACCCTTAGGGAGGAAACCCGCCGGATCCGATAACCCCGACTAAGGTAGACGAGAAGGCGGAACTCTAAGAGTTAGAGACCCTTAAAAGATATCTAGCTCTAGTAAAGGAGAAAAATAGGATCCGCGCGGAGCTATAGGACGAAGAAGAAAATATAATAATCCTATAGGCGAGAATATAAAGATCTAGGATTTATCGGGGTTCGCTAGGTAGTATTATTAGCTAAATTACTTACTAACTATCTAATACTATCTATATAAACTCGATTATATTATAAGGAAGTATTAGAGGCTACCTATTCTATTAGAAGGAAGTAAGGGAACTATATATACCTTATAATATAATAACGTATAGAGCTAAGAGTTCGGGTAAATATAATCTCTTTAAGTTAAACTAGGAAGCTTTCTAGAATAGATACCCTAACTAGTTCGCTAGCGACGTATATAAAGTAAACTAAGTAACCGAGTTCTTAGCGCTAAAGGTTAATATAATATAGATAGAATACTATAAGAATAATCTAGGTATAACGTTTACCTAGTCGGTCTTCGAAATATAGATACTTACTTAGGTTACTAATCTTATTAAGATATAGCGAGAAGCTAAATACGACTAATAGTAGATAATATAAGCTAAGTATTAGGATATATACTAATACGCCTTAAAGCTTACTAGACTCTATAACCGCTTAAAAGATACGCCGACTAGATAGATAAGAATCGACTATTTAGAGATAGGTATTATTAAAGAGGTATAAGACAAAGTAAGGAGGTTTATAGCCCCCGCTATAGATTAATAGGATAACTAAGTAGCCTTCTATAACTAAATTAAGAAAGTAATACTAAGTAGGATATTATATCTTAGAGAAGCTAGGAAGATAGCGCTAAGAAATACTATAGACTTATAAAGATCTAGTAGAAGACCTTTTAAGGGAAATAGCGCCTTCCCTATATAGTAAGTTACGATTACTACGGAGAGTAGAAAAGCTACTATAGGGTCTAAATAAGACTAGAGCGGAGATAGTAAATTTTATAACTTCTATAATAAGCTAGGCCACTATATAAAAGACTACCGTAAGAAAGCTATAGTAAACGCTATAGCCGCGGAAAAGTTAAAAAAATAGATAACTCTATATTATAGATTCCTATAGTATTAGGGATAGTTCTTCTCGGAGAATATAAGAGAGTATACTAAGTACTCGTTTATAATATACTAATATTAGACGTTAAGACTAAAGCCCTAATAGGGGTAGCTAAGACGCTAATAGATAGTAGCGTAATCTAGAGCTTTATAAGCTAGAAATAGATAAAAAAGAACTTAGAAGAGATATATATAATAAGTACCCGCTTAGTAGAAGCTATAAATAGGCGTAAGATCCTTTTATATAGAAGCTAAGAAGTATAGCTTAGTCTAATAGACCGGAATAGAACCTATAAAGTTATTAAAATAACCTACGAAGCTATAGATATAACAATCTATAATATAATTCTAGAAATAGATTAGCTTAGACTAGTAAATCCGGATATTAACTAGGTAATTAGTAAGTAGGTATATAGAAATATAACCCCGCTAGAGGTTAAAACCCTCCCGCTAGAAGACTTTAAAGAAGAAGTAAGACTATAAGATATACTTAGAGAGCTATACTTAGATATCGATAAGGTTACTAGGGAGTTTATAGTAATATTAGAGATAATATAAAGCTTAAATAGGATCTCTTATTTAGTATAACCTCTAACTAAACTCCCGCTAGAATACTAAAATCTAGTTATTATAGTAAGTAAAGAAAGTATTATAGTCCTTTTAACCTATATAGAGTATAATTATATAATCGAGCTAATACTAGGTAAGATACCCCCTTAGAGGCTAGTATATATATTATCCGCTAAGGAGTTAGAAGTCCTCCGCTAATATATTAAGAAGAACCTCGAAAAAGGCTAGATCCGATACTTAAAGAGTTAATCGGGTATACCTATCCTCTTTATACCGAAGAAAGATAGTAAGCTTAGACTCTACGTAGACTATAGAGGATTAAACGCGATTACTATTAAGAACCGCTACTCTCTACTACTAATTAATAAGTCCTTAGTAAGATTATTAGGAGTATAGATCTATATTAAACTAGATCTATAAGATACTTACTATAGGATCTATATAAAATAGGGAGATAAGTAGAAAATAGCGTTTAGATACCGCTATAGATATTTCGAATATATAGTAATACTATTTAGACTCGCGAATACTCCCGCTACCTTTTAGGCGTACGTTAATAGAGCCTTAGTAGGACTTATTAACGTCTACTTAGTAGTATATCTTAATAATATACTAATCTTCTCGAAGGATAAGAAGACCTATATATATTACGTCCGAGAAGTACTAGAACGCCTAATTAAGTAGAGGTTATTTATTAAACCTAGTAAATATATATTCTATATAGAGAGGGTCGACTTCTTAGGTTTTATCGTCTCCCGCTATAGAGTTACTATAGACCTTACCTAAGTAGAAATAATAAGCTAGTAGCTAAAGCTAATCTATATCTTTAACGTATAGTAGTTTATAGGCTTCGCTAACTTCTATTAACGTTTTATTAGGAAATAGTTAATAATTAGCGCCCCCTTTAACGATCTAATTAAGGGGCTAGACGTATAAAAGAAGGGAAGAAATAAGCGCTAGGAAGGGTTTATCTTTATAGAAAAAGCGCGAGAAGCTTTTAAAAGGACTAAGACCGCTTTCTAGACTACGCTAATACTTATATACTTTAACGCTATATTAAAAACTATAATAGAAACGGATATATTAGGAGCCGCTATCTATATAATTATATTATAGCTTTATAAAGATAGATATTAGTACCCTATTATCTTTTACTTCTAGAAGATACTAGTAGTAAAGAGAAATTACTAGGTCGGTAACTAAGAAATACTAGTAATCTTTATAGGGTTTAAGGAATAGCGCTACTTCCTTAAAGGAAATAAGTACCCGATTATAATAATAACGGATTATACTAATCTTATTTAATTTATAACGACTAAGGAGCTTATAAGATACTAGGTACGCTAGGTAGAATACCTTATAGGTTTTAACTTCGTTATTATATTCCGCCTAAGGAAAACGAACCCTATAGATACTCCTAGTAGACGACCTAACTATATAATAGACGAGCTATTAGATACTATAAGTTATAATATCTTTATATAGAGACTTAAGGAGACTATCGGTAAAGGCGCTAGTTACTAAAGAGATCTATAGAGTACGATATACCTAGACGCTATAATAACTATAGTATATATAGAGATCCCTACTAAGCCCGTAATAAATAGACTACTAAGTTAAAAGGAGGTACGCGAAGTAGCTAAAGGAGAAACTATATATATCTATAAGCCGCTAGAAACTATAGTAGAACTTATACTTAAGATATAGGCGAAGAATAAGTTCTATAGGAATATACTTAGAAGGGTATAGGAAACCGGCGACTTTAAATAACCCCTAAAGATATAATAGAGTATAAGAAGCTAGGATAGACTACTAAGATATAATAACTACGTCTATATTTCTAAAGGTAAACCCGTAATCTACTAAGAAATTATAAAGATCTACTATAACGATCTATAAGTAGACTATTATATAAGAAAAAGAACGCTATAGGCTATTAGATATAAATATTAGTAGAAAACCTTTATTAAGGATATATAGGACTATATTCTTATATACTAGATTTACTAATCTAATACTATTAAACGCTATAAACTATATAGACTACTCGAACTACTACTAGTACTAAAGAGACTAGACTAGTAGATAAGCGTAGACTTTATTATAGGCCTACTATCCTTAAAATAGAAGGGGAAGGCCTATAACGTAATTATAGTTATAGTCGATCTATTCTTAAAATATTCCCTCTATATTTCCTATACTAAAGACGTAGACTCGCTAGAACTCGTAATCTTATTTTACGAAAAGGTTATACCCTTATAGGGAATACTAGAAAATCTCGTTAGTAATAGAGGTACTATCTTTATATTAAAATTCTAGAGCTATTTCTACTATCTCCTCACTATAAAACGTAGACTATTAATAGCTTATTACCTATAAACTAATAGGTAGATAGAGAGATAAAACTAAAGTATTAAGTATTACCTACGTAATATAGTAAGCTAGTACTAAGATAACTAGATAAGATAGATTCCCTTTATATAGATTATCTATAATACTACTATCTATAGCGTACTAAAAATATCCCTAGCCGAAGTACTACTAGGATTCTAACCGGAACTAAGAATATTAGTACTAGATAGAAAGATAGAAACCTACGATAATACCGAAAGCTATATAGAGAAAATACTAAAGATATAAAAAATACTAAGAAAGCGCCTAGAAGAGTTAAAAACTATAATAAAGCGAGCCTATAATAGGAAATATATAGAGAAGTCTTTCGTAATCGGATAATAAGTTATACTAAGAAATAAGTATATTAACTTAGAACGACTATATAAAAAGCTAGATAACCGCTATATAGGACCTTTTACGATAGTAGATACGGTAGGATAATAGGTATATTAGCTAATCCTTATACTAAGATACTATAAGATCTATCTTATATAATATACTTTAATACTAGAGCTATACTATAGAGATCCGCTAAAAGCTTAAGAGTGGTCTAATCTTATATTAGTAGATAACTAACCTAAATAGGAGATCGAGGAGATCCTTACCGATAACTATAAGGGCGCTAAATACCTTATTAAATAGAGAGGATATAGATATAAGGAAAATACTTAGGAGCCGAGAGAAGACGTAGAAGATATACTAATATTCGAGAGCTACTATAATAAGAAGAAAGAATAGCTAGAGTATATAATACGCCGAGGAAGATCTATAAAGAAGAAGTTAATATAATCTAGGATCTACTACTAGATATATTCTAGGAAGGTTAGAAGGACCGGAGTAGACTTAAGAACGCTGAATCTAATAGCTAACTACCGAACGGACCTCTAGAAAATAACTAGCTACGTTAGTATATACTATAGATAGATTAGGGGAGGATCTAGAATACTAGTAAAAATAAAGAGCGGACGAAAAATATCCTAAAGAGACTATAGATATATAATAAGGATATATAAGAGTTTATCGCCGAAAAATAGGATAAAAAGTAATATAGCTAATACTCTCTAAGAGTATAACGTAATAACTACCTATATTAGACGAGTAACCTCTAAGATACGCCTATATCCTTACCGCTATATATATAACCTAGTCTAAGAAGGCGCCTAAAGCTAATCTATAACCTAACTTATTAATAAAACCTATATTAAAAGGGGCGGAGGGGGTAAGGGAGGTAGAGAGGGCGTAGCGTAAAGAGGACTAAAAGGCGTAACTATATCTATATAGATATCTTAAGTTAAAGTATTCCGCGTACTTTAAAACCCTTATATAATCGTAAGGAACGATATATTCTATATAGGGGTAGTATAGGGCGCTAAGATATAAGTATTAGCTTAAGCGTTAAGCTTAGAATCGATCTAAGGAACGTTAATAACCGCTAATATAAGCGGAGGTCTATACTTACTATTATATAAGACTACCGCTTCCTTATATAATAGTTATACCGAGGAGTATTAATATTAATCCCGCTAGGCGGAGGGATATATATATACTCCGGGTTATATCTAAGACGGTCTATATAACGCCGATACTACGTATTTATAGAGTTAGTAGGGGAGACGATAGCCGGAGGGGCGTAATTATTAATAGAGGTATACGTCGTACTCGCGACCGGAGGAAAAGAAGCTACTATAATAAGTTAAAATGACCTATAATAAGAAAAGCGAGATAACGAAAAGCTATAAGAAGAAAAGCGAAGCGATAAAAAGCTATAAGAAGAAAAAGCGAAAGGACGAGGAAGTGTAGAAAGAAGAAAGCTATAACTCGAAGAGAGATAAGTGAAAAATATATAAAGAACTTAGATTATACGCGACGAAGAGAGATAACGCTTAAAGCTCCGAGTCTATCTATACCTTCCACTATAAAGATAAATTACCCTCTTTTAGATAGCTAGATATATATACTATTTTCAAACCCTCCCTATCTCGACTATAAGAGACCCTCGACCCCCGACCCTTAGCTACGAGGACGTAGCTCTTTAAGGAGGGGGAAAATATTACGACCCTCTACTAGGAGAGTGCCTTATAGGCTAGATCCCGCCTAGTCCTATAACCTAGAACCCGTAACCTAGTAGGGGTAGTATAACCCCCCGCTAGAGACCGCACTAAGGAGACTAAGTCCTACCGGGTTAGGTGACCTAGTCCCGTGACCCGCTAAAGGTTATCTATACAGAGACTACTAAGGGAACTTAGCTCTTTAGCGATTAGTTTACGAATATACTAGCACCCTACTATTCCTTCACTCTAGTTCTATATTACCTACTAGGACCCGCCAGCACGCCGGTCCTAATATAGTATATAACTAGTATACGAGAGTAAGAAGAATAAAATAATATTATTCTTCTCACAAAATTTAATAAATTAGCGTGTTAAATACGACCTAAAACGGTTATATAAAACGAGTCTTTTCCTTCTAATTATTCGACTAATTATCTATTTATAGAAGAGTTAGATCTACTAATATACTAGAGTATTATTAATATATCCGGTATTAGTTATAGAAATATACTTATCACCTTTAATAGTATTAAACTAGTATAGTAAAGCCTACCGAGTACTTAGAATTATAAGTAGTAGATAGGTAAAACCATTAGTAGAAACTACCTCTAAAATAGTAATAGATTCACGATTAGTAATAGATCTATTAAATAGCTTCTTTTTTAGATGCCTAGTAATAATAAATTAATTACGTCCGACACTAATTTAAAAGCTAGTTTCGTCGAAATTATAGATATCTTATTAGCATATACTATATTTAGATATAACGCGCTAATAATTATTAAACTATCTCTTAACCATAGTTTTATTAAGTGTAGTAGCTCGCTTAACATTAAGAGCTCGCCGTCGTTATATATAGTACTTAGGATTACGTTTAAGAAAGCGTTATAGCTAGTGGTCACTAATTGTTAGAGGTGCTATAGTTTTATTATAATAGTCTTCTTCGAGAATTGAATTGGCTACTATAGCAATTTGACGGCGGTTTATCGAGGCTCCGACCGTATCAAAGTAGTCGATATAGTCCCGTAAAGCTTGCTCCTATATAGGATTAAGCTTCCGACTATTGGGTTGTCGTTAAAAAAGCGACTTTCCTCCTTTCTAGCGGTGTCGTAGTCGGTTCATAGGAACCGCGAATTCTCGCGCAGTTTTCGCGATATTGGGTTTGGACTGCTTAGAGAGAGACTCGAGAGCTTTGAGAAGCTGATCCTCTATCTCCTTATTGTTTTTAGGCATTTTTGGTGGTATGGTTTATGATCAAAGTGAGAGGGTAGGATATGGAAAGAATGTACGGTTTGGGTGGGATGTACGGTTTGGGTGGCGGACCCTCGCTTGCGAGGGTCCGTAATTTTGGTATAAAATTTTAGGGGCCGGTTACTTGGCCACTTGGTCAATTGACCAACTTAGGTCTTTTTCTGTAAAAAGGAATTAATATAGAAATTCCCAAGTGCAAGATCAGCAAGCTTAGTGGTACCTCCGCGTACACACGGACAACCAGGAAGAAACCAGCAATGATCGAGAACAAAACACAACTTTGTTATTCGACAGAGCAGATGAACCATACTGCTTTTTCGTCTCGGAACAAAAAAATGAAATTGGCAAAAAAGAAATCTTGAGGTTTGTTTTTAGGAATAGCCGAACGCGGGGGTCGAACCCGCAGCCTTAAGATTAAGAGTCTTACGCTCTACCGATTGAGCTAGCCCGGCCGGGCTGTTGAAGACCGGAGCCCACTAATGCTAAATAAGGGGAAACGAGAATAATAAAAGGATTATCTTGTCGGAGGTGATAAATTAGTGTACTCCAAAGTTGAAAAGCAGAAAAAGAACTCGGAGAGAAATTTCCGAATGTGGGTAATTGATACATACCTGTTATTATTCAAGTTATATTGATCTGAGCAACTAACAGTTATTTACGTACAGAGAATGATCAAATAGCCACTAAGTACGGAGTACTCCATACCTAGGTGGAAATTCACAGATGGATAGAGGATATGTACATTCAGACTTGGTGGTATTTATGTATATCGGATGGGGACGGGCCACGGTGGGGGGAGATCAGCATGGATCAACGAGGGCACGCCTTGCGATGTGCGCCGTATGCCATGATTTTGCACGGGTAAAGAATTGGCGTGATATATATCTAACGGCAACGGTTACCCTAACTTCCTCGTATCATGCCCACAACATCCGAGTTCCAACCCTATCGACATGATTATAACTCGGCATGTATAGACCAATCTAGCCTAAAATCAATCATAAATCAATACCACGAGACTTTTCGGTTCTGTGCTTGAGCCCTATGCTCTATACCGGCACGCTTAGCGGATGGTTATTTGTTGATATTATACTAACGATTTCTAGAAAGCGAGCTAGGTATGGAGAAGGTTGGCGAGGCCGAGGAAGCTTGTATTGCGCCTAAAATCTCTTCGATGACCCGTAATGCCGTTTCACAAGAAATAGTAGACCAAACTGATACGTCCCTTGGAAAGGACCCATGCAGCAAGCAGACATATTGCATTTTATTCAATCAAAGCAGGAAATCAAACCGAACACGAATTTTACTCGTCAACTTCAAGTATGGGAGAATGAAGATAGGACCACCCCGAAAACAGCATACAAAGCATTTCTTGAATATCGGAATGTTCTTCTCCGAAAAAGAGGGCTCACCGGAAACGAGCCACTTGCACCCCAGAACCTCTAATAACGAGTTGCTTCGTATTGCACAGCTCCCAGTCTCATAGAGATCTCACAGCCTCCTTCTTTCAAGCGTTGTTTCTATTCTGTGTTTATTGTCGAGCATATTCATGCGAAAGTAACACATCCATGCTGATTTCTGGTGCTCGGAAAAGGCAAATTGAAACAACCCCCTTTCGTAGGCTTATCATGGCAATCTGGAGCTATGCAGCATGTAAGTAGCTTATGATGAGGTAGCCCAGATACGTACTGTCAGAATTTGAGTCTGCAGGTTCGGTTGTATACAGGCAAGAACCGTCAGGCCTGGTTAAAAAAAGAAACATAGTCTAACTCCACTTAGTCGATTACCACTTACTCGATAGAAGGGCACGCATGGATTCCCAGGTCTCGGGTGTTTCCACGTGTGGGCCCTGTCAAACCCCAGTTACCCGCCTGAAACCCCTGTCTTTTCCGTTCTTTTCTTTTTTTTAAAAAAAGGAAGAATTCATTTTAATTCAACGAGTCTATGTGTTTATTCTAATATTCTAGCCTGTCTTCTCCCATCTATGGCAATTCGCACTCGATGAGACTCTCGACTCCCCTCTGGGCGGACCAGATCTTCGTGATCTTCAGACCCGCAGATTCGACCAGGCGGTGCCAGTGAGCTTCAGTTCGCTCGGCCGAAGCGAAATCGGCCATCATGATAATATCCAGACTAGTGGTTTCCCAGTAAGCGTTGGTATCGGGGATGACGTTCTCGTTGATGAAGATCTTGCTGTGTCCGCGCTTCATGGCAGCCACGAGACCCTTCAGGATCTTGCGGCAGTTATCGTCTGTCCAATCGTGGAGGACAGAGTGCATATAATAAGCACGAGCACCTGTGGAAGAATGTGTTAGCTTTGATCTGAGATGAAAGAGGGCAACCCAAGGGAAACCTCACCCTTGACAGGCTGCTCAGTGAAGAAGTCATGCTCCATGGTCTCGATCGAGGAGTGCAGTTGCATAGTCTTGGCCTGGGCAATCACCTCGGGGAGATCCTGGAGCACAAGGCGACCCGGAGCATCGGCCCACTTGAGTTTGAATTCTGAGAGGTCGTGACCCATGCTGCCACCAACATCGACGAGGAGCACATCATCCTCTGCAACGTTGGGGAACATGCTCGGCACATCATAGAAGCCAATGTCCATCCAGCTGGGACGCCCCTGGTGGTAGGCAGACATGTGATTGTTGAACTGGCCAGCAACCTCTGGGTTCTCCTTCATATATTCGAAGAAGTGGAGGTCTGTTCTGAATCCGCGCTGGAAGCCACACTCCCTACCGTTGGATGGATTGGCATAACCATCCTTCTTCAGTTGGGCAGGCAGAGCAAGCACACCGGAGGTAATGCAGTTGGTCCTGGTTGATGGGTAAGCATTGTGTCTTTATCCAAAGGCTTGGGTCCGCGGATAAAAGACATACATGCAGGGGTATGCATCGTTGTATCGTTTCATGGACAAAGAAATGGAAAGTCCAGTGCGGCGATATTCATTAGGACCGGTCTCGAGGATAACGCCCATTGCGCATAAGTGCTTCAAGATACGAGCTGATTGGATACATTGTTAGACAGATATACTGACAAAGCACCGGAGTGAGTGGCAGGTTACATACCAAGCATGACTGCATCAGCACCTGTGGCGCTTGCCAGATTAGTGGCAGTCTTGGGCTTCTCATCCTTAGACAAAACGGCGAAAACCCCCAGATCAACTGCGGTCTCGAGAGCAGCATAAAGAGTAGATTGGGACCAACAGTATCTGATCATAGCCTCCCGCGGGGTCTCAAGTGCATAGACCAGGGATCGAGCGGCTTCCAAGAGGGTCGAACGATCCTTGTGGTCTTGCAGGTTGGCGACTTTACCGAGGGAAGCAACTTCATCGACCAGACCAGGGACTAGCTCAGGTGTATTGGCAGAGATTGCTACCGTGCCGTCCACGAAGGCTTCGAATACCTCACCGCTGGGACGAGGCGTTTCATTCAAAGTAGGGGTTGAGATCTCGGCCATTGTGGATATAATATAAAAAGAAATGCTTGAAAATGCAGAGAAACTGGCAGGGTTGCGATATAAGCCAAAAGTACTCGCTAGGCCTTTAAATAAACTACTTTCGCTATCCCCTTTTCTGAAAGATAGCCTATCATCCTTGTCTCCTTTCCTTCAGACACAGCCATACCCCCTGGGCAACAGTTGGATGACTGCAGGCGGGTCCACTATCATGGAGACCAACCGTTGTTCTATCCCCTGAGCCCCGTGGGGTCTTTGTTGGGAGATTTTGGGGGCCGGGGGGTGGGGATAAGGCGGTTCAACTGCATTCCCGTTCGGGCAATAACCTTGTCGATTGCTCAAACGTTCAAACCTAGCTAGCATGTATGGTAAAGGAGAACCAATAAATCTTACTCCGTGATGTTCATGCTCTCTCTGTTCGAGTTCGGTGCAGTTCACTCGTGATCAATAGTCCGTAATATAGGAGATAGATCAATATCTGGACTGCGCCAGTCGTTTTTATAGGGTGTTAATCCAGCAAACCCCCCTTGGGTCCTCAAATCCCCCTGCCTGATTTCTGCCTGATAAAATGACAGACTTTTTCTGCCAGGTAGTTCCAAATCCTAGTTTACATAGCAAAAAATACACCTTTTATCTCAGAAAAACGCGCTTATTTCTGCATAAACAATGCCTGCTAGCCATACTCCGTACATGATTATGATTGACTTATCAATTTCGCTTCTTGCCTTGCTTACCCCCAGCAGCTCCCCGTTTCTTGCCTACATCTGTACCCCTAATATCACTAGCAGGATCCTCATCCTCGTTATCATCCACGATTGCACGAGAGGCATTCCGCTTCGGCGCACGACGTACCCCTTCGGCAGTAGCTGCATCTTGATTATAAAAAGTGGAGATGAGACGGCGCATAAAGGATAGAAGGAGAGAGAAGAAGGCTGCTACTAGGTGAAGGTGAGGATTGCTAATTACCGCATTCTTTGCAAATCAAAATCCATTTCCATTTTGGGTAATTTGATGCCTGAATGTTCAGGCATCCACACAAGAGGTTTAAGTGATTTTGGCACGAAGGCGGAGAGAAAGGCGGCCAGGGAGGTTCTTGAGTTTTTGGGAATTATTTTGTCAGGCACCAAGCAGGCACCAAGCAGGCAGGGGGGTTTTAGGACGCTGTGGGGGCGGAGGGGGGCGGTGGGGGGTTGCTGGATTAACACCCTTTTTATATACCCACCATCTTTCTCTAACGTTTATCATTAGGCGCTCTGGATGGATGATGTAATTTAATTGAGAGTCCATTCTTGAGAACATCCTATGATGAACCGGGGGGACTCGGGAAATGCTACCATTCTGCCTCCAGTACTCCGTAATTAAGCAACAATATCGAGCGGAACAAGATGTGGGTAACACGGCTGAGAAGGGGAGGATTAGGTAGATTAAAGCCCACATGAAATCCCGCGAAATGAAGTTGATAACGGGACGGGAGCGTATTCTGCATTCAACGGTGTATGGAGTGCTCCGTATTCCGTATGTTGTACGTACTTCGTACTTTTGTCAAGCCCAATTTGGGTAGTGAAGATGCTGCTCAATTGGCACATGGCGAAAAGCAAATGATGCGCCTCACATGAGGCTAGCTTAGCGGGACTATTAGGTAGATTCCGCAGTTTCGGTTTCTGGTATCCCAGGATGTCCATAATTAGATATCACGATCACCATTCGAGTCCGTACTTCGCTAGTATCTTGATCGTATCCGATTAGTCTGTTACCAGCCCTGGAGGTGTATACTGCTTACTCCATACGGAGTACTTCGTTGTTGTCCGTTCACGGATGGTCCAGAGTAGGAGGTAGCACCTACCCGATTGGGAACTAGATCCGCTTACCTAAGGGATCGTCACCCACGGGTGGCTTCCACGGGTTCCAAGGTTCTCGCACGTTTAGTGTCACTCTACTTCGGCGTGCAGGGGTTGCCCCTATGCTATACTCCGTACTCTGTATACTCCATACTCTGTATACTCCGTACAACAAATCTCCCAACTGTCAAAGGTGGATCATGCAATTCTCGGAAATTAACTCCCGAGTAAAGGGCCGAGGGCTCGCGATAGCCATCGCCGTTTGCCAAAATAGTGCGATCGTCGCAGTAGAAAACTCGAAGGATTCCTTCTAACGGACTTTCGAGGAATAGCTGGGAATGGTACTCCGTACATGAAATCAGGTTGATCCTAAAATTTTGTCTCAATCTTATGTACTAGTGTCAAATTTGAAGCCTTTTGGTCTCTCACAAGAATATTCATATAAATTAATGGGAACGCTCTTCCTTACTGTCCTCACTGCCTCAAGCTTGACATCATGGTGGTCACCTCGGAAAATTTGCACGATGACAAGGGCCCCAAGATTCTGGCTGTCATCTGGACCTTGACTGGACTGACAGCGCTCATGGTGATAGCTAGAGTCTACATCAGAGTCTTTATGTTACGAAATTTTGGCGTTGATGATTATCTGATTGTGGCTTCGATGGTAAGCAAGCTGAAGCTCCATCTTTTATCTTCTCCTTTGATCCTAATGGAACCTTGTACTAGATATCGGGAATAGCATATTGTGCCATCACCACAGTCGGCGTAAATACAGGCTTTGGAAAACACGCCATGTATTTGGCCTCGGACGATTTGGAGTTGGCTATACTACTCAACCTAGTTAGCTTCGTATTTGGGATTGTCTCCTTCACTCTCCCCAAGCTGGCTGTGACGGCTATGTTAAACCGGATCTTGAATCCTAGCGCACTGAAAAAGGCTATATTATGGGCAATGACTGGGACCGCTGCTGTCGTGTCCATTATCTGCATACTCATCTTGTTCACCATGTGCGATCCACCGGCAGCACTGTGGAAGGCCTCATTGGTAGCGACAGCCACCTGCAAGGACACCGAAATTCTCATCGACTATGCGATCTTCACTGGAGGTAGGTCTTTCTCTTTTCAGCTATCTGCACCTTTTCGCAATTAACCCGGAATTTCAGCTGTCTCGGCCGTTATCGATCTAGCCCTGGCATTTTATCCGATTTCCACCCTGCTAAAACTCCAAATGTCTCTACGAAAGAGACTAGCACTTTGCGCTGCTCTGGGACTTGGTTCAATGTAAGCCGACCCTCTATCTTCTCCATCTTAAGGCGGTACAGAAACTGACTGGAGATCAAGTGCCTCTGCAATGGCAATTGTCAAATGTACCCAGCTGCATGGACTTGCCGACAAAGCTGATTATACCTGTGAGTTGCTTGTATCCTATCCTCTCTCCAGCCCTGTGATCGAAAGCTGATCTAAGAACAGATGGAACTGCCGATCTTGTCATGTGGACCAAGTAAGCATCTAACTATTCCAAGGTTGCCCACGTACCTCCGATACTTTCTGTTCTGATTTCTAACCTCTTGTTCTCCGTATAGCATTGAGGCCGACGTCGTCGTTATAGCATCATGCATCCCTACCTTGCAACCGCTCCTCGAGATCATCATGGGCAAGCGAGCTCTAGGCTCCTACAGCCAAGGAAAGGGCGACAACTACAAAAGCAGCAGCAACTTCCCTTCCTCGTTCAGCCGCGCCAAACAATCCAACACAAACGGAAAAGACGATCTCGGCTTCACCAACATCGACGGCCAAGAGAGTCAAGAAAGCATTCTTCCCGTCGACGAACGAGGAAATAATAATGTCCACCACATGGGCCAGATTCACCGCACAGATGATGTGACGGTATCATACGAATCATCTCCCAAGGCTGCCGGCCAAGCTTATCCAGGAGCCTGGTAGTGGGAAAGAAGGGATTCCAGACATCCCAGATTCACTGGATCTACAAATATAATAAGAAACGCCATGGACAATCGAATGATCATCCACCAAGCTCTTCGCCTCGCCCAGTTATCGCAAATGTCTCTCATGAAAAGCATTTAGCCGAGGGCGTTGCACTTTTTGCACAACCTAGTGCTCACTGGTTGCACACAGCACACCTTTGACGGATTCGCTTTTGTTTCTGATATGTATATACTATTACTTACATTAAGCCTCTGCACTATCGTTTGTCTAGAAACACAGGTTTCCTCCACTTTTGTTTTGGTTGAATATAGATACCCATGTACCCACCTTTTGAGGGACGCGAGACTTTTTGAATACACAGAATTGGAAATGGCCTTAAAGATACGGTTTACGAGGCTCTGCTTTGAGTGGTCAAATTGCTTCATTTTTTTCGGTTTGTTGACTTTGATAATATGAGGTTAGCCGAGAGTTTCGATAACAAAATGAAAGACTTTTATGAGAACAGAGACTCATGATAATATTCGCAACAAATGAAAGCACCGCCTAGCACTACGCCTCGCCATGTAGTTTCGCTTGTAAACCGGATCTGTGCTAACAAGTAAATGGGCTTGAAAGAATCAAGTAGGTATGTTATGTACAATGAAGTGGTGCAGCGTTATCCCGAAAAAGAGTACATGCAAAGTTCGATGGAAAAAAAAGGCACCAGGGTCTAGCAGGGATGCATCATCAGGTCGTAAATCATTAAGAGTAACTTGAGCAATATCGGCTTGCCAAAATAAAGACTATCAACGAAGCTACTGGAAACCAGCATCTTCCACGAACTTGTTTCCATCGATAGTCTCAAGTTCAGCGGTCTGGTTCTCATGGCGGTACATTGCGTTTGGTTGGAATTGATGCCAGCAGCTAAGCCCATCAGTATTAATTCATAGACTCGGGAGATGATGGATCTCAACATACCTTGGAGCTTGGAGCACATATCTGGCCATAGCCTCACGGAAACGGCCCTTGTATTCCCTGGGACTTGTGACTGTCGGTCGATTGCGACCACCGCCACCAAACCCTTTGTCCTTAATCCAGGACTCAAGTTTCTTGTCCCAAGTGTATGTGCGGATACAGTCGATGATACCCACCACCAACTCGTTGCGTGGTTCATCAATGGCGATCATGAGTGAGTAGTCCATGACGTCCTGACGACCCAAAAAGAGTGTGTCATTCCACACACTTTGGCCAAGAAGCTTTTTGGAGTGTTCGCGCGCGAAGAGGGGTGTCTCGTAAATGAAATCCACCATGTTTTCATCCAAGAGAACCTCGTCTCGTTCGCCAGTGCTCTGGACTTTGCGGTTTCGCATCGAGCCTTTCAGGTCGAAAATGCGGGTAGGGACGCGATCGTAGAACAAGTTCTCCATGAGTAACAAGAACCAGTTGAACTCTGTTCCTGTGACTGGGTTCTTGATGATGACTTGATAAAAGCCGAACATCTTGGCAATTGCGGAAGGCAGTTCATGGAACAAAGCCTCGGACATGATTTGGAAATATGCGGGAGCAAATTTGAGGAAGGCCTGTGTCTCAATCGGCGAAAGCGATTTAAGAATGAACCGGTCGTCCAGGGTCTTCAGGAAAAGTGATTTTGTTTTGCCGCCCTTGGAGTCCCACTTGGCGCATCGAGACAATGACTCGACAATTCGATCTGCAACGCCACATTTCTGTCGCAAAGCATCAAATTGCTCGGCGTAGAACACTTTGCATAGCATCTTGGCTGGGCCTTCTTGGAATTGATACTTGAGATGTGTGCCTGTTGGTCGCAAGAGGGCATGTTCCACTCGTGCCTCATTCGTAGCTTCGATATCATTTGGCGAATCTGATTTTTCTTCTTGCGCTTCGTCAAAACACTGTTGAATGGTTGCAAGCTTTTCTTGGTAGTCAGAAGAATCTAAAGCGAAGGCAATTAAAGAGCTTGGTTCATCCTCGCGAACAATGATATTGCAATCAGCAAAGACGTGATCCATCACACTAAGAGGATAGTCAAGAGATTCCCATCCACTCGCAGAGCGTTCAGACCAGAAGTTTGTCAGCATTTTCAGAAGCGTGGTGCGCTCATGTTTGGGAAGCTCTTTGAAATCAATCGAATCGTCTTCTGTTGATTGTTTCGTCTCTTCATGGGAATCAACCGGATGGAGATCCTCAAGCATATTCCGATCCTCAACTATGTTTCGATCCTCATCACTATGGGGCTCATCGGCTTCGCCATCAGACAATACGTTGTCAGAGCGGAGGACGCTGTCTACATCCACAGGCTTTGGCAGTGACACATTTGGTAGAGAAGGCTCATCAGGAGTGACATGGCGGTTTACAAATTCCTCGCTCTTACGACTCTGGTCGTCCGTTGGAATTTGTGGAGCTGAGGGTAAAGACTCCTCGCTGTCCACAGGTGGTTCGCGTTCCTCAACAGCCTCTCGCACATTCTGATAGACCTCCACAATCGGCTTCGAGGACGCCAGTGGGAATGCTCGCGAATGTGTGCCCTTTTCAGCACGCTGACGCCTTTCACGTTGTCTTTCTTTTTCAAATTCACGACTCAGCTGCTCGAAATGCTTGGCAAGATTAGAAACCCGCGAGCTGCCCCTTTTGCCTGGAGTAGACCGAGGGATCAGCGAGTGACCCGAGGCAAATCGAGCACTTTTGAGGGAAGTCAAGCCTAAACGGTCGCTCAACTTCTTGTCCGACGACTTTGTTGATGATTGTCCTGCATTCTTTTCGGGGTCGATTGGATTGGTAAGGACCGTTTTCAAGCCTGGGACCGGTGAAGTGTTGGATGGCCGTGCTAGATTCGCTGGTTGAGACTGAGCACGCAGTAAAGGAGGTGAGCGCATCTTGCCTGTGCGTCGGAAAGCTGCCTCGGTAGGTCTCGGGATCGCCGAAGGTCGACGAACTGGAGTACTTGGCATATCAGGAATTTCACTCTCTTCAATTCCATTCTTGGTCACTTGTTCCGGACTCCCCGGAACTTGTGGCAGCGGTGGTATTTCCGAGGACCCATCACTGGCAATCATCTCAGACACATCTGAATTTGTTGGTTGAGTTGAAAGGCCAGCTGGATCGGCGAGATTGCATTCCGATTGGCTTGTTGGAACAGCCAAGTCAAGGTGGCGGACTTCGTCTTGTGAGACGGCCTCATCCTGAGGAGAGACCCTTGTTCCAGTTGATACATCGAGTCCCAAAGTTGCTTCCTCAGCGAATATTGGTGGCGAGGGCAGCTCCATTTCTTGGAGTTCTTCACGGTGCTTTTTACCAGCATGCTCCTCAACGACGGAGACTAATACGTTCTGCGCTTTTTCCGGCGAGAGTGTCATCCGTCGCCTCATTCGTGGCCTGTCGACTGCCTGATTGTTTTCATCTTCTGCATCTGGAGGGGTTTGAAGGGCATCCTCAGAAGAAACCGAAGTTGCATCTTTGTCCAGGAAAATCTTCTTGAGTTGTAAAGTGGCCATATGCTTGATATCCTTTTCAGATGGGAAAAAGTTCTTCTCAAACTCGGCGAATGTTGTATCCCATTCAACAACCTTTTCTTGAACGGCACGAAGAACCTCATTCAGCGGTGTTATCTCCCAGTAGCGAGAACTTGTGTATTTATCTTGTAAGTGCCGAACCAGATAGTTGTGGTCTTCATGGCCCTTCTTGACCAGAGACTCAATCTCCTCCTGGCAGCTCTCCAGCAGCTCAGGCACAACACTTTCGACATTGATACTCTTTAAACGGTTTTGAACTGATGCCATGAACTTGTTGAGACGTTGCTCGGTGCGCAAGTATACCTCATTCCTCAGCTTCAGGTCGTTGTCCACCTTCCATGTGACCCGGGGTCGTGGGACGATAATCTCCAGGAGACGGATTGGATCGTACTGGATTCGTAAAGCGACTTCCTTGTAGCCAAAATAGCGGAAATGATCCCGTTGCAAATCATGAGGACAGACTCCAGCGCGAGCACGCATGTTTCTGCCCCAGAAAGAGAGCTCCAAGTATTTTCCAAATGAATATTTCCATGTGCTCTTTGACATAGGTATGGGTTGGGTTTCATTGCCACAAATTTTGCAACAGCTCCACATTAACATGACATCGTGGAGCCCCAGGAGCTTAGGAGGACATGGTTGGATCAGGACGCTGATTTGAGCTTCGCCATGGACGTACTGGCGGTGGTGTTCGAACATGCGTTTCTCGCAGCCGTTGACAGTACATACAGAATTTGCCGAGAGACAAAGGTCCTCAACATACTGCCCAAGTGTGAGGTCTGACTCAAAGATTGTGTCATCTCCATGCTCATTGTAGAACTCTAGGGCGAAAATATCTGGCCCCGAGCAAGGAACTGATGTTGTTGTACACACAACACTGTAGAGAACAACCAAATTCTGATGTGTATAAGGGTCAAACAGGTTGGCGGTTCCTGCCACATAGGCTTCCCACTGACGTTTTTGGGTTTGATAGTGATAAAGTGCTCGATCGTACTCAGCATCATGAGCAGCACGCAGTACCTCTTTGACTTTTGCCGGGGCATCTTGCGGTGAATGCCGAACCATCTCTGGGGTAATGAGGATGAACTTTTGCGGTTTAGCCTTTTCATCGGTGACTTGGTCAGAGTTTCCATCTTGATCCCGACGAAATTTCAAGTACGCAAGTCTGCGTTCCATCGCTCGCGCACGCGTTAGGAGATATGGAGGTTCGAATTCCACGAATGGTGAGGCTGACAAAATCTTTGTCTGGTGATCATGAACCATACTATTATAATATGTCGGCATTGGAATGTTGTCTGGAATTTCTGCAGCATCAGCATCATCGAGGATTTGACTATCAGAGACAGCACCGAATTTCTCGTTCGTGTCTGTACGTAAGTCGCATGAATGTGCATTGCCTCCGTCCGTGATGATCTGCGAACTGCATTTCTTGTCTGCGTCGTTTATATCCGCTCTGTCCTCTCTTGGTGAGTTTGGTATCTGCACAAACTCATCTCGCATGACACACGTCTCCAATCGAAGATTATACACAACGTAGATCATGAACTCTGTGATCCTTTTCACTTTCCTGAGGACTTCATCGTCCCCACCGCGCAGGATAATAGTACACCCAAGCTCTTTGGGGCAGCCAGAGATATACATGTAGGTTTTCTTCCGACCACTATGCACATAGGTCTTCACGTCAAAACTGCTGCACTCACTATGCAATGTGATCATTAAGAGCTTGTCCATGGAAGTCACAATCCTGGTCTGCGTACATCTCGATACAGCCTCAAGGACAGACGGCTTCACATTGTATGCAGTCGCAATCCCAGCTTGTTCAAGGAGACCAAGCGCTAGACCAGAAACGGTTTTCTCGACCAGCAGCAGGTTTGGTCGCAATTCCGAGATTCGACTAACCAAATTTTCCAGAAACTCACGCTCTTGTCGAATCACAGGCTCGAGACTCATAAAATGTTGTTGTTGACGAGCATATTCAAGAGGAAAGGTGATGATCAAGATATTTGGGCGTAAAATGTTTCGTGACATACCCTTTAAAGCTAAGTTCTTGGTGAAGACAAGACCCGATACATAAGACGTGTCGCTAGGCCGGCCACCCGGGATTTTCTTCAATTTAACGTAGTGTCGAATGTCCATATCATCCCCACGTTGAACATTTGGATCAACTTCATCACCTGCTTTCAACAGTACTGGCATCAGTGCGTTTTCCCAACTGCGGCTGTTGGACACGGCTGATTCTAGAAGTAGTTGACGCAGTAGCTTTCGGACATGCTCTAGACTGGCTCTGTTTAGTTCAACTGGCGGCGCCTCATTGCCTCTCATTGATGAACTCCGAGTCATCTTGAACCCGGCCTGTTTTGAATTCGCGGATAATGAAATGATTGGCATCGGAGTGTCGTGAGGAAGCATGTTGTCCTTCGACGTCCGGGGCGAATGGCGCGGGTGCAAGCTGCTAGTAACGCTCAGGTTTCGACGACGAGAAAAACGGGGTAAGTTCACAGCCTTTGAACTGGTGATACTGGTCTCATCGGCTTCTCGATTCACATTAGGGATATTTCGGTCTCCAAAAGCCGATCTGCCCTTTTTCATGGCAGCGAGAAGACCCCCAAAAGATGCCCTTTCGCCGTCACCTCCACTCTTAGACAGAGCGCCCTCAGAGACTGCAGACAAGAGACTAGGCGGCTCGTCGCCACTCGAGGCATCATCCGAAAGATATTGAGCAAGATCCGGGTCAATGATATTATCTTTGTGGAAAGCAGGGAGACGGGATTCAGGGTCTATGTCATCTGCCTGTCGACGTTGGAAGGGAGCTCGATCCTCATGAGATGGTTTGAAGCCCCTTATATATTGTTGACGAGAATGATGGCGTTTGTGACCGATAGAGTGGGGCCTGACACCAAGGGATGACCGTAGAGAGCGCGAAGAAGTAGGTCGTGCTAAGGGGCGATCAGAGTCAATCTCAAGAACAGCTGAGCGGCGATTGTGCCCCTCCCCAGCCCGTCGTGTAGCTGGTATAGCCATTGTCGGGGTCCTCAAAACGTGATCGATCGATTGAGATACAACTGAGGATGAATCGTCCTCATCTGCAGAGGCCCGCGCAGTATTTCCCCAGCTGAGCTCACTAACCCGAGGATTGGGAACTATGGGGCTCTGCTCGCTATCGGAGAATTCGGATGAATCATCATCATGCGCATTGATCATTTTCTCACAGGGCTTGCAAACCCTAATACTCCCAGGTTGCCCAAAGCGTGTCCCCGAAATGATCAAAGTGCATTTTGAATCAAAGATTTGACCGCAGGTCCGACAGTGATGTTTTCTGCGAAAGGTGGTAAAAGACTCTCCGCAATTAAAGCAGTCTTTAGCATTTTCATCACGCATCCAGAAATCTTTGCTAAGCAATTTGCTTTTCAACTGCGAGAAGACACCGTCACCGCCAGCGGGGGGTCGGCGACTGGCTTGGAGGTATTGACTAGTAGTCGGATCAACTGTGGTGTTCAAGGGAGGCAACGAAGAGACTGTCGTAGTGGTTTCAGCCGTGGAAGCCCGTGACATGGCATAGCCAGGCAGTCGCCCTGCCCGGATTGAGGAAGTTGACTTGTCACTGGGCCTACCGGCGACTGTAGTTTTTGGAGGCTCATTGTTGGTAGTGCCACGAGGAATAGTTGTCATCATGTTAGTTTGGACTTTATCCGTATGGTATGGTATTTCATCATGAGTGGAGAGCTTTGATAGACTGTTGGACACAGAAACCGACGCCTTCGGCTCTTCGTAGGGGAGAGATGTCCGTGACATCGAAGTTTCCCCCCTGAGGCTGAGACATATGATCCTGGATTGGTTCAGTTTGTTTGGAGTTTCGCAATAGAGCTGAGTGAGACGTGCTTTCAGGCAGCTTTTGTTGATCTGGGGTAGAAATCGAAACCCGAGACTGATTATCTGGTGTATGGGTTGCTGAGAAGAATGGGTCTTTGGGATTGAAATCCTCATGTTGGCTGTCATGTACTTTTGCAGAGAGAACCGGCGAACTCGAAAGATTCTGATTCAACGAAGATGTTTGACTCATGGAAAGATCCACATGGCCTTCTTTACTGCCGATACTTATCGATTCTGCACTATGAATTCCTTGAAATGGGCCGCTAAGGGAGCCACTCCTTGAGTGCTCGGGGGTTCCAACTACATTCATGTGGAGTTGAGTGACTGCAGGGTCTGCCGTGATGGCACTACCGGTGGCCTTCGTCAACGGTGCGATATTAGGCTTCATTCCAGGGGATGGCGATACTGAGGTCTTGGAAGATATGCTTCCACTCTTGGAAGATATCCTAGACCTCTTTCCTGTGTGAGATTGTGTTACGATATCTTGATGAGAATGGAAGTTTGGCACAACGGGTGAGTGGAGCCTGGATCCTTGTGATGAGTTGGGCTGTGACGAGGGATAAACAGCAGAGCTTGTAGCCAGGTCCGGGACTGATTTCCCCATCGAAGATTCCGATGCAGGAGTGTTGACTGCAGGAGTTTCCGCTGTATTTTTTTCGGTGGACTTCCCACCACCGCTCACAATATCTCTCACTCCTCCGACGGAGGTCCTAAAGCGACTGTAAAGCCCGCTCAGACCTCCCTGTAGTTCCTCTGACAGTCCCTTCTCCTCGGATGTAGTGGCTGGATCAGGTGGACTAGTAAATTCGTTGAACAGAGTGAGGGACTCGGACTGATACGCTGCGTTGTGGTAATGATCCAGAGCTGCATTCATTGATTCCCGTTCGGCCTGCGTCGTGGCCGTAGAGTCGTATGAGCTGCGTCCCCCAAGAGGTAGGCCGTTGGGCTCCACAGAAGGACCCTGTGAGTCTTGAGACTGCTGAGACTCCATGGCTAAGTTGATAGAAAGCGCTCAAATCATCCCCGCACAGGATTTAGGCACCGTTTGTGGCCGGTCATTCGAGATGAAACTGCGGGGAGATGTCGAGTTTCTAAGACAGAAGAATATTGAGCTTGTGTGGAAATGTTAATACAATCGTATCAAAGAACCGTTAAAAAAGCGTAGGTCACCTTTGTCCTCCGCACTTCGAATGACGTGGTGATGCTGAGTAAGCTTGGCGCGTCTCCCGAGATTGCAATCGATAAGACGCGGTTGAGTGGTGGATTTTTGATGCGGTACGACCGCTTGTTTTCTACCATGTAGCTACGTTAAGAGCTACAAATATCTCACTGCTTTGATACTCTCTAGCTATGATCTGCATGCTTGTTGTCACGACAATCATAAGGCTGGATTCGCACAATGAATCCAGTAAGTCCATGGATCGCGGCATTGGCCGAGCAATGCCTGTCGTCCTACCTCGGTCAAACCGATCAAGATGAACTCCAGATTGAGGATATTGATGGATGCCTCTGCTTCAGTAACTGCAATCTCAAATTGAACACAGCTGTTGTGGTTTCGGTAAGATCCTTATAGCGCACAACACAAGAGTCGTCACTGACTGTGTATCTATGTCTATCAGTGGGTACAGGAGGACAACAATCATCGTGCTACATTTACAGACTCAAAGAATCAAATCGATGCAATAATTCCAGCCGAATCGCCAGATATACAAGAAGGAACCCTGCCTTGCCCACCGTCGATCAAAGGAGGTCCGAGGCATCTCATTGAACTTTTCGATATCAAGCTCGTTTTCACGTACTCAACAGCTTTTCCCGATGTCTATCTTCATGTCAATCGCTTTAAAATCCATCATAATGCAGTCGCAAAAGGAGACGTACCGAAACCAAAGCTCAGGAAGGCAGCGGGTCTCAAAAGCTTGATGACCATGGCATATCAAAAGAGTCAAAACAACCAAAATCATGTGGGATCAAAGAACCAAACAGACAAAACTTTGGCCGAGTTATTTGCTTCTCAGCATGATCTAGCAAATCGTTTTGAGCACACAGAGGCATCCCAATTACTCTTCTCTCAGTGCCCGTCCAATATGCAACATGGTCCACTGGAGGATAAGTCGCTGACCCATCGCGTTTCCATTGGCGAGTCATCGGAACTTCTGGGATTTCTCGCACCTTCTTGTCCAGTTCGCAATAACAAATTGACAATTAAAGAATCTCGAAAGAACCAAAGACTTTCTCCAGCTGAGGGTAATGGCAGTCGGTCTCCTGTGCCGGATGGGAGGACATTGCCATCACGACAAGAATCCGATAGATTTTCCGTACCAAATCAACCGTCATTTCGGAGATATGCCAGTATTACCGCGGATGCGACAGAAGCTAGTAACTCGGCTACCAATACTTGTTACGCCAAGCTCAATCAAGAGGTTGATGACTTCATAGCCGAGGTTGTGAGGCAAACCGTGCGCCCTTTGGACGATTTGAACGACCAGAGTCGGGTCCAGAAGGCTCGATATGTGGACAACCAACTGCCTTCAAAGAAACGATGCCGTGGGAGTACAGATGCGCCATTACAAACAACTAAGAGCGGTGACCTGGCTTCGCAAAGCCAGCCAAATCCAGAATATACAGCACCCTCTCATAAACGACAGCGTACTGATGCTGGAAACGCGATGCCAACGGACACAAGCGAAACCAAGGAAGTGCAAAGCGAGTCGGTGCCAGCACTCCCTGGAGTGCGGACCGTGAGCACCAAAGCAGACATTGTGTGCACACTCACAACGGACCCATGGGAAGGCATGACGTGTATACCTTTGAGCGAGATCGATATTCCAAAAGATCAAGCGGTACTTCTGGAAGGCCTGAAATGGATCCCACAAGACACCGGTGTATCTACCCCTCTTTGCCATGTGCCTCCTTTCCTTCTAATGCAATGGAACCACATTGCACGACGAACACAACATCTTGCGGAAGACGAAGAGCAAGTAACTGAACGTGGTCCCACCCCCACTCCGACTCCTCAAGATATCAATACATCAATCGTTGATTCCGATGATAACCAGGTGTCTGAAAATGAGTCTCCTGCTCGAGATGCTCTTCCAAGAGACACCATTTCCCCTCAAAGGCAGACCAGAACTATCAGGCCAACCCCCACGCCAAACAGCACTCAAGATCCCATCAGCGAAACTACAGGGAACGGCACTATTGACGTAGCGAAACAGACTACCAGTGCTGCTTCTAAGCCAAGACGAGAGAATAGCACCGTGTCAAAGGAGAAGCTCATACCGACACAACAATGTGCTCGTCCTCTTGAAAAAGTAGTGGAGAACGTGAAGGAGCTCGAGTCGCCGGACCAGGATCCCAAGGTCCCCCCATTCAGAGAGCAGGTCGCTTCAAGGTCGCTCGACCCTAACGGTGACCGACCTCTAAATCCAATGCAACAATGTCCGCAAAACGAATTACCTGCGGAAAGTCTTCCATTTGACTATGAGCCTCGCGGTGAATCAAGTGACGATGAAAGCGATGACGCTGAGATGGAAACATCTGTTCCGTTCGCTCTTGGGGGAACTCTTCCCTTAAGCAGTCAGCCAGAGCAAGTAATAACTAGCTCAGGCCCATTTCTTCCAAGGCTTGCGGCGGGAAACATTCAGGTAGCCGAGACACCTGCCATCAATACGACGCGTCTAGAATATGAGAGGCCAAAAACACAGAGAGCTGGACATCCGCTCCCGAGCTCCCAGCAGTCATCCTCTCGATCTGCCAAAACATCCCCTATATCTCGGGTCCTGAACACCTACCGTTCGACAGACAGCTACAGGCACAGTGACCTATTCTCAGAGGCATCAAATCCCTCGCCAATTTTAGAAGACGGGTCACCGCGAGTGGATGTACTAGGTACTCAAACTGAAATGAGCGGTTTACGTGCACCATCGCCTGTAGCATTCCAATCGTCTTCAGAGGTTGTACTTGATTCCTCAAGGCCAGCTCAGCGCCAGCGTGGCTCATCTATCTTTCATTTAGACCCGTCAGATCACCCATCTTCTTTCCCTTATGCTAGCTCTCATTCGCTGCCCATGTCTCAAATCAATGAACCAAGTCAAGATTCTTTGAGAGGAGTTTTTGCTCTCGATGGAGACTCACAATTGCCGAAATTGTCACCAAGAGAGTTCACAGCCTGGGTCGCTACTCATGCAGAATTACCATCCAAACTTCCTCGCTCTCCTCCCCGCGAGGGGACTGATACTCGTCAAATACCATCATACAAGACAACCATCGAATTGGTGGCACGGCGGCAAGACTTTATCGGTAAGCCCGACATGTCTGCTGAAGCGCAAACAATCTATGAAAAGTTCTGCAACGATTATTCGCCATACTCTGGCGACTTCTCTCACTTCGCTGAGATGTGCTCGAAACTACAAAAAATGCGGCAAAACGGCCTGCTACAAAGATCGTTCCTATGGGATGACTTTGTCATCCGAAATTTGGACGAGTACCCACGTTATTTCGCAGAGTGCACATCTCAAGATTCGAAGACTATGAATTACGAAGAATTTTTCTGCATGAACTTCTCACGGCCTCAGTACAAGAAGAGAAGTTTGACAGCACACGGACTTGAAATGGTCGCGTCACAGTTTGTTCCACCTGCCAGCGCCGAGCTAGCAAACCCGCCTGTTGCACACCAAGCGGCAACCCAAGACCATGTGGCCCAGAATGATGCGATGCAGAATACATTAGGCAATACTTCCTTCACAGAAAGTCTTGTGGGCAGACTCGCGAACCTCCATGCTCGGTCTTCTGCCGATCTCGATATTGGTGATATGCCCAATCCGAATCTTGATATACCCGCTGCAACGCAGTCATCCTCATCCCCCTTCATTAGCACGGGCTCGGATGAAGTGGAAATTAAAGAAGAACACGCTTCATCTGACGAGTTGAGTGACTCTAGAATCAACATGAGTGACGAGGATCAAAAGCCAGCACCCTCGAGCGAAGACGAAGACATGGTCAACGATTCCAACCCAGATAATCTTCACACTATGAATGATACTGATATGACCGAAGCTGGCATGGACGAAATTGAGGAGACATACGAAGAAGATGACACTTACCATGAAACCGCCAGCATTGAACTCGGTGATGAAAACGAAGATCGCCGGCTGTCTGCCTCTCCCATCCCACCCGCGGCCCTGGGTGCTTTGCCTGTCACCAAGCCCGAGCCGCCAAGGCAACAAAGGCCCTGGTTCCGGTCTCTCCAGAACATATTCCCCACTGGTCCTGTGTGGTCGGACGATCCTGACACTCCATTCAAGCGTTGGGCTCGCCAAGACCAGAATGTCCTCCAAGAAATCAAGCGTCGGGGTGGGACTAGAGTTCAGGTTGATGAGAAGGGTGTCATTTGTCGGCCGACTTACAAGCACGCGAAGGATCCTGGCTCCTAGCGATCATCCCCCTTGAGGTATTTGTTTTCTCATTGTTGAACTTTATTTCCTTTTTTTTCAGCCAGGGGCTGGCTGAACGCAATGGCAAGAAGGATGCCCAAAGATACCATTTACTTTTCACGTTTATTACCCCGATGAGGAAAGGTCGGGCGGTTATGCTTATTACGTTTAATTCAATGTTAATTTTGAGAATCGTATATTCTATGTTGTATGCACATTATCTTCAAGAGCTATACGGAGTACCTAACCTTCAAACCACCAAACATTGAACCACAAGACCCCAATAACCACAATGATAATCTACCCAACAGATCAGGATTCTACTAACCCTAATAATAAGCATACCTTGTACTCCGTAAGCCCAGAGAAGAAGATGATTCCACGGTAATTTCCCCCACCGCAGGATTTTCCATGACACAGCTGTGGAAGTTAACATAGTAGGGACCCACGACAACAGAGCTGATGGCCAGTCGCATGGGGATCGCGTCTGACAGCTTATCAGCCCCGACCCCGCCAAGGATGGTTCTAGCGGGTTGCCCTAGTCCCTTGGCCGCCCCTAAGCCCGTATTACGGGGCCTTGGCTTGTATTTCACGACTGTGTGGAGCTGATTCGACCCGGATTAGCTCCGCTGCGGCTGAGATTTAGAGTATGATTCTAGGGAAGGGAAAATAAGCGATTACCAGCGTATGAATCTGTACGGACTATCCCGTGTTTGCTTCTGTGCTTATGGTTGGTATTTGTTGTTATTTACTGATTGGATGGATTAGGAAGGTCGCGGCGCGACGCTTGTTGGATTGCCAAATGAGTTCATTTTCATAGTAGATACGAATGGGTTCCTTGGAGGACCAGGACAATATACAAAAAGAAAGCAATGTTCCTCCCAGAGAGACTGTAATCTCGCTGCGCAAAATGGCATGATTATCATTAAAAGTGCAAAAAGCCATGGTCATTAAAAGCATGGAAAAGCCACGAGAACGCCTTGGTATCGCCAGTCTAGAATCGCTTGAGGGCTGTACAGAGAAAACTCGCAGGTTTTGTGTTTAGACGTGGCGGAAAGGCTCATAGGCGCTCGAGTGCTGGTTGTTGTCGTTGGTGTTGGTGTTGTAGTTGGTGTAGTTATAAGCAGGGGTAGGATAGGAGGTGTTATAACCGTGTTGGAGAGCATTGGGTTGAGAGCTGAAGGGAGGAGGGTGCGCAGCACCGACGGGATCGTAATTGTAGGGTGCCTTCTCGGCAGGGACGCTATCGTGGTCGCGATCCTTGTGGCCATAGGGCGAACGGCCGGAGCAGCAGCAAGTGCTGAACGTCCAGAAGAGGGTGGCGGCAAACGAGAAGACGACTGCGAGCCAGGTAGCGGCAAACATGTTTTTACCCATAATCAACTTAATACCGTAGAGCTTGAGAGGTGTGCCCAGGGAACCCTTTGCAATCGAGAACATGATGGTCGAAGTCAGGGATGCAGCAAGGGTGAAAAGGAAAGCGACCAGGGAAATGATAGTCGTGACGCAGCTACCCCAACGGCTGAAGATGGCGACAACACCAACGAGAAGCTGGGCAGCGGTAGCAATGAAGGCGATCACGTAGGCAATGAACATCCACTTGGAAACGGCCTTGTACACATTCATGGTCTTCTTAAAGCCGCTTCCCAGCTCCTTCTCAAGCTGCTCATCACTCAGGCCCAGGATTTCAGACGGATTGAAGTAGTACTGGGCCTTGGGCTCTGTGCAAGAAGAAACGTCGAACTTGCCCTTGGTGGAATTGCCCTTGCAATTGCCCCAGAGACCAATGCCGTAGAAGTCAGCGATGTCGGCATTGTCCTGGAACTTTTTTATGGTATTCTCAATTTCATCTGCCTTGACAGAAGTGATATCGGCTTTTTTGAGGATATCTTCGATTTTCGATAATGTTTCCGACCCCGTGGTAATGTTTGAGAGATCGAACTGTTAATAATGGGCATTAGCAGGTGCATTAGAACCTCGAGGCATGAATCACTTACGCGAACGAAGTATAAGTCATTCAAGGTATCGGAACTGGATCTTGTGGAACCCAATCCCACCAAAATGATGCAGAGTATTGATATGATGGTCAAGACATAGGGCGTGAAGATACACGCAACGCGACCGGCTTTTCCCATGATGATCTTTTGAGTTTCTAATCGATAAAGGGGGAGAGAATATAGGTGAAAGATAGATGGGAGGGCTGACACGGGGCGGGAAGAGTATTTAATATATAAAGCACGGCATGATCCTAATACGACAGCCCTGGAACGTACAGTGCTCCAGCCTCCTTGCAAAGAGGCGCAGGATCACCGAGCCAATCAGCGACGGAGAGGTCAGGTCGCCATGTCCACGTTGGCTTCTATTTGGGGCGTGCGCTAGTCCTCTTGGGGGTTAGTGGCATGTGGGATCTGGACAATTCCAACGGACAGCATCCAACTGGGGAAGTTGGAACAACATCTCCAGTCAGATCAGTCAGAATATGGGCATCACATACGGAGTACATCTGAATCTACGCGTCCCTTCATGGATCTACCCTCCAAACATTCCTACGGAGTACACTACACATCATATAATCGAATTCTACCTATCAGTTCCGTCCAAGATCTGACCGCCCAGGGATCACCATTCCTGTGGCCGAAACAGGCCAGGTCCCCTACCCAAGCCTCGTCATCTTAATTTTCTCCGTACGGGGGTCCTCTGAACAGCCTTGTGGATCTCAAATTTTCCGCTGGCCACTGCGCAGCCCCAATACTGCGTAAGCCTGTAATGTACCGGGACTGGCTGTACGGAGTACTCCATACCTCGTACTCGAAAAGTGCCAGGCTCCACCGTTTTCTCCTTGGCTGTCATCTCTCTCCGCCCACACACTGACCTCCCTGTGGTACGGAGTACGTACTCATTCAGTCCACCTCACTCCGCTCTTCCTGTGGCACTAATTGTGATGCCTTGTTCTATATTTATTTTTTGCTCTAGATAACCTTTTCTGGAATTGAGATAAGCCTCCGCTGATGATCCTGCATTGAACACCAGGGTACTCCGTCGGGACGGAGTACTTCAAATGTTTCTGGATTGTTTGAGGCAAAATCACGCGCGCAGATCGTCCAGATCAACGTCTGTCAGCCCAACCGAAGGACATATGACGACGACTCGGGATACATTTACATGAGGGCCATCATTGCGGGCTGTGATCTCCTAATTCCAATTTTGAATACCTCTCTTGGAAAACGGTTTTTGAACACGAAGAATCAAACATTGCAATAATTCTATCTGACAGCTCACACCTTCGTATTGCCCTTGGTGGACAGGGTTCACCCCAAATATGGCTCAAGAGTGGACAACATACCCGTGTACGCAGCGCCGCTGGAAGGCTCAATGCTGAACATATAGTCACCCCACCAAGGGCCGGCAGCCCACCACAACGCCCCGAGCCAGACATCCGAGTTCTCACCTAGATAATCGAGCAAGCCGGTAATCGCTGTCTTGCAATCATCATTCACACCGCCGGCAAATTCACCCAGGACGCCGACCTTGTTATTATCCTTCAACCACTGCGTCGCGTCCGTCACGCGCTCTTTACCGATTGTCGTCGATACACAGACCTCGCTCGTTCCTGATCCATCCGAGTCGAGATACTGGTGCATTTCGTAGACGATCTTGTCTTGGGGGTCAGTGAGATCTTTCAAGTTGTCATTCACATCAATCCAAGTCCAGGCGCCGGTCCAGGAATTCCCCTCGACGAAGATGTATTGGCTTGTTGCACCTGCTGCGCGGATGCCGTCAATAGCTGCTTGATTGAGGTTCAAGACGAGGTCTTGGTCCATGTCGTGGAACTCGTTATCTGTGCATGATTGTGTCAATATGCAACTTCTGCGATTAAACCCATGGAGCACTAACTTGTGTCAAAGATGACTAGCTCATTCGAAGCGAACTGGCCTGCCACGGTCTCCCAGAATTTCTGGAAGTCGGAGGGGCTCGAAATGATCTCGCCGTTGCTGCGAACTCATAAGCCTTGATTCAGTTGCTCGTTACTGCGAGTAGACAACTTACTATCTGCCATAGTTATGCGGATCAAGAACAGCATGTGATCCTGCATCGGTGATGGCTTTGACCGTCTACCACTGCATCAGTGTCCAATTCTTCTCATTCATGACAGAGATTGCGCAACTTACTGCGGTCAAATGCGCTAGATAGGCGTCGTCAAATCCTCCTGTCATGGATCCTGGCACCAGCCGTTCCATCCTGAAGGCCACTCGGAAGATGTTCATTCCTTTACCAATCAAGGTCTGGATTGTGTTGGCGTCAGGGAAATAATAATCGGTTCCCTATTCCAACCTTCATAAGCCAAGATTCTCTGATGATATCAATGCTTGGTCGACTCACATAGACACCGGGCAGGTTGCCTTCTCCAAACTCGGCTCCGGATTCGCTTGTTCCAAACCCTATACAAGATATTTGGTCAGTTGACGATCGAAGGCTCTATTCGATTCATGGACTCGAACATTGGAAGGGCGAAGCACGCTTCGCAAGGCTCTTGGGAGGAGCCGCAGCTGCGGATCCGGCCACAGCGGCAAGGAGGGCAATGTGATGGAGTCTCATGTCGAAGAATCAATTGCTTTACTATATGGGCTAATCGGAACTTGTCAAACGTGAGACAAGACGGGCGATCCGAAACTTCAAGGGATGGTAGGAATGCTAAATAACTAATGACTGGAGCGGAGTTGAGGATTTTATAGTTCTCTTGCTTGGATGTTTCTACCTCCCACTAACCATTGCAACAACCCAAACAAGTAATGCAACACGGCTGTTAGAGACTACTGACAGAAAAGGACACGGAGCTTTCACGAATATTAACTCTTCAGGCTGGACTAGGTTCTGACATCAAACAGGTAGAATATCCAACGATATCGGATATTGCAGTGACCAGGAATAAGGATAATTGATAATTCCCACCAAAGAGAACCTGCAGATGATAGCGAGAGACACTTGGCGACCTCATATGAAACGGACATCTAAGAAGGCAATGCCTCCGGGTCTTCAAACTTGAAGAAACCTGATCCGTGCGCAACAGGGAACGAATACTGTGTACTCTATATACCCCGCTTTATTGTTTCTTCAGGCAAAAGGCGCCTTGCATCTGCATCTCTTTGTTTCGAGAGAGATCTTCTCTAGCACGCCCGTGGCACTTCAGGTATCGATCGGCATTTTTATATTCTGATGTGCAGGGGTAGTGGGATTGACCGGAGCCAGTAAAACAACCATATTGATACTCCATATTCACTCCATGGCTACTCCATACTTATGTCCTGAATAAGGGGATGATCGAGTTAAACAGAATTGATTGCAGAAAAGAACTGTGTGAGTCAGGTGTGTAGGTGTGGCAAGTTGATTGCACTACAACTGAAACAGGGACGGACCACTTCGCTCCGAACCTGAGACTCGCTCCAGATAAATAATATCTCGCTGGTAACAAATTTTCCAAATAACACTCCACTGAGCCATCTTCAGTTTACCAAGCACCGAGGGAGTGCATGTGCTCTTTCATATCCGCTGCCTGCAGTGCGTGATACTTCTTGCCTGGGTGGTAGGCATCCCACCAGACACAGGTCTCACCATCACTATTGACACAAGAAGCATCTGTGAATCCATAGGTGGAAGGAGAATCGAGAATCTTGGACATAAAGCTCCAGGTATCGTAGGTGACAGTTCTTGTCTGTAGCGAGGTTAGTCATGCGAAGCAAAAGAAAAAAGAAGAAGATAGTCTGAATTGGGAACGTACTCCGCTGTGACCTGCGATGAATTCATCGACCATCTTGTCAAGTGCCTCGTTGTAAGCCTTAATCCACGTAGCGTGGGTGTTAACTGCGCTGGTTCCTGAACCGATCACCTTGGGGCTGCGGCTAGTAGGCGGGACGTTGAGGAAGATGAACTTCCGTCCACCATTGGAGTAGATCTTCTCAGCGAGAGTCTTGTACTGAGCCATCAGCTTAGGAATCAGAACACTGGGCTCGTTGTTTGCATTGCCCCAACCGATGCTGCAGATTCAAGTTAGAGCAATCGTCAATTGGGAATTAAAGGGATCATACTCATTGATTCCAATCCAGAATCCAAAGACTGCGTTATCCGAAGACCACGCCGCAGAAGCAGGCTTCTGACTATAAGTTGTCTCGAATAACCCGACTTGCGTCGTCATATCCTGTTTGGTATTGGTTTTAACCAGGTTGTTGTCAATTGAAGCACCCCCAACGGCAAGATTGTAACTGAGGACTAAGGAAGCGTTGTTCACAGTAGTCAAGTCTCCAACCCAGTTGATGCCGCCGCCAGTTGCGCCGGTTCCTGGGATTCTTGGTCAGCTAATCTTACATCCAACTTTTTCTGGCAAGGGACAAAACTCACCCAATGTGGGATTGCCCATCGGGTTTCCAGCAGTAGGCTGTGTGCCCGTGGCATCGAAACTGGTCCAGGTGTAGGAATCACCACTGTATATATCTATTAGCTTCTTCTTTCCCGGTAGATAAGGGAAAGCATCATCACTTACAATGTGAAGAAGAAGGTATTTGTAGACCGGGTTTGCAAAGGAACCGCAGCAGTCAACCCGGCGCCAGCTAGGAGAGTAATGAAGTGCTTCATGATGAAGAGAAGTGCAGTGTGAAGTGCGGTCTGTTCGTTCGGAATGAAAGATATCAATCACACATTCCTCGCAGGCTCCTTATATACCTTGTTTGTTGCACGTTGTACATGTCTATCACTCACTCCCACTCTGGTGATGTTGGCCCCCAATCGACAGTCCCCAGTTTAATTAAAAGAGGGAACATGATAATACGTCATTTACTATATCGATATTGCCAATCATTTCTTCATTCAGTGAGTCGTTCCGAACCTCCAATTCACTGTGCTAAATCCATATAAGATGCTCGGGTCGGCTCTGGTGAGTCTATTAATGGGATGCAACATATGATGAGTGCTATCAGCGTATTTTCATGGTAGGGTTGTATAGAGAACAGTTAGAACATGCCCTATCTCATTCAACACAGTCGAATACTTGCATAATGGAGCAAGACGAGGATTATGAAGCGAGCCGAGCCGATCGAGATCTAATTCGTCAACGAACATATTAAAAGCCGACTGGATGAACTTGATGAAGCCATCAGAAACTGCGGGGTAAACATGGGGAATCGGAGACAAACTGTTTCTCCACGTTGTCAATAGTTCGGTCTACAAAGTAACTGACGAACCCCCCACCCTGCTATTCGGCAGTGTCATCCAGTTATACGGCGGTACTTCTTTAGATATGGACAGCGCTAAGAACACGAGCTCTCATTTGCCGTTGCCTTCCCCTTGCCCGGGTGATTGATTCGCTACTTGTTTCCCCTTGTCCGATGAATTGTTGATCGTCTTCCTCTTGCCCGAATCTCGAGGCGGTATCATCTATGTTTATATTGCATTGGAGTCTTATTCACATCAAGCATCAGATCAGCGCCAAATAGATCGAGTTCGTTACGACCTGACAGAAAACATCTCCATCCCCACACCGCACACCACCAACTGCGCCTTCGTGTACAATGCCGACATGTGGCGCTCTGCAGGAATGCCACTCCCGGGTGCACGAACGAGCCCTAAGGATGAGATATCGGCCACCGAACTGTATCTGTCCAATAGGAACTCGACGATAATCCCCTGCGTGCCCGGTTGTGTTGGGTCCACGGTGATTGACCACAATTTGACTCGGTGGTCGTTACCCGAGGACGCCACAGTGATACTGATGGTTTGCGTGTTTGATGTAACCTCACGAGAAATTTGTTGGCTGAGAATCTTGACTGTAGTTATTGCAGCAGCGTGAGCATCCGGTATGGAAACAGTAGCTACGTCCGCATTTGTGCCGGAATCCGAGGGATGAGTTCGTAGGAGGGATACGGAAAGCGAGTTATCGTCACTTCCCGCAACAACAACTGTGGCTGTGTCGGAGATAGGAACCAGTTCCATCCCCTTGATGCTGTTGGAATGGATCTGGTAACGACTTTCACACGTGATGTTTTCTGGTGAGATAGACGAGCTGTCGAAGGCAATCTTAGCCTTCAAAGTGGATTCAGAAATCGTATAAAATGGCTCAAGTGTGCTGGTCAGATCCCACAATGTGAAGTAACCATCGGTGGCGGCAGTTATAAGGCTCACAGAGGAGCTTGTCACCAAGAAGTGCGCTTGAGTCAAACAATTGGTCATGTATTTGCCACGAGCCAGGAGCGTGAATTGGCCCCCATTGTTGGGAGAAAAGTGGAAGATCTACACGAATGTCAGTCTTGGTTGAGGCAATTGAACGATAACAATGCTTACCTTGATAACAGAATTTGAAAGAGCAAGACACAGGAGGAACCCTTGCTCCCCGTCAACATCTTCTACTTCCAGCAAATCGAAGCCCGGTATCCGGAGATCCGAGTTGGGGTCGTCCTTCGGACTGGCAGCAATCAATTTTGTAGCAATACCAAACTTGGGAATCATGCAGACTCTCCAAACGAAGAACTCTTCGTATGCAGCGCTGGTGAATAGGTATTTTCCATCCTTAGACCAAGTCACCTGCTGGATTCCGGACTTGTGAGTATCCAGGACGCGCAGGCACTCAAAGGTGCCCCACGGACTATCGGCGACTGATGAGGTTGGTGTGAAGATGCGAACAGTAGTGTCCTCTGCGCCGGTTGCAAGAAGAGATTGTTCTCCATTGGCAGCGCTGAAAACATCCGCTGCTTTGAGTTCCCGCCCGTGACCTCCAGCTCGGATTAAAGTACTAGATCCAGTGCGTACACGAGTGGTCATCAAAGTGACTCCGTCTTTCCATGTGAACAATGCATGGCTATCTTTGGTTCCTGGGATAAAGTCCCAGGCCCGGCGGAAACCGCCCGACGCAACGGATACAATATCCGTCAGCTTCGACTCATTGCGCAGGACGAAATCCTGAGATCTGAATCCGTACAACATGAAGTCACCAGTTTCTCCATCGAAATAAGCACCTTCAAGGTTTCCGCCGGTTATGGACGCTGTGCGATGCACTATCTGTATTGAGACAGCATCGGGTTCGCTCTCAGAGATTTGTAGCTCGTGGAGGCAATAGGTACCATCACGACCACAAGTTAGTACGTAGTCAGATTTCTTGTCGCTCGTGGCAACAGATGAAACAACGCTAATGTGATTGACAAATTCTCGGCCATGGACTCGTCGGTTTACCAACACGGGCTGAGTCTTGGAAGTGTCATAGACAGCAAGTGCTCCTAATTTTGACCCTATGGCCAAATATTGACCATCAAAGATAAGACAAGCACTGCAAACCACAAATGCACGCGGCAGGCTAAAGGTAGTTGTTTCTGCTTTTGGAGAATCGCTGTTCCAGTTGGAGACGGTGACGAGTGTGATCTCTTCTCCTATGGCATTCTCATCCCCTGTAGGGTAACAGACAAGGAAGGTAAGTTTTTCGGATAGATTTGAGGCGTTCGCTTCGGAAGAGTGAGTTTGAAGGAAGAATGTTTCAAGCGGCCGTTTGCCAACGTTTGCGATGGTGACAATAGATTTTGTAGTGTGATTATAGAGCCGGAAGAGTCCTTGGAAATTACCGATCAATGCTAGCCCCCTTTGAGGCTGAGCGGTCATCACGCCAAAAGAAGCAAGATCGGGTGTTTCGCATAGTGTTTCCCAAGTAATGGCTGTTTCTTCTGTTTCGCCGACATGTCCAAGCTGGATCTCACCTTGTGTGGAGGTACGAAGAAGGCAATCCCGGGAGACAAATGCAAATGCCTTCGCTCCGTAAGCCTTAGATTGTTTTTTCTTTGCCTTCATTTGCAAGCCAGATGATTGTTGAAGCGAAGCAGAATTTTCATCATCATTTTCTTTGATGGCGAAGCTCTTCAATGCACCATCAGCACCGCCGGTGTAAACCACCGTCTCCGAGTCTACCCTGCAAAGATCCAGAGACCAAATGTGCTTTCCAATATGTGGTTGTATTGAAGAAATTTGGCTGAGTCGATACTCATTTGCCCCAGCCACTGGTGACTGCCAGCTCAGGTCCCACACAACGCATGTGCAATCCTCTCCACGAGAAACTAGTCCCATATGAGTTTGGCTGTTATTTGTGATGGCCCTGAAATGAACACCCCAAATGCGGGCTGCGTGAGCGAATGCCTGGATCACACATGATTCAGATCCAACGCTTTCTTCGCCTGCTTTGACGGGACCAAAGCCTGTGCTTCGCAACTCAAACCCGTCGGTGGAGTATGCGGAAGGATCTTGTGCGGTCTTTCGCTCGCAATCTGATATATCCCAAATTCTCACAGTTCTATCATCACTGCAACTGGCCAATAGCCTACCAGATTGACCTCCATTCAAAGACGGGATTTTTGGAGAAATACGGACATCAAATATTGATCCTTCGTGTCCTGTGAAGAAGTGGTGGATGGAGGCGACTGCATTGGCTTTGTGTGACCCCTCTACACTTAAGAAACACGACCAAACGATGATTTCGCCGAAGACTGTACCGGCAGCAATGAGAACATGAGAGGGAGATAGCGCGATGACGTTGGCAGAGTAAAGAATAGACTTTACACTTGTCGCCAGCTGATATATGGATATGGTAGTCTCTGTGTCTTTCTCAGATGCCTCGCCGATAAGCACTTCAAGGCTCAGTAGTGCATTGTTCGCAGTGATCAAAAAAGCCCCGTAGTGGCCAGATTCGGCAGCTCCACATCCACTCATGATCCAGTCTGGAGTATTGAACTCAGCACTCGAGATCGACAAGTTGATTTCATTGCCAGAGCCAAGAGACACGTTGATCGCTCGCACTGAGCGACCACCCCAGACGATGACTCGGACATGGTTTTCATCATGATCCTGCGGCCGTTGATTCAGAATAATGAAACCATGCACATCATTTCTTTTGAATGTCTGGATTTGAGCAGCGATAACGCCGGTGGCATCATCAACCACCCGGAAGAATGTGCCTTGACTTTGAAAAATGAATCGTCTATCACCTATAACAAACGTCTTCAACGCCGTTATCGGGAGACATGCATCAATATGCTGCATTTCGAGTCAGCGGGGACATCATCTTGGCTACAGATATGGCAACACTGACCTCGAGTGTGAGAGACATTGTCGGCTTCTACGCACATTACCAAGGTCAGCAGACAAGAAATTTACATGCAATGTCTCAATTGCCTCCGATCAAATGTACATCCCACCAAACCCCAAAAAAAGCCCACTACTTTTTCGAACCCGATGTGCTGACATAAGACATACGCTAGTCCAGGATTGGTAATATCACACACGTGACTTCGTGATCGCGGCGCGGGAACGTTTGATGCTCACGTCACCGATGGGTCCTGTTTCGCTCCAGGGCTCATCGACTATCCGCGAGAAATTTCTCGCCACATGTGAATACTCTTAAAAATGCAAATTCTGGCTATCCCTGATTGATGATATTATCTCCTTTTAACTCGCCATGGGTGTCACGGGCCTCTGGACAGTCGTGCAGCCCTGCGCTCGCCCTATCAAACTTGAAACGCTCAACAAGAGGCGACTGGCTGTCGACGCGTCGATCTGGATTTATCAATTTCTGAAAGCTGTCCGAGATAAAGAAGGCAATGCGCTTCGAAATTCCCACATCGTTGGATTCTTTCGCCGTATATGCAAGCTACTGTATTTCGGAATCCGACCAGTCTTCGTCTTCGATGGCGGGGCACCGGTTATGAAAAGACAGACTATTGCTGGGCGAAAGAAGAGACGCGAGGGTCATAGAGAAGATGCCGTGAGGACTGCAGGAAAGTTGCTCGCGGTACAAATGCAACGCAGTGCAGAAGAAGAGGAGACTCGTCGACGCAATAAGACTCAGAGACAAGAGGAAGATGTGCCGGATGTTCCCGTCTATGTAGACGAGGCTTTCATGACAGAGACAGAAAAGCAACAAAGTCGCAAGTTCAAGAAGAAGGACGCGTACCACCTACCTAATCTGGACGTCTCGCTTCAAGAAATGGGTGCACCAAACGATCCACGCATAATGTCTCAAGAGGAATTGGAGGATTACGCCAGACAGTTTCACCAGGGTCAAGACATCAATCTTTACGATTTTTCTAAAATCGACTTCGACGGTCCATTTTTCCTTAGTCTGCCCGCCACTGATCGCTACAATATCTTGAACGCAGCGAGGCTAAGGAGCCGGCTTAGAATGGGTTATTCGAAAGAGCAACTAGATACCATGTTCCCCAACCGCATGGAGTTCTCAAGGTTCCAAATCGACAGAGTCGCAGAACGTAATGACCTGACGCAACGATTAATGAATATAAACGGCATGAATGGAGAAGAAGCATTCTACAATTCAGGACAGCGTATCGCAGGAGAACGCGGCAGAGAATACGTGCTTGTCAAGGATCGTGAGCATGAAGGTGGCTGGGTCCTGGGTGTTGTGGGAAATAGGGAAGGGCACGAGGAGAGGCCCATTGATCTAGATCGACCTGAGGTTTTATCTGATGAGGATGAAGTGTCGGACGAAGATATCTTCGAGGATGTTCCAATCGAGGGTCTGAATCGACTTCCCAAGCTTCCTTTCCTTCGAGACGGTGTATTTGACCAAGCGCTCCAATTACAAACGGATGAAAATCTCGACATGAGCAGGGCCATACGCGAATCGCGTCAAGCGGCACAGCGACAGTCAGTGAACGAACGCCGTGTACATGACGCTGAAGATGACTCCCTGTTCGTTGAAACCGAGGGTAATATTGCTGTACAACAGCAGAACAACGACACCGATGATTTTTTCGCTGGCGATGACGATGACCTCGAACGAGCTATCGCCCTTTCTTTGCAACCAGATACAGAAAATGGCATAAATATGCCTGATATTCCCACAAGCCGACCAGTTGAATCAGCTCCGTCTTATGAGATGATGCCAGAGCCTGATTCTGAGAGTGATGATGGCATGGATTTCACCGCCGCTGTAGCAAGAACAAAAGTCACGAAGAAAGCCTCCCATGTATCAAATCCTTTCAGTGGTCCCCTCCCTTTCGAACCCATCAAACTCACCAAAGTCGCCAAAGATAATACAAAGGCTGGCGAAGTTGCTGAGAATGCAGGTGGTTTCGTCAAGGAATCTGCAAAGAAGCCAAAACAGGCAGATCCACTTCCTCCATGGTTTGTTGGTGAGCGCTCAAATACGGGATTCATTGTCGATCCCGCCGAAGACCCCAACAAGGAAGATGAGCAATTGGCCGCGCCAGATCATCTATTTCTCTCCAATCGTCGCTCCCCAGACATAATCGACGTTGATAATATTTCCAACAAAATGTCCGTCACGAAGGAAATCATCGATCTTGAAGACGAGGAACAAACGAAGGATGAAATACAAGACAGCAAGATCGAGAATATCTCACAGGCGGAGGAAATTAGAAAGATCTATGATGAGCTTTCTACAAGCATTGATGAGAAGCCCTTGATACCAGCTCAAGTTCATACCGATACAAATCTCAACGACACGGCTCTCACGGGCCCTTTACAAAATAAGCAATCAGAGCCCGTCTTTGATGAGCAGCCTCGCAGTGAACATTCCCCTTCGCCGGAATTTGAAGATGTTGTTCCTCAAATACCCGCGCAAGGCCCTGAGATTACTATTGTATCTCATCAAAACCCCCGGCCCAAACTCCAAACCCAGCTTTTTGAAGAGGTCGGCCATGCGGAAGCTTTTGTGCAGGATCAAGCCGACTACAGCGACCCGGAGGACGAAGACCTGTTCAAACAGCTCGCAGCTGAAGGTGAGGAGCATGTGCGGTTTGCCAATACTCTTAATGCTGCTGCTCCCACTCAGGAAGCGTTTGACTACGAGCAAGAATTGAAGCAACTAAGATCCCAGCAAAGAAATGAGCGACGTGATGCGGACGAGGTGACCACCATCATGATCAATGAGTGTCAACAGCTCTTGACGCTCTTTGGATTGCCTTACATCACCGCCCCTATGGAAGCCGAAGCGCAGTGCGCCAAATTAGTCTCGCTAGGCCTTGTGGACGGGATCGTCACAGATGATAGCGATATTTTCCTCTTCGGAGGGACTCGAGTGTACAAAAATATGTTCAACCAAAGTAAATTTGTGGAGTGCTATTTGACGTCAGACTTGGAGAAAGAGTACGCCCTCCACCGACGCAAGCTGATTAGCTTTGCCCATCTCTTGGGCAGCGATTACACCGAGGGGATTCCCGGAATTGGTCCCGTCACAGCTCTAGAGATTCTCACTGAGTTTTCAAGCCTTGAAGAGTTCCGCGATTGGTGGACGGAACTGCAGATGGGCACGAATAACCAAGAAGATGTACATCTTGCCTTCCGGAAGAAATTCCGAAAGAAAGCATCCAAGATTTTCTTGCCACCTTCATTCCCTGATAACAAAGTCGATGAAGCATATCTGGAACCCGAGGTCGATGCCGACCCTTCTCAGTTCCAATGGGGTGTACCTGATCTCAATGGCTTACGAAACTTTCTCATGGCGACAATTGGCTGGAGCCAAGAGCGGACTGATGAAGTACTAGTGCCAGTCATTCGCGACATGAACAGACGAGAGCAAGAAGGGACACAGTCCAACATCACACAATTCATGTCAGGTCCGCAAGGTGCAGGTGCTTTTGCACCTCGTTCTCGTACAGGCGGCCCTAGTCGAATGGAAAAGGCATTTAGTCGACTACGCCAAGAAGCTCAGACCGGTGGGAACCTACCAGATCCCGAGTCGATTGTCGAAGATGAAGCAGACGCCTCTGTTTCACAAACCAGAGGCAAAAGAGATGCATCAGCCAGTAAGCCTAAGGCGGGCACGAACAAGAAGCGAAAGACTCGTCGCACAGACTCTCATGAATCATGATATGTTGTTCCGCATCGGCAGCTTCTGTACATATTAGAATAATGAACAATGAAGCGGAGTGAAATACATTTCCACTCTTGTACAAGTTCATCAAACAACATGGAGCTAGCAAACAAACAAGAGTGGCCATATATAAAGCCTCTCATATCCCTACCTCCTACTTTCTAGCTATAGCCAATTCCTATCCTCCTTGACTTTAGGCTCTCTCACATCAGCATGTTCCGTTCATGATTATATACACAGAGGGCTACTTAAACAAGCTGGAAGCGTTGGAATCTCACGTGTCAACTCGAGGCTGATCTCATCGGGTACATGATCCTTCTCCCTCCTTCCCTTCTTCACTTCTTTTTTTTCCATATATCAACCACTGGATTATCGACTTTATAAGACATCTGATGGCTTACTCCTTTTTATTTCTTCTATGCCTAACAGAACCAGAACCTCGTGACACTCGCATTAAGTCGTGCACGTTCACACACCTCATATTGCCATTTTCATGGTCATATCGCTGCTCTTCTGTCAGCGTAGGGCTATATAGCTTTACCAGAACAATGGCAAAAGCCCTTCCAGACAGACGCCTCAAATGATAGAGCCGTTCCAGCACCTTCGCATTGTTGCCCATCCTAAACATGGGAAAGGTCTTGCCAGGTGTCTCAAATGCCAGGAAGTCTCAAAAATGGACCATCTTCATGACATCAAAACTATCAAGACACACTTAAATGAGTGCCCAGATCACTGCCTGGGTCATCACCAGAAACGTGGCGCCGATGAGTTCAGACTGGAAAACTACCTAAGGCGGAGAATGTTGGGAAAGTGTGTCTCCGTTATCAAATAGGTTCCACCAGGACCTCCGTTCTATTTAGAAGAATATGCTTTCTTTTCTGGTTGCCAACAGGTCCTCAACCCAATTTCCATCTCCACTTTCCTTTATCGACCATGTCTACTTTCCAATGCTGTGTCCTTCTCCGAGATTGCACATGAGGTAAGTACTATATGGAGGCGACACTGCTTTGTTTGTCATGATTGTCTGACATTGCCTCGAGGGCTGGATTAGCAGATACAAGGACCACAATCACGCCGATCCGAAAGCGGAAAGCATCGAGACAGACTTGATGCATCTCCGACTTTTGTCTTCGATATGACATCCGATACAGGGTATCTTCCTGTCCAAGACTCAGCAAATACTATCAGTATGGGAAAGAGCCAGTGCGAACGGAGTCACATCGAGGAAATATTCAAGGTTAGGATACTACAACCTCAGATCGTTAGAATTGGCAGGGTATGCTGACTAGTCTCCATTCCAGAACTGTGACATCTCCGGTTACAGGGAGTCGGGCTCTGTCAATTTATCCTCAGGGATATGGATATTCCCAATTCGCTTGAGAATATTGATAGCATGACTGGGAGATGGGTGGCTGGATATGCTCATGTACTAGTCCTCTCCTCGCTACAAACCCGACCAAGGGGAAGCCATTGTTTGCCTCCAGGGCAAGTGTTTCAAGGGGGGACATATACCATCCAAACTGGCGTGTTAGGTTGCCAGAAGCTAATAGGAAACTCACGATCCGAACGCAAAGGATTCTATTAGAGTACATATGTAAATTCCATTGTCTTTTCGGAACTGACGTTCAATCATGCCATGCAATTTGCCCATGTGTGGAGAAATATCCCACTGAATAGTGTATAGCGTATGATCCCAGACCGGGGATGGTTCCAAGGTTAAAGTGCTATGGAGCAGCCGAAAGCGGAAATAAAGCCACATGGTTCCCCACGAACAGGTCCAGGGCGATCGCAGCGATCGGTGGGACTTGTGGGACTGTGTACGGGATTGACAGGTCGGTGAAGCTGGAATGCCGTTTTCGTTACAGATATGTTGTGAAGGGACATACTCTGCACATAGTCCAGAAGAACGGAGAGAGAAGAGAGAAGAGAGCAGAAAGAAGAAAAGGGGGACTATAGGGCCGTTAGCGTACCAAACTTCAACGGTTCCCAGGCACCGGGTGACAGCACAGACTGCGACTCTTTCCTGTGGACAACAATGTAGACTCTCTAGGGTCTGCAATCTCTGCAATCTCTGCAATCTCTGATACCTCTCTCCACTTCGACTAATGCAACCATCCCGGATTCGTGACATACGATACCGCGTGTTGTGGCGCAGGAACACCATGACATCAGGGGGCATCGATGACGTCGGCGATCGTGAAAAGTCGAGCAATGCAACTCAACGAGACACTATTGGCGCGACTAGCAGAGGCTGAAGCTACCTAGTGTCTACTCAATTTTTTCTGATCCGCCCAATCCCGATCCCTCAGACGCCAGTGGTGCTTTTCTATTCCATCTTTTCCACCTTTTCCATCTTCTCTTCAAGAATCGTCGACGTCATTTCCCGAGAGCTTCCCCCCGAACTTCAAAACGAAAAACAAGCTCTCTCTGTGCCCCATACATCTCACTGTGTCGATCCGGTTGCAGCCAAATCGTCCGTCCTGTCTAGGCCAAGTGCGTGTCGACTTCCCCAAAAAAGCGCCCCCTCTTTTTAGCTCACGTCACTACTGCGCAAGGCACAAAGTTCTTTTTCTCTAATTTCTTTTCTCCAGGAACAACTTGCATCTTTACACCTTTCTCCCAATTCTACTTCCAACCCCATCATGCATCGCACCTATTCCATGCGCCAGTCGCGCGCCCCGACCGCCTCGCAGATCGAGAGCCCACCACCACCATTGTCCACAACGAAGACTGGACGATGGCTAGGGAAGGGCGGCATCGGTGAGTGCCATTGAGACATTTTGTGCGATCGGGTTCGACGACGGGGATTTCCTGGGTCGTGCGCGTTGGGTCGGAGGCTGCCTAATTGGGCCGCCATCGCATCCCGTCTCACCTCCGAAACGCGCCAGCGACCGAATTGGAGATCACCAGTCGAATAGATCGCTATCGACCGGATGTAGTTGCTAACGGTTTGCGATCAGGACATGCTTTCCGTAAGAACGCCGCTGGTGCCTTCGGGCCCGATCTCGCCAAGAAGCTCTCGCAGCTCGTCAAGATGGAGAAGAACGTCATGCGCAGCATGGAGCTTGTCGCTCGGGAGCGCATGGAAGTTGCTGTATGTGGCTGGCCCTCAATTGCGATGCACCGTGAGAAAAATTGGAAGCTAATTCAGTCGCTATAGCAACAACTATCTATCTGGGGTGAAGCGTGCGACGAAGATGTGTCGGATGTGACGGACAAGCTCGGAGTGCTGATCTACGAGATCGGCGAGCTCGAGGATCTGTTTGTCGACCGCTACGACCAGTACCGTGTCACCATCAAGAGCATCCGTAATATCGAGGCTTCCGTACAGCCCAGCCGAGATCGTAAGAATCTCCCCGCATCCGCCTAATCGCCCAAGCACCCCCGACGACCTTCAACTAACCAAAATTGATTTCTCCAGGCAAGCAGAAGATCACCGATGAGATCGCCAAGCTGAAGTACAAGGATCCCAACTCGCCGCGCATTGTCGTGTTGGAGCAGGAGCTTGTCCGCGCTGAAGCCGAGTCCCTGGTCGCCGAAGCCCAACTGTCGAACATCACCCGCGAGAAGGTCAAGGCCGCCTTCCAGTACCAATTCGATGCGCTGCGCGAGCACTGCGAGAAGGTCGCCATCGTCGCCGGCTACGGCAAGCACCTCCTCGACTTGATCGATGATACCCCCGTCACCCCCGGTGAGACTCGCCACGCCTACGACGGCTACGACGCCTCGAAGGCCATCATTCAGGACTGCGAGGATGCCCTCAGCAACTGGGTCTCCTCCAAGGCCGTCGTCAAGTCCGGCCTCTCTCAACGTTCCCGGACCCTCTCCCAGCGCCACCGCTCAAATCTCAACAAGAACCGCGAGGGTGTCGATTTGTCTTCACAGGACCAACCCTTGACCGGAGACCGCGACTCTTGGCTCCCAGCTGACCAGCACCCCAACTACGAGGACGGCGATGATGGCGTCAGCACCATTGATGGCGAGCTTCGAGGCCGCGAAGAGGAGCGCGAGCCCATCGCCGCCTAAACGGCATGGGAGGAAAGTTCCAGTAACCTCTTTTCCCCTGACGAATCTGACGGCTCGAATTTTTTGTAGAGACACTAATGTGGTCTACCACTGTCTCCGTCTTCATGTTTGAAAATTCCCCTAATTCTCCATACATTCTTGTATGCTTTTTTTTTCTTCTCTTTTTTTTTCTCGAAACCGTGCTATTCTTGAAGAGGACAGGCATCAATCACGCCATGCAAACTACTCGGGTTTCTCCCCAGAACGCCTCGGGATGTCGTGACTCCATGCCTGTCATTCGTGCTCAGGGAATCTGTGCTCACATTTCCATTCTTCCCTTTCTCCTCGGAGACTCGCGGATCAATGCGACTGAGAACGGCGCCGGTTTCTTTTTATGTCCCTGCCTTTTAACCCATCCCCCTATTTTCTACTTAATCGATGTAATACCATCTTACGTTGGATTCTTTGTTTCTTTAATTTTTTTAATTGCTTTACGGAGAAGGATACTACAGGGTAATTAAGTAGGTGTTATAATGAATTGATTACCTCAAATGTGTTCGATGTATAAGGACTTGATAATCGATTTATATCCATCGAGGGTCCAAAGCCGTAGTTCGCCCGCGGCAGTGCGGATTCTGCGGGGACCCCAGACAAACCACCGCCACGCCGACCAATGAGCAACCCTCCAATGGCAGTCAATCTCCGTGAGCAAATCTCTCTGATAGAGCACGCAAGGTCGAGCACGCCATTGGCTTGCATATTGAGCCCTGCTCTTGCACATCCGGAAGAGCCTCTGCAGGATACTTGGTGCTCTCGGGAAAAACGATACAGGGAATTGGAAGGACTATTCAGCAAAAGATAAAATTCATAGTTTATATTGCGCGGTAGTCCGAGCCCAGAGGTAGCTAGTTAAGGGCGTAGCAAATAAAGAAATTACCCAAAGCAAGTCCCAGTAAGATACCAAATATAAAGCCAAAGAAGCGAGATTCGATTTCCCCGAGTCTGAACCGCAACACCAACTCAGCTCCTGTCCCGCGAAGTCCGGAAAGGAGAGAGAGATAAAACAAGCCTTCGCAGCACACAATCTGATGAAAAGGAATGGGGGCGTGGAGGGGGTAATGAGCCGGGACAGGGAGATATTGAGATAAAAACCCCGGTAGTAGGAGGCGAGGGTAGAGATAGAGATTTGAATTCTGAAAATGAAAGTGCCAGATCTGAAGTGTAGAAGCAAAGACCATCCCTAGAAGTCGAGAAAGCCACGGTCGGAAGGCCAGAGCCGGGCAAACGAGAAGAAGAGAAGGGTCGTGACGTCGTCATTTGTGTCTGCTCATCTAGTCCAATCTATTCTTGAGTAGAGACTCGATAGAGAGGGAGTAGATGAGGGCAGACGCCGTAAGCGGGTAGTTGAGGGAAGCAGGAATGCTGATTCGGTGCGGACGCCTTGTAGAGCAGGAAGACCGCGACTGAGATGATACAAAGAGAGGAATGGCAAACAGCAACGCAAACGAACAACACAGAAAACCAAAAAAAAGACATATTCTTCTATTGAGTTCGTCACTCGTCGGTGCCGACGCCCTTCTTTTTGGGCTGAATATGTTTTTGTCTGGTGTTGCCGCTGGGACGTTTTACCTCGAGTGCCGAGGTATCTTTAGCTGGAGGCGGCAGGCGAGAAGAACCCACGTCGTGTTTCTCGGTGAGGAGGTTCTTGAGCCAGCGGTTCTCCATTTCGAGCTGGGCAACACGAGCCTCGAGGGAGGCGTTCTTCTCGGTGGTTTCCCGAACGGTACGTTCGAGGACCTGCTCACGCTGCTTCTTCTTCATGCGGAAGCGGGCGCTGGCAGCGGTGTTGCGGCGACGGCGATCTTCTTCAGCCGCACCACGCACACCTTCCTCTTGGTCGAGCGCAGCAGCGATACGGTCGCCCGAGATGGAAGTGCTGTATTTGGTGTTGCCCATCTGGCCGTTTGGCGGAGAGATGGACGACGAGACATCAGATGGCGTGAGAGCCCCCGGTGCATGGCCGAGGTCGTCGGGCGCATAGGGGACTGGCGGGTAGATGGAATGAGCTGAGTAGGGCATCATGTGCTCTGGGAGGCTGTAGTTGACGGACTTCTCGCCAGAAGGGCCTATAAAAGAAGTAAGCGATCGAAGTCGATATGGCCCCGACGGTGTGAACCCCATGGAAGCGGAAAAGTGCAAGTCATTCTCCCGGAGGATATCAAGCTCAAAAGGGATCTTAACAAGGGGATGTGCAGTTAAACGTCAGCAGGTAACCGTGGCGTTGTCATTTGGTTGCGGGATTGCGTGCTCGCTATTGGATTAGGAGCACCGACGGTGATCTCATCCCGCAATGGCGATGGAGATGCACCTCAAGTACTCCTATCCTGGCCTTTGCAGCGAGCAGCTTTCACAATTCAAATGGATTGCAGATGGAAAGGGAACAGGGGGTCCAATCCGGATATGTCCAACTCGCATATCCGGATCATGTTTTTTTAAGAGGGCCAAAAAAGCAGATAAGAAATCAATCAAAATGGAGAGATCCAACTTCAATTTTCAGACATGGCATTTCCAGCGCCGAACTAGAGCTCAGGCGCAAAAGAGGCGCGATGGCGTAACAGATGCAACATTGGGCACAAAATCTCAAAAGCTTGAAACGTACCATAAGGATAACCTCGGAGATCGAGAGAATGGCGGTCGTCCTCTATACTCTCGTACGAACTGACGGACAGACCGCCCATGCCTTCGGTCTGATCATAATCCATGCTCACATTGCCGAACGGGACCAGCCCGGTATCAGCATCGAATGAGTACTGTCGAGTCTTGGCTGCTGGATCGTGGCGCGACATCAAAAAATTGAAGTTCTCAATTTTGTCAAAGACCGGACTTGGACCCGGCAGCAATGGTGGTTCCCCGGGCATCTTTGTAGAGAGGAAAGAAGAAGTAAGACAAGCAAGCGTTCGGCGCCCCAGGCCTTTAGGGTTATGAGAGAAGAGGGGGATGCTCTTAACAGGATCTCCAGATCAGGAGCAATGAAGCAAACAGACCATTAAGAAAATAGGAAATAAATGATATAATCCGGGCACAGGTAAAAAAGTAATTAAAAAAAAATCAATAAGAGTAGGACAAAAGCCGAGAGAGAAGGAGAAAAAGGCCCGGAAAGCTGAGTTCTCGGCCACGATCACCTCGACAAGGGCCTACTTCATCGGCGCATGCCGCGGAAATTCCACCAGGACGAATCAGAACAGAGGGAATGATGGAGTTGACTGCGAAAAAGGGGGGGCGAGGCAAAGAGCGAGCGTTGCAAGTGGAAAGAGATGGCCCTAGTCGATGATCTGATAGAATGGAGAAATGTCGTGATCGCGGGCGCTGGTTGGTCAACTCGTGCACTTTCACCGCTCTCGAGACACCGGGGAGATTCTATTCTGATATAAGCATAAATCATCATTGTAAAAATAATTTCTCTAGACGAAAGCTCGCAAGCTCTCAAGCTGGGAGAAGCTGAGAGACCAAAGGGGGTCCCAATGAGGATCTCCACCTCCACGTAATCGACCAAGTACGGAGGAACGAGGACGGAGCTAGGTACGAGCTCCCTAGTTCTGTCCACTTACATATCAAATGCAATTCAATCTACGGAGTATGCAATTCAATCCACTCCGTATTCTATTCGGAGTACTCCGTAGAGAAGACGAGATTGCACGACGTAATGGGCCCCGAAACGCCATGACGCGGACTCCCCGATGTCATCTGAAGAAGCTTGGCGCCGGGAAAATCCTCTAGTCTAGACACCGTGATGCCATCGTGCTTTGGCCCTTTGAGCTATGATCTGAGCGGCATCGTCAACCGTCCGGCCTCGGATGCGATTTCCCACACGCTCTTCACCCAATATGGTATCCTCGGCCACAGTTCGATAAATCTCCGCCAGTCCTCCATAAACGTCCGCTCCCACCCCGTTCCATTCGCCCTCGGTATCGAACGCTTCCCCAATCTCCCGCATCTCACCCTCCCATCGATATGCCTTGGGACTCATACCAATGATCCCATTCGTCGCCAATGCAGCCGTGCGCGGGGAGTATTCCTCCAGCAGCGACAATAACTCCGGCAGCATGGACTCCTTTTGTGCCGTCGAGAAGGACAGGATCGAGAGCGCCGTGAGCCCTTTGGTCAAAGCGGCGAAGGAGAGTTTGAGGGTGGAGGCGGCGCCAATCCGAGGCGAGACAAGCTTCATATTCAACACATCGGCCAGCTTTGCAAATGCAGGGGGCAGATCCACCGACCCGGACAGCACCACGCTAGGTTTCTTCCAGCTTCCGTCTTGCGTGCTTTGTGATGGCGGCGCGCCAATGATTCCGCCATCGAGGATGTGGCACCGTCGGGCATGGTCCGTCGGTGTGGTTGGCTCGTCGAATTGCGCCGCCATCTCTGACACCAGTCGTGCGGATACGGCGTTGAGTTCGAGAAAATATAACTTGGACCGGTGAGCCCGGCCGTCGATGTCCTCGATCGCTGCTCGGAGACTGCCAGTCGAGGGCAGTGCATATGCCTCTGCAATTCGCTGCGCGGTGGCCACTGCGTTTCGTGGAGGCACGATCGAAAGTACATAGTCTGCTTGAATTACTAGTTCCTGATCGGAGGGAAGGGTCTCGATGCCTGCTGATTGGATTCGCGCCAGCGTGTGTTCACTCGCCCAGCGTTAGTTTGTGTTGTAGTTCCCAGCTCTCGCGCCGTACCTTCTTCCCTCTGCGACCGTGACCACGCGATAGTCGTGGGCTTTGAGGAGCCGGGCCATGCCGAGGCCCATGTCTCCAATCGAGACAATACCAATTGTAGCTTGTCGCATGGTGTAATTGCCTCAGGGAAGGTAAGTAGAAGTCCATTCTGATACCTAGACTATATATACATCCTCGTGTCTTGGGCCTATTCCACTCTGAATGCGGGGGGCTACTCCATCTCCATTTGTCAGCGGAACCTGACTGGCTGTACGGAGTCCTATGGACTGTCCTTATTGTTAATGTCGCGATCGTGATTGTCCCGTATGGAGTATAGAGAGGCTGGACTGGTTCTCTGCGCCCAAGATTTAAGCTTATTCCCACCCCTTTCTTGCCCATGGAAGTCTCGGTAGAAAATCCTACAGGATGGCCGGGAATGTACTTTTGCCTGGTTGTTTGCACGGCGTCGGAGATACCCACTTGGAATACCCGGGATGTCTGCAAGTTTACTCCGTGTGTATAGATGCATCATCCTGACTCCGGAGGCCCCTGGAAGGTCCTTCGAGGACACATCCAGAGACCCCGCCTCGAATCGGGCCAACAAAGTCCTCCGAGTACCAATTCACGGATTCCGGGTGTCCGACATCCCGTCCCCGAGCTGGGCTCTGGGCTTTGATTAATCATACTTTTTTTTCTTCTTCCTTCGTCTCCTACATATTCCCAGGACTCAGGAGAGAGCAGTTCAAGAAACAGAGATCGCCAGTCCTCTTGCCACTACCGGCCATTTTTCGCAAAGTCTTGGCATGAACCTCCATGACATCCCAGTGGCGACCGGCCAACGACGAAATGAACCAGTTCACTTCCCGGAACGAATTGCCCATGGAGTCTGAGCTGGGTACGCGACAGCACTCAAGGGTGGGTTTGGCTCCCCAGTTGTCAAGCTTTTCCGGTGGATTCCGGGGGAAAATCCGGCTTTTGCTGACGGCTAGCTAGGCGTGTGAGACATGCCGTCGGAAAAAGATCAAGTGTGAAAAGGAAGGCTGTAGTGCAATATGCGTGCAATGTATGCGCGGTAATATGACTTGTGTCTTTTCGGCACATGAGAAGTGGGATGAGCCAAGGTGAGGCAATATCGATTGTACCATTTTCGATAAATTTTCTTGGCCCTGGCTAATATGATTATGGTAGCGACGAGTATGTGAAGTCTTTGAAAGAAAGACTTGTGAAGGTTGAGTCCTTGTTGAAGACGGCAGGTATTCTGCAAGAGGATGATATGAGTCAGGATGAATTTTCCGATGACGACGATTACAATGGCACGACTAGTCAAGATGCCCCGTCTGTTTCGGGCCTAAATCCAAGAATCCGACCATCTCTTGTGTTGGAAAGTGATGATCTCGAGGGCACGCCCATCTTTCGAGCGGACGAAAGAGATGATTCTCGATATTATGGTAAGGGGGGCGAGAATGACCAATGAAACATCATACTACAGAATCTAACTGAACCGACAGGGAAATCGTGCTCCATGTCAATCTTATCACGAGCAGGAATAGAATGGATCAAGAGAAAAACTGGCGATGTCAGCTTCTTGCGAATCATCTCCCCCGGATCCATCCACGAAAATCCGTGGAATCAATGGCGACCGGATGTGTTCCACGATTTGTTCGCCTCGCAAGTTTTCAGGCCTTTGCCTCCAAGATCTGAAGTATTCTCTCTTATGAAAGATTTCTTTCGGACGGCCAACCGTCTGTTTCCTATCTATCTGGAGTCGTCCTTTATGAAGATGGTCGAATGGCAATATACGCAGCAGACCTGTGATGATTCTGCCCGTTGGGCCAGTATCAACATGGTGATTTGTTTGGCATACGAATATCGGTATTCGAATAGCCACAGATTGGAAAAAGACAAAGAGAAAGCTGAGTCCTATTTCAAAAATGCTATGTCGGTCTTTACGGAATTAGCTTTGAAACGCACCGATCTCTTGAGTATACAGGCTTTGTTGAGCATGGTACGTCTGTTACCTCCTTGAATTGGATGAAATGATCTAACATTGCAAAGGCGTTCTTCCTTCGAGGGAATTCTGGCACTCAATCGTCTTTGCCACTCATCACTGCGGCTATGCGATCTGCTCACCGAATGGGTCTCCATCGAGACATCGCAAGGCCAGAACTCAGTCCAGCTGAACAAGAGGAGAGACGGCGCGTGTTCTGGGTTGCATTTGTAATTGACCAAAGGTAAGAGGGCCTGACATGATAATGGGTTCCATGTGCTGATATCCATCCTAGTACTTGCTTAAGAATTGGAAATGCCCCATCCCAACATCAAGATGATTTTGATGTCCCTCTTCCGGAGGAACTAGAACACGACAAGCATGGCGAAACCGCCAGCAACATCCCATTCTTCCGCCAACTCTGTCGGATGGCACTCATAAAAAGCCGCATTTACAGTCGATTATACTCCGCCAAAGCGTTGGTAAAACCCCCTGTTGAAATATACAAGACAGTCAAAGAACTACACTCAGACCTCGAAGAATGGAAACGCGACTCCCCAAATCTCGGTGAGCTGACACTGAAAGTTGGCGAACGCGACTTTCTCTTTGGCTTTGCCTCCATTGGTCTCCACTTCGTCTATCACAATGCTTTGATTATGATTCACCGGGTACCTCTCTTTCTCAACTACGTAATAACAGCCAGAGAGGAATCAGAAGAGCTGGAGTCGATCAGCAAGGCACGTGCAGCCAAATCAACGGCCATTGGCACACAGGCCGCTCGGGACACCTTGAAGATTGTCAATAGTATGCCATGGGGAGACATCGCATGGACCTGGTAGGTCAACCCTCTCCCTCTCTTTCTATATCGACCCCGTTGCTCACAATCAAATCTCAGGTCATTACTATATTACGTGTTCCTAGCAACATCAACAATATTCTCAAGTATACTGCGGGATACTCGCAGTTCCAGAGTCCGAGCAGACCTCAAATCCCTCAACATGGCCTCAACATTCTTCGCAACTCTAACCCCAGGCAATGGAGCAACCGACTACGCCGGCTTCATGACCCACATGAGCACAAACCTCGAACGCATCGCCAAAACTGCAGTCGAGAAAGACGAGAAAAGATCCCACGCCCCAGACGACGAAGACCAAGAATACAAACCCCCAGGATCCAAGAGACACACCTCTCGCACACACGCAGCACACCATCCAAGACAAAACCGCCGACCCACAACTCTCCGCACAACAATGACCCCCGACACCGCTCCCCAATATCCAACATCAACGACCAAGCCTGACAGGACGGACATGAGTATCCCCAACCACCTAGAAGGTCTTCCACCAGTCAATTCCTCAGGTTACGTCGTACCTATGATTCCGAACGACACCAGCCAACCCAACAACCCATATAACCCCAACCAAACCAACAACTACCAATTATATCCCCGAGGAGCTGAGAATACCTTCTCTGCGCTCCAAAGCCCAGCCTGGCAACTATCGCAAGACTTCTCCCCACAAACAGGATCCGGAGGGCTACAGGCCTCAAATACCAACTCCCCAGACTCCTTCAGCAGCGGCAATCCAATCCCCGAATTCTTCCAGGTGCCCATATCAGAGAACTGGGATTACAGCGGAAATCTATTCGCAGGGCTCTTCCCTACAGAATACAACTTCCCGCCTCCCGTTCCGAACGGGCCTCAACCCGCCGGTACATATGACATGTCGGTGTTGTCTGCCGAGTCGTTCATTCATGGTGCGCCTGCTGTCGAGGGCCATGCTCCTCAGCCTGGTGGGTTTGATCCCCAGAGTCTGGGGTATGGGTTTATGTCACAGGGTCAGGAGGATCCCAACCAGGGGGCAGATGCAGTCTGGACTAATGGATTGATGGGACTGTTTTAGGGATGGATTGATGAGGTGTTTTCCTTTTTTTATTTCTGTGTTCTTCTGTTGGTTTTAGCGTTTATCTATTTCTCTTTATTGCAGCCTTTCTTTTTTTTTCGTATGTGTGCATCGTCGGGTCTTGGTATGGCCACATATATACTGGATGTGATATGATACATGAACACCTAGAAGGTTATATTCCGTCCAAGAGAGATCGATTGGCAAGTCATAGATTTTACCTAGACTGTCCGGAGAGGAGGAATGGATCGTGGTAGCCATACATTACAATGACCTGGAAAAGAAGAGAAGAATCAAAAGTGAAAAAAAATGAATGAATGACCGGTGGAAGTGAAAATAAAGACTGGGTATGAAAAACGCCCAGCCCGATACCGAGTAACCCCGTTGTCTCAGTGTCCCGCGCCATTGAGCCCAAACAGGGCTTAAAAGAGTTCACTCTGCGCCTTTCTTCCCCAAATTCAAACCCCCACCCAATAACCAAAGCATTAAAAAGTACAAAATTGTAGACTAAAACACAGACCCTGTGAGGGTGCGGACTGCCTTGCACCACACACCATTTCCGAGCTGAACATCTTTGTTTCCCCGGCCAAGACCCTTGCCCAGGATGCTTTGCAGCTCTTTGTCTGGAAGACCGGATTTGTTGTTTGTCCCGAAACCGTAGACTTTCGTTGCCAGAACATCCACGTCAAAGTCCAATAGGCCAACAGTGTTCTCTGTATTGTTTTGATCAATACGGGTCCGGACAGTGAAATCGACATCGATTCTCTTAGCACTGTTGTTGTTCTTCGGGGCAGTGCCTTTACGGCCAGGTGTAGCAGCGGTGGCATTGCCGAGGAGTGTGCAGCGCGCACGTAAAGAAAGGGAGCCTTCATCTGGCTTGGATAGGGTGAGGCGGGTGACACCACAGAATTCCAGCATGCGTGCTTCATTTTCCAGTCCGACTGTGCGGTCCCATGCATTAGAGATAAACCGCAGGAGCTGCTTGGGTGCGACAGTCGATTGCTGGATCGTTGTTAGGTGATGCTGAAGCGAGTGAAGGACTAATGATGCAATGGGGGAGATATTGGCACTCTTTTGGGTGTCCAATTGAATGGGGCAGTTCTTCTTCTCATCTTGACTGCTGTTTTTAGAGGCAAAGGCTCCAGGATAAAACTCGAATTGGAGCTGGTCGCGGTAGGCCATCTTTAATGATGGTCCCGCCGGGGCATCCGCTGGTGCCGAGGCAGAGACGATCGACCAGCCAGTTTGAAGTTGAATCTGTTGGACAGATGCTAGATTGCTCAGTTAGTAAGGAAGTAGACAAACGAGACCCGATTCCCATGAGAGGAGGAACTCACCCTTCAGTTCGTTAATTTCCCGGGCACTCCAGCCACGGCATTCTTCTTTCAGGCGCTCTGCCTCCTGGATCTGGGCCAGGAACTCATCTCGCATTTCAGCCCCAGCCTCGATGAAGGTTGTTTTCTCTTGGACTTCCTCCTGCAGCTGCTCAAGTTCACGTCTCTTCGCTGCGATCTCAGCGTCCACCTCGGACAGTTTGCTGCGCGTGCTACGCAGCTCGTCTTGATCACAATTCTCCATCTCATCTACCAACTGTTGTAGGTTTGTTGCCTCTTGCTCGAGAGACGCGTGCTTCTCAACTAGGATCGGCACATTGCTGTTGAGAAGCTGTTCTCGTTCAGATAGCAATTCGTCGTCTGCTTTCATTTCCTCTACGTGGCGGTTGAGTCCTTCCTTAAGCCCCTCAAGTAGCTTCATACGCCACTCATACCATGTAGCCTTGCTCAGCAGACGGGCATGGGTCTTGACGTTTCGGAACTGATTGTCCATGATAACTCGGATATCTGGCGGAGCTGTCACATACTCCCGGAACAGAGCTGGATTCTCGGCATATGTTTCTGCTTCGATGGAGCGGATCACTTGCCGGCCTTCAGAGATGTATGACTTCAACTCCCGGCATGACTAGAGAAATGGTAAGCAAAATAAAATGGACTATACGGGTATGATAAAACTGACATGCTGGTATAGTTCAAGCATGGGCACTGTACAAAAGCCAGCTGCCACACAATCATCAAATGTTATGGAGCCTGGTTTGGGCATTTTCTCCCCAGAGCGCCGTGTCAGCTTCCTGGTGGCACTCCCAGGGGCAGTCGTGTGTCGCCTCTTTGTGGTAGTAAGTTCCATGAAATGAATATTGGTCATGTTCAAAAAGTCCTGCAACTGAATTGGCTCACTGTCCACCGAGGCCTTCTGGGCAGGCGTATCTTCTTCCTCTGCTGGCTGTTGTGGATCCGAAGCAATGTGAAGAGCATCAATGCCGTGCTTGAGGGGGGTTGTCGAGGTTTCGGATGCACCTCGGAGTTGCTGGGAAGGCGTGGTACTGCCTTTGAGAGGTGATGAACTAGCAGCTCTACGAACGGGGGAATGGATTGACCGCCGGACATTCCCATCCTTGGCCATTGGCGCCGGTAGTTTGATACCTTTGACTGGACTAACATTATGGCCACGCAGTCGTTTTGGCGAATTCTCAGCTTCATCTTCATCCAAGTCCAGCTCGACAGGACGCTTGCCCAGAACTCCGCGAGCAGCCCCAACATGAAGGCTCTTGCGACTGCCGATCCTTGTCTTTTTGGGACTAAGATTTGAGATCATATCCTTCAAGCTTGAGGTTGCATCCCGTTCTGACTGTAAACCTGGAATATGGCCATCTTCTCGGAGTTCCTCTTCTTCGCGATCACGTTCTTCCTCGGCCTGCATTTGCAGAGGATCCTCAAAACGGACACCAGACCGGGGCTGTTCTTGCGGGATGAACTGGGGAGTACTGTCTCCGAGTGACTGGCGCTTGTCGAGTAGAGCTGTCACACGGGGAGATCCAAGCCCTTCTTTGTCGATTCCTAGACCAGAAGAGCGACGGCTCTCGCGTGGTTGCAACTTGAAAAGTGGGGTCGACTCTCCAGTTGCTATATTATGCTGGAATAAGCTTTGGCGTAAAGACTGGCGCTTGTCTGCCGATTGATGGAGTTCGGGCCGGAAGAGCTTCTTCGGTGAAGCACTTCTGAAACTAACATTGCCGGAGGGAGGGGTCTTGCTTGGGGTAGTAGGTTTTGCTAGAGGCGTAGATTGTTTTGGTGGGGTCACAGCTTTGGTGTCTGGTGATTGTTGTCCCTTGGCCGAGCTAGGTGCGCCCATTGAATCTGTAGTAGAGCCACGTCGTGCAGATCTAGCCTGCACAGCTGCTAAACTGGGGCTCCCACTGCCAGATGCAACAGCAGCAACTTGATAAGCCAGGGGTGATTTGGCAGGAGATTTGGCAGGAGATTGTCCGACATTGTCTTGGAAAGGCGAGCTGGCAAGCTGGCCCGAGTCAGCCTCGAGCTCCATAACCAGCTTCGCGTGTACTTTGTCATTGGCTTCAATTCCTGATTGCAGGATGCCACCGATCGCACCAGTCATCTCCATGTCCATGCCATCATCAGATTCGTTGTCCTGATAATTGTCTTGATCAACCTTCATTTGATCCGAGTTAGGCGTATGAGAAGGCTTGTGACCTAGAATTTTGCCGACAGCTGAAGTAAACTCCATTGTCATTCCTTCATCATCGTTATCAATTTCAGAATATTTTGATGGTGAATCCTCCTGTCTAATGCCGCCAACGACATTGGTCATTTCCATTGTTTGATCTCCATAATTGGATTCCTCTGCCAGCGATTGACGACGAAGTGTGCTCTGGCGACGACCAGGGGACTTACCAAGGATGCGTCCTACGGCGTTCGTCACATCCATGCTGAGATCTTCGTCCTCGTCAATATCATCAGATTCCGGCAAGTCCCGAATCGAGCTATCCTTGGATGGATTGCTGTTCTCCTGATCTTGCCGTGCGCTGATATCTTCCCAGTCGAAGCTTTGTCTTTGGCCCTTTTTTATCCAAGGCTGGAAAGCACCCGTGATCTCTTGGTCTGCGATTTCCATCGACATTTCCCCGTCCTCATCATCGTCAAGTTCGGTTCCTGCTTCCTTTGCCGCCTGTCGCAATGCTTCGTTGAGTCGAGCGCTTGAGCTTGAGCTTGAAGTTGCGTCTGATTGCACACTGACGCCTGAGCGCGCTGTTATATCATCCATGCTCATTGCAGTACTTTCGGCATCGAATCCATCTTCAGATCCCGAAGAACCACCATCGTCCTCGTCTTCCTCGGCCAAACTTTGGACGCCAGTGTCTTCGCTGCCTTCCGAGCTTCCACTGAACGGACTCGATGATAAGTCCTGGAGGCCGTCATCGCCACTCGTCGATGATGAGCGGCCTCTTATCTGATTTAGATCCTGTGTGCGCACGGGCGAAAATCCAAATTCCGATTCTGCTGGTGAAGATGGAGCATCTTTAGCGGGCGAAGTAGAGGCAGATTGATTTGCGGCGGATGCACGTCTCGTCGAGTTTGCAGCCGAAGAAGAGGTTGAGTCGTCTGGAATTTCCACCACATTCCAGGTGTGTAGAGTGGCCTCTGGGGCAAATGATACCCGGCGGTTTGCTGTAAAAGATATGTTAATATTCACTTCCACAATATGCTGATAAGAAAAAAACGGACCCATTGATTTCCTTCGAGCCGCTCGTTTCTCTAGGATATTCTGTCGTTCACGTTCTTTGCGTTCTTGTTCATCGCGCTCTTTGGTGGCAGCCATCTCCTCGCGAATTGCGGAAGTTGCATTGAATGTATCAAACGGATTCGCAGTATCGTCATTTCCATTTCCTGACACGGGAGGCCCTGGTGTTGTTTCGAAGTCAATGAAAAGATCCTCTTTTCCTGGAGCTCGTTGACCCTCTCCGTCCATCGTACCGTCGTGGGTCTGTTGTTTACTGCGAGCGGGTGTACGTCGGCGGGTTTCCTCAAACGACGGGATGTTTCGCACTGGAGAGACAGGAATTGTAGGTTTTAGAATTGATTTGAGTGGGAAAGAGGCCGTAGACTGTATCCCTTTAAGTTAGAATTGTGTATGCATAAGTAGTATATCGTTTGTAATGGCAATTACCTGGCGACGATTGCCATGGGAATTCTGAAGCGCATCAAGGCCGCCCGGCCCCAGACTCTTGCTCCGAGACTTTTTATCTTTCATGGCAGACTTTGTGTTGTTCAAGAATGGCTGGGCTGCACCAATTTCTGTGGTCGCATTCTCCTTGTCCAGGCCGGACGTCATCCTCGACCGCGGGACATGAGCGATCGACCGACGAGATCGCGGCGGTCGCAAACCCGCGGAGTCGGTTCGAGTTGACATAATGGGCGAGCGAACCGGCGCATTTACAGCTTGATCAGCAGAGCATATCCCACAAGTCCGAAAGCCGTGAGAACTAGAACTCAACCTCGAAAACAGAGATGTAACTCCGTCATGCTCCTATCGCACCTGCCCAAAGCGCGTTGCCTCCGCAGTCACGTGATGTAAACAAGGCTCAGAGCCCTAACCCCAATTAGCCTAGGCCGAATCGGGACTAGTGTCGCACACTACGAATTACCAAAGATTCCGACGGTCGACGAATCTTCCTCATCTTCGACAGACGCCAACCCGACCTTTCATCGACACCGCTTCCTCGTCGAACAACACCGCAAAAATGGCCACCGAGTTGAACGTCCAGTCGGAGCGCGCTTTCCAGAAGCAGCCTCACATCTTCCTTAACACCAAGGCTAAGGCTTCCTCCAAGAAGACCGCCCAGGGCCGCCGCTGGTACAAGGACGTCGGTCTCGGTTTCCGTACCCCCAAGACCGCCATTGAGGGAACCTACATCGGTATGCACGACCTCCGTTGAGATTTTATACGAAATTTGGTGGCGGAATATACGGGTGGGTGGTCTTTTCACGGATATCAAAAAGCAAGTGGAGGATCGCATGGAGCAATCGAGACTCCTAGAATTTTTGCCGGGTTCCTCTCGCGCCAATATTCGCATTCAATACTCGAACGCCCGAATCTCGAAAAGACCACCCATGTCCAAAAAAAACTGCAATGTCCAAGTTCTTTATCATGTCCAATTACTCATTCTTGGACTTTTACAGATAAGAAGTGCCCCTTCACTTCCCAGGTCTCCATCCGCGGCCGTGTCCTCGTCGGCAAAGTCGGTAAGTTCAAACTCGTGCATCTCCGTCGGAAGACATCAGGAAACTTATTAACGAGCCTTATCTAGTCTCCACCAAGATGCACCGTACCCTCGTCATCCGCCGTGAATACCTGCACTACGTCCCCAAGTACAACCGTTACGAGCGTCGCCACAAGAACCTCTCCGCCCACGTCTCCCCCGCTTTCCGTGTTGAGGAGGGTGACATGGTTACCGTCGGCCAGTGCCGTCCTCTGAGCAAGACTGTACGTTTCCCTTCGATATCTGTCAATTTTCCGCTACAATTGGCAATCTGCATAAGCGCGGAGTGTTACTCTACCACAAGCCCTCGAATTTTCCAATTCGTACAATCTTGCTACGAACTTGATAACTAACCCGACGTCTTCCTTTAGGTTCGCTTCAACGTCCTCAAGGTCCACGCCAAGACCTCCCGCGCTGTTAAGTCTTTCTCCAAGTTCTAGGTTAAATCGACCGGGTGTTTTGAAGGCGAAGGAAGCGGTATGGACTGGATACAAGAGAAGTTCTTAGATGGGGGTCGGGATAGTTTACGAGTTTCCATGTCCCAGATACCTCGCTGATGAATGTGTATTCACGCAAAAATCGAAAAGATTTGTTCGGCCCTCCTACAGCGGAAACTGTACAACAACTCTGGGATCAGGCAAGATTGACCATGGATGGCAATCCGGACAGCATTCAAATGCGCATCTCGAGTTATTTCCTTGCTCTTCTAAGTCTATCTTTGATAAAGTAGGATCTCCGTATGTGCTTTCGACGGCAGTGGCAAGTCATTTGAACAAAGGTTTGGCCATCTGCTTTCTGTGGTGACTTCGGCCTCGTTCGGGGTATCCACTAGCCAATTCACTAGCTTGGGGTGGCACTTGTCTATATGTATCCGTTGATAGGTGGAATCCTGGAATTATGCATATCTGTGCATGGACATAATCATTTGTTGCAGATCTTACTGGACATTCGAGTAGACAGCATTGACCATGGGTATTCATTCAACAGATTTTGGGCGTATTAGCTAGCAAGATCTCAAGTTCACCTGGCTACTCCAAACAAAGGTGCCCAGGAAAGACAGTTCGGGATTCCTTTCTGCACCAAACATTTCATTGGCTGTGCCCTTCTGGTCCTCTCACATATTTTGTTAGTTCTCATGCGGAGACCACAATTGCATCCGTTCAGCAAGATTCATATTCATTTGACCACGAAAGTCAAAGCGGGGAGACAATCTGCCCTCAGATGACCGCGGTACTCTTACTTCTATTGGAGTGGGTGTATCGGGATAGATCTCATCATCCGATGGCCAGTCGCGCTTCAATGCACGCTGAGAACAAGTATCCTCGTTGTCGGAGGTTAAATCGACCACCTCTTCGGTACGTAATCGCTTCGAGGAATGATCGAGGCCGTAATCCGCGGGGCAAAGCCCACTAGATAAAGTCTCATGGGTTGAGAAGTTCCCATCATCTGCTGTCTCGGTCTTGTCATACATCGATATGGATCGAGAGTCTGTCGGGCCATCTGTGTCCGACGTTCCTTCCGTATCTTCGTCTGTTTCTGGTGGCTCATAATCGAGGTCTGAAAGTGAGTCAAATGAGCAGATCTCCTTTGAAGATGGATTCCCGGGTGTTTGTTGGGGCGTCGGCAATATAACCTCACTTTCGGAATCTGACAATTCCTCAGACAAGTATGGCTGTGGGCTTTTCACGCCGTTGCAAAATTGGACCACTTCTTTCTTAGACTTCCAACCCCATGTCTTGGCAAACCTAGGTGCTATATTATCCCAATGAACCATTGGAACTTGAAGAAGCGTCAACAGTTTGCCAAGCGTACGGCCTGACTTGAATGGTGACTTCGTTTTTGATGCCAGCATGTCACGCAGGTGGTTATCGCAATATTTCAAACTGCTAATAAGTGAAATTTGCATCAGGCGATTGATATCACGGTGAGAATTTGCGATTTCCTCCAATCTAGCAATCTCTAATGTGGAAACAATTGCTTCGGTTGGGATATGGCCCCATATGAGATACTCCCCATAACCCTTCCACATGTGGACCAAAGACCTAGTCCGAACTGCCAGGGGACAAGCATAGAACACTTTTGTGTTCAGTTTTGAGGTGTCAATGACGGTCACTATGGCGCCCTTTTGGCTGGCAAGAGCGCGGTGGATAGGTGCCAAAGGAGAAAGGAAGGTGGAAATGAAAGGCGTCTTAGTCTTTTGCTTGGTGACATGGCTTCGAAAGAAGTTGAGGAATCGAGTTTCAGAGAAATCTTCCGGGTTGAACCATTCACCATTGCAGAAAAGCGCAGCTCGAAAACATGTTTTCGAGTTGATTCCCTGTGAATCGCAATTTGACCACCGATACAACAAAGGTGGCATCATGTCGGCCGAAACTCCTTGCATAGCCTGTTCATGGTCGTATGAATGGCCTGTTCTATGGGGAGATTGCTGGGCTTCGTCATGTTGCTCTTGATCCAAATCTTGTCGTTCTTGATGCTGATCTCGAGGCTCTTGGCTTTGGTCATTATTCCCATCTCTTTCATACTGGCTGTGGCGGCTTTGGTCATCGTAACTATCTGGTTCATCGATGGTCGTTCCATACTCACACCAGAGGCAAATCTTCCCATGACTAGTCACAACTGACTGATTACTTACCAGGTGGTGGGTTTGTTCGTGATTGTCACGGTCATCGACTGTGCTGCTTCCACCACTCCGGTTATCACTTCCGACAAAGTAACGGCTCCTTTCCTGTTGCTCTTCTGGGGAGTAGGGTGGAAATGGCATTCGGCGAGGTGTTTCTGGCGAAGAGGTCGGCAGCAGTGTTCTTGTAGATGGAACGTTCTTATGGACAGTTGTGAGCTTGAGTTTTAATATTAAAGCCAGACATGATACAGGACTTACCACAATGCTCGATGCCGAAGACAATCGTCTCGGTCCCGAAGCTATCACTCGCGTCCCCCAGAGAGTCGTGTCAATATCATCTTCCGTTTTCTCGTGAAGGGAAAGGCGCAGAGTCACTGCCGTGGACTTGATTCGTTGGATAATGTTCTTCCACTCGCCATCCACATCAAACTCGGTGTCCTTATGCACACGGGCCCAAACAAGATCGCCAGTGTTTCGCATCCATGACCACTGTGTGTGAAGTGTCCCGAAGGGAACAAAAGTCCGGATGTCACGTCGTCTCAAATTCTCGCGAAATATAGCGAAGAATATCTCTTCTTTCTGTCTCTTGCCACACTGGAAAAAACGGTAAAGACAGCAAAGAGTTTGGCGCATCGATGTATCCCATCGAAGCTTTGGCCTTTTGGTGAGTCTTTGTCTCTGCATCTCGAACAAAGCGAAAGACAAATAACAAAGGGTGTAATGTTGTCGGACAGTGAGAGACAGAGGTTGGGATGGAGCTCTCTCGCGGTTTTCGAGTCCTCGCACAGATGGGAGAGGGAGAATGAAAGAAACTCGAAGCTGCAAGGGTGGGTATACTGGGTCGTTGAGCGAGATAAAAAGACAAGGCAAAGATAGAAAGAAGCAAGAAAGGATATATGGATAACCATAACCAATAGACAATGTCAAGCGCTTAAAAGAGTTTGGGGACGAAAGCACGAGAGAAAGAAAATCGGCTCCAGAGATGAACTTAGGAGAGGGCTCGTGGGAATTCAGTTGAAGCGAACGCGCAGAAAAGAACTCAACTAATCCTTGAATGAAAGCCCGAGAGGTTTCTGTCTATCCTTCGAACGCGCAAGAGACAATTTCTTATATCTGAAGTCGAGAGGTTTGGTCCCATATGACGACTACATATGTAGGCACTTACATGTCCTACATGTATACACCGATCAGGATCTTTCCCGTTAGACTACTCTAGTGTATTTTAATCAATGCCGATACAATATCCTGATCATGGCTTGGAATTGTCTTGGTCCCACGGGCAATCTACACGAGGCCTATGACGAATTCTCTATATGTGAAATGGTCAATCCAAACCGCTGACAGAGCATGAGTTTAAATAATTGGCTTTGAAGAATGTTCCGAAGGAATTTTACAATGCTTCTCTACTTAGAGGTCAGGTTTACATTCTAGCGAGCATGAATATCGAAGATCTCACTCTCCTACATGTAAGTATCTCTCTTTGCCGTAGCTTAAGCGGATATACTAATGAGGCTTGTCAAAAATAAGGAGTGAAACTTGTTTCTGGGTATTATCTACGCCTATATGCACTCAACCTTATTTATATGTCTGATGATGGGGATTGTGTCGACCTTTTGGAACTGATTTTTAATTATCTGTGTCATGTATATGTACACACAGAGCTACGTGGATATAAAATTTTCATGTCTGTGTAGTTTGGAGCCCCGGAGGACGATTCCCTACAAATCAAGTATGAAACCATACTCCAATTTGTACCTTGATACCATATTCGACATTGGGCACATATCTATGTAGGTAAAGTGTGGTATTAAAGGAGTCTTTTGCTGTTCAGGTAACATTTTGATTCAGTAACACCAGAGATAGTCTCGCATTTTGATCAATTGCAGATGTATAATGTTCTCCCATTGGTTTTTCAGTTGACTGCCAGCCAGAGAATATTTGCATATTGAGTATGATAGCTTGGTAAATGTCTTACGTCTATACACTACATGTACCTAGGGAGAGCGACATGATCGTAAGATTCATTTCATTCGGAACTAGGTTGTTGTGAGGATATATAACAAGAGAAGCACAGAAACGAAGGCTGGCAATCATCGAGAATCCTGTAATATTAATATCCTTAGCCCACATGCCCTCATATATGTAAGATATCATAATGCTACACAGCACTCTCTATACTTCCTCTACGAGCACGCGGGCCCGATCCTCGTGCCACCATGCGCTAGTCCCAATCGGGTTGTCTCTAGGAACAAGCACTCCGCCCAGGAACTCCCTCGGCCTCACCCTTTGGACCTTCGCCTCTTGTCGCTATCCTTATCCCGCCCATTTGCTTCTCCAAGCACATTCACTCCCTCCTGGATTCACTTGCACGCCGATCTTTGACCCGGCCGTTCCGATTGGACTTTGTCCTTCCCTAGAAAACTGCCAACTATCCCCAGGCTCACAACATGGCTCAATGAGCCACGTCATGAGCGATACGGGTGATGATTTAAAATCTTCTTGGATACTACAAGGGCATTGATTCTTGGAGCGGGTTCTCCAATTTTATTCCCTCCCCTTCTCTCGTGAAAGACTTAAATCCTCTTTCGCCGTCGAGAAGTTGGGCACCAATTTGCGACACTTTGAAACATGGCTGGAGGATTTGAGAAGTCGGTAAAGGGGGCCACCAAGCTCAAGGTTAGAATTTCTAGACTATTCTTCTCTATGTGCGACAGTCACTCACTCTTTGACGTGGACAGCTTGCGGCTCCTAAATCCAAATACATCGAACATATTCTAGTGGCGACCCATACCGGCGAGGCAGGAGTCGCGGAGGTATTCCGGTCACTCCAGCTTCGACTCCGAGACTCGGCGTGGACCATTGTTTTCAAGGCGCTTATCGTTCTTCATCTTATGATCCGTGAGGGCCAGCTCGATGCTGCGCTAGGATACTTGGCCGATAACCCGAGAAAAATCGCCCCCAGCAACTTCTCTGAAGGTTAGACTAGCGGTATTCTCTCGTTTTGGCGTAGTCACTAATGAACTTATAGCTCAATCGCAGGGGAATAACATCCGACGATATGCCGAGTACCTTATCACGCGCGCCAAGGCGTTTGATGCTTCCAAGACTGACCATGTGCGAAGCGGACCGGGACGGTTGAAGAGAATAGGCGTGGAGAAAGGTCTCTTGAGGGAGACTGAAATTGTACAGAAACAGATTCGTGTGTTACTGCGGTGTGATGTGAGTGAATACTAAGTCTCGTCTCCTTCTCAGTGACTGACAGCCCTTAGTTATTGTCGGATGAGCCTGAGAACGAGATCAGTCTGACTGCGTTCCGTCTCCTCACGCTCGATCTGTTGACTCTATATTCAGTCATGAACGAGGGCACTATCAATGTTTTGGGTAAGTCCGCTGCTTCTCTGTCCGAGATCTACATGGGGTCTAACTTTGAACCTAAACAGAGCACTACTTTGAGATGTCGCGGCCGGATAGTATACGCGCCCTGGCAATCTATAAGACGTTCACAAAACAAACAGAAGAAGTGGTTCAGTTTTTGGGAGTGGCAAGACATTTCCAATCTGCCACCCGCCTAGAAATCCCGAAGCTCAAGCATGCCTCTACGGACCTGGCACGTCTTCTTGAGGATGATCTCAACGACCCTGACTTTGATCTTCGCCGACGCGAATACTTGGCTAAGAAAGGTGTACGCGCTCCACCAGGTACTGAATCCAGTGGGACTGCCGATGTATCAAAGCCAATACCAACCCCGCCGTTTTCGAACCAACCGAAGCAGGCCGAACAACCGAAGCCAGTACCCGTGGACTTGATAGACTTCTTTGATTCAATTGAGCAGAACCAGCAGCCAATGGTTCAACAGACCCAAATGCAGTATCAACAAACAGGCTTCCAACAACAGACGCCGCAGCAAGCCTTCTATCCCCAGCAAACCGGTTTCCAACAGCAACCCCAGGCGATTCAGCAACCTCAGGCGATTCAGCAACCTCAGGCGATTCAGCAGCCTCAAGCGATTCAGCAGCAGCCCCTGGCAACCGGATATGGCCAACCGGCGCAATACGGTGCGCCTTATCAAGTACAGAATCCCAACAATCCTTTTGGTCAGCAGCAGCAGCAGCAGCAGCAGCAGCAACAACAACAACAACCACAGCCGCCGCAGCTACAGCCGCTTCAAGCTATGCCAACCGGTGCTGGATTTGGAGGATACTCAGCGCAGCCCCAGTCATATGGTTTCCAATCACATTTGGTTCCAATTCCGCAGGAAAATGTTCCCGCCTTCCCTCAACAGCAACAACAAGGACTCCAGCCCTTGCAGCCTCAGCACACAAATCCATTCCGCCAGTCGGCGATGCTTAATTCCTCCACGGCGGCTCAGCCGGCCGCCACTCCACTCTCGCGACAGAACACGAACCCGTTCGCCAGACGACTTTCTAGCGCAAACCAGCAATATAATACTTCAAACGAGCAACTCCAGCCCGTGCAACCCCCACAAGCGCAACCGATCCAACCCCAGCGTACGGGAACCAATCCTTTTGCGCGTAGCTCTCCTGCTCCGCAGTCAGGCCTTCAACCTCCAGCAGCTGCCCCCTTGCGACCTAACCTTACTGGCAGCACCAACCCGTTCCGACAGAGCCAGTTTATCAACCAGCAAACCGGACAAGGTTGGCAAAACAGTGGGCAGAGTGGTACAATGGGCGGATTAGAACAACTGGAAACCGTGCCAATCTTCCCGCGACCTGGCATGACCTAAATTTAGGGACACAACTTCTTTACATGTCGGAATGAAGCCGACGTCCGATTATTAACTTATTTCCCCTCGATTATTTCATTCATTGTACCTCACTTACTCCCTCACAACATCTTTTGCCTCTACATCCAGTAGATAACGGAATCCTGGTTTCTTGTTTCCCCGGGTAGCTTTCCATGTTTCACTATGTAGATCTTCAGCCATCTACGTAAGTCCTCTCAGAGTTTACTTGTACTCTACTGTACTCTACATGCGTAGTCAATGGCTCTGAGAATGTTCACGGGTCTCAGCTGGAGACTTTCAGGGCTGGGCACCATGCAATCGTTAGTGAGCGATCATTAGTCCCCCAGGGCTGTTTGAAACCTGTGAAGTCGCACAATTTCCGGCATGTTATACGATCCCCGCCTCAATGCCATGGGCCCAGGACTAGTGCTGACAGGGGGTGGAAGATCTTGACGTCTAAGGCCTTGACCTCGTTGGGGGCCCAAAATGCAGATCATCCAACATGTCAGGCTGCAGGAATATAAATTATACACACACCCATAGAGGTTGTGCTAGGGGTGTGTCTGAGCGTTTCATGAATCATCGGTTTTCTAGATGATGATTGCATACGGAGTATAGATACATTCGTATATACTCCCTGGACAACGTACGAAGCACACATGTCATCTTCCCCCTTTCAACGCCACATGACCTCTAAAGCACTCGGTGGATAAAAGCCAAGAGACTTCGAGTGGATCAGGGTCTCTCCCATAGCACACAACATAGTAATTGCAAGCAGTCATCTGGGAGTCCCGGTGATTCTTCTGCTCTCTTGGGCTGGCGGCTCTGACCGTTCTACCGATAGGCCTTCGTGACCCTTGTGGCTTACCCCAACCCCTGAACCTGAAAACAAAGAAGGCGACCTCGCATAAATCAGCTAAATTAATGCACACTAAACTCTTAGCGGGAGCCGATGATTCGTCGAAGCTGAGATAACTGTGAAGAATCCAATTTTCTTGCCCTGGATTTCTACAACTACCCCGCCGGTCCCCCGGGAAGGAAGCTTGGGCTCCTTTTCCTCTTCCAAATCACCCTTATGCCTCGAACTTCCGGGTGAGCTCTGCAATGGACGCCAAGGAACCTCACTTTTCCGCTTCCGAGAAGACCTTGCCCGTGTTGTCTCGGCCGTCGGCTGCGGCTTGGTCGGCCGATCCGATCCACTCGGACCCCTACGCAGCTCCTCCCTACGCGGATCCCAACGTATCAAACCCTGTCCAGACCCTCCAGACCGCGAAACCCCCAATACCCAGAGCTCCTCCAGCTCCAGCCCTAGCTCCCGCAGCTACAGGTCCCAGTCGCATTGCACCCTCCAGAATTCGCAAGCCCCGTAAGAATGCCAATGTTTCTGTGGGGAAATCCACCCTATTTTGGGTCAATAGCGATCAGCAAACAGCGGCGGCAGGCACAACGGACGAGACCCTGAAGCGGATTCGATCCCATGTGATGTCCGAGCATAATCGCAAGAAGCGAATGGAAAGCACGGAACAGTACAATAAGAGCAAATGGAAGGCGCCTTATCCACCCCCCGCGACGGATGCCAGTGCACTAGTGCCCGTCGGCCCTGCCCGCCCGTCGATCAGTTTGCCTGTTAGTTTATCCAGGACTCAAATTTCCGACAAAAGAGAAATAGACGAGGTTGAAGCGCTTATAGCAAGCACAGCCGTGGGATACTCGGCCACGCTCGCCGCAACATGGGATGATAGTGGTTTCAATGGGACGATGGCCTACCCTCCTGGACCGTCTGTATGGTCGTACGTGGGACAAGGAGCTACTGACCCTTTTATGACTGGGCATACCCAACTCACAGAGAATATGATGCGGCATCTGCGAGTCTGTAAGTGTTTACAGCCCAAGTTGGCATGAAAAGCTTGCGTACTGACGCAGTCATAGTCCTCTGGGATCTCACGCAAGAAGCCCACCCTTTACAGACACGGTATAAGCCCAAGCTCCAGGCGCACTGGGCGTCATTGATCCAACGTGACCCGGCCGTTCTACATGCAACCATTTGTATGGCTTCATCGAATAACGCCATGCAGGCAGGAGAGTTGCCTATTCGAGATCCGACTCAAAAGCGGAGCCAATTGGTGATTGATACGTTCCATCACCGCGGTGAAACTATTCGATTGGTCAACGAGGGTCTATCAGACCCGGTCAAAGCTTCTAGTGATGCTTTGATTGCCGCAGTTTCTACCTTGTTGACGATTGAGGTGAGTGTATTCCTTGAACCAGGCTTGTAATAGCGGAAGCTTATATATCATGGTAGATTGCGTCAGGTAATCCTGATTATCTCAAAATTCACCTGGCAGGGTTGCGGCAGATGATCGCACTGCGAAAAAACTTCCACGAGGTTCCTTCAGACGTCCGGTTTCAGATCTCATGGTAAACATTTCCCTTCTCGAATAAGACATGAGAAAGCTCGCTAACCTCACAATCAGGACCGATATTCGAGTCGCCTGCATGGCGCACGCTAAACCTATATTTCCCTTTGTTCGCTATACCCGCCCAGCGCGGTTTTCCCTCATCCCACCCAACGATGATGTAGCTTTGCTTTCCACCCGCCTCTTTCCCTTACTCAAAATACCCGGCATCTTCGGCGAAACCATGCCGCAAATCATACATGATCTCCTCGAACTATCCTGGTATGCCGAATGGATCAAAGGCAACACAGGGTACAAAGAGTTCAATGAGGAGACCGAGGACTATTTCAATACAGAAGTTTTGCACGTAGAATATCAGCTGCACATGGACCGATATACGGTGACAGGCCAGGTAAAGGGCGACAACAGCATCGAGGGCTGCACCCGCCTTGCGTTACTGCTGTTCCACAACAGCGCCATTTGGAACTTCTATCCAATGGTCGCTCAGTTGCTGCCCAAGCCGATCCAGGCCCTGCGCACAGCCCTCGAGGTGACCATTCCCTCTGGCCTATTCGCGCTATGCCGTGACTTGCTTTTCTGGCAGCTTTTCTTAGGTGCAGCTTGCAGCCTGACCCTGCCGTCCGAGCGGGATTTCTTCGTGTCTGAGCTAGCTACAGCTGCAAGTCTGCTAGAGATCGGCTCGTGGCAGGAAGCCCGAGCTACTTTGCTAGGATATTTCTATGTCGATCGCGTTCACCTGCCTATGCTTCGCCAGATTTGGGACGAGTGTCAGTTGCAGGTAGCAACCCCAGTCGTATGAACTTGGCTACTTGGTTCTGTCGTAATAGACTCGATTTTTGGAAGATTGACCATATCCAGCCACCTTTTTATATACTCTCAAGGATGTGGGCTTGTCATCTTGCTATACCTACCCACAAGCGAAGATGAAATGGATATAGCGCTATGTATCTTGAAAGAATTGACATCTACTTCTGTCTAAACAAGCGACAGAGGATGATAGCTGACCACTTCCCCAAAGCTGAAGCTGATCACATTGTACACAGAGTCCTTGCCATCCCCTATTGTATACAACAACCGCTCCACTTGACGCACTTCTCAAACAGCTAAGGTACCAAGCCCCTGGCAAGCAAGACGAAACATCATAGCCAGCACATAATCCCGATCAAACCCGACACATGTCTCCTACATTCACAGAGTCCAGCCACATCAGCCTATGAAGATAATTACGGCATCCCGATTTCCGAACAATCTCCGCCCGTCTCAGCCCTCTGACAACGCTGATTCGCTACAGCCGTCTCCACCGAACGTGCACCGACCTTCAACCGGGATGTCCTCGGTCTTGGCTCGGTGTTGCGCGCTTTTTCTTTTGATAGACATGCAGATTCCTAACTATGTCACTCTAGTATGCTGGTGCCTGCTTTTTTTCTTTCATTTCCTCATCTTCACTTTTGCCAATTCATATGGACTACAGAGTGTATAGAACGGAAACAATCGTCAAAAGCATCAGGTATGAACACTCGACAGTATGCAACTCTCAACTCATCCTTCACTACCTATACATCATATGTATGTTGCACATGCATGCCATGCAAAGTCTGAAACCGAGAAATGACCGACATGAGATAATTGACCCAGAATCTCCACTCCTGGGGTGGCTCGATCGCGGAAAGCTAGTCAAGGGTCTATGTATAATAGACCCTGGCTGCTGGGAAAAAGACTCACTGCATATACATGCGATCCCCCTATCCTTCCTCTCTCCCTTTCATTATACTGAAACATGTCCCTTTTTCCCTCGTTTTTATCCTTCTTTTTTTCTAGGGCATTGAGGTTTCTCTTCAACTTCATGCTCTCTCTATATCTTGTGTGTTTGGGTCATACTATCCACAACCAGGCTATCCTTGACATGTTGAGCATCAGGCTTGCGTGTCTTGACTAACTATGCAGATGCTTGGATGGTCGATGACTCATGTTGAGAGTGTATGATGCTGCTTACTCAAAAGCATGTCCTGACGTGATCCTCCGGGTCTTTTCTCGATTGTCAGCCCGCAACGATTACCCAGTTCATTCGCATGCATGGGAACACAAAACATCGGCGTTCAGTTTACAACATATGCCTCGAGTCAACAGCACTGGTCCTGGGAGACGAACAAAAGCAAACACGATACGAATCTCACCAACGGCGTCGGAAGAAATCTACAAGGCTGATATGGGAAGAAAGAGTTGAAATGGAATCTTGAACCTTGCGACGAAGGGCAATGAATTAATTACTGCGTCAGAAACTCGCAGGTGAGAAAAGAGACAGAGACTAAATACAGCGAGGAAAAGAAGAGAAACAACTGAGCGTGGATATATACCCGGAGTACTCCCCCGAACAGTCACAACCAGCATCGACCAATCTTTCAACAAGCGCGGACGACTGGCGGATATCTTTGCAACTGTGCATCATGTTTTTCATATCGACCATGCAAGGCGACAGTCACCAGGCGAGACAGAACAAGAGACCCTTCCCTTCGCAATTCCCGATCGACAACGAACGAACGCGTCGAGAGCAGAACACGAGCAAGAGAGACCTTTGTCTGCAGCCCATTCATACAACAGTGGGTATCGAAAACATTACAAGTACTAAACAGCACCTTCGCATCCCTGTCTCTTTTCTCCAAAAAAAAGCAAACAACAAAAAGGAAGAGAGAATCTATGCCTGCTCGCGGTCAGTCTTGCCACGACGAGTGCGACCAGTGGCAGACCAGGGGAAGTGGGCCACAGGGATTATAAAGAAGCTATTGCTGGTATCGGCAAGACCAGCCAGGGCGTTGTACCAGGCAGCGAAAGCAGCCAAGAAACCGAAGAGACCACCAGCCTTCTGGACTTTGGCATTGGGGTGGCCATCGGGACCGCGCTGCAGGTAGGCAATACCGAGCAGGAGGAAGGTCAGATCCAGTGTGAAGAACAACAGGAAGAAAGCGACGGTGGACTTGAAGGTGCAGAACAACATGATGGTGGTGAAAATGAACCAGCCCTGTTTTGAACGGTCAGCGGGGAAGGATTCCCTAAGCAAAAAGAAAGAAAGAGAGGGCAACTCACCATCAGGAACAGACCCATGGAATCATAGAACTTGGAAGGGTCGTTGCTGGCCTCGCCGAGGGCATCGCCAATCTCGAAACCACCAGGAGTCAAGACGATAGCGAAAGCGATCCAGAAACCACCGTAGGAGGAGAGAGCAGTAGCACCGAAAGTGTTACCAACAGCCATTTCCCTGTAATAGCGATCACATTAGACGCGCCCAAAGAAAACCATGGCTGTGAAACCCAATCAGGGTCGAAGAGGTTACGGTTACATACCACATGCCGGAGAGCAGCTGAACGAGACCACCGTAGCCAAAGGCCAGGCCGATGACAATGCTGGGGACACCGATATCGCGGGTACCCATATTGATAGCGCTCAGCACGAACGTGGTGAGGGCGAAAGCGCAGAGGCCGAGGGGAGCAGGATTGGCAAACTTGCGGCCCTCGACGGGCTTGTACAGACCGGGCTGGAACTCACCACCGAAGGAAGGCAGGAAAGCCTCCGCGGTGTTGACGTGAGCGAGGGGCCCGTATCCGAAGCGGGCCGCAGCGCGTGCTACTTGGTGCTCTTCGGCAGACATCTGGGGCTGCATGGGGGCGCCGCCACCGTTCTGAAAACCGTTCTGGATACCATTTTGAACACCGACCCGGGGAGTAGGGCCCATGTCCTTCTCCAGACCGGCGTGATCGATTGCTTCGGTCGACATGATGTGTATCTGACCAGCGTTAAAAAAAAAGAAGAGAAGAGAAGCGAAGTATGAAGCCGTATAACACAGTTATAAGTTTCGATCAATTGACAGCACGGCTGGACCAGAGATGGAAAAAGGTGGAGAGGGCAGGGGCGATGGGAAACTATTATACCCCGACTTTGCGAGGTTTGGGAAAAAAATGGAGATGTTGGGAACAGGGCACGAGTGGGACCAGGTAACTTACAGTTCTGTTATTATTATAAACCGCAATGATATGCAGCCGGCAAGACCCGTCCCACTTTTTCCAGAGCAGTTAGGAAATAATACACGGAGAGAGAGAGAGATGGGGAAATGCTCTCAAGTTATACCCGGGTTATGTGGCCATCCGGGGCTTGGGCGGTTTTTCTTTCCTTTTTTTTTTTCTTTCTATTTTCCCCCTCCGCTATTACTTTCTAAACCTACTCGTTTCACAGGGATCAGAAGCCATTCTCATCTAGAACAATGTCAAATTAGCCATGCAGGGACGGCACGGAGGAATGGGAGACTATGCAGGTTACGAGGGCCGTTCACTGGCCACCGACCAAGATGCAAGGATGAATGGAAGGACAAGCCCGGGGAAGAAAGTGGAGAGGCCGAAAGGATCCGGGCGACCATTTCATTGGCAGAGAGAAGAGGAATGGAAAACAAAGTCTGGTAATGCCCGTCATAATTCGCTAGTTGGGATGTACGGAGTGTCTGGTCTATCTTTCTTACTGCATACATCCTGGGGGGAGGTTCCCGTCAATAATAAGGAATATATGGGTAACCTTCATACGTGTCAGGATGGGAATTATTCGCTTTTTCCGGCATACTCGCTCGAACGTTAATGCAGAGAGGTTGATATCGGATTGGCCAGCCCCGGGGGCCATGTAGTGTAGATACTAGAATGTATAGCCAAATACACCAGAATCCGTAAAAAGGTCGTCACGCATGTTTTGAGAACACGATCAGCATGGAGGGTATAGTTTCCACAATCAAGCTCGTACAGAGTCCGTAGTCCACTTCATATCGAGATTAGCACACCGAAAACTACGCCGTGTGCGATAGGATCCGCCCACAGGATATGCAAGTGTGGAGAGGCTTATTGATCCAGCGGTTCCGAGGTAGAGGGTACTTGTTGCGGCCACCTGATTCGGTAGCAAACGCCGGTACTCGATACCGAGCCGAATCGACTGCGTCACGACCTCGGTACATGGAATGTGGGCACTTTTTTTGATTTTCCCTTTTACCAGAATGCCAATGCACTAGAATCCTTATTTAGCCTTAATCAGACTAAAGAAAAGAAAGTACTGTATATGAACGGAGTACTCCGTACTCCGTACAGGTAAATTTAGTCTCCGAGAGATTACGCACCAATGATTCCATCCACTATTCTATCTCAGAAGGGGAAAGGTTCTGTGCATGGATTAGTTGTTATTGATGCACCATTTCCACTTTCGTATATGATATCCATTTTTCCCCCCACTTAGCGGCCTTGCGCAGACTATCCTCCCCCTTTTTGCCCCTTTTTTGAGGAGAGACTAGGTCCAGCAACACCACTCAGAGAGCTGCTAACTCACATCATACCCACTTACCAGATGGGACTGACACACATCGAGACACCGTGTGGAGCGCCGTTGGCAAGCTCAGTGTCCCGGTTGAGTGTTTCATAATCCGGGACAACGGGAGAGATCAAGCGACTACGAGAGTGACCAAAGAGGTAAACACGGCCGTTGCACAGGTCCCATGTCCAGTTGCGTTTCTCAAATGAGCCGTCGGTCCGGGGGGGAACCTGGATCGGCGCACGAGGCTCGGACCCATTCTCGAAAATCCCCTGGTGTTTTCTCTTAGCCTATGATGTGAGAGCTAAAAGATGCCTCCCGGTCAAGCTTCATCTCCACATGTGGCTCTGCGACGGGGCACGTGACAGCCCAACAGTGGAACAAGGTGGACATCCAAATTGCCTCTGCGGTTTCTACGGCGTATTCCTGTGTCTGGTCGGCTTGGGATTCGGCCCGCTGATATTGAGATTTCAGAGTCCATGCCGATTTAGCCATGTTCAGATCCTGGTTTTTTTTTGTGTCTTTTTGTGCCTTTGTACTTTTGCTTCGTAATGTCATCCGTTTCAGAAACGGGCAAAGGCTGGGAAAAATAATTTCCTGTGATTATGCAAGTATTGTTATGTTGTACCGATGTTGCAGGCCCCAATTTAGCAGCAATAATAGGCGCCGCTTCATGCACTGAGACATCCCGAGGTAGCTCTCTACTCCTGCGGCTTTGGCGAGTGGTCTCGCCAAGTTCTGGCAATTTACGGCGCTGAGAGAGAAAAAAAAAACTTCTCAGTGCCCAGGCGCCCAGACGGGCGAGGCGACCGTAAGCATCCACCGAATAATAGCTTGGACTGGTGGCGCGCCAAGGAGCAATAACGAACAAACAACACCCACGCCACAAGTCCGGTTAGCTTGAGATTACCTTTCGAGTGAGCAACCTTGAATGCTATGTATGTGTTGGCCCGTGAGGTGGCCTGAGGCCTGTTAGTCTCACATATGGGAGTTTAGCCAGGATTGTGCGATGTCTATATAGCCTGTGTGGGTTGTCTCAAATAGGAGACATGCATGGGATGACAGTGAAAGGGAAACTCTGGAGGTCATAATGCTACCTAATTAATTAATCTAAAGCTGCATGAATATTAGTAATCTTTTGATTAAGGCCCCGGGGCCGTTCGACTTGGTGCTTTGTGCTTTGTACTCGGGCACTCCATAGGACATGTTAATTGCTACACACATGTGCATGTAGGTACCTCGCTTTCCACATCCACCGAGACCATGTGGTCTGAGCATAACTTACCCAACAGACAGCATACATCATACAACAACAGGCAATAAGCTCACTCCTGCACGTCGTGGATGTACCTCGCTGTGGTGTATGATTGGCCCCCACAGGATGTAATGGCGATCTTCGTACTCCGTGCTGCATATCGGTGACCATAGCACAGATCAACAGGTAATTGCTCATAGAAGTCCAACGCACAGCCAATACAATATAACCAGGAGGTATTCTGAATCCTACTCCGTACAGAGTAGGAACTGTTCCCAAGGTACCTCCCCTTGCTTGGCGTAAACTCCTGCTCTATCCGGGCAAGCGACGCGAGAATATTTTTTTTCTCAGCCCTGGGCGATCGCAAACCCCAAGCAGGGAGTAGCGTCTACGAGCTTGCGCACGGGATGCAAGAAAAGTCTTGGACAAATACCTGTACGGCATGTGGTAGCACATCATACGATAGATTTCGTGTTTTTGTCTCGCACATGGCACGATCTGCATACGGATGCTTCCCCACACTCTGCTCATCTGACTTATGCAATCCCCGGGCGAAGCGAAAGACGACGTTTCCGTGGGGTATTCACAAGAATGGGGGCAAATCAGAATGCGTCCAAGGTCTCGTTACCCTCGGGTATGGTGTGTATAGGTGAGTTCGGCTCGGCGGAGCGGAAGACTTCTTTGATATGCCAAGACGGACCCCAGAGCCACGTTTTTGGGGAATCCTTTGAACTAATCTGGGGTAAGTCATCAATCAGGTGCTAGGAGTACAGAAATAGGACTGGGATTCCGATTAGCGGAGTCTGCTGTACTCCGTGTTGTTTTCTCTTACCAATCAATATGAGTCAAGCGGTGTTTCAAACCAGCCATTAATCATGCCAACCCTAGAGGGTGGGAATCGAGGCCTTGAAGCTTCCAGTGTGGTTTATATCTACATGAACGTTGTACGGAGCTACATGAACGTTGTACGGAGCCTTCTTGCATATGTTATGTAGGGAAGCTGTAACGCGTAGTCAAATGTGCACGACTGCTCAGTGGTCAGTGATTCGAATTCTCAAGGTCCTGCCTGGAGAGAATACAGGTACAGCCAAGAAAAGAACAAAGGAAAGAACCCAAGCCTATATACGGAGTAAGCCCCCTGAATAACTACAGGTACACTTCCAGCTCTGCAGATTAGAGCTTACGTGTGATGGGCCTCGCCTAGATACCTTATTCAGCTGCAGCCAGCTATGCATCTGCCAGAGGCTTGCTCACCGATATCAATATGTAGATCGACCAGTTCTCTAACGTATTTGCTTTTTATGTGACCTATCTGTTCTTCAAGCTACCTGCAGAATTCTCATGCAGCGGCAGCCTACAGCTAGGTACACAAGCCTCGACGATAGATTACCTTGGTTGATATTTGATATATAACAAGCTGACTCTTTGGGGTAGTTACATTATGTACGGAGTACGGAGTAGTGTGATGTTGACCTCGAACTGCACAGCCACGGAGTAACATTCCAGAATTGTCGGTTGTTCATGTGTTAGTGAAATGTCCATTTCAGGCGCAGCTACTCTGTAGTTGGACGAGGTCTGAAATTCACACCCGCATTCCAGCGCCATCACCACCCCTATAGACCCCCCAAATGCTACAATGTGTGAATTTGCGTCGCTCAACACCAATACCTTCTCACTATCGAGACAGCGCAGCGGAATATTCCAAAAGGTAATATCTGAACATATATGCGTCTATATGTTCTCCTATATCTAAACAACCATCGCTATGCAATCATGACAAACACCATGCCCAACATCCAAATCAAGCCACAGCCTCAACAGACTTGTTGAACTCAGCACTGAACTCATAGTCAATATATCCCTTAGGATCCTTAGGGATATAAAAGGTATCCCGATCATAAGGCACCAACGGAATCCCCTCCTTAACCCGGAACGGCAAATCCGGATTCGAAATAAACGGACGTCCAATGCCAATAACAGCATCATAATCCTTATATTTCACATCCACCGCCTGAACCGCCGATTCAGCCACATACCCACCAGCAATGATAACCGGCGAAGCCTTCCCATAAGCCCGCAAAAAGAAATCCAACCGATCATCCTGCTCCACATCCGCATTCCCCGCAATCCGCGATTCAACCAAATGCACATAAGCCAATCCCATCGGCACCAACTGCCTAGCCAAATACTCAAACTGCGGCTTGGGATCAACCATCCTCATCCCCTGGAACGGACTCCAAGGACTAAACCGAATCCCCGTCCGATCCGCACCAACAGCATCAACCACGGCGCGCGCAATCTCAATCGCAAACCTCGCCCGCCCCTCCACGCTGCCCCCCACGCATCCGTGCGCGTGTTGCACGTATCCTGGATAAACTGATCAATCAGATACCCATTCGCAGCGTGGATCTCGACGCCGTCGAAGCCCGCGGCGATGGCATTGCGCGCGGCCTGCGCGTAGTCGGCGATCCAGTCGCGGATCTCGGACTCGGAGAGGGCTCGCGGGACAGGCGCGTCCGGGCTGACGGGCGTGGCGCTGCTGGAGATTATCTCGTCGCCGCTGCTGGCTTTGAGGAAGTCGGGGTTGGCGACGCGGCCGAGCCCCCACAGCTGCAGGTAGATGTGGCTGCCCTTGGCGTGCACTGCGTCGGTGACTTCTTTCCAGGCGGCTATCTGGGCGTCGTTGTAGATGCCCGGCACGTTGGGGAAGCCGCCGGCGCGGGCGGAGATTAGGGTTGCTTCGCTGATGAGGAGCGTGCCGGGGACTGAGCCGCGCTGGGCGTAGTAGTCTTTCACGATGGGGAGGGGGGCGTGGTTGTCGTCGATGCGGAAGCGGGTCATTGGGGCCATGGCGATGCGGTTGGAGAGCTCCATGCGGCCGACGGTGAGGGGGGTGAAGAGTTTGGTCATTTTGGTGGTGAATTGATGGTATATAGGTGTAGATGCCGATTGTAGGCTTATGGGATTCTTTTTTACAATCTACGTGGTTAGGGTTGCATCTTTATATGCATTGCGATCCCCTCGATTTGTAAGTTGCTAGAATCTTCAGCATTGACAAGCAGAGTGGAGTCGTCGTTTCCAAGATCTCGACAGTCCGCGAGAATCACGACATTTGACAGGCTCCTGGGCTGTGCTGGAGCTTCCAAGGTTCCAAAAGGTTCCCTCGGGGCAATTAATAATACTCAGTGGGTCCAGCGGCATTGGAGCGAGATCTATTCCGTACATGTGGTGTAGAGATTTCAGAGTAGGGTCGTAGTACGTCATCACTGAGATTTCTTCAAGGGAAGCTGAAGGTAACATTCAGAGCTACATACCTATGTGCTACTATGTAGGGAATCACATCGGAACTTGGACAAAGGCAAACCTCGCTGAAACGCCCTCTGGCCCAGCCATGAACTATACTGGTCGGACAAACACTGATTCCTGGTATCATAACGGATCGAAGAACGCTGAAAACAAACACAAAATGGAGGGGGAAAAATCAATATCATCGTTCCAGGCGAGCAGCAGTAGTTTCAAGCTGTGCGTTAAAAGCCCGAATCTGATTCAAGAGACCGCCTTGGGCTCCCGGGGCTCGGGAACTCACGTCGGCAAGGCTGCGGAGCATGAATTCAATATCTGTAGAAGAATCCGCAGTAGAAGCAGGACGTTGCTGGTTGCGTTCAAGCGCCAGCTCAAGACTGTGAAGGGAATTGCTGATCGTGTTCCGTGACTAGAGGTCGTTGTTAGTAATGTTCTCGACAGCAATATTGCAGGAAGAACTCACCGATTTCGTCTTTTCCTCTTCCATGTGTTTGCTGCGTACTGCGTCCATCTGCAAAGCTATGTTCTCACGTTCCCGACGAACCCGATAGAGATGACTCCGTAGATCCATCATCTCTCGCTTGGTTTTCTTCAATTGCATGCCAAGGACAAAGTTGCTATCGAGCATCCCGCTGAGGTCCATGAGACGACTTTCCAGCTCTGAGCCAAATGCTTCAACGGCTTTTCTCTTGCGTGACCACTCTGCACGTCGCGTAGCATTTGCCTCATTCGCAATGCCATCCTTCAGCGTATTGAGTGTCTTCTCCAGTGTCTCAAGGCAAATCTGGCTCAACACGTCAGCTGGGTTGACACCGCCGCGGTTGGGCATTTTGCTCCTCTGCTGCGTGGTGAGTTCATCGGCGGATTCTTGCTCATCGTCAGACCCGTTGGCCACATCCGCTGAGCCACCCAGAGAATTGAAATTGGCGAGACGGTAAACAGTGACTGGAACTGTTTCCCCACGAGGCTCTCGAGGCTTCCGCCGAGGTTGCTCTTGAGTAGGTTCGGTTTCTGCCTGGAGTTCTGTTTCGGGTTCGGGCTCTGGTTCGGCCTCCGGCTCCGTTGCGCGCTTGGCCTTTTTCCCAGGTCTGCCGCGTTGCGACTTTGATGCGGTGGGTTCTGAATCAGGCACTGGCTGGTTTTCTGTCGTAGCTTCGGTTTCAGGGTCGGTTTCAGGTTCCACTACCTGTCGAGCTCTTTTCCCGGGTTTGGCACGAGCAGCAGATTCTAGTTCGGGCTCTTGTCGATCTTCTGCCACAGACTCGGGTTCGGTCTCAGCTGGGAGTTTGGTTTTCTTCGCAGGTCTGCCGCGAGCCTTCGGTGCCGCAGACTCTACCTCAGGTTCGGGCTGATCTACCGTTGCAGGCTCGGGCTCGGGCTCGAGCTCAGGTTCAGGTTCAGGTTCTGCAGCACGTTTGGTCTTCTTCGCAGGTCTGCCGCGAGCCTTCGGTGCCGCAGACTCTGCCTCAGGTTCGGGCTCGGGCTCGGGCTCGGGTTCAGGTTCTGCAGCGCGTTTGGTCTTCTTCCCAGGTCTGCCTCGTTGGGGTTTGATTGATGTAGGTTCCACCGCAGTTTCCAGCGGATCTGATATTGGAGCCTCAGGCTCCACCGCTTGTTTCGGTTTTTTCCCAGGTCTACCACGTTGTGGCTTAGGTACTGCGGCTTCCAACACAGGCTCCGGCCTATCTGCCGTGGCAGACTCGGACTCGGGCTCTGGTTCGGATTCATTGATGCGTTTATCCTTCTTCCCGGGCCTACCTCGTTGTGGTTTGGTTCCCGTAGGTTCTGCCGCAGGTTCCGGCTGATCTGACTTTGCAGGCTCAGGCTCAGGCTCCACTGCTTGTTTCGGCTTTTTCCCAGGTCTACCACGCTGTGGCTTGGGTACTGCAGTCTCTACCACATCCGGCTTATCGGCAATTGCTGATGTTGGCATTCGGTCCCGACGGGGCCCCGAAGAGGACTTGGCGAGGTTTGGTACACGTTCAGGTGAAGGCTTGTCGGCTTCGGTAGTTTCAACGGCTTTCTTGTCGAGTGAGGGTCTACTGCGAGGCCCTTTGGTCTTTGGGGCTATCTGAAGCTCAGTTGCTACCTGCTCGTCTTGTGTTTCGGTTGCAATTTCCCCCAGAGATTCCTCGACAGTCGGTTCCTGAGCATTGTTTGTGATGGATTTGTGCCCTGGACGCCCCCTAGGCTTTTTCACCTTCAAAGGGGGCCCTTGAGATGTCTGAATTTCTTGCTCTGGTCCATCCCCTCTTGATTCAGGGAAATCCTCAGTCACCTCAACATCATCACCGGCAGTTGGCGCATGGCTGGGCTTAAGAGCCTCGGCAGAGCTATCGCGTTGCGGTGAGGCGTTTGTGGCAGATTCATTTGCCCGAACTGCAGGTGAAGCAAGATCTGGGGCAGCCAGCTGATTCTGACTATTTGTTTCATTCCGTTCGTCGAGTTGTGATGGTGATTGAGTGTTATGCCGTTTTTGATGTAGTTGCTCTGTGTTTGCAAGCTGCTGAGCCCCAGCCTGAGTTTTAGGTGATGCCACTGGTGCCTGTGGTCCATTGGTCACTGCGGGTGCAGGTATTGGAGATGCGTCTTGAATCAGTTGCTTTTCAGTGTCTCGTCTTGCTGGTGCATTGCTATTAGACCCGTCTTCCACTGGGTGTCGGGGTTTAATGGTGTCTTGGACTGGTGAGATTTGAGGTTGTGGAGATCCATTCATAGGTACTTCTGATGGGGTAGGCACATCTGTGTTTGGAGGTTCATGGGTGTGGGAAGTTTGCGACACTGTGCTACTTGCACCGTTATTGACGGGTCGTGAATTGCCATTCTCAGTCTGCCCGCCATTCCGACGAGAAGGAGTATCTTCTGTTCCATCGATGGGACCTTGAAAGTAATTAGCAAAAGTTCTGCGTCATTGCAACATGCTGCTCTCTAACATACCGATCTTTCTTCTTTTGTTGCTTCGCGTTTGTTCGGTTCTATCATCTGAGGAGGGCACATCATATGTCGAGGGCCTCTGTGGAAGCTTATTACGCGCGCTTCCAGGTGTGCGCACAAATCCTTGAGCTTGCGACCCCGGTTGCGATATCTTCAAAGGTTGTGGTGTTGCGTTCGGCGCGGTCTCTGTTTGCCGTAAATTCTGAGCTTCCGGGACAATAGCAAGCGGCGCAGGCGCGGGCGCAGCTGATTCAGGTACTGGGCTCCCAAATGAGAATCCAAAATTAACTTCTTTTGCCTTGCGTGTCCTACACCAGTGTGTTAGCTTCCATGTTATCGTTTCGCGGGGTATAGGTAGGGCGCGTACCCAGCTCCACGCTGCCGCATTTGCTGCCGCTCCTCTCGCGCTGTCAATGGTTAGTATTTCCACAAAACATGAATAGACAGTATCAGGCCACACCACATACTGGCTTCCATTTTAGAGGAACGGCGTCGAAAAAGACGCGTCGTGGTGATGGTTGAGGAGTAAAGAGGCCCCATAGCGGTCGGAGCCAAGGCGATCGGAGCCGCTCCATTTTTGCCGATTTCTCCGCGCTCTCAACTACTTTCAACGCTGTTACATTCTCGATTATTGACGATCAGTTCTTCAACATGGGTTGGTTCTGGGGAAATAACAACAATGATCCTGTCCAGAAGCTCGATCCGGGTCTCCGTGAATATCTCGAACAGGAAAAGCCCGACAAATATGTACCTGGCCCCGATGTGAAGACGCCCTCGACGCCCGCGCAATCACCTGAATCTGAATCCTCCGAGCCCTCGAAACCTAAAGTTCCTGCGGCATCACTCTACCAAGATGGCCGTTATGCTGATCTGTGGAAAACCTACAAGCCGCTAATGGAGACCGATGAGAGTTCCGGAGTCCGCGGGGCCTCGCGAGTGATCGAAAAGCACAAGGAGCGCGGCGATACGGTGCAGCGGGCAGCAATGGAAAACTGTGCCTTGGAACATGAAGCTCTCACATATTGCTTCAAGACCGGCAATTGGCGCAAGCAAATTGAAGCCCGGCTGACCATGTGCTCAGCGGAGAATGCTACCTTTTCGCGATGCTTCATGACCCAAACTGTGAGTGAATGCTAATTCAGAGCTATTTACCATGGCAATTCTAATATATGCCATTCCAAACAGAAATTTCTCCAAGCTCTTGGTTACGCAGCTAGCTTCGAATATGACGCCGAAAAAGAGGAGCGCATCCAGATGCAGGGCGACAAGCTCTATCACCAGATGCTAGACTATGAAAAGCGAGTCGAGGATGCGAAGGCTGCTGGAATTGAGCCACCGCCTCTCACATCACTCTTCAACCCAGAGAAGCAGTCACAACCTCCGACCCGAGGCCTTGAGATTCCAGGAGGAGAGGCCATCCCGGAAGGGCTGAAACCATCCAAGCCTCTACAAAAGCTCACACCACATGAACGGGAGCTGGAGATTCGGGCACACTATGCGCAAATCGAGCAGCAAAAACTTTATGTGGAGGAGGCTGGGCCCTTCATGAAGTCCCACAGCGATGCTCGGCAGAAGCGACAGGAGAAAGCTGTCAGCTGGTTTGGAGAAACTATCGGCAAGTGGGTGTCGTAGATGGAGAAGCCTGTCTCCCTTGTATTTACTATTTTGATTTGCAAAAGGCGACTGGAGAGGCGTTGGGGTTTCTTTGAACGGTGCATTTGTATAGTGAGCTCTCTCTCTGGTAGGAAGAAACAGTAACCCAAGTCAACTCTTCCTTTAATGTCCTTATCAATATCTTCTCCCTTTTCCCATTGATCGTTCTTTTGCTTTGAAATTGTTTCAACTTGGCGCTTACTCTGCATATACGGAGTAGTAGAACCCTCATAGGCAACAGATACCCGAGTACACCAAGTGTCCAAATCATCATATGAACAGTTTTAGGTACTCTGAATTCGGCTTTGAAACATCGCCTCGTAGATATATATAATGTCAAGTTGAACGACCAGAATGCAGCCCATCGCAGGCCCGTGGTATGTAATGCGAGTCACAAGGCCTATCTAATCGCCGGTCGCGTTCTCCCGCGCAAACAACTCGAAGCATCATCGCAGAATCACGACTCTTCCTTAACATTTCACTCCCCTTGCTCGCTTTTTCACCCCTCACTGCCCCTATCGCATTATTTTATCTTCTTCTTCTGGTTCCGCTGGGCTTCCTCCTATCGTCTTGACTAGCCAAAGTACTGAATCCCCTCCAATTACAATTTCCTAGTCCATAGGATATCGCCTGGTACAGGGACCTGGCTGATCATTGGACTCGGAAATCCTCTCCTGGGCCCAAGATCCCTCTACTCGCAATCAGTGGTGCTCAACAATAGCTTGTTGAGCTGCGGCGCTCGCCATGAAGGCCACCCCGTTGCTCATCTCATGGCACAACGACAATGCCCCTATCTACTCTGTGCATTTTGATCCCAATGGCAAGGGCCGCTTAGCTACTGCTGGAAAGCAAGTACTGCCTGTCCTTGTAAAGCGCTGAATAGTCTACTAACTGGTTTCTCTTTAGTGACAATAACGTCCGAGTATGAACCCGCCCTCCATCGTCCTTCGCACACTCTGGTCTGACATGATATACAGCTCTGGAAAGTCGAGTCTACCGGGGAGGAAAGAAAAGTCACTTATCTGAGTACTCTGATAAAACATACGCAGGCCGTCAATGTGGTTCGGTTTAGTCCAAAAGGTAGGTTCTCCGGCAGGATAGCACAGAACTGCGAGTCTGACAGATGCAGGTGAGATGCTGGCGTCTGCTGGGGATGATGGAAACGTTTTACTCTGGGTACCTTCAGAGCTCCAAACACAAGCTGGGCTTGGGGAAGACCGCTCAGATGATAAAGAGACCTGGCGAGTGAAGCACATGTGTCGCTCATCCGGCGCCGAGATCTACGACCTGGCCTGGTCTCCCGATGGAGTTTTTATCATTACTGGCAGCATGGATAACATCGCCAGGATTTACAACGCGCAAACTGGTCGGTTATTCTTGGTTCAATTTTCTCCCAGCTTGATAAGCTGACATCTGCAATCTACAGGGCAAATGGTACGACAGATCGCTGAGCATTCTCACTATGTTCAGGGTGTAGCATGGGATCCGCTGAATGAGTTCGTCGCGACTCAGTCATCTGACCGATCTGTTCATATTTATACCTTGAAAACCAAGGACGGACAATTCACATTGACACCGCACGGGAAGGTTCTCAAGATGGATCTGCCTGCAAAACGGATCGCCTCCAGCAGTCCTGCGCCTCCAGACATGGCTAGCCGGTCTCAACCAAGCGCCGGGAACTCTATGGCGATTGCCTCGCCTGCTCCTTCGACTCCAGGGACACCAATGGCTTCCAATCTACCCATGGACCCTCCCCCAGTCTCACACAGTCGGCGATCTTCTTTTGGCTCATCTCCTTCGATTAGGCGATCTGCATCTCCTGCCCCATCTCTCCCATTGCCTGCCGTTAAACCACTAGAGGTTTCCTCTCCAAGTCTTGGTGGCCTTGGGGTCAAGAATGCCAGCATCTATGCCAACGAAACGTTCACATCTTTCTTCAGACGACTGACTTTCGCTCCTGATGGAAGTTTGTTGTTTACACCGGCTGGTCAATTCAAAACCACTCACTTATCAGCCACGGACTCGACAAAGACGACGGACGAAATCACCAACACAGTTTACGTCTATACTCGGGCTGGTTTCAACAAACCCCCGATCTCCCATCTCCCAGGTCACAAGAAGCCATCTGTAGCTGTCAAATGCTCGCCGGTGTTTTATACGTTGAAGCAGGATATTCAATCTGCGAAAAATATCACCCTTGATACTTCTTCGAGCGAAGAGATGTTCCCGTCCCTCCCAGATCCTGTGGTTTCGGCAAATTCATCCCTCGCCAACCAGCCCCAAATGGACCCTCCATCCGCGACGCTGGTCGAGCCATCAAAACCCCAGCCATCTTCAAAGCCAGCTGAGAACGGCGGCAGTGAAGCAAACCAGAGCTCAGCGCCCGTCTTTGCACTTCCGTATCGCATTGTATATGCCGTCGCCACTCAAGATGCTGTTCTGGTATATGACACACAACAACAAACTCCGTTGTGCATTGTGAGCAATTTGCATTTTGCTACCTTTACTGACTTGACTTGGTGCGTACTGTTCTATCATCTCCTTCCCCGCGCCTACATATAGTTCTCTAACACACCCCAGGTCTGCCGATGGGTTAACATTGATAATGAGTTCCTCTGATGGCTTCTGCTCCACACTCTCGTTCGCACCTGGCGAGCTGGGTCAAACTTATACAGGACCAACATCTGGGGCTCAAAGCACCACAAACTCGAATACCCCTACGACGAATGTCACACCTCTGCCAACTCCAACACATGCCGCATCTCCACATGTGCCATCTCCAATCAAGACCACGTATGCGTCAGCAAGTAATACAGGGTCCGCGCCGCCAGGCAGTCCCGCGCGTTCCACCTCTGCCTGTTCAGTTGCAACTCAATCTTCTACGCAGCCAACTCCAGCAGGTGTTGTGAACAACCCCACACCCACACTCGGGACTGTTCCATCAGTAACGGTAGCCCACTCTGCGCAACCACCCACGCTTCCACTGACAACCCCACCACAAACACCTGTGTCGAGCGCCCCACCAAACGGGCCCGCCACAACGGGTGGTAGCGTTCTAGGAAAACGTGATGTGCCACCCGGGTCTGAAAAGGGGGGCAAGGATGATTCAAACGCTGAAGTGCAGCAACCGAAGAGACGCCGCATTGCGCCGACTCTCATCTCAGCCTGTACGGATGGGTCCTCATCGAAGGACAAGTCGTAGAATGAGGCTTTGCGGAGTGTTTGGCCTCATTCGCCCTTCGGCCTCGGCATACAAGGCATAGAATGAGATGTTGTTTTGCCAGATGTCGGTTCTTATGATTCATGTTTTTCTAATCATTGTGCTATATCCTCCTCGTTTCCTATGTTCTGCACTTGCACTGTCGTTGTTTTATTGATAACAATCGGGCCTATGGTGGATGGAGTTGTGACAGTTGGTCTATCTTCTCATGTTTATTGATTCCCTTGATCTATGCATGCATTGCATAAGAATAAAGAATGAAAATGTACGATCTCCACGCTCTGACTAGAAGATATGAAGATGCTCTCAAGCAATGCTGTTATAGCCATGGAAAATTTCGACTCTACGAAGAGATCAGACACAAGAAGCCTTGGAAAAGTCCCTAAGACCTGAGAAGAAGTCATGAATGTTCCCTATAAACACACGTTCTTGTATGCACTGCTGCCTTAAGAACCCAAATAACCATGTGAAGTCGTGTTCCTCTGCTCCGTGCTCCTTCGCTCTTCAATGGACACACCCCGTATAGTAATACAGAAATAACAATAACGCATCACGAACCTCACACCGAATAAACTATTTATTGTTATCTCTGAACGCGAGACCAGACAGTACGTCCAAAGTATCCACAAGCGAACAATTAGGCGGCAATACAGCCCTCGCCTCGGTAGCATGCGTGCCGGTTGTCACGGTAATGACCTCGAGTCGTTTCCCAAATGGACACAAGTCAAAACGAGCCGCAACTGGAGCATCGGCCAGTTCATGCGCCCATCGAAACAGTGCCTCGTCGCTACGCGAGCTCCCAACTGCGAATATAAACTCGGGATATCGAGCGTTTGGGAGATGGTCCAGAACATAGCCGGCAGCTCTTCCAGTTCCAAGGGAAGCATGCGGTGGCTCAACCTTCACAGATGTTGGCTCACGGACGACGTGGAAATCCGCTCGTCCACGAGCACCGTTGATCTGATCTGCTAGTTCCGAGGCCTGGCGAGCGGCTACTTCGGGGTCTTGTGCGCCGTTGTAATGGAATGTTAAGGAGCAGCGGCGCTCTTCGATCGTACTGCCTTCGGTTCGCTCGTTGAAATATTCCATCATCTTTTGGATACCAGGACGCCATCTCATGGTGCTTCTGGGTACGAATGGGATCCAAATTGCCATGTCAGGTTCTTTTAGGAAACAGCCATTTTCGACGATGAATCCAAGCTCCTCGGGAATATTTTGAAGGGACTTTTGGAGCTGTTCTACGCTTCGATTACTGAGTATGTATAAGATGTTGTTGCGGTCTTCGATGAGGGCGTATAGAGATGCAAATGCTTTTGTTGAGACGACAAATCCCTCTGTACCGAGATCTGGTCCAAAAATCGTATCATCGCTCAAAAAGAAGATCCGAGTTCTGGCGGCGAGATATGAAATTCTCAATTCATGAAATGAAAGAGGAGAGATGCGGTTTGGCCGACGCACTGTTTGAAGAGTGCAGGCTCTTGTGAGGGAGTATTGCAGGCTCTTGTGCCATTCAACAGCATTGTAGCGAGATTGACAATCTAACAGAAAATCCCAATTACGCTTTTGGTCCATTGGTGACATTTCGAGTGCGGTTCTGATTGCATCAGCACATTGCTTATAATCCCATGGATTGACTAGAAGATTATGACCGCAGAAGACGGAGGCGCTACCCACAAATTCACTCAAAATCAGTGAGCCATGTTGGTGGGAAGTGAGAGCTCCATCTTGACAATGAATAAAATCATGGCTAGTCAAGTTCATTCCTTCACGCAGATTGGTGGCCATAAAAATATCAGCAACACTGAGAAGCGCGATGAATTGTGAGTGACAGATGTCTTGTTGTAGGAGCACCAAGGGCTGGTGGGTGATATTCGCATATGTTGCATTTATCCTCAGTGCAATTTTCGACACCTGTGACTCTAGCTCTGGTGTTTCGGATGAAGAAGACATCACTTGAATTAAGACAACCTGTAGAAAACAGATCAGTGGCAGTCAAATATGATACAAAGATATTATCCACGTACGTGCTCTCTCCACACTGGATGGGTCTCCAGAAAAAGTTCATATGCCAAAAGCTTTTGTTTGATCCCTCCAGGTGCATCTAAGCGGTCTCGTGCGACGATGAGATGTTTTCCATGATAATTAAGATTGATACTGTGTATCCAACCTTTCACCTCAGTGGATTGGCGTAAAAGCCGAAGTGACATGGTGTCAATTCCCATTGGATAAGACAAAACACTGACGAAACGGCTATTGAGATAGACTTGAGTGGCGGAGACCTCCAATCTTCGCAGCCGACTGCAGGATTGAAGAAAGTGATTGCAATATTCCTCTGTCTGAAATCCAACCAAATCGGCGCCTAGAAGTCCATCTAACAGCTGGTCACGTTTAGCCAAACATCGGAAGATTTCAGAGGAAGGAAACGGAGTGTGCAAAAAGAATCCAATCTCAGCCTGGGGCAGCCTTTCTCTCAAAATACCAGGGAGAATCAATAGGTGATAGTCATGAACCCATATCTTGTCACCTGGCTTCCAGTGCTCAATGATTGTTTCCGCGAATGCCTGGTTGAGCTTGAGATATTGAACCCAAGAGTAACCATCGTATTCAGTATGCCGAGGACCATCTTGTATCTGGTAATGGAGAGCTGGCCAAAGTACCGCACGACAGTAATGGGTGTAATGGCCCTCAAACTCATTGTCACTCACAACTACAGCCAAGGAGTCATACCCATCCTCGAGTGCCGCAGCTACTTCTGCCCTGGTAGCATCTGCCAATGTATCGGTGGGCATGCCGAGAGTTCCCACCCACATCTTTTCATCGAGCAAGCTTGATTTTTCAGCAGCATGGATAGCATTGTATAGACCTCCGTGGCCTTGCTCAGCGGCCTTGACTACCCATTCAGTGGCAGGGAGGGAGACCCGTGGACTGCCATAGTTTTTCATACCGTATAAATCCTGTGTTCCATCCAGGGACAAAGTTCTTCTCTGGCTCTGTTGTCGTCCTCGGCTGCTCAGATTGGACGGCGTTGGCGGGCCAGTTGCTCTGGATCGCGGCTGGTTAAATCTCCGACTACGGCCCCAAGGAATGGCACGTGGCTCGCTAGGGCCATGTAACATTCGATCATTGGCAATTGGAATCTCATCTGATACTTTCCAGGTATAACCTTTGAATATCGTCTCGTGTGCTGTCGTGGCTCCAGGTGTCAAAGGGAGAGAGCCCATGGAAGCAATTTGAGGATGACTATCCGACGGGTAACCAAAAATAGATCCAGGACCATCGACATGTGCATGGCTAGATGAGATCTCTGGTTTTTCCTGTCTGGTTCTCGTTGCTTTGAAACTAATAGTGTATGGGAGGAACCTACTATATGTCAGATTTGTTCCCTCTTCCAGTATCGGAGCGACTCACAACGACGCAATGAAGACCGTCATTGTACCGAATAGCAATTCAATGCAGTATCTGAGGAAGAATTGGAAAAACTTCGGGTCTTAGTCTGTGATGCAGAACAACAAAAGTGGAGGAATTGAAAATGCTAACATCCATGTTCTGGAAGCGGAAGGAACGATAGCTATAAACACTGCCCCTACCCCAGGTATCTCAATCTACATGTATCCAGATGCTGTTCTGTACGTCCAGGTAGTTTGAACTAGGCCTAAGGGGTCCTGAAGTTGGTTTGAATTTGATGCAATGGAAAGGTTACATGTCTGGTGCTCAGTTGCATCTCCAGTGACTGCATACAAATTATATATCTCCAAAGGTTCTTTTTTTTCTCACTTCTTCTTCTTCTTCTTTTTTTTTTTTTGGCAAAGACTCCCTTGTAATGAGTGATCGGTCAAGTCATTTTGCCTAGGAATCTACTTCATGGACTGCTCAATCATATTACAGTACCGTGAAGGTGAATGCTACCTGTTGCTATTAGGTGTGTGGAGGTTGGCCCTCCACCATGCTAAATGACTTGAGGTACACCGTACATATCACATTAACCACAATTACCATGACGGTTACTGGCTATAATGTCCAAGCTGCTATAGATAATGAAATATCCCCGGGCTGATCCGTAACTAACTTGAAATTAAACTATGACTTCAAGCACACATGTTGAATTCAAGTACTCCGTATGTGTTGGGAAGCTTTTTGTCTACGGAGGATTACCTGGAAGCCCCAAGTCCACTAGTGAATCTATGATCCCTTGGCGATGCGATGAAAAGTAAATCAAGAGATGGGAGAGCGGACCTCGCGACTATTGATATTAGTTCCACAAGCTATTGTAAGAGACTCACAAACTCGCACCAGAGATCATATCTGAGCATGTCGATCCAATAGCTTGAGTTAAAGGACTTTCTTGAGACGGTCACGACAACCAGGCTTTTCTAGTGGAAAACCAAGAAAAATCTTACGAATAGGGTACAACGTAGGTACAACTACAGTGCACCGATTTCGAGATATGGAGTAGAACCTTGCTTTGGCTCTTGACGAAGTTCTATCTCCAAACATCATCTATTTGTGTAGTCTTGGGCCTATGCTCAGGCAAAAAGGTTTAGTAGGATGCGCTCAAAGTACTCTATGGAGCGGTCGATGATGGCTATATCGGCAATACGTACTCTGTATTCAAGGATGTGCAGGGATCTGCATATAGATCATCGCCTGCACATCAATTGAAGTGGATATCTTGGACTACAGTATGGAGTACTCCATACATAACATTACCTGAAATCAAGTATCTTAAGTGGCGTCGTATTGATATTCTTCAATTCCTGCTGTGAGTGTATGTTTCCATGCCTCTGCTGGTATCTTGGGATAATGAAACCTCCATACAAGCGGTGAGGTCATCCTGAGGTATGAGCTGTCGGGATCGAATGGGCCAGTGACCAAGCAGCAGGATTTCAAATTCTCAAAAGCTTACGACACAGAGTGGATGGACGATGACGCACTCCAGTCAACGCTATTATCTGATCACCTGTCGGAATCATTTCCAAGCCCGGGAGCCGAAAAAAAGAACGCATGGGGTACGTGATTTCATGTCAACGCAAGACCAAGCTCAAGAAGTCAGGTGCACAAGCCATCTCCACCGCGTGCGTGTCCCCCCTTCTTGGCTTGGAACAGCACGCGTCCGCGCTTCCAAGGTTGTTTTGAGGGATACCGCCACTCTCACAGTGTCCCTGTGATTGCCAGAATTGCCGAAGACGAAGAGGGACACGCATATATTGAACAGGCGTTGACGCGTGGACATCCGATGCACCGTCAGGGGCATGTGCCCATGCATTCAGGGCCAAGCTCACAGCATAAGCAGTGTCTTAGTTTAATATCACTCAAGCACTCAGGAGAGAGATGGGGTCTTGGCATTTGGCGGATAATTGGTCCGCTCGGCTCGTTGAGCCCGAATTGCTTTGGGCTTTGGGTTTCTGCACAGCTGAGTTTCCCCCTTTGTTGATGGGACATGCCAACTCTCTATCACTTGGTGCTCAGTGCCTTGCGTGGTGCGTGAGAATCGCATTTAGCTTGTTTTTGGTACCTACCTGCAATCATGTTCATTATCCGCGGGCTCTGATATCCATGACTCCGTATTGTCGAGTCAACGAGAAAGAACATTGACGAAGGTGAAAAACGAGACCGAAAAATCAAAACAAAAATGATCAGCTTGGAAAAATACCAGCCTCGTACAAGACCCGGTTTTTTACGTGACTGGTTTTGCGCCAACCGAGCTAAGCATCGAGACACCTCTCGGCATCGGAACGATGTATAGGGGCGGAATACCTTCATGTAAACAATGGAATCTTACAATTCTTGGTTGATATGACGGAGCGTCTTTTGCTTATATTCGTTCGATCTAAACTATGATAACCTCATTTCGATCGCACAGCCACTCAGGATAGCCTTCGAATATCTATTACTGGGCCCAAACGCGGCTCAGAAGATGAAACGGCGGTGGCTGATCGGTTTCCCCGGATAGAACGCCTGGACAGTACCTGATCCCCTGAGTCGGGCCATAGATTGCAGGGCTGAATCTCGGAGCTCGTGAAATTGCAAGTAATAGGGCCATGATTGACATTCCGTCAGCGTACCCCCATCTATGTATTCTGTATCCCCCAATGTTGATGTGATTGGTACACCAGGCCCCGACTGAATATCTTTAGAAAACGCTTTTCCAACCCCCTGATTCCAATCCAAGTCAGTTCATTGGATCAATATACGGAGTACGTATGCTGGGGACAAGGGTAGATCGACCCTGAGCCATGGAACAGATGTATGTTGTATACTCCAATGGGCCGGCCTGGACATGAACCGCTAGCGTTCGTTCCCGAGTGCAACTATTGGACCCTCATTGTTTTTCAGCGCCTTGTCGGGTCCGGTAACTCAAGTGGGCCACGATGGACAATGGCAGAACACGGACATTCCTATGTCGGATGCATATGTATTATTTCCATCTCCATACAACGTAGTCTGAATGATTATGGAGTACGGAGTACACTGTATAGACCCATCTATCCAGGATCAAGATCGGTATATGCATCTCACCTTCGCATTCCTATCGTGAAGAATGGGCGATAAAGTGTCCCACGCACTGAGATCTGATGTTGCATGGGACATTCATACCGATGTATTCCACGGAGTACGGAGGACTCCGTCGAGAAGACCCAAGATGCCAAGGCTTTCCCCCCTTCATAGTCACGCTAGACCGGATTGGGCTGTCAGCACCGCCTCAAGCGGCTTAGAGGGGAGGCTCTAGCCCCCGATTCCAAATGCCAAGACGGACGCTTGCGCGTCTCCAGCCTTGACATGGAAAACGGAGAGAGGTGAGCTTTCGTAGACCATGGCCGCGCGTATGTGACCTGATACCCCTTCATAATTCTTTGGATTTTTGGATTTTGCTTTTCCCTTTATATACCGACAGTTCACGAACTTTGATCGTCTGATTTCGAACGTAGTGATCTGCCCTGTTGTACCCAACCCGGACTATCATATTGACGACAAGGCTGTTGGTACATCCATGAGCCACGTAATCCTTCGTCATAACCAGTGTGGTAGGGTCATACACCATTTGATCAGTAGTCAATCGGAAGGGATAGCTAAAGACCCGAGTAAATATGCCCAAGAAAAGAAAGGAAAAAAAACCCCCATACATACAGAGAGAAGCCTTCAAGCCATTAAAGTATAGACAGCGCCAAGAGGCAACTAGCAACGATCCATGAATCTGGAAGCGGACGTTACGTGTTCACGGGAGGACGAGGCAGTCAAAAATACGCAAAAATACCGAAATTACGGGGAAAAAGGGTCTTTGCTGGACCTTTTTTTCGTTTCGCACACGCGGCTTGGCCGCGGGGCCCGTGATTGGGGCGAGATGCTGACGACGCTCGTAATACTGCGTACGCTCCAGCTTGCACTCTCGGTCTTGGGCTCTCTCTCTCTCCAAGGAGTCGCTCTTTCTTTCCTTCCTGAATTTCTAGTGATCTTCAAGTGCTACGTCAACTCGAGCGTGGCAGTCCCTTCTTTACTACGCTCCGTCTGTGGTCTCCCTTTCTTACCTTCCTCCTCCCCAATCCGCCTCGGGTCAAATTCACATCTTTCGCCCAACCGTTTCGACATCGACTCATTCTGGATCTCAACACAAATCATCTTGGAAGTCTGCCGTGACTTCCTCATCGACTATGGCGGACGGCAGACAACGGGCGGCCCAGCCTGCCTCGAAGGACTACGACGCCTCCTCTCTCACTCACGAATTTGAACAGCTGATGCGCACCAAACGATTCAACCGCCTTCAAGAACAATCTCGCTCACGTACTCAATCATCGTCACCGTCCCCAATGTCGAGTTCATCAATTCCGCCTCCCTCGCGAGCTCCTCCACCACCCCCTTCGTTTGGCGCCCCTGCCGCCGTTCCCTCTCCAACACTATCAACGACCTCATCGGCACTACGCGGTCTCCCCATCATGCCATCGCCTCCGCAAGATGCAGCATCTCTAAAGTTCTTCAATTTACTGAAGGGTCTATCGGTCACACCAACCAAATACGAAAATCCCGGCCTCCTGGATGAGGCTTTGTGCGTCATTCCTCTTGATCGGTTGTATTCAGAAGCCGAGGAGGAATCCCAAATCATGCAAGCTCAGGCTGCCAGCGTCTCCGGGAAGGCGGAATGGGGCTACCAAGATTGTGTGATCCGAGCATTGCTAAGGTATGTTGGCACCCCTTTGATGGCCTAGACTCATTTCGCCCTTGCTCACATAGCTTGTCCTCCAATTAGATGGTTTAAGGGATCCTTCTTCCAATTCGTTAACAATCCGCCGTGTTCAACCTGTCACATGCCCACGATCGCTCAAGGCATGACTCCCCCGACCCCCGATGAAACCGCCCGGGGCGCATCCCGAGTTGAGCTGTACCGTTGTTCCGACATTAGCTGTGCCGCCGATGAGCGATTCCCGCGTTATTCCGATGTGTGGCAGCTACTGCAATCTCGACGAGGTAGAGTTGGCGAATGGGCGAACTGCTTCAGTATGTTCTGCCGCGCCGTTGGAGCACGAGTTCGTTGGGTTTGGAACTCCGAAGATTACGTTTGGACTGAGGTGTACTCGGAACACCAGCGACGATGGGTTCATGTTGATGCCTGCGAGGGCGCCTGGGACCAACCTCGTCTATACACAGAAGGATGGCAACGCAAGATCTCATACTGTGTTGCTTTCTCTATCGACGGTGCGACCGATGTGACCCGCCGCTACGTCCGCAGCTTCTCTCGACACGGAAGCCCTCGCACCCGCGCCCCGGAAGAAGTCGTTCTCTGGACGATACACGAGATTCGACGCAAGCGCCGCGAAAACATGTCGAAAACTGATCAGCGCCGCTTGATCAAGGAGGATGAGCGCGAAGAGAAGGAACTTCGCTGCTACATGGCATCTGCTCTGGCAGCAGAGATCAACAACATGCTTCCGCGAAGCCTTACCGGTCGTCCCGAGGACCAGAAACACCCAGGCGCTCGCCAAGATGCCCCGACAGAGTTGCTTGGCGCTCGAAGCCATGGTCACTCGGGCCCTGACCGTTCTCCCGAAGGACGGTAAACTTTTGCTGGTTACCTGGCATCACCTTTCTTCTCTGGCTCGAGAGATCTCATTTTAGCCGTATCCACCTATCGAACAATCGCGCGATCTGTACAGCGAAAGCTCCCTTTCACATTCGGAGGATTCGTTGGTCGCAGCGACGTTCGACAAATTGCTATACGGCGCGGCGCCGGCCTTGGAACACGGCCACTGCGGTCGCGCCGGGCTCCCTGCCCATGTCGCTTTTTCCGAAGCCTCAGTTTCGAAAATACAGAACATGCTATATCGACAACGATTCAAGTATGCGCGACTGCAAAATCAGATGAGCAGGCCTCCGGTTTGCAACTCCACCATCTTACAATCACCACTTGGGCACTTGTTCACACTCTGATCACCGACTCGGACAACTTTCCCGAACCAACTCCACACAATATTTGTTCATTGTCTTACTATCTGAGATACCACATCTGGAGCCAGACTTCTTTTCTGAGCATCTTGCACTTAATTTGGGTTACAAGGAGATTTTCACCAATTTCTCTGAGCATGGTTCTGCACGGCGCCCATGGGTGACGATCTTTCCATCTTTCTCTACTTTTTCTTCTCTAATACTTTTGGGAACTGCCCGACGGGACATGTTGTACGAGTCACGGATGCAGTTTTTCTTCTACGATTTCTACTTTTGCATGTTCTGGCAGGATCGCCAGTTCGATCTTTTGCTTTTCTTTCATTGCCCATATACCTGACCTTGAAAGGTCCATCTCCTTTGATGTTTGCTGATCCTACTTTACTTTCTTCAGTGGACTCGTACCACTTCAATACCAACATATACACCCTTTTTTTCCGTTTGGATATTTTCTCTCGATACCGTAAAATACTAGCTAGTCAGGCCAGTTTGATTATGATGTGCGATCTTCCCCGCGCTCCTAGCGCCTAGCCCCATCCTGTGGACCCCGAGTTCAGGTTTTCTTTTCTTTTTTTTCTCGCCCCTGGCGACATCACACATACATAATTTTCCGCAGCCTCTGGATGTGGAATGGAATAAGATGAAATCTAATGACACCATATCAAGGTGATGTCAATGGCCAATCCATTCCAAGCTTCTAAGGTAAGGCACGGGCACCGGTGGGTTTTATTTATAGTTGGCTCAGGCTCCTTCTGGTGGGTCCAGGGTCTCACTCGAGTTAGGGCTAGGGCGAACAGTAGGAGTATGTATAGGGGTAATACTCCATACGCGATCATAAGAAAAGATATTCTGAGCCAAGAATACCGGCTCGGAAGCAGTCATTTATGCTGATGTCTCGGTATGTCATTTACATGTACGCAGTATACCCCGTACTCTTGACATACAACATAGGATACCTACATATATACTGATGCCTACACAAACCAGTCGATCCCCGAGTATGCACGAAGAGAAAAATATGTTGCAAGATACACGGGAAGAATCGTCGGTACTCTTCCGATCCCAAGTATGTAGATCTGCAACGGTGTCTTACTCTGCAAGCCCAAACATGTAACGTGCATATCCCACTCGGCAAAGATTGATAAACAAGGAGTCAGTGACGACTTGATAACGTCTAGAACAGACGATCATTGCAAAATCTCGTCACAAAATGTCAATCACGCCATTGCGGATCATTGCTTCCAGCTTAAGCATACCTCAACTCTCACACCGCTGATATCCAGCAGTCTATCCCTCTCCGCCGAAGATCATCCCCCATCCGGTCCAGTTCACGCAAATAATACGACTGTCCCTGAAGCCGGAGCTCCCAGCTACCCATAGACCCGGGTACCACAGGGGGAGCAGAATATCTCATCTTCGACAGCCCACTGCGGGGCGACAATGGACAACCATCAAACGAAGAAAGAGATCCCCGTGAAGACCCCAGACTCCCACAGGATTCCTCATCAGAGCTGAAGCTGCCAGCAGAGTCTTCAAACCCAAAGTCCCCATCCCCGCCATCCAATTCCTGATAATCCACACCCCGTCGTCGACCCCAATCCCGCCTCTGTCCGGGTGGTCGAATAACCATACCCTTGAGCGGCTCCAAGAATCCCACTAGTTTCTCAACCGGCTCACGGAACCAATTGCTCTCCAGCACGAGCACGAACGATCGCAGTGACGTCAGCCGCTCCAGCGCGAGACACGTCTCGATCCACTGCGCCCGGCCGGCGGATACGTATACTGCGCGCACGGAATCTTTGCTGGGTAGCCAATGGCCCGGGAAAGACCAGCGCAGCTCGACGGTGCGGATGCGTTCCAAGTGCTCTTGTGGGATGGTGGGGAGCAGGTAGGGCAGGGTCCAGGGGTTGCTGAACTCCAGTGTTGGCAGGGTATAAAGCAGAGGTATGGATTCGTGGTATCTGGGTTGGGATTAGTACTTCGCGAGCAAGAGGTCGGATATATGTAAGTTCTTTGAGGAGTTGTGGGGAACGGGCATTGAATGATGGATACGGGTAGTGTCTTTTTTTCTTTTGTTTGTTCCATACATCTGCCGACAAGTCAACACCAGGCCCAGTAGCTTAACCTTATTCCTGACGCGCAGGAGATCTCCTTCCCTCGCTGGCTGCGAGATGCCTGTGCCGTGGCAGATCTCGCAGAATAGCGTGCTGCTTTGCCGGGTGTGGTACGACGGGGAGGGTCTTGATTTTGTCTCTGCGCTGAGCGGACATGGACATACTATATGCCCGAGTCGCTGCTTGCTGCGCTGGATTATGTGTATTCGTTGGTCTGCCAAAACGAATTCCCAGATCATGAGCCGAAGCTCCGATGATAACCGGGCCAGCAGTTGGCTTTGGAGCTGAGGCTCGGAGACTGGTATTATTTGCTGCCGCAGGAGAGGAAGGGGTTTATTGCCTGTTTTTTTGGGTCAGTGTCTGGTTTGCGGAGTATAAACCAGAAAAGGGGGCCTCAATGGTGAAAGCTCGAAGATACAACAAAGTAAAAGTAAAGAGAACAGTGCTAGGATGGAGTGGTAGCTTACTTTGATACCGCTGTACTAGCACATCCTCCCACGAAAAGACACCCTGTTTAATGCGAGTCATTGCCGAGTATTAGAGCAGTGCTTTTCTGCTTGAATTAAAATTTGTGTCGAGCAGCATTGGCAGCGAGAGTGGCTCCTAAATAGTGCCAATGTAAACTGTCCTGCTGATCAGGCTCTCGGGCACAACCACAGACTGCATGGAGTTCCCGTCAATCCGAACGGTCAGTGCCCAGGGGTAAGAGATCCGGAAATTTGGATGATTTTACAAAGAGTCGGTGAGAATGCTAGAGATAGAGAGAACTATAAGTTGAGCTATTTAGCTAGTTCCAGCTATCTACAGCATAAGTCGACAAAGCTGAAGATAAGAAATTGCGGAGACAAGAAAATAACTCGGTTCCACCCGGGCTGATTCTAGATTTAGATTTTTGCTTTCTCGGAACCGCCCCGATACCCGTGAACCAACCTTGGTTCATCCATACTCTGTTTCTACGGTACATCGGTGTATTAGAACTCGGGATGAAGGGATAAAACCTTGGAGGAGTACATACTATTCATTCGAGATCAGTAAAGTTTGACTTATTTCCCCCTTATGTCGACTTTTAATATCCCATACCAATAACCTCGTGACCTCATAAATAACCGAGGGCCCAGTCTTGATCGTGCTAGTACCCATACCCCACTCCAGCTTCAACCAAGAGTGTTAACCGGACACGCGACCTGCAAGCCTCGTGACAACATAGTCAGCCCAGCCGGCTGCAGCCGGTCTACAGAGGCCTCCGCCGGCAAAGTGCCAACATAGGCATTGAAGTTGTAGATGCCGCAGATGCACGTGTCGGCAATATCCCTCAAGCTCGTGCCGGACAAAGCATCAATAGTCTGGCCACCGCGAGTAACCGTGAAACTTTGCTTGCCCACACCCATTGGCACCGAGTGCGGCCAGATCCCCTCGCGCGCCTGGTAGGTCTCGACATGATTGCCTGATTGCACGCGCACAGTTGCAGGCGTCTTTAGCATCGTGACGATGAACACCTCGTCTTTCATCGTGTCGGCGCCATCAGGGCGGCCGCGGAAAAAGTTTCCGCTGGCGTTGTTGGGATTCCCTTGCATTGTTGTGTCGGTTGCATCGCAATTGACGCTTTTTAGAGTTGGCCGGTACCAGTATACCAGCTTTTCTTCTTCGAGGAAGTTGATCGGCAACTTCGAGCCTGCTTTATAGGCCGCGATGAAGGGCTTTGCCATATCGAGCCAACCGTTGTGTGGCCTATATCCCCTGTGAGTTGGATGCTGTTGTGCGTCATCAAGGTTTACTTACATGTCCATCACCCATTTTGAGGCACCGTCGTCTGTGTGCGGTGACGATAGTGGCCCAATATAGTGCGACTCGCCATAATCGTTCCAGGTGATAATCTCCACAAAGCGAGGACTGAGATCGAGGATCTCTCTCCATCGGTTATACCAGAGAAGATCAGAGGGGAATACCCAGTTTTTGCTGTAAGAGACCTCACCACCGAAATGTGTCGAGAACCAAGCCGAAATAGCTATCTATCAATGAGCAAACATGTACGAAGAACGATACGAACATTCTTACTCACGCGCAATGTATGGTTTTCCCTGCAGAGCATTCTGATAAGCTCGATCGCCATCTGCAACAGACACACTCTGCCCAGGAGTCGGAGCCTTATTATTCCCATTGCTGTTCCAAGCCATCCAATTCAGAGCACCCTGGACATTACCGAAGTCACCCTGACCTGGATGGAAATTCGGCGCAAAGAAGATATCACTGCCAGCCGCTGATCTGATTGCCCCAATATCGACACCATCGCCTGCGAAAGATGATACAAAGACTCTGCCATCGACCTTGAGCTGCGCGGGAAGACTCGCATAACGTGCAATCTTGGCCCCGACTTCGCTGCCCTGGGTGGGACGCCACCAATTAAAATCGAAAGAGATAAACACTTTCATGCCATTGTCCGCGGCAGATTGATAAGCATAGCCCAGCTGGGTGTCGGTGTAAGGGTCTGTGCCGATGTTCAATGCAAAGGCATCAATACCTGCCTTCTTGGCACGTTTCATGTCATCATCATAATCCCTGGGGCTTTGGCGATTGCTGACGATGCCAATCTGGATTGTTTCGAGTTAGTGTGTGTATTGAGAAAAAAATTGAATTAATCGAAAAAGAGAATATATATGTACCATGAAATGACAGAAAACCAGCTTATTCCCTATATTTTCCTCCGAAATGCATGGGGACACCATGTTGGTAGTGTAATCGACTGGGGTTGGCGAAGCTACTGTGAAAGGGAGCAGGCCAACCAGGGCTGCAAGTAGTGGGTAAAACATGCTTTTGTGAGCGGTGAAGAGATCCTAGTGCCAGCCTAGATATGTCTCCACGCTTTAAATGCAATATTGGAAATTAAAGGAATGAAGAGGATATTCAGCCTCGATGAATGAACAGAAGGACGAGAAAGAAGTTAAACGGGATAGTATGAGGAAGTAGTCTTGATATAGGCTTTTGTAGTTTGTTTAACAATGTCATATTGTTTTAGATTTAGATTCGCCTTTTATACACAGCATTGACTGTGGACAATACAACAATCAATTGGACCTTGAAGCCTCCGACGTGCACATGCCAACTGCTGTCTTCCATAGAAAATACAGCAGACCCTGCTGATGACCCCACTACTACTGTATCATCTTGTCAGACGAGGGTATTCGGCGCTTAATATCTGACTTGAGTAGGAAGCCGAAAGATCTGCTGGCAAGTCCCAGGGCAGGGGCAAGCGGCGACGAGTATCAGGGTGCCGGATTGGTTCAGTGTCTTCAATAGCTCAGCGGCTAACATGATATGTTCCAAGTTCAGCCTTTTATGACTAGTTTTACGAAAATTCAAGTGTTGAATATTACGTATAAAAACAATGTAGCGATGTCGCCCTGCAAAGGACATGTGCGGTTTGAGGATCCTGGCATGCGCGTGGAACTGCCAGATGCCCTCATCAAGGAAATGTACCCTGAATGTAGGCGTCAAGGATATCTGCCGAGCATCAGCTGATAGAAATCCGGGGAAACCGATGATAGAAACCCGATTGATGGGTGTCTGCGATGAAATCTGGCATGTGTCTGGACCAGACTGGTGATTTGGATGTCTGCTACAATCCTACCACACAAAAGGGAGGAAAGCTCCAAGGCCCTAGGTGAACATGTACCATTTGATATATCGACCAATATGCCAAAATACTCTATTCATGGGGTTTACGATTTTAATTATCAGATTCGCTATTCCATGCATGTTGTTAGAGCTAACACTTATCATCTGGATTGAAGCCATGTCACCTGGGCGAGGCAATGGGATGATTAAAGCACTGCGAAGGCAGAAACATAGCTCACTGAGCTATCCTCAACCTCTTCTACATCCGAGCTACGCTCATATCGCAGAAAGTAGAAGCGTCCTTGCTCGTCGGCTGCTCGGGTTGTCACGATTTCTAGGGCTGCCATAATTACCCCAATCGGATGGCGCCCGCATACTGTGTTACCCGTGCGTTCAATAATATCAAGGAAGGTCTTTGCAGATCCTGTTGTAATGGCCGACATGGTCGCCATGTCAAATGCCGAGATACTCTCGTGGATGGTAGGTTCCCGGCTGGAGATGCGATCGCGTTGTCGCAAGGCATGACCAGCTGAGACCATTTCAATGGCCTGGTTGACGCTACCTGCATCTGTTCCAGGCTGTGGGAGTTTATCACCAGATAATGGAAGTTGTGGGCCTGGCCGGGGCGCCTGTGGAACATAGTATGTGTAGCGAAACCGCGCACCCCAATGGCAGAAATCCGAACTGATGACGAAGGCATTGGACGGGTCCGCCAGGTAAGGAGCTAAGAGGGCCCCAAACGCTTGCTCTGTCGCAGCCGAGGTGTTTCCGACCATGATCGGGACTAAGGGTGGGTATTCGGAGGCTGGAGAATCAGGGTATTGGAGTTGGAGCAAACGGTGGAGGTAGGGCAAGTGCATCTCGATGCTGTGCTCGTCCTCATCGACAGAGCGCGACATGGAGGTAAAGCTGACCTTTGATCCGTCGGGTCTGGTTGCCTGGGTATCAAGAAGCTGGGTGATCAGCTCGGTGTCTAGTGGCAGAGGTTCATCGGAGAGTGGGGTACGGTAGGAAGTCAGTGTTGGAAGAGCCAGAGTAGCCAGCGCGACATGGTGTGATGGTCCTAGGATAAAGATTCGCTTGCTAGTTGCTTTGGGTTAGAGAACATCCTCATAAGATATCTGGAAGATGAACCCACGCTTGGGAGAGATCTAGCGCCTTGTATGCGTATGCTGCACAAGGCCCCGAGTAGGAATAACCCGCATGCCTGTTGGGTTAGCTTTTTTCCGTGTCATTGTGGACTTATAAGAAGCCTCAGACATACGGTGCAATGACAACTCTGGCCCCTGGAGTCGGTAGCGAGCCGACCTTGTCCATCGTATCTGGCACTTGTCCCAGCCAGCCATCTAGCTGACGGGCTAGGGTGCGGGCATTATCTGAGTACCAGGATCCAGAGTGAGAGGCATTTCGAGATGGCATGATCATATCAAATCCAAGCTAGGGATGTAAAATTGAATGGCAGAAGTGGTTGCGAGACGTTTGACACGATGAAGCTACAATCTCCAACTGAGGAGAAGCGGGGGATCATAGTGGGGATCCCGAACGCTCCAGCCACACGCCAACTGAAAGGTACATACGGAGTACATATGTATATGAATATATGAATACTCCGTAGATCGGACGATTTTATAATGGCGATACAAAATTACTCACATAGAGAGATTTATAGTCAAATCATGAACTACATAGCATATAAGATCTGAAAGTCTCAGTGTTGGATACATATAGTCCGTGTCTAAAGTAGGATCATTCATAGATCTATCGACAAGGATAGATGGGTGACCAAGACACTATACATAGCCCAGATAGTTACTTTAAAGACAGATATACCAGAATTACAACCCCTTTTGAAGTCCGTGTTGAAAGTAGAAAGCTATTTGTCGGCAGCTATATTACCCGATTTGGCTTAGTCTGACGGAATGCAACGCGAATCCTGTGAATGACGCGCCTAGCCAGTTGCATTCACATCTTGTGGCTCGTCTCTTAATTGCTTCTCTTGACACCTATTGCTGCCCCTATTTTCCCCTATAAGAGTTATATACCACACTACCTTTTACCACTATCACACCGATTGGTCTTGCTCCACAGAAAAAGTTCTTAAAATGTCTCTTAAGCGCAAAGTTTCCTTCACGGCTCTTCCAACCAGCCCGTCAGTTCCGGCCCCCAGTGATTGGGGCATGATGATCGATGGAAACACACACATCCATAGCCGCACACGAAAACGCTTCAGAGATGATCGTCCTAGTGAACAAGTGATTTATCGTAAGTGCTCTATTCTCACCCTCAGAGCCTTGTCCCTGGATTCGCATCGGCCGTTCGACCTTGCTGACAGCTTACAGAGAACACATTGCGATGGATTTTCTCTGCTCAAAAACAGCAAGAATCTGCACAGGCCGCTGAAATGGACACCATGGACTCAGAGCCTACGATCGAAACACCAGAAGCCGTTGATCCCCGACAACAAACATTACACCGATTCTTCCAGAAAACACCTCAGCAATCATCGTCCTTCCGACCATCCCCTCAAGCTCTTGCACCTCGTGCCAATGAAACTGCGCTTGACCAGGAGAATGTGCTACGGCACCAGGCATTCAATCAGATGAGCTCTGTGGATAGCGCGAGCGAAAGCAACAGTCCCGGGTTCAACCAGCTCGATGTTGACATGGACATGGATATGGACAGTGGAGATGGCAGAAATGGGCTGGACTATGCACCTAAACCCCTGACAGGGTCAATGGCCTGGATGTGATTTGACATTATCTTCCAACAGGCGTTGGTGTTTATGAGAGATTATCATTACCTCTCACTCTGTTTTGTGATACCTACTAGGATATTTGGGCACGGTGCTATTAATTATATTTGTCTTATTTTACCCTATTTCAATCTTGACTTTTACTCATCTTTATTTTTGCTTGAAGTGAACTGGCGATCTATCCCTTTCTATGATATTTATATTGACCTGAGGATGCTCGAGTATTTTAATAAACACATATCATCTTTAAATTTATTGAACTGGACCTGTGAGGTAATCAGATAGATACAGTCTGAGATTTGACCATATCTTTGAGTACTCTAATTGTTACATAGATCTGCCCACAGTAAGTACATAACATATGTAGGTACATGTAATCATGGGGGTCTTGTGATCACTTGCCTTTAAGCGGTATCTCCCTAGGTGCATAGGTAGGTAGATGTGGCATTTGAAAACCTTTATTGGCTGGAGCTACATGCATTGACATATATGGAAATTCGTATCCAAGAGAACACCTCGTCCTCTTGTACAAGTATCATAGAAGGTGTTGTGGTTGCATAGTAGCTTATATTGAGGCCTCAGGCACTAACAGTCGTTTGCCCGCCGAACCTCGTCCCGCCTATTGAACCACAAGCCCAGGGAAGTCGCAAGCGAGAAATCACCTAACCTCGACAACCCCTCCAAATAATCTGGAATCTCTCCTTCTTGTGTCCAGAATCCCTTCTCATCTCAGCTTACCCCGAGAGCTCAACTGTCCTGCACATTGGAGCTTCGTTGGGTGCTGACACGAACCACCCACCAACCACAATGGACAATGACAAGTCTGTTCAGTACTTGGAGGGGCTATTGGGTCGTACACTGCGGATTCATACCACGGATACTCGAATGTTTGTTGGGCTTTTCAAGTGTACCGATGCGGTAAGTGGCATAACCTACGCGCTACGAGCGGTAGCTGATTGAAATGCCCGACAGGACCGCAACATCATCCTTGCGAACTCTTTTGAATACCGCATGCCTACTACATCCGCCGTCCAGGCCGCCGCAGACGAGAAGGAATCGTGGGGAGAAGGACAAGAAGCAAAGATCACAACAGTCAAGGTGAACATGACACACCGGCTGATAGGCCTCATTGTGATCCCTGGACGACACATCACGAAAATAGAGCTGGAGTAAGCCTAGGTTCCAACTTGGGCTCGTATCCACGAGACCTTCATTTTCCTGCCTGGTCATTCTCTACTTGATCCTCAAATGATAAACCTAGCTCTACTGCCCCGCAATTCCAAGCGGCATGGTGATCACCTATACTGCATGTACTCATGTGATATGCCGCAGGGGAAGCCCGGTGTCTGCCCTACAATTTCCGCCCGCAATGACCCCCGGCCCCTGGTTTTCCGCCAGGAGGCAGGTTGAAACGTGGAGCTGCCAGGGCATGATTACGGACTTGGCGCTCGCTTCCTCTCTACCAACGTGGCAGCGGGACCACGAAAGCTGCATAGCGGCATCTCATATGGGCTTGGCTAGCAGGTCCGTTGTCAGGATATCGTCAGACAAGAGCTTGTGGCGAATGCTCCGGGCAACAGGGTGGGATAGATGGAGGGGTAAAATGGCGGTGTCTCCGCCACACAGATACCTTGGCATGCAGTGAGGTTGCTTTCATGCAGAACCAAGGCTATCTGTGGCTGCTGCCCGGTTCTGGTGCGACGAAGTTATGAAGTATGGTGTCCTCCGCTGTCTGAGGCTTACCCTCTGGCATGTGTTACTATGATAACTTTATGATGTATCATTTTTGTTTACAATGTGGAGTTGAGTCGTTGAGTCGGTGGGTGTTGTAGTTTTTATCTCTGGCACCTCTGATAGGATCCATGTCCCAGGTGGCGGGGCCCAAGCTCCATCTGAATCTTGCAAATGGTCGGGTAGGCTCGGGAACCGTCTTGGAACCGACTCTATGAATCCATTTGACCTCTTCAAGGGGCTGGCCTAAATTCAAATCTGAATGCGCGCTGAGAGAAAAGTGTCGCTTATCCAGCGCTAATTCACTGTGGGGACTCATCTGGGTAAAGGAATTCGCCTGTTTGGTTGTCAAACGAAATACGAAATGTCTATATGATGTATACGACTTATTCCCGGGACCTATGAGGGACGAGTTGGCAAACGTAGTGCTGGGGAGAAATTTCGAAATCAAAACTAAGAGACTGAATTTCCATAAAATTTGTGCCATGTGAGGCTGTGGGGAGATAGCTTCATGAGTTGGGAGACAAGACTCCACTGTACCATAGCTGACAAGATGTTTGTCTGTCGATGGGGTAGGCTAGTTATGTTTAAAAGAGCAAAAAAAAGAAAAGAACCTTTTGATTTGCTCATAAGTCATCAACTCATGAACTCATCAACCCCATAACTATAAATAATAGAGTCCAGACTCAACTCGGTTTCCCTTCAATCAGGCAACCCTCTTTGTTATAGCTCGGCCCGAGGAATAGTCCGGCTGACATAATCTCGACACCCCCGATCGAGACCGGGCCCAAGAAACAGAAACCACAGAAACCGACCGTTGTACCCGCTAAGTACCTTTCAACTGTACTAGCGGTGGCGGAATACTTTTGCCTACATCGCACCTTCACCTTGATCTTGATTTCCCTCTTCCCCTCTCTTTTTTCTTTCTCATCCTGGGAGCTTCCACCCATTTGTTTTTTTTATTATCTCTCTCATCTGGATCTTTGTGAGTTATACCCAAAACGTCCCCGCCTGCGGCCCATTTTGTGGAATGCAACCCGTTCAACCACTCCCCCGTACATAATGACGCATTCTTCCACCCGCAAACCCACCAGTCCCAAGGGCCCTCCCTTGCTTTCTTGCTGCCTGCGTCTTTTTCTTTCTCAAAACCTCCACATGCCACCTGGGTATCTGCGGAGTCAGCCTTGCAATCCTTGCACCTGCATTGCCCTGTCTAAGAGGCTAACAAACTGTGTAGGAAAGCTTGCTTTTGCTCAGCCTGTCACCCCAGAGCTCCGGGCCATCCACTTATCCTTTAGCTTTTTTTCCATTTCCCACCAACCCTTCTCCACCTGCAACAACCAGACGACGTCTAGTCACTTTCTAGATCTTCACTTTGATCTCGCTGCTTCATCCGTCTCATTCTCGTGACTACGCTTACTTCTCACGCCTGCCGTGTGTGCATCCAAGCCCCGATCCGACCAGCAGACAAGCCTATAATTTTTTTTTGGCAGCGCTTTTTGGTAATATTCCAGAGCTTGTGCCAAGCCATTCCAGCAACACCAAAAGGAAGAGCTTAAGCATCTCGTTTGTGCGATCGTCCCAACTCAAGCTTGGCAGTCTACCCGAGCTTTTGCAGTCATGGGCCAGTCGCATTCCAAGGGCAACGCCTCAGGCGACCCTCTACAGTCATACCCTTCCTTTTCCAAATCCGATACCAAAGAATCTCTTCGCTCGTTCCGAGGCTCGATCCGATCGAAGATCCCCGGTGCTCGCAGTTCCGACAGCCCTCGAGGCTCCACCACCGCCCTCTCTCAGACTGAGAGCCAGACCGATAAATCTGATGCTGGATCTCTCAAGTCAGTTGGAAGCCGCCCCGGCTCCAATGCTGGCCTCCCTCAGTCGCCTGGCTCGGAGACCACTTCGCGACCCGGCTCCCCCCAGCCCCCACCATCTCCCTCGCTTTCCACCAGCTTGCAACGAGGCCACAAGGATGTGAACGCGATGAAGCAAAGCGGTGAAGTTGACCACGTGTCTGATGGTCCTCCCTCCGGTGGGCCTCCAACTGGAGCCGCCCCGGTCGCTGGTGAATCCATTCTGATGAAGCGCGAGAATCAACTGAACCCCATCCTGGACTTCATTTTGAATGCTCCTTTGGAGACTTCGGGATCCCCCGGGATGGGCATGGGCGCATTGAAGTCCATTGACCTAGATGATATGATTTCACGCCTTTTGGACGCTGGCTATTCCACCAAGGTCACCAAAACGGTCTGTCTGAAGAACGCCGAAATTACGGCTATCTGCACTGCTGCTCGCGAGCTCTTTCTGTCACAGCCTGCTCTGCTAGAGCTGTCAGCACCAGTGAAGATTGTCGGCGACGTTCACGGCCAATATACCGATCTTATTCGACTCTTTGAGATGTGTGGATTCCCACCCGCTTCAAACTACCTTTTCCTAGGTGACTACGTCGATCGAGGCAAGCAGAGTCTGGAGACGATTCTTCTGCTTATGTGCTATAAGCTCAAGTATCCCGAAAACTTCTTTTTGCTTCGAGGAAACCACGAGTGTGCCAACGTTACTCGCGTGTATGGATTCTATGACGAGTGCAAGCGTCGTTGCAACATTAAGGTCTGGAAGACCTTCATCGATACCTTCAATTGTCTCCCAATCGCTGCGATTGTGGCTGGAAAAATCTTTTGTGTCCACGGTGGTCTCTCACCCAGCCTTTCGCACATGGACGATATCCGCGGCATCGCTCGTCCCACTGATGTGCCTGACTATGGTCTGCTGAATGACCTCTTGTGGAGTGACCCGGCAGACATGGAGGAAGACTGGGAACCCAATGAGCGTGGTGTCAGCTACTGCTTTGGAAAAAAGGTCATTATGAACTTTTTGCAGCGTCACGACTTTGATTTGGTTTGTCGTGCCCACATGGTGGTCGAGGATGGATATGAGTTCTACCAGGATCGCATTCTGGTTACCGTGTTCTCTGCACCCAACGTAAGTCTTTTGGTATTTGTTGCGCTCAAGAGTCATACTGACCTCTCACGTAGTATTGCGGCGAGTTTGATAATTGGGGAGCTATCATGTCAGTTTCTGGCGAACTTCTCTGCAGCTTCGAACTTCTTAAACCCCTGGACTCGACCGCCCTGAAGAATCATATCAAGAAAGGCCGAAACAAGCGCAACAGCATGCTGAACAGCCCCGTAAGCAACTCCCCTTGCTTTTTGGATCTTCCCCCGTGTTTCGTAAACCACTACCCAGATCTCCCACCCATCTTTCGCAGATCATGCGCCCCCTTTCGAACCAATCGCTGACAAATTCCAGCCCGCGGCGGTATCGGCGCAAAGTTTTTAGGCCCCATCGCTCGTTCTATACTTGAAATTGATATCGTCTGCGATATATCATCTCTGCCATGGTCCCGAAGCCGATTACTCTAACAGTCGACCGGCAATGAATATGACTTTCACTCTACTAGCAACGTGGTAGCTGATCCACTGTTTGATATTGGCTGCTCATTGAAAACAATCTGCGATCACCCTTTCGCACCATTTCCCGGAACCCATATCCCCCGGGCATGGATGCTCAAAACCAGACTTGGCGCGCAATTGAGCCCGGTTGATTTGGCCGGTCCGCGCATCAGAGCCTTCGTGGCTCCATCAACAAGCGCAGATCCGCAGACTTCGAATTTGCAAACTCGAAAGAACATGCATATCAGGAGGAAGCGTGGAATCGTCACCTGCCTCTTCATTGTCTAATGGAGTTCCAGCTCACAATACAGACGCTTCATATCAAAGTGTCCAGACTCGCACTCGCAAAGAAAATGATAATCTGACATGGCTTTGGAGTATTAGGCCTTTCACTGCCATGACATTCTCCTTCATGTATCTACAATATCTCTACTTTTTATATCCTAAACAAATGGTGCCAGGGGTCAATTGATTTTCTTTCTGATTGGGACTAAGAACTGTCCAAGTAAGATGTGTAGGAGTGTACAAGGTTCTTATGGGTCAGTGAAGCTGCATGGGGTACGTCGGTAAACCCCATCTGTGTAGGATCCAGCGCACACCGCTAGTAAACCCCCTGACCTGACGAGCTCGTCGCAAAAAGTGGTTCATGATTGCGAAAGCCAATGCGAACCGGGACTCCCTCCCGACTTGGAAGCTTGAAAACCTCGGCAGCCCACCCGTGGAATTCCGAATGCATATGCACTGCCTACATGTATGTTGTACGTAGATACATAAGGCATGAAGTGAAGTGCTATATGTAAACAAGAATCAGTGGCATGAGACAACTTTACTATTGGTCCCCGTAATATCCACACGTATACTGATGGTTTCTACGTCTAATACAAGCTACAACTGGACCTCCAAAACGCCATTTTATGCTAGCCCAGGGATGAAGGCCAAACAAAGACAAGAAAAGAACCCCCCTAATCAAGTTTCCTTCTGTGCGTGCAGATCTCCAGCCGATCCAGCAACAGATTGAACCTGAACTCTCACTCTCGCCGCAAAAGGGTTCGGATCCGTATTCTGATCCAAGTTCCCCAGCGTATGATTGACATCCCGATGTTTCGCCTCATCGGCACGCACATATAGCAGCAGCGAGTGCATACAGCGTTGGCCCTCCGGCATCTGCCAGTATTTGATCGCCATGTCGGGAGCCTGTAAGCTCTCCCATGCAGGTAAATGACCATTTTCAAGGTCGCGGATCGCCTTCGAGTATGTGATCACGGCTTCCTCTTCTAAATACCCGACAAAGCGATGACAGATCTGCGGGGAGATGAGGTAGGCTAGTGAGAATCCACTGAAGAACACGCACTGCGCGCCGAGAACCATGAATCGCATTGCCGGGCCTGGCTCGGCGAGCTTGAGGAAGGTTAGGAGGTGCATTCGTTCGTTGTACGCTTCTTCGAGGAGGGTTTCTATCCTGCTTAGGTGTGAGATCGTAGGTTCTTCAATAGGAATGAATGGATACTCACCACCCGTTATCTCTTCGCATTCGGCGGATGCTTTTGAGGTGCCGGAGCATCCCTGCTACCATTCCTGGAACGCCCGCTACGCTTTCGAGGAATACGAATCTGGTGATCCATTTCTCCTCGGTCATGATGTGGGGTTTGGCGCTGGTCGTGCTGGGTATTGGTGAAGAGTGATATCCAGAGATCAGATCCATGCCCCAGCGCAAGAGGCGAACGGTTCCGAGCGCTGCTCTATCTTGCCAGGTAGATGCTTTGCGGTGGGCGACTCGGACGGCAACGATTTGGTCCTTTGTATATCTAGTAGATTATAGATGTCAGACATGAAGATTCCTCTGTATAGAGCAATCTGCTTAAACATACACAGGATGAGTCCATGAGGACTTTTGACCAACGTGTGCGGTATGGGTTCTCTTGATAGATGTCAGGGGAAATAGCCTGTTATATTGGCTTGACCGAGCACATAAGAGAGTGCCTCTCTTGAAGGCTGTATTTTGAGGACGGAAAGGCATCAGAGAAAGACGAGGCATATTGGAGCTTTCAAAACCATCCAACTGATATGCAATTAGCAAGATAGATCACAAACAGGTTGATTCTGGAATTGACTAGTAATCGTTCGAAACATGGTGCCTTTTATGTTATGGAAGTTCTGTTTTCTACAACGCAGAACGCAGACTATGACTCAATTATTGTTGAGACTCTGTTCTGCAATATACAGTGTAAGCGAGATAATAATAGCCTCAACAAGTTGACGTTAGATTGAGATTCTGGATAAACTACGCTTATTGAACCCTAATCCTCCCGATTTCGTCCGATATAAGAGAAGTCGGATGGATCCCCCTTTTCTCCGTGACTCATTGCAAATCGAGAGGAGTATAATGGAGGAGTGTCTTGAGAGCGAAACATGCTACCTTACATACATGCTTGAGAAAAAGGGGGTAGTCTATCTAGTCGTGTGTGATACCATCCTATTAGAAGATATTCAAATCCTAGCGTTCATCTTAATCATGCCAAGCGTTCACTCTCATATTAAAAGGTGCTGCTCGAGTGGGCGCTTGGCACTATCAACTCACCAAGCAGGTGTGATTGGAAAATTCTTCTCTTTGCCCAGGAATCACGCAAGATACTCCTAGCTGTTTATGGATAACCGAATTATGTAAAACGACGATCCCCTAGGTATGGACGGAGTGTTAAAAGTGAGTTACATCGCTTGAAAGATTTAGTCTATCTTCGGTCTCTTTTGGGAGATTTCCTGACGGGGTGGTATTGATTATGCTTGAGTGTACATTGTGAACCATCTAACATAGCAGTCAAGGAAGGACTTGAAGTGTTGATCATTGTGGGACATTCGATTAGTACATTCCTCATGTCAATAATTGGCCTCAAGACATAGTGAAGTGTGAGAGATGTTAGAGATCGCCTGCGCATGGCCGAAACAACCAACGCCATAGGATTCGTTGTAAAGCTCAAGAAAGTCTAAATGAAGCTTTGTATTGTGTAGCATTAGTTGTATTCCACCGAGTGATGTGTTACCATTTTAGGTAGTTATATAGTGCTTCTATGGAAAATGCGGTAGAAGCCCCAATACCTAACATGGATCCTTCTTTCACCTGGCCGTGAACACGTTGATCAATAGCACAATGTGACATAATTTGACAACACATCATTCGGTCTTTGTATCACTTGATAAAATCGAAATCGGCCCTGTCGGTAGGCAGACCGTTGATAATCTGGTCCAGCGCTACCGGCCACTGTTCCGTGCAGACATCTTGACGCATAATCTGGACCACCAATAGAGCCGCTCGCGTAAATAGGCTCGCCGGATCTCAATACTGTTTATGGAGACATTAAACAGCAACACAACCACCCCGCATTGGTGGGTTCTTTGAGATACCGAAAGGCTCGGCTGCCTGCCCGAGATGCTACCTAGTTCTACACAGGCACAATCTTGATCTTGACTAATAAAGAAGCTGAAGCCCCTCAAGTTAACTTGAAAGAAAAATAAACAAGTCATTCAGAGATATGGGTACCTTACTTCCCCGAACTGGTCTTGCAAGATGTACTCGATACACAAACAATGTGAATGTCTCAACGGCAGTGCGATTTACCTCCACCCTGCAAGCACAAGCACAAGTCAAGACATACCAAAGCCCCCTATTACCACCTCTCTCTGCTTTACCGGTTCGTGCGTTGCTACGATCTCTATTGGTCTCCACCGTATCGTCAAAGAGATTTCTCCTCATCCCGGCACTTTCAATGATGTCCTTCCTGTCGAAGCCAAACAGAATCTGGTTGTTTGATGTTGACCGGAATCCGATTCTGCATGGAATGTTGAAGACAACCTTCTATAATCAATTCTGCGCTGGCGAAAATGGGGCAGAATGTCAGGCAACAATTCAAGAAATGAAAGACATGGGCTTTCGTGGAATGATCTTGACATATGCTGCCGAGACTGTGTTTGATCATAGCACCCAAGCCTCACAAGGTCAAGGTACTGCTGTGAACAGCAAGGATGGCAAGAGTGAGGACGGGCTTGTTTTCTGTCCCAGCATCGAAGCTTGGAGGGCAGGAACGATCGAGACCATTTATATGACAGCAGCGGAAGATTACATTGCCGTCAAGTAAGTCGGTCTAGCATCTACAGTGACGAAGAAGGATAACTGACCATATATAAGACTGACAGGCGCTGGGATGTCAGTCACTGAGGCATTTGCCGCCGGGGAGTTGCCCCCACAACAGATGATGGATGCTTTGGATGAAGTCTGCACAACAGCCAAAGACCGCAAAGTGCGCATTCTCGTCGATGCCGAGTCTCAGCATTTCCAAAAGGGCATTTCCCGCGTTGGTCTGGAACTCATGCGCAAATATAACCGCGACGGCTATGCCACCATCAATAATACCTATCAAGCCTACCTCAAAGGCACACCAGTTACACTAGCCAACCACCTCGCCGCGGCAAGCAAAGATGGTTTCACACTCGGCTTGAAGCTTGTAAGAGGCGCGTATATGGCTACGGATGAGCGATCTCTGATCCACGACACCAAAGAAGACACCGACAATGCATATAACACCATTGCCCAGGGAGCGCTGAGAAAGAATATTGGAGAATTTGGAGACAAGGGCAGTCGCGCCTTCCCCTCGGTGAATCTCTTCCTGGCAAGCCACAATAAGGAGAGCGTGGTAACTGCTCACAAGCTTCACAAGCACCGCGTCATGTCTGGGTTGCCTACCGTGCCGGTGCGGTTTGCCCAACTCCATGGTATGTCCGATGAGGTGAGCTTTTCGCTGCTTCAGATGAATGATGGCGATGGAACGCCTGAAGTCTATAAGTGCTCAACCTGGGGAGGTTTGGGTGAATGTCTGGCGTATCTTCTTCGCCGGGCAATTGAGAACCGTGATGCTGTGTTGCGGACGGATGATGAGTACCGGGCGTTGAAGGCGGAGGTTTTCCGGAGAGCAAAGTCGGTGTTTTCACTTACACCGTAGCACTATAAATTGATGGTCAATATATCAAATTACTCCAAGTTCTTAATTGAGAAGCCGGTACGGCCGATAGACGGAGAGGAAAGTAACAATGTGCAGCGGAGTGTATTGATCCTAAAGGGCTTGATAGAGCAACATCTGAACGCGCTGCCACTGTCACGCGGTTGAGGGAAATTAACCCAAAGAAGAATCCTTTTGCTTATATGAGTGATGTCTGTGCTGCTTGTTAACATCAGAGTCGCATACAAGAGAAAATTGATGATATCCCTGTTTTGGACACCATTCATGTACAAGTCCGGGGCCCCAGTTCATTGACCAGCCGTGTCTACGCGATCGATCGGTAGTTTGAATAAATGTTTGATTCGTTTATCTTGATAGTCTCGTATGAAAAGCAGATCGCAACTCCATATTCGTCAAGCATCCAATTCCAAACGCAGGAATGATACGGACACAACGTAACAGAGTTGACGAGGGAAGATATTGCTGCGAATACTTCACTCTTTCAAGAAAGGGCATCGTGTACTGCCGTGTATACATATCTAATGCCAATAAATGCAGCGGAGTAGCAACAAACTGAGTCAACACAGGCACAGTCAACTGCGTGATGATTGGCTTCGCGTGGGGATGAGTCGCCAAGCCATCGGGGATGGCATTCGACAACCACGGGGCCAACGTGAACGACCCAAAGATAGTCACACCGTCTCGCACAAGGAAAACTGCTGCAGCAGCTCGTGCCAATGACTTGTTCTGGAGAGGCACAGAGGTCTGCGGCATGCATCCTTTCGGGGCCTTGGCATCGGGACCCCTGCCGGTGCCGTATTCCTGCGCAAATCGGATGTCCTTCCACAGTGCTAATGGCACATTTGCCAGCATAGTTGTGGCAAAAGTGATCGTCCCCGCAGCTGTTATCTCAAGCTTGCGACTGATCGTGTCGGTTACGTTGGCAACGGAATAGGTTGCCGCATACAGGGCCCAGACGATCCCAAAGGGCCGTTGGAAGACAAATAATCCCGGCTGCCGCAGCGCCCCGAGGGCATGCCGACGAAGCCCGCGGAGAATTGGTTGCTTGAAGGAAGCTTGCTCGACAAGTGATCTAAGTAATTGTTAGCGCGAACCACCGCCGGAAGCGTTAAAGCGAACCTATCAATGACGGCCACCGCGGGAGTCACTAGGGATGCCGAGATTGTAGCCGCGGCGAGATCGCCTACCAGCTGATCCAAAGGACTGCCCCAGTGAAATTGGTTTGAAGAAGCTTGTTGCATAATGATAGCTAACATGGACAGTCAGGTCTCATGCTTATCTACCTTGGATAGGATAAAGATCCTCTGACACAAGCATCGGGCGGCCTTCCGATGGTGCAGATCTAGAGAGACCTTGACCGTCATAGCTCTACCTGAATGCTATCAGCGTGTGGGGTAAACGGGCAAGTGTCCGAGGTTGGAGGGCACATTGGCTTTTAAATCAATCTCTTCATTTCAAGCTGGGTTCTTTCACATTTCCATACTCGAACCCGTTACCATGTCTAACACACTTATGAGACTTCGCTCGGCGCGGCCTATTGGCCTTCGCCTGCGCTCTATCCCTGCGCTGTCTGTTCAAACTCGTGCTCAGACTACCATGCCATTCCGTCTCCCGGATGCGAGAAATGAACCTAACGTGAGTGTGGCAAAAGTCAAAGACAGGCACAAGCTAATCTATAGCTGTATAGCCTCTATATAAGAAAGGCTCCCCAGAGCGCGCTAAGCTTGAAGAAGCATTGATCAAGCTTCGTTCTCAACTACCCGTCCGAAGTGAACTCTTCTATGACGGCAAATTCCAAGCAAGCTCACAGTCCTGGGATCAGCCATTGCCCGCAGAACATGCTACTACCTTCACAAACTACCCACTTGCTACAGATGCCCAGACCAAATCAGCTATTGAGCTAGCTCTTAATGCAAAGCAAAGCTGGCAGGATACACCATTCGTTGATCGAGCATCGATTTTCCTCAAAGCTGCCGAGCTGTTATGCACCAAGTACCGATACGAAATCATAGCGGCGACGATGCTCGGACAAGGAAAGAACATCTGGCAGGGAGAGATCGATGCGGCAGCTGAACTGGCAGATTTCTTTCGCCTGAACTGCAACTGGGCTGCCGAGATCTTGGAGAAGCAACCGACCCGCGGCACTGATGGCATGTGGAGGTTAGTATCAAATGCCAGTTTGTCTAGTTATAGCTAACAATCGCAGCCGCATTGACTATCGACCCCTGGAGGGTTTTGTTTACGCTGTCTCTCCGTTCAACTTCACCGCTATTGGTGGCAACCTCATCTGCGGGCCTGCATTGATGGGTAACGTGGTGTTGTGGAAGCCATCAGCATCCAATGTCTACGCCAGCTCTTTGCTGTACAAAATTCTTTTGGAGGCTGGTCTTCCACCGAATGTAATCCAGTTTGTGACTGGTGACCCTGAAGCCATTACCAAGACTGTGCTCTCCCACCGTGACTTTGCCGGCTTGAACTTTATTGGCTCATCTGATGTCTTCCGTTCTCTGTATGGAAAGATTGGCGAGGGCGTTGCCGCAAAGAAATACCGCGAATTCCCCCGCTTCGTTGCCGAGACTAGTGGAAAGAACTTCCATCTTATTCACTCATCGGCCGATATCTCGAGTGCAGTCAACCATACCATCCGCGGCGCGTTCGAGTATCAGGGCCAAAAATGCTCCGCTACGTCGCGTCTTTACTTGCCTGAGTCCCGAGCGGAGGAATTCCTTACTCAATTGAAGACTGGTGTCAAAGAGATCACCATTGGAAACCCAGACAAGGACTTGGAGGCTTTCATGGGTCCCGTAATCCACCGGGGCTCATTTGAAAAGATCAAGTCTATCATTGATGCCAGCAACAAGGATCCCTCGCTGAAGCTGATCGCTGGTGGTACTTATGATGATTCTGTGGGCTTCTACGTGCATCCGACTGTGTATCAGGCCGATTCCCCGGATCACTCTCTCTTCAACGAGGAGATCTTTGGTCCCGTGTTGGCTGTGTATATCTACAAGGATGCCGACTGGGCTTCTACCCTTAAGTCTGTTGACCAGAATGGAGGCGGCTTTGCCTTGACTGGCGCTGTCTTTGCTAAGGATCGTGCAGCTATCCGCCAGGCCGAAGATGCTCTCCGATACTCTGCCGGTAACTTTTATATCAGTAAGTTCCACGACTCTTGTTTATAGATTTATGACTTCGACTAACTTTCTACAGACTGTAAGACAACTGCTGCACTTATTGGGCAGCAATCCTTTGGTGGTGCGCGTGCTAGTGGAACCAATGACAAGGCTGGAAGTTCTGATCCGCTCCGTCGTTTCGTTAGCCCTCGGTTGATCAAGGAGGAATTCTTCGACCAGGAAGGATTTACCTACCCTAGCAACCACTGAGGCTGTCGGGATACGCCAGGACGATGCTCTAGATGCTTAGCAAAATATGTATATTCACAATGCAACTACTTGTTCTCCATTATCAACAACCAACTGTGGTCTAAGACTTAAGTAGAGGTGGTTGCGAGTAGTTACCTGGAAGATGGACATGTATGATCATGATAGCTAATTATAATTACCCACCCTAGGGTATAACTGAATGATTAAGCAAGATTATCCACCCCAATGTTCCAAGCAGCTACCATTAACATGCGTGAAGTACATGGACTGGAATCTGCGATAATACAGACCCATTCAATGTAACTCCCAGAGGACTCCTATCACTCGCTAGTAGGAGTAGTTTTCTCTATTTTCTTCCTCTTATGAACAAGGATACAGCATTTCCTGTCTCTTTAGTAGTAGGTCTTTTGTATTAGGTTATAAGCACCTTGATTTGCATATTGTGATCTAACAGTTTGTTTGCACCCTGTCTTTGGGCAATATCGCCGTCGCCTCACCTCACCGGCTTCGTCTCTTGCCACATAAATTGTCATCTGAACGCTTAATCTTATCAGTTCAATAGTCCCTATCCTCGACAGGCTTCACTTCTCGATCGTGTCGCTTTTCCCTGCTTTCGATCAACCCTACAGCTCTGGAGAATCCGAGGGCCTTTCAGTCAACTCTCACATCTAGTAACCCGAGGACCAACTTGGTTAGTTGTTTGTTCACTTTCTTGTCGACACGAGGGCTTCTTCCCTGTCAACACCACAGCCATATTTGATTTGACACGAGAGCCTACCTGGTTAGTCATTTTATTATGGAACACCTACGAGGAGCCTCCTGGAACCACCCGGAATTTGATCTGGTCGATGTCGTCCCTAAGTTGAAGGGTGAAATCAATTTCTCAGTCTGGAAGATCAACCTTCTGCAGGCCCTCGGCGCTATCAACAGTGGCTATCCAGTGCTTCTTGACAGCACAGACACCTATCCTGTCGCGCCTGTCTACGCTGATAGTTCTATATCTACTATTCGCGAAACCCTTGCTTTCAAGCGACAAGTGAAACCGAATGAGATCTCTGCTACACTTATCAACGAGAAGCTCAAGGAGGTGTAGACAGAAATACAGGACTTTCCAGCCTCTCTTTTTAATAGGCCAGATTCTAACAAAGCAACCAACCCATGTTTAAGCCACATGCAAAGTTAGACACCAGCGTCCATTTTTACTAGATCTAATTCCTTCCCCAATTATGCTGTTCTCCTGTATTCTACGTTGGCTTCTTGTGAACTCCACATCGGGGACGCTCCCGATGTCCCACTTCTCCGCTCTCCAATTGGAGATACACCAGAGTCCAGAGTACATCTTCGGTATTGGATGCCGTACAAATGACTAAAGATAGATTGCGTGTAATTGTGAACAGACTATAGATACCCGACAGCTAGATCATCTGGTACTTCTATTTCATTGTGTTCCAACTCGACTGGAAAATGAGTATCTCCAAATCCGACCCCATCATCATAGTTGGCGGCGGAGCCTTTGGGCTCTCGACTGCTCTGCATTTGACCCGCTCCGGTTTCACGAATATTTCGGTCTTTGAGAGAGACGAGCACATACCTCCCCGTTACTCGGCTGCCAATGACCTGAACAAGATCGTGCGCGCCGAGTATGAGGATCCATTCTACACCGACCTGACAATCGTGAGTCACTGACCTTACAGAGTATCCTCGGTAAATGGAAGTACTTCAACTAATGCACTCATTAGAAAGCAATTGCGGCGTGGAAAACACCTTTGTTTGCCCCCTATTTCCACCAGACAGGATTCCTCCACTGCGTGTCGGGCGAAGCTCCGCAAAAGGCCATCGATACCCTCAATAGATTCCGTGCTTCAGCAGAGGGGAATAATCAGATCAAGCCCCATGTCGTACCCCTCAATAGCCAAGACGATATCCGCCAAGCCTGCTGGCAGCTGGAAGGCCCGTTGACCGGCTGGAATGGATACCTGAATCGTTTCGACGGGTATGCCCACTCCGGAAACGCCCTGGCGGGGATATACCGAGCCGCCCAGGCAGCGGGTGTTCGCTTCTATCTCGGGGAGCGCGGCGCAGTCGACGAGATCGTCTACGTCAGCACTCTGCATGGCAAGAAGAGCTCCGGAGTGCGCACAAAGGAAGGCAAACTCCACCCTTCTTCCTTGGTGATCGTTGCAGCCGGCGGTGCCGTAGGCCGCCTAGTCCCCGAGATTGGCAAGAAGGTCGTGGCCAAGTCCTGGTCTGTGGCGCATGTTCACTTAACCGATGAAGAGACTTCGGCACTCCGTGGTATCCCCGTGACCTATGCCCGTGATCTGGGCTTCCTCTTTGAGCCGGATCCTCAGACCAACTTGCTTAAGATCTGCCCTATGGGCGGTGGTTATATCAACACTGATCCCGAGACTGGGGTTTCGCATGCCCCGGGGACTCTGGAGGAGAGTGCGTTCGTGCCGGAGCATGATGAGAAGCAGATGAGGAAGTTGCTGGCGCAGACTCTTCCGGCTCTTGCGAATCGGCCGCTCGTTAAGAAGTCGCTTTGCTGGTTTGCGGATACCGATGATTCGGACTTTATTATTGATTTTGTTCCTGGGACTTCGTCGTCGGTTGTTTTGTTGTCTGGTGACTCTGGGCATGGTTTCAAGATGTTCCCTATCTTTGGATCGTGGGTTGCGGGTTTCTTGCAGGCTGGTCGGCAGAGTGAAGCTCGATGGCGGTGGAAGCATGACAGTAATAAGGAAGGGAATTGGGGTGGTGATGTGAGCTGGCGTATTGGGGAGTCGAAGGAGCTCTCTGTGATACGGCCAGCGCTCTTGTCTAAGCTTTAGATTGTAGCATGTTCAGCATTTCTAGTTGGGATATCCAATTCAGAAGTCTAGTTAGAATTTTACAGAACATGCATTATCCATTCTCGACTCATGGAGAATAATAGTGTATCGTGAGCTTCATCATTCAATTTACCAAATACTATGTTCTAGCATTGCATTAGACACCCACTCCGTATCATAGCTCTCAATCGAATCCGCAACAGCCATAATCTCAGCCGAGGTCAACATCGCACTAAGGTCGCATTCAACATCTAGATCAGCATCCGGCCTGAAAAGAGCATCATCGTATCGAGGCATAGTCGGGATGGGCGTAGCAGACGGAGAAGCCGGTCGAGGAAGAACATCCTCATGGAGAAAGGGAGGTACTGCTAATGGTCGCGGCTGACCAGAGATACAGCCCAGTAGTGTCTCATCCAGTTGCTGGAGTTCTGATCGCCGGTAGCTGGCGACTTGACTTCCGTCTCTGATCATTTCCTCGAAGATGGCGTATGCTCTTTCCAGGCAGTTTGGATGACTTTCTAAAAGACGTGGATGAATTGCCGGGCCCATCAATAGAATAACCGTAGACACAAAGATTGATTCTAGATCGAAAGGGAGGAAAGTTTCTGATTGGTATTTAGCCAAAGGAGCAAATCTGGTGTATTGATACAATGACTTACCCAACAGGCCTTGGCTCTGTAGACTAGAGAGAATGTAGATGATATGCTGGGCGGATTCAAGGCACATTTGTATTAAACTTCGGACATTGCGCGATGCATCGATAGACTCTAGGCAGCTTTCTGGCGACTCAAATCGAATCTTTAATAAGCAGAATAGGAGAGGTCGAGTGGCTAGAATTATACACTATACATTCATTAGTAAACTCCTTTGGGTTGGACCTGAACTGCTCACCTGGTGATATTGAAGATGTAAATATGCCGATGTCCGAGAAACACCGCTAGCTGGGTCCAAGTAGAGCGGAAAGGACTCGCGAAGCTCATCAGCAAGGCCTGCTATATTCGCCAATGCCGTCTTTGTACTGAGTAGGAAGGTTCGATTGATGCGTCCATTGATAACATATATTGCTAAAAAGTACTATTAGAGCTGTTATGATCGATGGGAAACGCTCCTAAACTTACTGCTGTTTATCTCCGCAATGATCTGGGACAGTTTGATGTGCATGCCTAGGGACATTGTCTCTGATGGATCCGAGAAAGTGGGAAGTTGCGTTTGCACATATCTGTCGTTAATAGACTGCGGTAACCCCATCAAAGAGGTCATTTCTCGGTCCAGAATGTAAACGGTCCACCAGATTTTGCTGGATCTTTGAACCATATCATGTCCCAAGGATTCCACCGGCATCCTAGTGTGCATCCCCTGTGCCATGGCTATCCGCACAGCTTGGCCAATCTAGCAAAAGAAGTTAGTATTTCAACAGAAATTCTCTTCCGGAACCCTTACGAAGTTATATGCCGACGTTCGAAAATCGACACACTGATAGTATAAAGCGATGCAACATAGGATTTCTGTTCCTATCATAGGGTCCCGATAGAGAGCACTAGGATCAGGCAGAAGTTGCAACGCCTTGATAAAATACCCTACCCCTGGTGGCCCTTTACCGTGAACCTTGGGTTGAACGAATCCCTTCCCAAAAGCCAGGATGAGAAGAAAATGGATATACCACAAACTGTCTGTCATAGAATGTCCTTCCCCAGAGTAAAAGTGGTGCAAAGAATTCATAAAAACATCCTCTTCAAAGAGGTGATACAGCTGTCCGCAACGGAATTTCACGGCGTTGATCAGGTACATAGTATGGTCGCGTGTCGGAACAACTGGAATATCCGGGTTCGGGGTTGTTCGTAGCCCATTCCATCCGAGCTCATAGGTCGTTTCATCAAATAGCAATGTTTCTGTTGGCAATACATCATGGTAGAGGTGTTGGTGCGCCAGACTAAGAACCCGCCGAGTAAATGACCAGTTGGATGATGTTCCAAGGTAGACTGCAGATGTTAGCATTCTAGGTAAGTCTAACAACTCCACAAGAGCTAAAATACTTCTTGGGTAAGTATGCGTGACCTACATGTTCGGCCGTTCGCCGCAGACATAAAAGCAGGTGGTCCTGTTGATAATGGGTTGGCTAGACCCGAATCTTGATCTTCCAAATCATGAGATTCCCCATGATCTTCAGGGGTACTGGTCCTCTCCAGAGTAGGCACATCTTCGCGATCTTTCAGATCTGTAACAGATTAACAAGGCAACCCCCATAAGCGGGAAAGTAGAGACAGACCAATAGTCTGCGTATCGAAACTCGAGCTGAAAGGGCTCGCTTGTCCCTTTTCGTTCTGTTCTATTCGTGCAATCTTCTGCTGTAACTCTAGAATGTACCTACATCAAAGACGTGAGTTTACGACTCCTTCCAAAGGTGAGCTACACTGACCCTCTTGTCACCAGGATCTTCTGATCGCGGTCATTGAAGACGCAAGAAAGCTTTCGCTTGCTGCACCCGTCGCATGGTTGCGACCCGGAACACTTGATCTTTTGTCTCCGGCATCGCACACAACTAATCTAGAACGTCAGTGGTGTCCTGGGCAATTTTGGCATCCACCCACGCATTTGAGGATCGTTTTGAAACTCTTCCATCCGCCATATGAATTGCTGGAGGATGACAGGAAACGAAGATTCAGAATGCGGGGGAAAGATGCGAGGTCGTGGGGAGGGTCCCCGAATTAGGAGACCAAACCCGCCAGATACGAAGGGTTATCTTAAGTGTGTCGTCGGGTTCCCTCCCGATAGTTGACATTGGCATTGCTATCTTGTATCTTTGTTTTTATCTTCACTCCCAATTTACATACAAATCATTCTTAGTGTGTTTTTTGCTTTTTTGCTAACGCTGCCCGAGCAACTGTCGATTTGTCTCCCAAAATTGCCTGCATGCGGTGTGGCCCCAATGCTCGGTCCACCACTCCCCAAAGCTATCTTGGACGCTTTGTTCGTCCACCCGTAAAACCCGCTCATCTCTCTTAAGCGAACACAGGGCACATGGATGTGGGGCCTTCAGTGCCCCTTGATCCGCCCGGGCCGTGATAACCTTGAGGGCACTAGGATCTGAGACCGGGGGGATTGGCCGCTGGCCTGCAGCCTGTAGAACAGCATTAAAACTTGCTGCACGCTCACGCCAAGTAGTAATCACATCAACGGCGTCTTGTTCTTCTTTGATGTTTTCTTGCTTGTTCACGCTGTTGAGTTTCATACCACCGGCTTTGCCAGAACGGGCTGGGCCAATTCGCATGCTTTGACTAAGAATTGTATCACGTTTCCATCGGAGACTCCGCCCTGCAATTACGCGAGCAGCCGACTGGAGTAAGTTGTGAATCTTCAAGGCCGTTGGCGAAACATTTTTCGAGGATCGTAGCTGGGATTTTGCAAGAGCAGCCTCCTTCTGAAGACTTTCAAACACCTCTAAGAATAACTCGAGAAGCACAGAGGGTGGTGGAATATTCGTTGGTCGCACAGTGGCTGCTGGGGCTGCATTACTAGGTGTTGGGCTAGAGATGAGTATCGGTTCGGGCACAGGCTTCGCACTAGGCCCATCTGTAAAGTCATCCCAGTCGTCAAAGGCATCGTCATCCCAAGTTGACGCAGTGGGTTTAGAAGGGATGGTCCGAGATGGCCGAACTTGCTGGGATGGTTTTTCTTTCGTCTCCATGATCTTGGGGCAAGGTCGGCTGACAGGCGCATCGGTGAACTCACCCCAGTCACCAAAGGACTCATCATCCCATGTTGTCTGCTCCTTGTTACTATCAACTTTGAGGTGATTGTCCTGATGTTTGCTAATTGGTGCCGAGTCTTGCAGGGAGAATGAATCTAGCAAGTCGATCGTTCCGGAAGCCCGTTCTTGCGGAGCCGTTGGTTGAGGGGGGGTTTGATGGGGCATCATAGGTGTTTGATTCAGGTCCTTCAAAGTCACCCCAGTCATCGTCATCATCATTTGCTGGTGTATCAAAAGCTGCATCAAATAACACATCGCTATCTGGGTTCAGAGGAAGATCGAATTCCTGATGAGCTGGGGTCTGCCACGAAGCTGCTGGGGCAGCTGGCGAGGTTGTATTCGGCTTTTTATACAGCGCATTGCCCGATGAGAAGAAATCAATGTCCTCGTTAAAGAATGGGCTTTTCGGGTGTTGCGATGACTGGCCGGAAGGCCTGGTGGCTGGTGCAGGCTGACCGAACTCTGCTAGTAGATCTGCGGACATCTTGAATGCGCTGGACCTGTGAAAGGTGACATAAGGGCGAGGTCACCACCTAGGCAGATTATACCGACGCCAGCCGCCGTATCTTCTTCTGTCTAACGCCCAAGAACTAAAATCGGAGAAGAAGTGGAATGTCCGGGTACAATAACGCGAGATAAGCCACGGGCGGTCTACTATCGCCTCTCCCCGCACCTCCCGAGGTTCTCTCTCCGTCATCCCCAGCAATGAGAACCATTGAGGAGACCAGGTACCCGAAAGCATCTCCAAATGTTTCGCCTATGTACTAACTCTCTCGCAGAAAGAGATGGGACATTCTGTTCTCCGACGACGACACAGCTTCCGGCCTCCGAGCGGCGTTGCGATCCGAACAGGGAGGAAACCTATGCAATGATGGACTGAGGTCTGTTTGCTGGAAGGTTCTGTGTGATTGAAACAAAATAGAGGTGCGATGACATATGCTCATTCCTTCAAACAGGCGTTCTTGGTATTCGACGAGTTGGATAAAAATGAATGGGCACCTAAGCTTGACGAGTCTCGGGATGCTTATCGTGCGCTGCGTGACCATTTCTTAAGATTCATTGAACATCCCGATGATCTAGAATCGACTGTTGATCCGCTGGCGGATGATGAACAAGTGTGTCAGATTATCCACTCGCTAACTTCACAAGTCATCTTGTCTAACCACCCATTGATAGTCCCCCTGGCAAACGCTCCGACACGATGAGACTCTGCGCGCCGAGATCCTACAAGATGTTGATCGATGTCTGCAAGAGAATTTCTTCTTCCAAGAGCCCGACACAAAATCTAAGTTGACTGACATCTTGTTTGTCTACTCGAAACTCAACCCGGACGTGGGCTATAGACAAGGAATGCACGAACTGCTCGCACCCATTCTTTGGGTAGTAGATCGAGACTCGGTGAAGCCTGAGCTTGACGCGAATAAGGAAGCAGATGAGGGATTGATGCGAAATATCCTTGATGCTGAATTTGTTGAACATGATTCATTTACATTGTTTCTCTCCGTCATGCAAACGGCTCGCATATACTATGAGCACAGTGAGATGCGATGTGCAAATGGCCAGATGGATGTTATTCCGATAGTCGATCGGTGCAATTATCTCCATAAGGAAGCGCTCGCTATTATTGATCATGAGCTTGCCGAGCACCTGGAAGCTGTGGATGTTTTACCACAAATCTTTCTAACGTAAGCTGTGGTTAGAACCTCGAGACGTTGGTATTCTGGCACTTTTATTAACCTATCGAACAGCCGTTGGATGCGCCTCCTATTCGGGCGAGAAGTTCCATTTGACGATGTCCTCATGATGTGGGATCTACTGTTTGCCCATGGATTGAGGTCTAATCTTATTGACTTCACGTGCATTGCAATGCTTCTTAGAATCCGTTGGCAGTGTTCGTTCTATTCCAATCCTCAATTTATCTTGATCCGACTGACATGGATTACATCTAGTGCTCGCGGCGGACTATACGACCGCGTTAACACTGTTACTCCGCTACCCTTCGCCACACCCACACACACCTCAGACCTTTGTGCACGATGCGCTCTATCTGGAACAGAATCCTACCGCCGATCGAGGCAATTTCATTATTTCTAAATACTCTGGCAGGCCACCCGAGGCAGCAAATCGCAGCCAATCCGGTATACGGCCCGGGAGGAAGGCTTTCCTCTGGGAGGACTTCAAAAGGCGCAGTGGAAGCAGTTCTCCTGCTGGTGTAACATCAAGAAACAGTCCTAAAAGTCTCGAGTCCCTCTTCCAGGACGTCTCCCAGGGGATTCAACGTCGTACGGAAGCTTGGGGCGTAGCCAAGGCGGTTCGAGGCGCCGTCACTGAGGCGAGAAAGAACATGCAAACCATGCATTACGAACCAAATATGCGACACGGCCTTTCTAGACCCGTCTCCGCTATATCGACCTCGGCCATGGCGCGATCCTCTGATCCTGAGGAGGCAGGGCTAGAAATGAAGATCGCAAGAAGAAATCAAACATTAGCCACTACTCTGCGCGAGGCACTAGATGATCTCAGCTCGCAGTTGGCAAATATCAAGCAGCTCGATCCTAATACGAACAGCGCAGTGAAACAGGCCCTAGCCAAAGCTGAGAGGGTGCAGGTCTGCCTCAAAGATCCTTCCCTCCCAGTAGATGCCTCTTCTTCTGATGAAGACCAGCTCCAGACGGTTGCCATGAACAAAGTGGAGGACAACGTTGTGGACAAGGGAAATCCCGTCCACACGAATACGACCGGGCCGCCAGCCGAGAGTGGACATCCCGTCTACATAGCCATGGCAAGTCGGACGAACACTGGCAGGAAGACTGAGAGTACACGCGCAATACCGTCGCGATCAACCATGCGACCTTCAATGACGGATTCCGGATTCTCATGGATGCTCGGTGGGGATCGGAACCTGTCAGGCTTTGTTAGCTCGACATCGCCACCGCCAGAGCAGACTCGGCATCTAGATCAAACTCGAGGGAAACCAAATACCTTATTCGGGTCCGGTGGAGATGATAACTCAGGGACCGAAGGCGAGGATGAATTGGCGCTGCACAGCCTTCGGGGCTCTCGGGATCCTCTGTCAGGGGCCGGCCCATGAGAATTCTCTTCCGATCTGGCCCATATCACCCTGCTTGCGTATACATACATACCACGCTTACCGGAAGTATATGGGCCTAAGCCACGTCCGCTTCCTGTCTACTAGGCTGCATTCTCCTTCTTCTGCATCGGAATCGACTCAATATGCCTTTTTCTCTCTCCAAGTTTGGAACTTTCCTATGCACTTTAGGCAAAGTCAAAACGAGCCAAACATGCCCATATTGAGCGCTCGGATCTATCTCGAAAGCCACTTTGCATCATCACTGTAAATCCCCACTGGCTTCGATGGAAGCAACTTGGTCATGACCTACCGCAGTGGTGAGGCGGGGTAAACAATTGCCTGAGCACCCAAGCCTCTTCAGGTCTTCAGGTAGTAGTTCGGTACTTGGCTCTATTTAAGATTCAGATCTCAGCTTTGGTTTCTATAGATCATACCAAAGGGTTCTTTGTCTCGTGTATTATCCTATGTAATGCCCGTCTTGAGATCACACATTTCTCACATGAAATACCAGAGAGGAGAAGAGAAAAAAGAATGTCGATCGGCCGACGCAAATCGGACGATTAAGGAATTTAGGAGAATAAGGCTTCAGGTAGAAAAGGAAGAAAGATGCGCATTACATCAGAGGACCCAGTCGCTTTTCTCGCATCTCGCATTTGGCATTTTCCTGGGCTCCCCACTCTTTCACTAATCCCCTCCCTGCCCCCGCTGTGCTTTTTCTTTTCTTCTCTCCCCTTGAACGCTTTCACTCGAACGTGCTTTGTTTTAATCTTCTCACTTTCAGCGTGCTCAGCCGCGGCGCCACATATGCCGCCTGAGACCCTACGAGGCAGCTGCCCTCCTAGCCTCCGTTGCCGCTGCGAATGACCGGATCGCCCATGTCGCATTTCCTGGATACATCTACGACTGTTTGCCTCCATTGAGCCTGCTTGTCCATTTCCCTCTTGTCTAATCACCTGCGGCCGAAGTCAACAACAAATCAAATCACAAAAAAATAAGGCAGAGAAGAGAGAGCTCGGGTATGGGGTCGGCTTACAACCCTGATGGTCAGTCATGCGCACATGCTTTTTTTTATGTTGACCCACTACCTTGTCTTTGTTTCACATTCCATGGGTCTTGGAGAATTGGTGGAGAGAGGAACACGGGGTATCGTGCTACTCCTCAGATTGAGCTCAAGACTCGATGAACCGGAGAGAAAAAAAATGTTTGGACCGCGAATCTACCTTGTTCTCAGAAGCAATCACCCGCTAGCACATGCTCGGAGATGCATCTGACCGCGGACTTCAACCGCCCGGTCACTCGAGCGGGTCACATTTGTAGGGCTCATGGGATGAAAACCTCGAGACGCGCCGGTTGAGTTGTTGATATGCTGGATGAATCACGCTGATCCAGACTTAAGGCGAGCCGAGTCCTCTTTCGTCGCCGTTAGGACCCCTCTCAGAGTCGCCCGAGTCCGAGTCAGGACTACAACTTTCTTTACGGACAGATCAAATGAGGGGCTCACTGGACAGTATTTCTTCGGGATATGACTCTCTTTCCAGGTCGGCGACAATGCATTTCCTCTGTCTTTCTGCTATCAAACGTTGACACTTTCTTTGGTTGTGTTTCGATAGATCTCCGCTATTCGAGAACGAGCATGGTCTCGGCCCTTCCGGGTTGGATCGTATACGCCAGCACCAACCTTCGCGAGTTCTGACCCTTCCAAACCTCTCTACATCCTCGCTAGCTCCCATGACTGTCCAACGCTCCGCTGCCTCTCCTCGCTCTCGCTCGTCGTCTCGAGCTCACACCGGCCATCCGTCCATGAGCCGAAGTTTCACTGATCTGGAGGATCTACACCGGTTCCCACTAGAGTCGTTACATTCATTTTCCTTTGCCCAACAGTCCGAGGAGTTCCTTCACAGTCGCCAAAATATTCTCAAAAGATCCATGGATTTCATGCGCGACCGGATGGGATGGGCCGCGACAAATGCTGGGATCGCCAACGCACAAGCAAATGCCAGTGGCGACACGGAGATCCAAGGTATGATGGACCTTTTGGCCCGCGCACATATCCTCGAAACTCAGGAGCACCAAAACCAAGGCCGAGGACCCATCACAGGACCCGCAGACATCAACGGCGACAACATCTTTGAAAAGGCGTTCTCAGATGGCTCTTCGTCTCCAGTCAGCACCCGGGACATAGCTCAGGATTCCATCGCTTCGGGGTCACACTCGTCCGATAACCCTCACTTGATGAGCCCGGTGCCCAGCGACCGTATCTCCAACCAGAAAAAGGTCTCGGCACCTTCGTCTAGGCGCGTAAGCTTAAAACGTACATACACGGACCTGAGCTCTGTATCCCTCAAGAGAAAGCTGATGGAAACTCTAGCGCAACCATACACATCTTCCGTGGACCCTTTCACGTCGCTTAACTCCTCGACTGCTGGATTGGGATTCCAGATCCCCGCTCTTCATGCCCATAGCAGCAAATGGACTCCCGCTTCCCAGGCCGTCTTTAGGACCGAAGCCAAGGCACCATGGACCATTCTGGCCGCTAATGATCTGTCATGTCTTATCTTTGGTGTTCTTCAATCCGAAGTTCGCCGTCTTAGCATTCTGGAAGTTGTGCAGAAAGAGCATCGGCAATGGCTTGAAGCTAAACTTCGAGATCCCAGCACTGACGCCGCAGCACGCATGCCCCTTCAACCCGAAAGAGCTAACATCTCCGCCGTCAATCCTAAATTCCGTGGTCTCGGGAATGGCGTGACTGCACAACTTCTCAGCAAACCATCCTCACGCGAAAAGTCGCGCAGAGCGCAGACCGATGACGGATACGGATCTAGCACGAGAAACGCCCGAAACAACAATCATCCGGCAAACAAATCACGCGGGGTTTTGCTGTGTGGTGACGTCGTCCCGATTCAGAAGCGCAATGGGTCACGAGGGTCCGCTAGCGTCTGGGTCATGGAGAAACGTGGTGGCCTGATCTGGGTCTTGGAGGAAATCACAGAAAATGTCGCCTCCATCCAGTGTGACGATTTATGGAATGTTGTGGCTTCCCAAGGTGACTCCGAAAAAATCTGGGGTCCATCCGTTGCCCAAAAGGGCCAGCCGATCACCACACTTCTACCTTGTTTGCCCTCGGTATCGCTTGAAACATCCCCCGCCAAGGGATTGGCCAAAATTGTGGAGTTGAAGCACTTTGCCGCCCGCACCGCGGCTGGCGTTTGTATCCCTGTGACCGTCGGCAAGGGAGAAGGAGATCGCACTCTTCAAGTCTCCAGCTTCCCTCATGTCGCAGGTATGATGGTGTTGTCTTCTTCGACATTGAATGTTATCAGCTCCAACTCTGTTTTCTCTTCGGCTCTGTTTGGACAGGAAAGACCGGAGGGACTCCATATCACCGACCTTGTACCCGACTTTGATGAAATTCTAGACGTCTTGACCGAGGAGGACAACGTGCCATTGGTTGATGGTATTGTCATCCCCGAACACAGCTTCCGACGGGCGCGGACACTTTCGATTCTTCGCGACGGAAAAGCAAACGCTGCCTCTGTCTTTACAGAGCCAAGTGGTCTACTTGCCAAACACCGAGATGGCTCGACCATTGTTGTTGACATTCAGCTGCGTGTCGTCAAGAGCGGCACCTTCTTTGCAAAGGAAAAGGCCGAGAAAACCAGCGATCGCAGCAGCGACGACTCTGACGGGAGTGACGATACAGTTGCCGTCACGGAGTTGGTCTATGCTTTGTGGATCACCTACTCGCGACAGATCCACGCTGCTGGACCCGCTGCCAGCCTCTCGCCGACGTCTGTACCAAATTCCAAGCCCACCTCGCCCACCCATGACCCTGATCCCTCAGATCGCCCCTCTGACGCTAGCACTAACACCCAAACTCCCGAAACTCGCAAGACTTCGGTGGAGATCCAAACTCCGACTTCCACGCTTAGCCAACAACTCAATGAGGCTGCCTCTGAGCCTCTTACCGACCGTCCCGTGCAACCAATCCCTCCGGTTTCCTCTGTTAACACGAAAAATGACCCTCCGCTGAAACGGACCATCAACGACTACGTAATTCTGGAGGAAATGGGACAGGGAGCCTATGGACAAGTCAAACTAGCACGTTTAAAGAAATCGCCCGGCACGAAGATGGTGTTGAAGTATGTCACGAAAAAGCGAATCCTAGTCGATACATGGACTCGCGATCGGCGACTCGGCACTGTGCCGCTGGAAATCCACGTTCTCGACTTCCTGCGGCGGGATGGACTCAAGCACCCCAACATTGTGGAGATGGAAGGCTTCTTCGAAGACGATATCAACTACTACATTGAGATGACCCCCCATGGTCTCCCAGGAATGGACCTCTTCGATTATATCGAACTCAAGGCCACTATGGATGAGGCAGAGTGCCGGAACATCTTCAAACAGGTTGCCAGTGCCGTCAACCATCTACATACGAAAGCACTCGTTGTACATCGGGACATCAAGGATGAAAATGTGGTCCTTGACGGAGAAGGACGGATCAAGTTGATCGATTTCGGTAGTGCGGCCTACATCAAGAATGGGCCCTTTGATGTCTTTGTGGGCACGATTGGTAGGTTTGGTCTCATTGATCTTGGGATGAGTAAGAGGAGTAAGACGCTGACTCCATGTGCTAGATTACGCTGCGCCCGAAGTCTTACAAGGACGGTCGTATCGAGGCAAGGAACAGGACATCTGGGCTTTGGGTATCCTCCTCTACACCATTGTCTACAAAGAGAACCCCTTCTACAACGTGGACGAGATCCTTGACCACCCCCTTCGAATCCCCTTCCTTCCTTTCTCGGAAGATTGCATTGACCTCATCCGCACGATGCTCGACCGCGACGTCGACAACCGACTCACCATTACCGAAGTGCTTGAACACCCCTGGATGGTGGAGAAATGAGCATTGCCCCCGTTCATTTCCCCCTCTTCTCTCGCCTTTTACCTTACTGAAAATACCAAAATAACGCGATACCCCACACAGTTGATTACGTTTTGATGATGGATGCTTGTCCGGGGAACTGACTGGGTATCATATTGGGGTGTGGAGCGAGTGTTCATCTCACTTTCCTATAGGGGCCACGTTGATGATGATTATGAACCTCAACGCATGATTTTTTATTTTATTTTTGATCTATGGGAGTTTTCCTTTATCAAGAGCTTTTTTTTTCTATTCTTCTCCCCCTGCATTTGAATTTGCGGTACCTTTTTTTTTGCATCTAGAGAATCCTATACGGAGTCCTCCGTATACTCGAAAGATTGTGGGTGATTGCATTGGGGGAAGCCTTGGCGATGAGGCCCGTCACGATCTCTCTCCACTTGGCCTTAGACATCTCCAATTAACATATCTGGGATTGTCGCCCAAAGAGTGCCTTGGACTCATAGAAAGGGGGGAAGCACACAGATCCTCCATCTCCTGTTCTCTAGGCTTTCCCCCTCCGTTTCGAATTGCTCTCCAACCACGGATGTCTTTCCAACCCCCACATGCCCCACTGGCGAAAAGGCCCGAGGCGAAAAAGAATCTCACGGTTTGCCTCCCAGGCACAATTTGCCTCATGTCCCTGGCACCAAGTGGGCTCTGGCCATGAGAGGCGTTTGGGTTGAATCTTTTCTGTTCCGGGCGTCGTCAGCCGATTGTGGGCTGTGGTCTCACATCAGATGGTCTGTGCCAGCGAAGATGGGCACAGTATGATACATCCTCCAAACCAGTCCCATCTCGATGTACTGGCTAGCTGTGGCCAGGCAGATAGAATAGCCCAAAATCCATTTCCCCAAAAAGCCCGCTCTTCAAGGAGAGAAGTGTAAAACGGTGCCTAGAACCTCGAGGTGGGGGGGAGGCGATAAGATAAGAGAGTACCTGGAAGGACATCGTCTGGTATGTGATCCCTGGGTCACTTCCAGGTTTAGTAGATGTATCGCATTTCCGCTCTGTATTCCGCCATGCCTTATTATTTGTTCCTCCCTGTTTTCTCAACGCTACCTGTACTGCGCTCTTTTCCCTTTTCCCTTTTCCCTTTCCCTGCGACTCTCGGCTCTCTCGGTACTACGTCACTCGGCACCAGTGCCGTAAAGAGGCTTGTTCCACGGTTCTTTGGCCGTGGGCCCCCGAGTAGAACAATCAACGTTTGTTTTCCCCACCTTCTGTTCCGTGACTTTCCTTTGTCCTTGCTGATCAAAAAAAAGTCCTCAGTCCATCGCCCAGTTCTAGTATCACTATGTTCGCCTAAGAGCATACGTGCAGTCTCGCGCGCCCACCGCTGTCTTCGTCTTCCCCCTGCTCTTAAGACTGTGATATTTCGTACCGTGCCGGCGTCCCTCTGGAAGGCGTGACAAAATAGTAGTGAGTCAAAGATCAAGTGTTGCAGATCGTGTCCAGCCGCCACAATGGCCTCCCAGGTATCTGATGAGATCCTGCCCTCGCCCGGTATCACCTCAAACAGTCCGACCAATGTGACAGGCCAGATTCCATTGGAGCAACCGCTGAAGCTCAAGGGTCGCCGGAAGTTGTTGCAGAGTCTCCAACGCATGTCATCCAGCCCGGCGCTGGCCAGGCGTGGACGCTCTGCATCAACTTCGGGCTATCGTCGAGACAATAAGGCCTCGCTCTCTTGTGTTTCACTATCTACATCGTCCTACTCCCCTTGTCTAGGGAATGGCAGTTCCTCCCACTTGTATGGAGGCCTCAATCCTCGGCCTGCTACTCCCGGTTTCTCTGGTTCTCCTGGTGAGGACCAGGCCATTAACCCTCGCATCCGTCTGGTCGATGCCGATGGTCCCAGTGTTTCTTTGCCTCGAACTGTGCCTTTGCCCTTTGATGTGAGGCCAGCATCAAGGGGATCACCACGTGCAGCGACACCGGTGGGACTGAAGGCGGAGAAAGAAGTCATCCTTCCACAGTCGCAACCAGCTAGAACTCTTGACTTCTGGGGTGATATGCCATCTGAACTTAAGATGGAGATCTTCAAGCACCTGACCCCCCAGCAAATTGTCCGCTGCTCCGCCGTTTCCAAATCATGGAATCAGATGTGCTTCGACGGACAATTGTGGTCCAAGGTTGATACGACCGAGTATTATACCAAAATTCCCGGTCATGTTTTGGTGAAGCTCATCACTTCTGGTGGTCCGTTCATTCGAGACCTGAACCTCAGGGGTTGTGCTCAGATTGGCGATAAATGGTCCTCTGACGGAGAACGCATTTCGGATAGGTGTCGAAATGTTGTCAACTTCTCGCTTGAGGGTTGTTGTATTGACAAGACGTCAATGTACTCTTTCCTTCTCCGCAATCCCCGTCTCAAATACATCAACGTGACAGGGCTTCCGACTGTCACAAACTCAGCTTTGAAGGTCATTTCACGGTCGTGCCCACAACTCGAGACGTTGAATGTTTCCTGGTGCAAAGGAATTGATACCACCGGCCTTCTTCGAATTGTGAAGGCCTGCGGGCAGTTGAAGGATCTTCGGGCCAGCGAAGTCAGTGGTTTCAACGATGAGAAATTTACGTTGGCTTTGTTCGAATCCAACAATTTGGATCGCTTGATCATGGGTCGTACCGACTTGACCGACAATAGTCTCAAGATATTGATTCACGGCGAGAACCCGGAAATAGACCTTTTGACTGATCGACCTATCGTCCCACCTCGGAGACTCCGTCATTTGGACTTACATCATTGTCTCGATGTTACCGACGCGGGCTTGAAAAGCCTAGCTCATAATGTTCCAGATCTGGAGGGCCTGCAGGTTTCCCAGTGCCCCGAGCTGACCGATGAATCTGTCATGGAAGTCATTCGCACCACTCCAAAGCTGTCGCATTTGGAGCTAGAGGACTTGGAGAACTTGACCAACACCACACTGCTAGAGTTGGCCCAATCACCCTGTGCACAGCACTTGGAACATTTGAACATCAGCTACTGTGAGATTCTCAGTGACACGGGCATGCTTAAAGTAATGAAGAGCTGTCCGAAGCTCCGATCTGTCGAAATGGACAATACCAGGGTCTCAGATCTAACCTTGATGGAGGCCTGTTACCGCATCCGTCGCCGCGGGTACAGCGACGACATCCCCAAAGTCGGACTGCGACTTATGATCTTCGACTGTGCCAACATCACCTGGGCGGGGGTCAAAGAAGTCCTTTCCAGCAACGCATACATCCCGCGCGCCTCCCGCAAACTCACATCAACGGTGGTGACCGTAACGCAAGCATCAGACACTGATTCCCCGATGACAAGTACCTTCGTCACTCCCAGGTCCACCCCTTCACCATCTCCGTCGCCGACCTACCCCAACGAAATCATCGAGCTCAAATGTTTCTACGGCTGGCAAATGACCGTCGACGAACACACGAAACGTGTTCTTCGCGGAGATCTCACTGCTGCATCCCGGCTGGACCGGAAATGGGCTGAGTACATGATGGCCACTGAGGAGGCCGGCGCCGCTGGTGCCGGTGCCCGTCGTCGCCGACGTCGTGCTCGTGAAGCCGAGCGTCTCTACAACGCAGACGAAGAAACGAACGATGCTTACGGTGTAGGCTCAGCTTCTGCTCTTGGCGGAAGACGCAGGCGAGCCCAGAGCGGCGGTGGCTGTATTGTGATGTGAGGCCGAAAGACCTCTTGACCTGATGCTTTTGATTTCCTTTTCCCTCTCCTTTCAGTGTGTTTTGAGAACACACGATGTCTGAGCTAGATGCTAGACACGGCTTGGCTCTGCCAGCGCAGGATCGCTCGCATTTCGAAATGGATCGCCTCCATTTTGATGAAGATCATTGGGCATGATCCTCTTCACGAATTACGCATGATATGACCTCTTCTTTTGGGCTCCATCTCCAACACGACACACATTCTTTCATTTATGGCCCTATCTACTCTCACTTTTACCAACCTGGCACAATCTTTTGGATCTCAGCCATTCTTTCCTCGTTCTCAGCACTGACATCACATCTAAGAATGGGAATTTCTAGCATGTTATTTGAGCTTTTCCCATGTTTTGCATCTTTTTTGGCTGGTCGGAATATCTTTTCTCGCTCTAGCATACGTATCTAGAGGTGTCATCGGCAAGATTACTGGCGTTAGATCTCTTATTTTGTCTGTCTTTTCTGGACTCCGTTCGAAATTTAGGCCACGCCTTTCGGGTTGTTTTGATGAATTTTCGGGTTCCAATCCACATTCAAGACTGAGCTGGTAGGTTTCTTTAGATGCTGCTGCGAATCGATCTATTTGGGTAAAGAATTGTCCGAGCTGCTCTGCGTGAACTCGGATTTCATAGACACTTGCATCTATACTACCAATTTATAGAATAAGGAATGCATTGCATACATCTATTTGCATCTTGAATGGGCCTAAAGACTTCAACACAGATCAAGTAATTGGTATGAATATTGTCTATGAATAGACGTGATAAGAATAAACGTAAGAATATCGCAGAGCACAGTGAGGAACAGCCCTCACTGGAGAAAAGCAAAGAAATAAGAATAAAAACCACGAACTGCTCCCCTGTGTTATGAACATGATTCCCGTCGAAAACGCAATGTCCAGACGAACCTCCTACCTTGCCATCAAGGTATCCCCAGTTCCATCTCTCCTTTGTCCTCCTTGTTTCTGATGTTTGGTTTGTTTAGGTCTCCTCTCGAACAACTTGTTCTGGGACTTGACTCTCGTCGATGTTAACACCATCGATTTGGCTGCACGCTGTTCCAGTGGCATCTGATCTCTGAGATAAGTGAGAAACGGCAGTGCTGTACGATTCCTCACTGCCAGTCTGTTCCTGTGCGATTTGCTGCGTGGTTGGCTCAATGGTGGGAACTTGGGCAGGAGAGGCATCGGGATCTGTTGGATGATTTTCAGGCTGGTTGGTAGTCAGTTGCACCTCGGTGGTACGGATTGCAGTGCTTTCGATAACGTCCTCTGTGGAAGGGGTAGAACCCTTTTCGGTGCTGGGTTGCTCAAGGGTAGTTTTTTCAGTGACCTTTTCGGCTGAAGCATCAACAGCCATGCTAGTATCAAGCTTGGTGTTCACAGGGCAGTGGGAATCAACTGGTGGTGTATTTTCCAAGTTTGAATGGCCGATATGAGGTCCTCGGATGATTTCTTCGAGAGCCCGTTCGAGAGCCTGGGTTTGAGCTTGCATTTTCTTCTGCTCTGGAACCACCTCCACCGCGCTGTCCGTCCCCATTTTTGCAGCAGGCTGGGTTTCGACAGGCGCGTCGGTCTTGCCAGCAACCTTTCCACTCGGTTCAGTGGTCTTTTCGATATTGTCATCACTGTTCGAGGCCATTTCCTCATCAGGGTCCTCATCATCGTCAAAAGACAAGTTGATGTATGGTTTCGCAAGAGTGGGATAATCAATGGCAATACCCTGACGAACGAAGAAATCCTTCGGGATGGTAGTCGGCCTGACATCACGCTGCGAAGGTCCACAATGAACATTGTAGCCCCTGGCTTTCCACAACGGGCAGACTGTGATATCCTCGTCGTCCAGACTCGGCAAAACAGCACAGTGATGATGCTCCGCCGCCACAACATCCCGAGTCCAGGCCTTCCCTTTGTACATGACTTCCTTCTCGCCGCCTGGAGGCCTGTGGCATACCATCTGGCGATCGATGGCATGCGGAAGCTTCACAGCAGAACCAGGTGCAATGACTGCACCAACAGACCAGATTGGATTCGCCAGCATGATAGTCCTAGTTTTCTCATGAAGCAGCCAGCCAATGCACTCCGCATGCTCTCTTCCACAGAGGATATAGTATCCTTTGTACACCGGGAAGAAAGGCATACCATGGGCCCAGACGATCGGAGGCGGTCCCGAGGGCACGCGGTTCGGATCGATGTCTCCGGATTTATCAAAGTCGTATGGCCATCGGATTGCGCGTGTAGGACCGGCTTCGAACTTGGTTGCCAGATACACCAGCTCATCTGAGAGACGAGTGTTGGCGGGAGGGAAGAGGGGTTTTCCGGTCTCTTCGCAGAATTCAAGATCGAGGGCGAGTCTCAGACGCGCTTTTTCGCGTTTCGAGTGAGGTAGATGCCCTGAGCCGTCCTCGGGATTCCAGGCTACGTCGGGATTGACCTGGAGGTGGTGAGCGAGGGCTTCGGAGCAGTCGGCTTTGAGGCCTTGTAGCTGGCGGATGAAGACGTCTTCGCCGGATGGGCTGCAGGCCATTCTGGCTTCCTTGTTTGTGATTGGAGGCATTTTGGTTGTATTGCAAGTTGCTAGAATTGGAAGGTCGTTGACTGGCGGGTGTATCAAGTATTAGAGAAGCCCGCGTTTGAGAGGAGAGATCAAGAAAGATCTTGGGAAGTGTTGAGGATGCTGCGAGCAATTGATGAGAGCTCAGATGGGTACTCACATATGCGGGCTTTTTCCCTCTTTGGGAAAGGAGGATATTGCAAACCGTCGCAACGATCAAAGATATCTGAGTTGCTGAAGAAGTTGTTGGGCGGGTTGGAGGTATGAAGTAAGTTTGAGATATGAAATAGGATCGTCGATGAATGTTTGAAGATCGGCGATAAAAAGGATTAGACGAGTTAGTGAAGTTGGCACGATGGAAAGCAATCAATAAGGCAGTACGAGAGGCAATTCGATGAAGAGCAGTTATGATCCTGTATAAGTAAAGAGGATGCTGTGAGAGTCGAGGCTGTGCTTTCAAATAGATCTAGATACCACTGGCAATGAAGAAGTATAGCACAAATGTGAATGATAAGATTAAAAGATGGGCGTTAGTAAGAAAGACCAGTGCAAATAAAACTAGCATCTGCTACGAGGTATAAGGGAGTAATGATCTAGATTCCTATCTCGGAATACAAGGAGTCTATAATCAAGACGTTGTAAGTGCAATCCAACGTTTGTAGCAAAGACGATCGAACAAACTCGCAAAGGAATACATCGAAATACATGCAACTCAGTTGATATTCTAGAAGCCGATATTTCTCACAAATTGAGAAGATTCTCGCTCACATCTAGTAGATCTAGGTATACATGTACATAATGTATAGAGCCGATCAACCTTAAAGATAAGCTTATGCAAGCTCTGTTCTCATGTTCTTATCTTCTCATCTTCTCATCTTCTCATCAACAATACTTCTCTATTCCACTCGCCACAAACATAACAAAGTTATTTGTCGGGGCCAAGAGACATCTGAATCGGACCGACGGTCGGGAGAGATCCGCGCAGTTCGGATGCCATTTCGGGTCGACTCTGCCAGTGGAGATAGAGACGGCGTATAGGAAAGCAGGTAACTGGCTGGTTCCGACGGATTGACCAGAAACAGAATAGCCCTGCTTTGATTCCAATGTATATGGAAATGACGTTACCCTGAGCAGAGCTATACGCCCCTCTCTTTTCCGTCTTGTTTCCCACTCTCTTCCATTATACCCCGTTGACTGAGCCAATTCTCTGCAAAACACAAAACACAAAACACAAAATGCCCTTCGTCCAAGCCAACAGCCACCGTCTCAACTATGCCGACTCCCACCCCACCGGCCCTCCAACACCAACCGGCCTAACCTTCATCTTCATCCACGGCCTCGGCTCATCGCAAAACTACTACTACCCCGTAATCCCGCACCTCACAGAATCCCACCGCTGCATCACAATCGATACCTACGGCGCCGCCCGCTCCCCATACACCAACGACGCAGTCTCAATCCCCGGCATCGCAGAGGATGTCATCGGCGTGCTGGACGCGCTGCAAATCCCCAAGGCCGTCGCAGTCGGCCATTCAATGGGCGGACTCGTAGTGACAGAGCTGGGAGCCCGATACCCCGATCGCATGCAGGGTATTGTGGCGATCGGACCGACGCACCCGTCTGATATGTTAGTGACGGTTATGAACAAGAGATCCGCGACTGTTCTGGAGGGTAAGGGGTTTCTATCTCGAATATCTCATCACCATATGCTGACCCATCTACAGCCGGAATGGAACCCATGGCAAACACCATTCCCTCTGGGGCTGTGGGCTCGCGCAGCACCCCGCTCCAGAAGGCTTTTATCCGGGAGCTGATCCTCGGTCAAGACGCGAAGGGATATGCGGCGCTGTGTCGCGCGATTGCGTCCGCTCAGCCGCCTGACTATGCGGCTGTTAAGGCGCCTTTCTTGCTTATTGCGGGTGAGGAGGATAAGTCTGCGTCTATGGAGGGGTGTCAGTATATCTATGAGCATGTCTCGAGTCAGCAGAAGTCTCTGGAGGTGTTGAAGGGGGTTGGGCATTGGCATTGTATTGAGGCTGCTGATGAGGTGGGTGGGTTGATTGCTAAGTTTGCGAAGGTTGCGAAGGCTTGAAATATGATCCTTAATTATAACGGAATTGCAAATAAGTCAGATTTCTGTATGCAACTTGCGATGATTCGATTGCCATAGAAAATCAGCTGGGGGACAAATCTCTAGTAAATCGACAACTTGCTCTAATGATCCCCAACGGCTACTTCTCCCGTTACAGGGTGCGAAGTTGTATTTCAACGGTGGGGCTTCTCATAGGGAGAAGCACAAGTGTGGGATATTTTTATTTGAATTGATTATTTTCAATATGTGCAATAAACGCTGCTATGGAAAAACTCGAAATAATCATAAAAACGCTACTTGGATATCATCACACGCTTATGCTGCATTAGTAGGCTCGAACGGAGCCAGTTTGATATCATAGTTGAGCTCAAGAGCAGCTTGAGGATCATTCGTGCGAGGCACAAAGTCCACAACGAGCGAGTCCTTCACAGCAAACACCGAGTCATTCTCAAGATACGGATCATTGCGGTCGAAGATCTGTGTCGTCAAAGGACGGTAATTATCGTATGTAGCCTGGGCGAGTTATTAGTTTCCCCAAAATATGTCAGTTCCACAATGTACCAGGCCGAACTTACAATGACGTGAATATGAGCAGGGCGGAAGGGATGGCGATCCATCAGTTCAAGTAGCTTGCCAGCTGGACCATCGTTGGGAACGGGGTACGGCGTTGGGCGCAGGCAGTAGAACGAGTACCTGCCATCCTCATCCGTCTTGAACTTGCCACGCAAGTTGAACTCAACCTGTTCGGGATCTTGCTGCTCGTACAAGCCGTTCGTGGAAGCCTGCCACACCTCGACCGTGGCGCCGACAAGGGGCTTCTTGGTCTGGAAGTCCAAAACGCGACCGTGCATGAAGGCCATCTCAGCATCTGCAGGCTTGGTCTTGACAATGTCCTCGCCGTTCTCGCGGTACGGAGTATCAGCGCGGAAGAACGGACCCAAGATTGCGGTGGCTGTAGGCGCATCATTGGCTTCTTTAGCGAGAGTGAAGGTGATTTCGTCAACGAGGCTGTAAAGATGATATGTTAGCTGGGTGCATTGTGTTCCGCGAACAAGGTTTCGGCCTTACGATTCGAGTCCCAGTACGTCGCACACCAACTGTCCCTCATTCCGCTTGTCGTCGCTCATCTGTCCGGCCCAATTGAGCATCTTCACACCGGCCATCCACTCGTCGACGGTGAGCTCTTCTTCACGTGCGAAGTCATGCATGTGTCTGATCAGGCCGGCCATGAGCTTCCGCAAGCGCGGGCTGGTCTTGGGTCCCATCGCGTTGATGACATTGTCTGTGAATGTGGGGTCGAAGCGGTGCTCTGCCATTGTTGCGGGTTGATGTCTGTGTTAGGCTGTGATGATTATACTGCGATGTGTAGTTCGTCTCAAGAAACAAGAACAGTTTAGCAAGTCAGAAGTATGCGACTCCCAGTCCAGACCCGGGGTCATTATATACCACGCGACATGATCCGACGGGACCTTTTAAGTCCGCGAACCAATCTTACCCACCTAAGCAGCGATGCACGGCCCAGACGGAAAACGGTGGCTTGATCTTTCGGAGTAAGCCCCAGATGTGACCAAAGGCATGACGCTCATTGGGCCCCCGCATTCCGCAGCCGATGGAAGGAGATCCTCCTCAGCGTTCAGCTAAGGCCATTCAGGAATCTTCAGCTTCTCGCTCATCATGCCATATTGCAAGGCTTCGGAGACCTTCTCATAGGTCCCACGTGAGTGATGCGTCGGATGTTGAGAAAGGAGAGCAACAGTCGGGGTTTCGGATCGGGGGAGTCGCCCTTCCGACGACCTCCCCGCCCTCCCCGCAGTCGGATGTGGGAAGTCCATTTGGGGTAATTCATGTTTGTGCAATTAAATACCAGAGAAGTTGAATGGATACTTGTTAATTCAGATCATTAGTTCTATCTAGGAACTCTAATTGACTCCTGGCAAGTGTCTCGTTCTATCATCCAAAACTATCGATCATCGGCGACCCTTAGGATTCCCTTTCTTCAAGAGATCTGCCGGAAGTTCCTGAATAGTCTCGCCGTGCTCCCAGATCTTACCCAGTCCAGCCTTGCGCTCTACTACGACATCAAAAAAGTCCAGCGAGACAAACTTCTGCGGCTCGCCCTTCTGCTCCTGACTTGTCGCGACCGGTACGCCCTCACTGAGAACAACGCCATTCTCACTGCGCCAGAACGGGACACCCGCCGCCAGCGCTTTGCGGACATCGACATAGATCAAAACCTGTGCGTCGCGCCGCATACCTGAAATAACTTTGGATTCATCAGGCTTAGACTTGCCCTGCGCGGCATCATCATTGTGAACAGACAGCACAGACTCCAGCGATGGACCAGTAGCAAAGTGGATGTGATTTCGGCCCATGCAACGTAGTCCCCCGGACTGTAGAATTACAGGCCAGGTCGAGTGGAATGTGCCGTGAACGACGGTATCGGGTAGTTTCGACTCGTCGGACAAGGAAAGTGGCTCGAGGAAGGAAGCAGCGTCTACAGTCTTGATGCTGTGGCCTTGTGTCGCGCGAATTAAGAAGTTGGAGGGGTCGGTGTCTTTCACGGCCAGCGCTTGATCAGTGGCTGTTTGTTGGGCCTCGCTGGTTGCGGGTGCAGACTCCAGGACTGATGTCGTGGGTTGGTCTTCTCCCACAACGGCGCTAGATGCTTGCTCTGCATCGGGTGCTGTCACCGGTGTTGTTGTCGCTTGGGTTGTAGATTCGGTGGGTTGGGCGGATGGAATGTGGAGGAGGGCGAAGCGCTTTTTATCGGAAGAGTCGACGGCGTGTAGAATCTCGGGGAAGGTGACCTTGAGTGATTTGAGTTTCCTCCAGTTCAGCTGGGCAAGATTAGTTGATTGCAGGCCAATAGTCCGGGGAGATATAAAGCTGCATACCACATCTGTCACGCTCGCGTAGCCTTGCGCGTTCATTTTCAGCCCTTCCTTCTCCGCGGCATGCCGCAGGAGCAAGCTCAATGCTTTTGAAACTTGAACATCGCGGCTTTGGCCTTGACCATGGCCGCGACCTCGCCTGTCTTTGTTGTCTTTGTTGTCTTTTGGGGGAGTCATTATTGGACGTTGGACGAGAAACTTGATGCGGGGAGAGTTGGCGAGGAAATAATCTTCTGGTGGGGCAACTCCAACTATAAGCCAGGTGCTTGACAAAGTCAGAAGAATATGAGTCGGCACTCACTCACTAGCTAGTATACGGGTATGACTCATATTGTCTTAGAGCAACCATCGTCTGTGTTGCCTAATTTCTTGAAAGAATAATCAAAATCTATATACACGAGAAAGATTCTCTGCTAAACATCGTCAGTTTCCTACATTGAGATACCGGTGGATAGTAGCATAGTTCTACAAAAGAATGAAGAGAAATAAGCTCGGTTTAATCGTAACTTTCATGTGAATTGACTCGTGGGGTATATATATGTCGCAGAAAAACAGACCACAGATCTCCCGAGTCCGTGGCCCAGAAAGAGCAATGTAGATCAATAAGATCATCACCGATCGCAAATGCAGTTGCACTCTGCTACAGGACAGACCCGATGCCGCTTGAACCAGTCACTCGCATGGTTTGCGTGGAAGCCATGATTGCAATGGATACAAAATACCACGAACCGCCGCATCACCTCAGCCTCCGTAGGCTTGCGAGAATCCGCCTCTGTATCAGCAGCAATACTGGCGCGGGACATCGGGTCCGGAGACCCCAGCCACAAGGTGCAGACACCACAGCGTGGCATATGCCGTCCACAGCGCGGACACACGGTTCCAGACATGGCTGTGGAGGCTAGTGGGTTACCAGTGGTCTGATGAACAGTTTCGGAACTCTTAGTGGAAGAGACTTGGGAGGAAGCGTCGTGCTGAGTGAGGGGGTTTGTGCAGTAATTGCAGGTAAGACTGACTTGCTGTGGGGGTGGTGGCATGAGTTTGCGACCGTCCGCAGTCACAGCGAAGCGACGAGATCCAACGTCAAATCGGGCTCGCTCAAGCTGAAGCTTCCATGAGTTCATCTGGCGCCGGTAGGTCTCACGCCAAGCCTCAAACTGGACAATATGTTTTTGATTGTTAACAAGCCGCGGTACGGTGTGGCTCATGGCTAGCACGGGGGTTTGGACATCATTGAACTTCCCAATATATGATTGGAACAGCCCCATGGCTAGATGACCCAAACCGGTGAGCACAACCCCTTCAATGTCACCTTGGCGCATTACCGCGCCTGTAGCATCCTTCAAATACTCAGTTAGCTCGTCATCTGGAAGCCAGCGCAGCGCAACCTCCACACGATACTTCAGAGGTAATGTGGTTTCCCTGATCACCGAGTTCCAGTCACCTTTGCTCACAAGCGCCAGAATTGCCCGAGCGTATGGATCAGTGAGCTCCTTGGCTATTTCTGCGCAAGTCTCTTCCCAATCCACACCATTGTCCCCCTTGGAAGCACCGGCAATTGCCATCGCTAGCAACTTATGAGCTTGGGTTGGTTGATTGCTTCGAAGCGCAAGGTAAGCCAATTTAGGCTCGTCTTGGAAGACAGCTAGTGCAGCGGCTTTGGTATGCTGATTTTGGCCAGATAAGAGGTTCACTGAATCCTCCAGCTCACGATAGGATTGGGCTGCACCGCAGAGACGAAGGCAGAGTCGGCGATGGCCGGGGAAATCAGTTTCACAGCCCTTTGTTATCGGAATATTTAACTGCTCTGCCAAGGTTGATACTGCAACCGCCACTATTTTGGCGTTCTCGGTCTTAGCACCCACACGACGCTGCTCGAACCCAACTCCTGTTCCTCAAGTTAGTTTCGTTCGATAACAAAATGAAGAAAACAAACCTAAGTCATTGTTCCAGACATTGCTCACGCCTAGATAGCTCAGATCCAAGCCATTGACAACCATAGACGTCTTAGAAGACTCAGTGCGAGCACCTGAAAACGAGATTAGACAAATTGTTTGCGACTTTCGATAGCCCAAGCTACTCACGTTCTACCCAGCTCCAAAAGTCTTGCAAGGCTGGATCATCGGATGCGACCTCCCGGTTTCGTGCCTCGTCAAACAGATAACCCTCTTTGCACCGAGATTGACTGACTGCGCATAGAGTAAGTGCTTCTTTCGCAGTAAGGGGCACGCCCATCGTTCCCAGAGCCATAGCACGTTCCCGGTTCTCATGGCTCGGAACAGGCTCGGACTCCAGAGTCTTCGACACAAATAATTGGCCATTTGAGTTTTGCACATGCTCTTGCGAAGTCGAGCATACCCGTGACTTGATGTTCCCAATTAAGTCCGAAATAGGCGAAATGTGCTCGGATAGCGGGTGAATTGAGCGGACATCTGAATCATCTGATGAAAGACCATAGGCCAATACGCTTTGTGAAGATAGATCAACTGGCGCGGACGGTGCGCGCGCAGTGATTATCTGAGGTTGTCCGTTCCCGTCAAGTGCGATAGCGCTTGGTTGAGGAGACAAACTAAGATTGATGAAATCGAATGAAACAACTCGGTCTTTTTCTTTGCAACCACGCGTTGGATGATCAAAGGGCACACATACGTCCCGCACGTGCTTGGTATATACCGATTCTGGATAGTTTTTGTAAGAGCCTTGGCCAAGAGTATCGTCTATTGAAGAGCGATACTCCTCTAGCAGGTAATCTTTGGCGATATCGTAGGTCTTGAAATGACCATTACTGGAGAGTGCAGCTAAGCTACCTCGGTTGGTTTTTGAGAAACGTAAACTCCAGATGGAAGATTCCGGGTGGAAAACATTCTTTAGTTCCAAAGCAGCTGTCGCTTGACCCGAGTCCGCGGCACTGGCAGAGGAGCCCATTGATGGTGATGTCAGTCGAGATCCAACACGACGATCCCACACACAGATAGTGCTTTCATTTGATGGAATGCAAGATGCAATGTAGTTCTCATCAAGCCAATCAATCGCTAGATTATGAACACATCGAGTGGGAAACTGCAATGACGGATTGCCGGGTCCCTCTTGGAACACGATCAGCTATGTCGCACAATACAAAGATGAATACTTGGGGAAGGAACAAACCTCTTAAATCATATATACGAACAAATTGGCCTTTCACGCCAGTTACAATTGTGTCAGGCTGGTCACGGAAGAATTTAATACTGGTAATAGGCTCAGAGCTGGCGAGTTTCCTCAAAGGTTCAGTAAAACCTTTGCTTCCACCAGCAGGGCTAAGTCGTTGGTTGACATCCCAGATGTTCAAGCAAAAGTCGTTTCGGACGCGATCGAGTCCCGATGCCACAAGACCATGGACGCTAAATGCGACTGCATTGCAGTAACGCTGATTGCGGACTGGAAACGAAAGAGACTCCTTAGTATCGCCATCGAGACGGAGGATGGTGGCCTCTCCAGATGACTGGCCAACGGCAATCAGGTTCTCATTGTAGGTAGACCAGTCAAATGCGCGAAACCCAGGGACATTGGTCAAGGTTGAGAGCAATTCATGCCGTATGTTCTTGCCATCGAAGCCGGTGACTCTACAAAGACGAAATGATTTCCCTGTGACGTCGACTGACAGGAAACGTTGTTCAGTGGCCGACGATGTCGGGGACCAGCGAATGGCGGATTCCATGCTGGCCCTGGTGTCAAAAGCGATGCAGTGAGCGCCTTAGTCACATGAATTGATTCAAACAAAAAGACTAACAAATTGAATTAAACAATTAGAGTAAATCAATTCAATGCGACAAGAGAGGGCGTGGTGATGGTGATCAGCAGCAGCGTTCATTGGTGGGTGCCAATCTGGGGACGGGCCGACTATCCGCCGGTATCTTTTTTTCTTATCGTTTTTGCTGTAGCTTCGGCCTCTTTTTTCCCCCATTTCGTATCAACAACATGTCTACAGATACTAGAACTCACCGCGATCGGGCGGCCCCCTCAAAGAGGAAGACCCGGGATGGGTCCGAAGATGTTGCCCCGGCGCGCAAAAAAGTGCATCGGAAGGACAAAGCAGGCGACCAAATTCAGTACGAGGAGTATGGCAGCGGAGGCGAGGTATCGAAGCCCAAGATTACCCGCAAATACAAGGACAAATTTGCACCCAAACCCGAGAAGGAATACGCATCTATCAACAACCTCAAAAAACGCATTCGCGATGTGAAGCGACTGCTCAACAAAATGGATCTTTCTGCCGATGCTCGCATCTTGCAGGAACGTGCTCTCGCTGGATATGAGCAGGATCTTGCGGACGAAACAGCACGCAGAGAACGTTCCCAGTTGATCACGAGATACCACTTTGTCCGATTCCTTGGTATGTGGCTGATTGGCCCAAATCGTCCTGGTTTCGTTACTAATTGATATGATTCATCCAATAGATCGCAAGACTGCAACCAAAGAACTCAACCGACTCACTCGTCGCGAGAAGGAGAAAGACCTCGATCCGAAAGAAAAGGATCGTCTTACGGCAAAAATCCATACCTGCCGCGTGAACCTCAACTACACAATCTACTATCCTCTCACCGAGAAGTACATTTCAATCTACCCCAAGTCGAACGGAAAAGCCGATGCGCCGGGATCAGAATCAGAATCGCAAAAGCAGGAAACCAAACCCACAGCAGCCAAGCCCCCGATGTGGGCCATTGTTGCGAAATGCATGGAAGAAAACACACTGGACCTTCTCCGCGAAGGAAAGCTGAACATCAACGCCAACGGCGAGAAGATCCAAGCTGCCTCGTCTAGCGCAGCTGAGGCTACAAATACCAATAAGGAGAAGAGCAAGAAGAAGGAGCACCACAAAGAGACCAAGGCTACTACACAGAAGGACAAGCACGCGTCCCAAAACGACAAGAGTAGCAGCAAGGAGAAGTCAGCACGCAAAGAACGGGTCTCCACGAAACACGAGGCACCCCCAGTCAATGCGGAGGATGGAGATGAAAGTGATGGTGGTTTCTTTGAGTGATCAATGTACAAGCTCGATGCAGGATTGGTTTATGTCTTATTCGTCTTGATATCCACAATAGCATTTCTATTACAGTCGAGCGCATATATCGCAAATGTTTCTGGATAACCGTACTCGAGTGGGCCATGGGTTCTTTCTGGAGCATTTGGCGCCAAATTTGCGAATCTGATCTCAATGACGATCTCATGAAATATGAAGTACGAGCAAACAGGAAACAGGAAATAGGAAGCATGAAATACATACCTGGAACATCGGATCGCAAGCCACGCGATATGGCTTTTCCCATCTGGTTTAGTGCTGGCCGCCTGTCACTCGACCATTGAGTAGAGTCTTGGAAGGTCTGGAGGTGTGGTATAGAATTTCTTCGCAAAACTCAGAGTCTTTGGAGTGACTGTCCGACCGTCCTTTAACAGATGCAATTACCTAGGTAATTCACAATCATAGGGCTGGCCAAATAGATGAGTCATACGGAGTAGACATCATCCGGGTTGATTGTGCATCCATTGCCAAGCTTCAGAGTATTTTCGATATTATAATCACCCTATTAAGGGGTTAGGTATAGTAGCTACCTACTCCATACTGTTATATCACTTAATGCTTATCAGCAATATTGCTCCTTGTACGGAGTAATATGATCAGGATCTTACATTTTAGTTATGACGCCGAAGGTCTTAACCTGATAGACGAGATAGACGAGATAGCCACCTGGTGGGGTAGAACTAAGCTTTACACCCATTCCCGGCTATGTACAGCGGAACGGGCAACTGGGTATGATAACTCCGGTTTCAGACTCGTGCAGTGCTTGTCTATATCTGACATAGCTACCTAGAAACCCTCGACAGTTGGACGTTTTTCGATAGCATACCCTATGAATTATGTATATCGGATATCGGTCCGGGTTGAGATGCTTAATTTTTCACTGCCAAGTGCCTAGGGGTTTCCAAGATCCAGAGTGGGGTCCGGTACCTTGAATAAATTGAGTCGGAGGCGAATTCCATACAGCCTCAGGCTGTGACAGTGAAATCCTTGATCCACATCGGGTCCAATTCAATCCCCGTCTACGGAGTAAACCACCTACAGGTAGGTAGTCAGTGATCTGGGTGTAGGACTTTGGGCACCATCAAGCTGCGACACCCCGAGAAAATCGTGGGCCAAGACCAGGCACTCACTGGTGCATATGTACATCGGTAGAGATTTGCTCCGAGGTGAATGTGGAATGACCAATATTATCAATCAAAACAATATGCGTGTTGTCGTGCCCCTATGTTGCAGAGTGTATAAACGGGTTCCCGAGTTATGCAGCGGGGCCAAATTTCGGTTACAGCCCAGAGCCCGTAATGCAGGATCTCGACTGGCTGAGAACGGAGGCCGAGACTTCACAGTGGAGAATCGGGGGGTTTGTATAAATTATTCTAATTTTATCGAAGATTTTTTTTGCCGTTACCCGGTTGCTTATATAGCTCCAGCCATGCCCCTCAGGATGAACCGTTTATACAAACCATGACTCAATCTAGCATGGATCTAGAAAAACAGACGACCGAGGTCGAGGTCGAGGCCGAAATCGAGGCCAAGCAGGATTCTAATATTGTGGATTTCGACGGACCCGATGATACGGAGAACCCATTCAACTGGCCCACATGGAAGAAGGGACGCCAACTGGTCCTAATGGCCTTTAACACATTCATTACGTGAGTTGTGATATCGCGGAGGATTCTGATCGATGATGCTAACCAGCCGATGAAGTCCCTTAGCCTCATCGATGTTTACCCCAGGAATCAGCTCGGTCATGAAGGAGTTCCACTCCACAAGTAGTATGATCGGTTCTTTCGTCGTCTCCGTCTACATTCTGGGGTACTGCTTCGGTCCCTTCCTGATCGCACCACTCTCCGAGATCTACGGCCGTGTTCCACTGTACCACGTCTGCAATCTACTCTTCCTCGTCTTCACCATCGCATGCGCTGTCGCCCAGACTATGCCGCAGCTGATTGTGTTCCGCTTGCTGGCTGGTATGGCAGGCGTCTGCCCTCTGACCATCGGCTCCGGCACTGTCGCCGACATGGTCCCCAAGGAGAAGCGCGCGGGTATCATGGCCATTTGGGCAATGGGTCCCATTCTCGGTCCAGTCATCGGCCCCGTCGCGGGCGGCTTTTTGGCCGAAGCGGAGGGCTGGCGATGGGTGTTCTGGGTGATCGCTATTGCAGTAAGTATTGCTATTATTCTCGCCAAGAAAATCGCCCGCTAACAGCTTCTATAGACCGGGGTCATGATGATCTTGACCATCATCTGGTATCGTGAATCCTACGCTCCTGTGGTGCTCGAGCGCAAAGCCGCTCGTCTGCGCAAAGCCACCGGTAACCCCAATCTCCGGTCCATCCATGATAAAGGCATAGTTGGCACGCAGGTGTTTGCGACAGCATTGATCCGCCCAGTGAAGCTGCTCTTCTGCTCCCCGATTGTCTCCCTCATGGCGATGTACGCCGCCATCACTTACGGCTATCTCTACTTGATGTTCACCACAATCACCTCCATTTTCACAACCAAATACGGCTTCTCCGGCGGTGTTGCTGGCCTCTCGTTCCTGGGCTTCGGTATCGGCAGTTTTCTGGGTCTGGTCGTCACCGGTGCTGCTGCCAACCGCATCGCTCAGGATCATGTGAAACGAGGCTGCTTTACACCCGAATCTCGACTGTTGCCCATGCTGGTCGGCTGCTGGTTCTTGCCCGTGGGCTTGTTCTGGTATGGCTGGTCGGCTCAGGCGAATGTCCACTGGATTGTGCCCATCCTAGGAACCAGCGTCTTCGCCATCGGCCTGATGGCTATCTTCATGTCCGCCAGTACCTATCTGGTCGACTCGTATCTGCGCTATGCGGCATCCGTCACTGCCGCTAACACGGCACTGCGATCGCTGGTCGGTGCCCTTCTGCCACTGGCTGGACCCTCGATGTATGACGCTCTGGGTCTGGGATGGGGTAATTCTCTTCTGGCATTCATCTCCCTGGGGATGTGTGCTGTGCCGTTCGTCTTCTGGAAGTATGGAGCCAGGATTCGCACTCACCCGCGGTTCCAGATGAAGCTTTGATGCGTCACGAATAAAAGTTAGATTGGCTTTGCATTTGCATTTGCATTTTGTTTCATAGCGCGGTGTTATATACCTAGGTATGCATATAGAATTTTACCTAATGGGCAATACGAGTCAGGAGTTCTCAAATTGAATGCGCTTGATCTATTTTAATACCCGATATAAAGGAGTATCATGCACATCTTCATTTCCTAAGTGATTGGCACGCAGAGGATGTATGTGTTACCTACTTGCGGCTCGAGCTCCTCCGTCATTGCGGTATGCACTCCGTATGTATCACACCGAGATCTTAGATCTTAGATCCTCTTGGCGCATAAACTCTAATTTCTTTTTCATCGATGCAAATTGAGAGGAATGCCTATCAAGCTCGATCACTCCAAGATAGAGTCTGGGTATTCGAAAATGCGCACGCCGCAATCTTCTTTTTTCTCAGCTCTCTATAAGATCTTGACAGGGCTGCTAGTTCAGAGGCCAGCCGTGTATATGAAGGTACCTTCCTACATGTACATATGATATGTACGTACATAGATAGATATCTGCAATTCAAGTAAAATATCCGCTACGCATGAATATTTACACTCAATCCTGCAACGAAATTATATCGGCAGAAGCAGCTTACGATGGCCGAGTGAGTTCAAGAGGGTATCTTATTCAAATCGCTAAAAGGATCCCCGTTTCCATGTGCAAAAGCCTCCTCAATCCAATCAGCAGTCTCGTCTCGAAAGGAATCTCCAAAAGAAGACATCGACGATCGATGAGGCAGGGGCGGTTTAGTGGATGGTGCCTTCTGTAAGGACTGGTCTTTTGCTCCGGTCTGGCTTGTTTGAGTGACAATTGCCGCTTCAGCTTCCAGAAAGTCGGCAGGGTCATATTGGAAAGACTCTCCAAAAGAGGATGCTAATGTGGGCACAGTCGGTCGATGAGAGGGAGAGGGCTGCGGGGTAGATAATTCCTTGGGTAGAGAGGGGTTCTTCGTTGTTTCGTCAGTCGTTCGTGTCACAGCAGCCGCCTCAGCCTTTTTCATGATATCTTCGTCGTCGAACGCCGACCAGTCTGAGAACTCATCATCGTCTTCGAATGAAGGCCTCGTCTCGACTCCAATATCAGGACCTGCCGACTCTACCAGGACGCCCGCATCCTGAAGCTCAGATAGGTCATTCTCCAATTCTTGATCCAAGTCATCAAAGGCATCCGAGTCAGGCTCCGTATCTCCACCATCACTCCCAAAATCCGTGTTTTCCTCCTTATGTGATTCCGTCTCCGTAGTTGTAGGTTCTGGGTCTGGCGTAACGGGCGACTGTCGCTTCCCAGCTTCCAGGAACATTGATAGGAGCGGCTGACTTGACGGGACGCGCGCTGCATTGGGATCTGGAATTCCACGACGCTTCCGCTCCTCACGGACGCGCGCCTCCTGCTCGGCTTTTCGTTTCTTGTTGGCAATGCGTTTCTTTTCCTTTTCCCGTAGTTGCTTTGCTTTTTTCTCGCGCTCCTGCTCGCGATCTAGCCGCTCGATCTGAGAGGCGGTAAACTGGAATCGTTGGTTGCTTCGCTGGTACCGGCGTTTGACGGTCTTGGATTTCTCCAAGATAATGCGCCGCGGCTCATCCGGCATTGTGGGGGCAACCGTCGCAGCGACTGCCTGCTGCTTGTACGATCATGGGGATGGAGAGCTGTGGCGAGGTGAGTCCAGAATTAGTGGGAGTTGGCGATGTTTAGTTTGGTTGGCGGTGATACGTTGTGCCGACCGCGGAAGTCAACAAAGTTCTACATTGGGCAGAACTGTTGTCTTCTTTGTTTATTCGTCTATAGATTGCCAATTTTTGCAATACTTAGAATTGATCTCTCTCTCATTCCATCTCATTCCATCTCCTACGCTAGAATTTTGCTAATTTATTGACATCATTCAGATCTTGCACTCCCGGACGGGATCCCAGCACACGGGCTCGTAGGTGTTGAGCTTCAGGGTAGCCATATCCTCATCCGACAGTGTGAAATCGAAGACCTGCGAGTTCTCAAGAATGCGAGACTCGGTCACTGACTTAGGCAGGGGCACGTATCCCTAATCAAAGCGAGGTTAGTCATCTGTAGTTGCACCAGGAGAGTAATGGAAACATACCTTCTGCAAGCTCCAGCGGACCAAGATCTGAGCCTCGGTCTTACCGTGCTTCTTAGCGAGATTCTGCAGAACTGGCTCCTTCATGCGAGTTGCCTGCACAAGAGGAGAGTATGCCTCGACAACGATGTTGCGCTTCTGCAACCACTCCGCAATGTCGTCACGGGGGCACCACGGGTGGATCTCGTACTGGCCGACAGTAATTTGTCCACCCGCTCCACTCTTGATGTACTCTTCCAGCTCCTCGAGATGCTGGATAGCAAAGTTAGACACACCCAGCGACCGGATGTAACCAGCCTTCTGGGCTTCCACGAGTGCGCGCCATGTGCCGAGGCGGTCTTCCTTGCCGCCAAAGGGTGCGTGAATCAACATGCTGATAGCAACAGGACCAGTTAGTGAGTTCGTTTGAAAACTTGGATAGCGAGAAGTCTCACAGGTCAATGTATCCAAGGTTGGCCGCAGCAATGCTTTCCTCGATTGCCTTCTTGGCCTTCTCGTATCCCATGCATTTTGAGGGCACCTTGCTAGTATAGAAGATCTTCGACCGGTCAAGACCACAACCGCGAATGGCGTTGGCGCTCTCTAGTTCGTTGCCGTAGACTTTGGCACTGTCGACCTGTGGCGAGACGATCAATATGCGTATACTCGCTGCGTGGGATTCTGTAGTCGCTTACATGGCGGTATCCGAGCTCAATAGCCTTGCGGGTGACTTTCTCAGTGACATCCGAGGGACTATTTGTGAACGAATTAATTTAGTCTACCCGTTCCTAGTGGTCTCACGTAATGATGAACATACGTTTGGTACACCTAATTCCGAATGCAACCATCAGCTATACGATTCACAAGTTCAACAACCTTGGTAGTCATAATATACTCACTCCGAATCCAACTACTGGGATCTCGTAGCCCGAGACCAGCTTATAAGTAGATTGTAGCGAAATTGGGGCCATGGTTGTCGATATTTCGGTGGTTGGAAGGATGAGGGAAATGGGTGGGCACCAACCTTATATGACAATGGGTTCAACGTCCACGGACCACTCGGTCCCGTAATTTCCGTTCAGACTGCCCAGCTTTGACGCCATCTAAAGTGGGGTATACGGCCTAGGGAGCTAGATTGGGCAAAATGGCTGATCAACGTGGGGCGCATTGAGTAACTTGACAGGCATTAGGGTCTGTCAAACAAGATCGTTTTAAATTTCTCATTATGTCTTCGACGAGTGCTCTTATAGGCCAGCTGAAACCGGGTCGAGCTTGCCAATCATAAGACAATCATGGAAGGTTGCGCTGCAGAAAGCTTGACGTCAATGTGCCCCAATCTAATCTGATTAGGGTTTGATTGATAAGCCGTGATGGAATATGGCAATATAGGCCGATGTTATGCTTGATGTCATGGTTCTGGGGCAGTTGCTGTCGATCAATGCTCCGCCGGCAGATTACATACATAGTTATTCATTAAATATATCCAAAAACTAAAACTCCTTATGGACATGCGCATTACTAGGGCAAAAGCCATCACCGCCTTGGATTCGGGCGGTAATGAAAGGCAGTATTAGGTGGTGGGGTTGAGTTTGGGTTCAACATCGCCAACGCCCTAATATTGGTTAATTCACTCAGGTACTGCCTGTATAAGATTGTTCCAAGTCTCCAGGGCCTCCGGTCTACTTCAAAACATCTCGTCATATTACCAATCTGCGCATTTTCGAGTCAACATACGACGATATCGCAATAACAACATCTAACTCGTCTTGGTCGCATTTCACCCTCACAAAAGCACAGCTTGTAACTGTGTAATATCACCGCCGCAATGCGTTGTATCAAGAACAAGATCGAGCATAATGGATCTGGAACAGTGACATTGTGCCCAGACGAGCCGGAAGATATGGTACCTGAGCCCTCTCTCCCAGCATGAGCACCCCGCAGTTATCTAATATGCTTCGATGAGTTCAGTGGCACGCATACAACCTGATCCGACCAGGTGATCTTCTCCGAGCTAGCGCAATCCGTCGAGTCACTACAGTCCAAGATACCGGATCTACAAGCTCAGCGCGAGTTCATCTGAATCTCGTAATTCGCGTGAAGAATCTCGATTTTGACCCGCAGAGCTCTCAGCTCCATGTCTCAGGACAGATTATCAACGAAACACAACACACAAAAATCGGACAATTCCATACCCTCGATCTAGAGTTGAACCGCAATTTTACGTTAGAGAAAGAGGTTGGGGCAGATGGCGAAGGTGTCGGGTGGGACAGCATTGCAATCGAGTCCCTCAAAGATGCTGTGGATGAGGGTGGCAAACGTCGGGCAGAGGCTGTTGCAGTGGTTATGCAGGAAGGAATCGCTCATATCTGCTTTATTGGTCAGTTCCAGACGATATTGAAGCAAAAAGTTGAGATGTCTGTACCGCGGAAACGGCAGGGAGGCGGTGATCATGATAAAGTGAGTTTTTTGTTCTGTGTTCCTTACTGCATCTGAAAGCTCATGCCAAATGATTCCAGGGAATGAACAAGTTCTACAAGGTTACTCTTGAGACGCTTCTTCGACAAATGGAGTTCAACACCAGTCTTACTTCAGGCGCCAACAACGAAGCTGTGCGGCCCGTTCTGCTCGCATCACCTGGGTTCGTAGCCTCAGGTTTCCACAAATACATTCAGTCCGAAGCCTCCACAACGACTCCTGGTCTCAAGCGACTTCTTCCCAGCATCGCGGTTGTGCATTCTGCATCCGGATACACGAATTCACTATCAGAGGTCCTGCAATCACCCGCAGTGAAGACTCTCCTGGCAGATACTAAGTATGCCCGTGAAACCAAATTGATGGATGAATTCCTGGAACAACTGCGGAAAGAAACCAACAAAGCAACCTACGGTCCTCGCGAGGTTGAGTCCGCAGTTGAACAAGGTGCTGTCGGTCGGGGCGGCGGTGTGCTGATCATTTCAAATCGCCTGTTTCGGTCACAAGTCATTGCTGAGCGTAAACGTTGGGTCTCGCTTGTGGACCGCGTTCGGGACGTTGAAGGTGGCGAGGTGCGAGTTCTCAGCTCGGATCATGAAAGTGGAAGGCGCTTGGAGGGCCTTGGTGGCATAGCTGCACTTTTAACATTCCCGATTATTGAGGAGGACTTTGACTCTGATGCAGAATAGCCCTGGAGACAATGGCAGATGAATAAGCCGTTAAAATACAATGGGCAGAATTTATTATAATCAAGCATATGGCATACATCAAACCATATATTGTAGGTGCAGTCTAGAATCCAAGTGGATTTGCTGAGATGGTCTTAAGAAGCATGAGCACGGCCAAGATATCTAATGTGCCTATACTACACGTACCTACATGTACTCAAGCTGCAGCTCCGTGATGTTGAAGTGGCTCTACTACATGTACATCGCTCATTCAATTACACTTCCATTGTAGGTATCATGTTCAGGTGCTTGTAATTTGGCCCCTGTTAGATTATGCAGTTTAAAAAGGCACACTGGATAATTGTCAGTTCAGGTTAACATGTGTTCAAATAGCTTCTCGTATATCAATATGAAACTCCTCACAGCCTCACGGCCACTACTGCATTATTCTAGCAATTATACACCCGGCGTGCCCGAGACAACACCACTAACATTCCAAGATTGGATATAAGGAAGAATATTTTTTCAAATGTACTGAGAGACAAGCCAAATAAAAATAGAATACTTAAATTTGAGATAATAATAAGAATAAAATATGTAGAAAATGGTGTAATGCGCGAGACCTTCCGGCTATGCAAGTATAGCCCTATCAGACCCAAGGCTAGCTGATCATGACATTCGTAAGGGCGAAGAGAACCAAAGTCGGAGTCGAGCTGACTGATCCAAAAGGGGATGAAAGGAGAAAAATAAATACTCTTTATGGGGGAAGGGGAAAAAGGAGAATCGTGAGAAGGATGAGAAGTGGAAAGGGAAAATAGGGTAAGGAGAAAAAAGAGAAAAAAAGAAACGAAGAAGATAAAAGAAATAAGAGAAGATAAAAATGAAAAGAAAAAACACTTCCTGCATCTAAAAGAACTCTTCCTCGATGTTGAACTCCAATTCTAAAGACTGAGCCCGGGGTCGTTTCCGAGACACAGAAGGTGTAGTAGGAGCAGGATCAGACATAGCAGATGGCGATGATGCACTTGCACGATCCCGATGCTGTTGTTTCGCCTCCAAAAATCGAAGTTGAGTCCGACATTGATCAGGCGAATACAACCTCGTAGCACCGAGTTCCTTTAACTGTAAGGCAGGGAAACAAATTAGAATGGTGCTCTATATGATGCTCATACGGATATCATCTCACCTTGTTCGAGAGGAAACGGAACTTATCTCTCTCCCAGATCTCAAGGGCGTGGTTCAGAAGTTCTACCTAGATTCGAACTTGCGTATTAGCATGGACTATTCATCCTTCAACTCACACAGCCTGGTCATACTATGGGGTTACGGGGTACATACTCACATCTGAATCATCCCAGCGCGCCATGCGATCTCGCTGGCGGCGGAGAAGACGCATCTGCAAACGTGCCTCGGATGCATCTTTGTTAAACTTTTTCTGGAATTCCTCGCGTACGCGCTTCCAAGCTGTGTGTTCCAATCGCAGCTCCTCTACGAATGCATCTTCATCTTCTGCTTGTGGGTCGCGGCGTCCGCGGCCGGGAGCCCGGATCTTAGGAAGAATATGCGGGGATGGCTGGGAGTTTTGGCGGTCATACTCCATTCGGAGAACTCCTTCTGGATTAGGCGCGATGCTAACTGGCGTGTTGCTTATTGGCTCGCGCGAGGGTGTGTTTGAGGATGGGCGTTTGGCGCGCTTGGATGGTGATGGACCCTGCGGCGACTGACTAGGCGTTTGCACCATGCCATGTGGGATGTCATTTGCTACCGGTGCGTAGAGGTAGGCGGCATTCGGGGCTGAAGTTCTGGGGAAGTTACTCGGGAAGGGTGCAGAGATGCCGAGACCCTGTGGGGGGTGGAGGGAGTCGTTGATGGCGTATTGGTATTCTTGGCTGCGGTAGTCATGTGCGTGATGACTTAGTGCTGGACTGGGACCGAAGGAGCTGTCTGGAAGACTGATTGGAGTCAAAACGCTGGGTGGCACTAGAGGCTCTGTGCAGTAGGGGTTGATGCCCCCAAACGGTGACTAGATCGTATCCGGGTCAGCGTCATGTTGCGGAAGTATAGCGATGGCCTGTTTCAGGACTGCAGGTACATACAGCTTCAATTCCGGGCCACTGAGTTGGGATGTTCTCATAGTACTCCGCCATTTCCTCTGAGCAAGGGAGACCAGAGCGATGAGACATGTTGACTGGTTGCACTTGGCGGGAGATAAAACACGTCTAGTTCGATTCACAGTCCACTGCGTTATCTGAGTGGAGGATAGACGCCGAAGCAGCAGAATATGAAACGAGTTATGAAACCCAAAGCAGGGGATGATGTGGGACTGCAGGCGGGTAGAGGATGGTTTACTGAAGCGTTAAGGGTTGTGTATATCAATTCTTGATTCTGGTGAAGAAAAGATTCACATTCCCAACTGTCGATAATCGTCGATTTTATAAGATCCATCAAACAAAAGAGGGGGAAATCTTTTAAGCATAGATGCAGTCTGCCTATACTCCGCTTTGAGAGATATCACAGCCAGCACCGGGATGCCTCGCGAGGCAGGATGTGAACAGTCAGTCGCGGTATGAACTATAGGCTCAGAAAGCACCAAAACAGAGCTCAGTACCGCCGACGAGCGCTGTGCCGCATTAGAACATGCGAAAATTCATCGAAATTCGATGAGGGCCTATATTTAAGCGCTGCGGACCCAATAGTCCAATGTTGATATCCAGATTTCGCCCCCATTCCCGGAAGGGGCTCAGACTCTGCATTGTGTATAGGAATTGAAGTAAGTCTATGACTTCAGACCCACTGCAACGGGCCAAGATGATTCCTTGGAAAATCAATATGAAATAAAAACCAAAGAAAATAGACCGGGGTGGGTGGGTTAGGGTAGTTAGGGTTGTGGATCTGGACGCAAAGGAGACAAAGCGTAGCGCTTAGAGCAATGGAGAGGTCCACAGCTTATGAGCCCCCCCCCCGGTAACCCCGTAATGCTAGAAAACTAGAATACCATAATACTCATGCTGAACTTGGGAAAGCAAGAAATACGAGGATCTTCCAATACACTGAAGCTCCCAAACGTATGTATTCAACCACCCAACTCCCGAATACGACCCTTATTAGAACGGTTATTTTCAGATGGACTTTGTGCACAACGCTGTCAGCCTTGTTGACAGCCCTGGAGGCTACCTAATATAACCTTGTTTCATTGTGGCAGACCCCATGGAATGAAATGGGGAGGGAACATGACGCTACTCGATCCCAAGACACCGGTTGTGGGATAGAAAATGGAGGGATCATGATCCTTTTCTCCACGCCGTATGCAGAGGCGTTGCTCACGACGGGCGGCTTTCGACTGGTCAAAGTTGAACCCGACATTTTCTTGAGGCTGAGAAACCCCTCGAGCCGCTTGGTGGCTTCTGTCCACGGAGAATTCGTGGCCGGTGGTTAAGCGCCGATGCAGACACCCGGCGAATCCTCGTTCATTTCGAAGGTACAGAATGACCCTAGAACTTTCTTTGTCTCGTACTGTGCTTTTTTCCACGTCATCCCTGATCGATCGGTCTTCAAATCTGGATTATTTGCTTCTTTAGGGGTCCATCCCCCAGCAAATCATGTTTTTGATGCCTCAAATCCCCAATCTCCACATGGCGGTATTCGTTTGTTCGCCAAAGCCACATCCTGCTGCTAAGCGCCCGATAGAAAGCTAGATCTGTCTGGACCTTGGTTCAGACACCCATTTCTTGACTTATCTGCACATCGCAATTTGGAATTAAAAAATGGAGACACCCGATGGTTGTTGGAATATGAGGGGGATCTGATAGGTCTCCTATCGTCCACCCTGGGCTTGAATGATGCACCACAACTTGCAGACTATTCTTCTGACTTCTCGGTTCAAGTGATATGATAGAATAATGCCCGGGCACAATAACATAAGAATAACGCAATCTACTCCGTACCGAGTATGTACATCTCGCCCCCAATCCTAGGCACGGGTGTTTACTCCTTGGCGTCCCCGTTCTGCTTTAGCGCTTACCCCTCGCCTCTTTTTGGCTGCCATTGGGCATTTCTCTGGACCTAGTCTGATCATAAAATGTTGTAGATACTTGATGGCCTACATAAGAAGTACGGAATACATCTAAGTTTCCATGTCGTAGGTGATAAGCCTACCCACACGGGCTACCTCGGTACTTCCCAGGTCCCATAGCTCCTCTTGCCGGCCCGAAACTAGTGTGTAAATGTACTCCGTACTGCTCGAAGCTCTATTCCAATCTTCAGCTCTCAATTTCTCCCTTTAGCCTTACGATAATCAAGACGATTACCGACAGGCCGAGTGCGTATGTACCTTGACAATACGGGGTACGGAGTACTTGTGCAGGACAATACTAACCGGTAATTCCTGATACTCAACAACGTATCTAGGTACTTTCCAGGCCCAAGCTCCTACGAGATAAGTACGTGGTGGCTTGAGGTTAGGTAGTCCCGAGGTCCGATCTTCCAATCCGAGCCAGGAGAGACTTAATGAGCTCGGAGCTCGGGGTAGTGCCCAAGTAATCCACGGAGTACGCTGGTCCTACAGTGGGATTATATTCAATTCCACATATTCCGTACGGAGTACGGAGTACAAGTGCTCTCTTCCCTATCTAATGGTTGGAAGGCAAAGATCCTATCCCTGCATTGATATAGACTTGGAACCTATTTTCACTCCCCCACATGGAGGCCGTATTTCATGCCATGGGAAAGCATCAAAAGTAGTTTGTGCAAGCCATGAGGCCTATTAGAAGTGGAAGCTTTAAACTATCTGCCATATATCAGACCACTTGCTTTTCCGTTCACCATATTCGATATGACAGTGGATATCAAGTAAAGCACCACGCAAGAGTACCTGCTTTTCCGATAGGAAAACTATCCCGAGACTTCCCACAGTATGATCTACATGGGTCCTATCCCATACCCGTTGACTAGGTAGACACGTTATAACAACAGGACCAGGATCAGGCCTTCTAGTGCGTTGCTAGGGACATCCAAATGACCCCAGGGTAGTATCGTGAAACGGTGTAGCCTGAACAAAATGGTCCCCATAGATTGGGGGCTAATACTAGGTACTTCATACATGTTCTCATTTCCTATTTCTATCATAAACAAGGACCCGAAATCCAAGATGTGGATACCAAATCCCGGGAGATATCCAGACTAAAATGGCAAAGGCGGAAGGACCCGTGCAGTCAACCCGGGCCTATGACGACTCTACTCAACATCCAACAGTCAGTCTGTAGTAGAGATTTCGCACGCTATGACATAATTAATCAGTAGCAAATCTTCGCTTAACGACAGGGAGTGGCCTAGCGATGCTCGTCTCCTGAGAATTCGTCTAAGCTACCATCACGGTGCTGTCCCTTGTAGTGACCATTGTTTTCCAGGGTATCATCAGCTGCAATGGAAATACCGCGAGCACCCCATCGGTTGTTATTTGTTTGTCCATCCAGCTCTTCCTCCTCGTCTCGAAGGCGCTGTTCTTCGTCCGTGGAGTGTCGGGATGCGCGGAAATTCACAACCCGGTTCACCAGCCAACTGTTTCCGTAGTCTTCGGAATCAACGACACCACCATTACGAAGCTTGACTCGCTGGCGAGAATAGTATACCCAAGCGAAGTCGACATAAAACGCGGTCTGTACAATTCCAAACACGACCGCGATCCAATCGTAGAAAGGTGCTTTGCTGGAGATACGGATAATCCAGTTGAGAATATAGAATGCCCGGTAGGAGCCCAAAGCAAGCAGGTAATAGGAATCAATCACTGTCGGGACGGTGGTCTGGCGAAGTAGAAGCAGCTGCGGCAAAACACACACAGACTCGAGAATAACGGAGAAGGCCCAGGGATACTAAATGTTCGGATTAGTAAGGCGCTGCAGGACATGGGTATTTTTATTCTATCTTACTTCGAGGATCAATGGGAGATAAATCTCCTTGTCGAGAAGCAAGATTGAAAAGGGAGTCAGGATAACGGCTCCGATCACAGACCACAGACCGAGCTTCCAAGCTCGCTCCCTCTCTCGTGTGCGTGGATATACCTTCATCATCAGGAAGATTATATATGCAGCCGAGATCAGATAGATGAGCTTGAAAGACACATTCCAAATGACATGCCATGGACCACCCTTATAAGTGAAGGGCCAAAACAAATCGACGTAGCGAAAGACGAAGACAGTGGCATATAGTAGCTGTGTGAGGAGGGATATACCTAAAATCAACGGCCTATGTTAACCATCTTTCTAGGATACAAAGGTACCTCCAATTAATCTCCAGGTGTACAAACCCTCGGCACTCTTATTCTTGTGGATAGCCCAAACTAGGACACATCTTGAAAATAGATGGGACAAGTCTCCAATGATGCGAAAGGCGTTCCAGCTCGCCATGGCTAGACTAGGATTGTCGAACAATCAAATAGTGAATCGGACGCGGGGTGAGTGAAGACACCTGTCAGGCTATCAACATCAAGGTCCGGCCCCAATGATTTCGCTGAATGGGGGAGTAAGTGGGTGTTGAGTGTATTGAAAGATAAAGGAGCTGTTATCTGGGTATGTACGAAACCCCAAATGAGTGTAACACGCAGGAAGATGCAACAAGCAAGAGTAAGTGAAGGTATTATTGGAGCTGTTGGAGTCATCCTTGGAGTTCGTTATCGGCGATCCACACGAGCTTGGGCCGCGTGTTCTTTCACGTGACGTTGACGTCAATGTGTAGATCTCAATTGTATCGCGCAAAACACCTTCATGGTGCAAGTCAGTTTTCTCATTCGGTGAGGCGGATCGCTGACTGTCTGCTACGTATATATCCAACTCTCTTTTCCTATCGTATACTCTCTTTTTTTCCATCCAAGGGTATCACAATTGATCTAGTTGTTTCGTTGCCATATGGTCAGCCTAGCTAGACACACCCTCCCTCAACAACTCCGAAACAGTCACAACACGATACCCTCTCCGTGTAATCTCAGGCAAAACCTTCCTCAACATGGGCACTGTCCATCCCCTCCCCTCCCCATCATGACAGATAATTATAGCCCCAGGCCTGAGCATGCTAAGAACATGTCTGGCATTGACCCTCCAGTACGGAATCTGCGGATCATGTGGGTATATACCCCCAAGCACAATCCTGAAGCCTAACTCCCGCACGACCTTGCGCATGTGTGCAGTGAAGAACCCAGATCCGGGACGGAAGTACCTCGTTGGTTCCTGCCCAGACACCCCCGCGGCGGAATAGATAGAATCGATTCTCTCCTGAACGGCAACAATCTGCCCACTAAGCTCTGCGTCACTCAACCTACACGACGGCTCATCGTACATAGCATGATTTCCCAACTCACAACCCCCTTGCACAATATGCGCGAGGGTCTCTTCGTGGCCGCGGATTTGGGAACCGATGACGAAGAAAGTTGCTGCAGCATCGTTTTCTTGGAGGACAGAGAGGATTTCGCGGGTGTGGTGGGATGGGGCGTCATCGATTGTTAGAGCTATCAGGTTCTTTTGTGTTGGGATCTCCCAGAGGACATCGGGCCAGCGGTGTTGGAAGTGGCGGATTAGGCGTTTGGGGGGTTTGTAAATTAGGTAGAGGGGGAAGAAAAGGATTGTGAGGGCGACGAAGAGAAGAGGGAGCATTGGTGGAGGTTTTTTTGATGCTGGTTCGGGGTCTTGTTCTGCTTTTTTATCTGCTCTTTCGTCTTCTTCTATTGAATTGGACATGCCAAGGGCGTCTTAATATTTTTCTATGCTTGTCGAGCTTGAATGTTGGTGGAGACCGAGGTTGATATGTTAGCGCGCGGTTAGACTGATTGGCTAGCGGTCTGCATTGATCACACTTCCGAAACCTGGTGCTTCCCTACTTGTTTCAGGCATTCAACATAGTCGGCGCTTGTACTCCGTATACAGAAGATAAATAAAAATCATCATGTCCTACCATGGAGACCCTATAATACCACCATATATACATCCTTCAAATGGGCCTTCCCATATTTGGCACAAGCAACTACACCACCCCACAATGGACCCATGACCCGCCTACGCGTGGAACCTCAGGGCTCCTTTTAAGCTGTCTAACTACACTAGTGCTATGTGTGTATAGCGCGCTGCATCTGAACGTTTTCGACCGTCAATGTGAATGGTGGATGCGGTGTCTGATTAAGACGAAATGGGTGTTGATTGCACTGCTTGCGCCGGAGTTTGTAGTATACAATGCATGGTCACAGAGACGACAGGCGTTGCGCATTGCCCAGCTGCTAAGGAGACGGAGTGGGCAGCACGAGCCTGAGACTTTCCTGGTACGGTTGCGTAAGGGTCTTGGGATGAGGGAGGAACTAGATCAGGAAACAGGCACAAAAGGAGATGTTACAAGTTCAGATGATGACTCCGTCAAGGTGAGGCAGATCCGATTGACAATTGGCCACTCTAACTGTGTGAAGGATCCTTCGAGCAGTCAGACGTTTGATCTCTCGCATGGCTTTCTAGTTGTCATGGGCGGCCTGGTGGTGGATATGTCACGAGACACGGAGAGAGTGTGGCCGATGTGGTGCGACTCGCTAACGATCACACCCGCCTGTGTCGAAGAATGCTTTGGACTAGATCTGTTCGACGATATAGACTTCCAGTTTCTGTCCAAGGAAGCCATCGCCGGCCGGAGCAAGCGAGACTATTTTACAAAATTCATCACCTCTATTCAGGTAGTGTGGTTCAGCGCCCAGTTCTTCATCAGACTTAACGAGTCCCTCCCAATCAGCCTTCTAGAGTTGAATACATTTGCGCACTCGATCTGCGCTTTAGCCATCTACTTGCTCTGGTGGCATAAACCCACAGATATCGATGACCCGTTCGTCCTACACACAGAACAGTCCGAAGCGCTTAGGGATGTCTGCGCGGCGCAATGGACTCTAGGTGCCTCGGGCAAGCATTACAAGAAACAGTGCCTTTATCGATCCGAAGAACTCGCAGTCACACTACGCTCCAGGTGGGAATCTATATCTACACACGCCGGGTCCGAACTCCTCATGATAATTTTCCGCGGCCGAAGTGGGATCACGCTTTTGCCAGGAACAGGCGAAGACTGGTACATATTCCGACAGACGGAGGAAAACCGGTGGCTCCATTTCCCGCGTTATCAGAGTAGGAAACGGTTCAAGATTCGCGTCAACGATGACCGGCCAATAGCGATGAAACTCGAAGCTGGCCAACGCATCCCAGGCACGCGTGAGCACGTCGATTCCCAATTTCAGTGCGTCGAGGTAGACGATATCACCCTCACCCGATGGAACCGTGCCCTGCGCACTCGCCACTTCATATGCAACTACTCGGTCTGGTTTCGAGACCGTCAGCCGAACTTTGTGTGGCCGCGCGGACTAGATAGCAAAAATGGAAGCGTCATCGCAGATGAGCTATTGAAGGGGCTATTTGCTTCTCTGGTCACAAGTTTGTGCTATGGGGGCTTGCATATGCTAGCGTGGGACTCCGCGGCATTGGACAAGACTGGGCTCGCGGAGACATTCTGGAAGCTCTCATGTCTCAATTTGGTTGTGTTTGGGCCATTGGGTTTTGTCATATGGGCTGGGCTGAAAGTCTGGCGTGGACCGGATGCGCATCTTACTCTTAGTTTGGGGTGGAGTGTACTCCTCATGATCATTACGGCCCTGGCTTTCGTTGCATATGCAACAGCACGAATGTATCTTGTGGTCGAGGTTTTCGTTATGATTCCTTATATGGATCCGGCGGTATACAAGCTCCCTGAATACGCCGCATACTGGCCGCATTTTGTCTGACATTCAGGACAAGACCTGATATGTTTTGTTTCCATATAATTCAAGCACGAAAGATGAGATACCTCTCGGCCAACACTACCAGCGCCACCCTTTCCTTCTCCCCCTCCTCCTCGTTCTTAAGCCCGAATTCCCCCAACATTCCGCTGGCTATAATACCCGGAGGAAGCAACAACAACAACCCAAACTCCCTCCATCAAGCCCACCGCATCAAAAGTAGTAAGTATATCCGGCGCGCTCTTGCTACCCCTATGCGCAGAACTCCCGAACTTCCCCGAGTTATCCTATTAACCTTCAAGGCAGCCGGGCAGAAGACCCAGATCCGACCTAGGATGATGGTACCATTTACGGGTTCTCTAGGAGACATGCGTCTAGATCAGAGGAAATGGTGGGGCACGGGAGAACGTAGTTTACCACAGCTGGGACGAAGAAGTTAGTGCCGGTGTCTGTTTCGTCCGCTTAGCTCGGAGCCGAGTTGATCTTATTCCGACGTTGCGGATAAAGATAAAGGTAGTCGAAGTTGTCCTTTCTAAATGGTCGCAATCTATTATGCTAATGTAATTCCACTCGCATACTTGCTGTGCTTGTCATATGGTGGAGATGTACAGCCGATCGGTGTTAGGGCAGAGACAGAATTTAACAATTGGCTTGTGGCAAGACCAGAGGTCAGAATCTCCAAGTCTGAGGTAGGTAGGTACGCATTGTTGATGCTTGTTTGTAACTTGTAAGGCTTGGCAGTAGATTCCTGATTGCGAAGATGCTCGCCTACGACCAGGGGTCAAATGTGATTCATTTCAGTATTGCTGCCTGATCATGCCTGGTTTCAAGCCGAAGGTTAAAATATCTGAATCGCTATGACATGCGCCGCATTGAATGGAGTTCCAAGGTACATGTGCCTAGGTAAATTCTACGACGCATCAAAAGCCAGGCGGGCAAAATGAAGTTTCTCAGGGTTTAAACCAAAAATCGCCGGATTGTGGGTGATTTGGAATTTCCACGCTATTTCTCTCGTGCAAATCTATATATTAGCCCGATTGCAGGTGGTTCAAAGCTATTGTGACCTGTCAGGTCTGCAATTTTAACAAAATTGAAGCTATTTGCAATTATAGCGATCTCCATATTTATCGAAATCCAATCAGCAGATGATTATATAGTATTCTTAGAGGAAGGTTGGCAATCTCGACTTTGTGAGGGTTGAGATTAACATGTGGAGTGGTTTCACATAGCCAGCATGAAATGGCTTTAAACCGTGGAATTAAGTACATGTAGATGTGGAGGGAGGTAGGACTGCATATATCAGGTAGTGTCTGAATGTACTCCGTACGGGTACGATAAACAAATATTCCTGGAAATGACATGAAAACGATATGAAAACGACTATGATATTCACATCTCGTTGCTAGTGCGTCATTATGGAGGACATGTATTGTCCAACATTGTGGTGTTGCTGTATACACATATTGGCTGGTGCTAGGTAATGAATCTATAAGGATGTGTAATAGATATAGATACATGTATACGACAAGATCAGAGGAATAATTGTTGATATTGTTCTTCGAAACAGCATCGAAAATCCCTGGAGTCCTGGGAAGAGACAAAATAGGGGATTGGATGCAGGTGCGGGGATGTCCAAGACGAAATAATAGAGGGAGCTACCTAGGTACGACTTGGGCCTCTTAAATATCTTCGTCATTCAAAGTTAATTCGAGGCTCTTCATAAGCTTCTGCGGTAATACCACTGATCTAGGATTTCAGTTCTGACCAAGATCTGGGTTATTTGTTCTCGTGGACGGGGGTGGATTCGAGAAGGCCTAGATGCCCCAGGTGATGCAGGCGACGTGGTAAGATTCCCAAAACAGATAAAATCGCTGTAACGTTGCCAGTTCTCATTATTCATGATCAGCCCGACTAATTTTTAGATCAACAGTCGTCTGGTCGGTGGTTGGCTTTATATAAAGACAGCGCTTTCGACCTATCTCATCGGAAAAATGTCCAAATCAGCGGCTGAGGGAGAGCAAGGAATGGGTTATGTATAAAGAGTCTGGCTGTTGTTTCTGTGCATTCGAGTAGAATTTGAAGCGCTGGAGCCACCTGTTGGACTCTATATATTCTTCTAGGTTAACCGAAGAACTCGATACTCCTGGAGTCGAGAGAGGAAACTTCTGTCTAATGAAATAGACAATGCAAGTCATAACTGCCCCCAGCGATCCTTGGCATTCTCTCTTTGTGTTGGTCATACACAGAGAACCGCACTAGGCGTAATTTAGCACAGCTGATCCTTCTCATGCATCATCCTCAAACCTGAACGGAGATCCTCGAATGATAACTAGATATCTCCGAGTCAATTGGCTATCCAGGGATTTTTCGCGGGCTTGGTCTGTACGGCCACGAATAGTCCAGGTAATGGGCACCAATTGAAGATGGACAATAACGGTGGATTGTGTGTGTGACAAAGAAATATGCCGGCAGGATGTCGAGAGGCTGGGCCTCTTTGGATATATACACGCCTCAGATGAACCCCGCGCGGTGCTAGGACCGAGCCAACTGCTGATAGGGCTCCCCCGACCTTTTGCCCCATACCGTGCATGCTCTCAGCTAACGACCTGCATAGGGGCAGAGAGGGGAATAGTACCCGGTGGCTTCACGCGAAACCGTCTTGTGGCTGATCTAGCCCGCCAAGTCTCGGGTTGGACGGACACTTCTACTTCTGTCATTGAATATGAGTGATTGCGGGTGGACGTCCCGGGGCCATTGGATGCCTTTGCAATAATAAGATCCTCGGGCGCGTCGTTGATTCGCATTGGGCGTGTCCTGTCATCCTCGCACGGTGTTGTGAGATCTTGCCGGGTCACCGGATTCTGGAACAGGCCACTCGCGGGTCTCTTCGGCCCAAATGTCTCATGGAAGCTGCCGGACGTGGCCATCTTTGCTTCTGCATCTTGTCGTCGGCCGAATTGAATTACCGCACGAGCCATGAATTGTGACAGGGCCCCTGTCCGGGCATCGGTTCCTAGGCCAAGAGAGAACGGGTTGTGGAATGCACCGGAGGGGGTTGGTTGGAGGCGCATTTGAATCGACACTGAATTTTAATTTGATCGCATAGTCTACCTTTGATATCAGGACAGCGACGGGCAGGAAAATAAGAAGTCACAGCGAGGGTGTATAATAGAGGGTGCCGATAGAGGGAATCGATGCCCCATATTAAAACCAAATGGATCTTTTTTCATAGCAAATCTAGCAAATCCCAGTGTTCAAGGCTGTTGGATTTTTGGGGTTTAATTTAATAAAAAGCACGATTTAAATCCCTTTCAACTAATCCCAATTCCAGTGCTATTATTATTTTGGTTTACTGTTGTGATATGAGGTGACTCCATCCCCGCTCTCTCTGCCTTTCTCTCTCACCACTCTCTCCTCTTCCTCCTTTCTCTTCTCTCTGTAACCTTGTCCCTCTCTTGACCTCCCTGTTTATTTGTTTTTTATTAAGTCCTCTTTTTTCCCCGAGGGTTCCTCTCCACAACTTACCTTCCTTTCAAAGTCAACACCACCCTCCCAGCCTCATGTTCTCCCCGTATTCGGAAGAATTCGAGGTCCCCGAATCGACGCTTCGACCATGCGATTTTGACCTGTGAGCCCAACTTCCCTTTGATCCCCCCCCACCAGGACTTAAACCCTTCGGTCGGAGCCTGGACTTCTCTGTGTCGCGGCTTATACCTTCCTGTCTCTGTTACTTTCATCTGGTTCTACCTGGGATGCGCCTGTGTCATCGTCTTTAGTGTAACGCTTCCCGAGTGTTGACCAAGGCGCGCCAGTACCAGATCCTGCTAATCCCTCCCCCCCCTACGCGGCCTTTTTGTATGTACAGATGAACCGACACAGTGTGATTGAAAACCGCGTGTGTCTTTCACCATGTCGTAAGTCCCTTCGTCTGTGATCTCCGTTCGGCCTCCAGCTGCGGGAGGGAGACTAGGCATTCGAGTGCACTTGGTCGCGTTTATTGCTCCCACATTTCTACCTGTCATGTCTTTCTTTTATACTTTTCTGACTCTTTGCTACCCCGATCAGTTCTCCCCCGACATCCAAGCGACTTAAGACGTCCGCTACTACTAGCGCCCCGCCGCATATGCTTGCCCAACAACAGATCCATCCCTTCCATCGCGTCCCAAACTTTGAAGGCATTCCCATCCCGACTGCTCCTTTACCTCAACAAAATCCCGGCGCTTCGCGCAAACGGCCTCCTTCTCCCGCGACTGGTTCGTCGGTCATGATGGCAGCTCCAGTGAATCCTGCGGGTAGCGCGATCGATGACTCTGGCGCCATTCCTGCGGTTGAGTCTACACCGAAGAAAAAGGGACGGACGAATACCCCATGGACGGCAGAGGAGGAGCAAAGGCTTAAGACAATGCGCGACGCCGGGCGCAGCTGGAGTGAGATTGCCAAGGTGCGCACGCGTCTCTATTTTTTTGTTCTTATTATTTTTCTTATCATGAAGCTACGGGTTGCTGACCGGTGCTTTTTTTTCACCTATCGCAGACTTTCCCGACACGAACCGAGGGCAGTGTCAAGAAACACTGGTACAAGGTACGTGATATCACGCAATTTAAGCAATGTCCGGATCGGTCTTACTAACACCTCACGCAGGACATGCACTACGCGGAGTTTGCCGAAGATGAGGTATGAACCCGATTCCTTTAATGTCCGTGTGTCGCATCCGTCGCTGACGTTGCACAGTCTGTGAAGCTTCGCGAGGCAATCAAGGAGTACGAGGCGAATAAGTGGAAAGTGATCGGTCAGAAAGTTGGCAAGCCTGCCAAAGTGAGTGGAGATAGTTCCGTGCCATTGTACAGCCGATCTCATATTAATTCTCCGACAGGCCTGCGAGCAATATGCCAAAGAGCATTTCAAGAACGTCTGACCAACCCGATGACACTGATGAAGTCATGATATTGTTTTAGCATCTTTTATGAATTTGGCATTCTCTCTTCCGGATTCCTGGCAATTCCAGAGCGATGCAAGTTTCATCGGTGGCCAACTGGGGGCCACTGATTTCACAAGGCAGATGGAGTTGGTGATCTGGATCTCTTTATTCTCAATGTTCGAATCTCTTGTTATCTTCTATGCGCTATGAAAAATTGCGCATTGCAACCCGTATTAAGGCGTTGCCTGTTTTTTTTTTTGACGCCCTTTTTTTTTATCTCTGTGTCCATCAATACCATATGATTCCCACTGGTTCCAGTACAATAGGGCCAGAAGCCCCCTGTTACGTAGGACTCCGTAGATCGCAGCGGAAAAAGCCAAGGCGATCTTGGTTTTTCTTCCCCGCGGCAATCAAACCCCGTTTTTCGCCCCCACCACTTTTTGGCCTTCATTGCTCCAGACACAGTCATTGTTTCGAAATTTCAAGCCTCCATTTGCTCAATTCTAGGGTAAGTCAACCCTTTGATGGCCTTTCGCACTCACTAACGCCACCCCGGTGTGTTTCTAGAGACTCTTCTCGGGAAGGTAACACAGCCTGTGCACAAGGGACGGCTACCATGAAGACGAGTAGCCTGGTATTTCCTCACGATCAAGGTATATAGGACAAATCTCTGCGTGACGACCGGTGTTCGACGATTGTCGTTCTGAGATTATACGGTTTAACTTGATCTGGGTAATTCCAGCGAAAGGACTCAATGCGCTTTTTCCCCCGGAGTTCGAATGTGCGGATGTAATACTAACAGAGGTGCAGCATGGCTTCAGAACATGAAATCACCGCCGTAGCGGCGCACTCGAACAAGGAATGCTTGACGACATCTGCGACTGAAACCTCCGGCGCAGCCAACAAGGATGAGGGAATCTACGTCGCCGAGACGACCAATCGCCGCAATCCCGTCGGATCGCGATTGGGCTCTATTCTCAGAGCCTTCGAGCACCAACTCGTCGAATATAATTTGGAGGCCCGTGGTGTTGAGCGGGTTGCCGTGGATGAGCGCATGAAGCGCAACACATGGATGACGTATCTGCAGGTCTTCTTGCTGTGGATATCGATCAATCTTGCGCCCAATAACATCACCCTCGGGATGTTAGGGCCTGCAGTGTTTGGTCTCAACTTCCTGGACTCTGCGCTTTGTGCTGTTTTTGGTGTCTTGGCTGGTTGCTTGGTCGCCGCTTGGATGGCTACATGGGGCCCCATTTCAGGAATTCGGACACTGGTACGTGGCGAATGTCAATTGTTGGGCGATCATTTCCATCATGAGGGCTAATTGGTGAACAGGCGTTCGGAAGATACTCCATGGGCTGGTGGCCTAGCAAGATCATCGTTCTCTTGAACCTTGTCCAGATGATTGGATATGGCTTGATTGATTGCGTCGTTGGCGGACAGATCTTGTCGGCTGTCTCCCCCGGCGGCATGTCCGTGGCTGTTGGTAAGTATCCCGGGTATATCATGGAACAAGTATGGTACTAATGTGTATCCTATAGGCATCGTGATCGTCGCAGTCATCAGCTGGGTGCTGGCTACCTTCGGTATCCAAGTCTTCCATTACTATGAACGGTTAGTATGATAGTTCACCGTAATGAACAGTGAAAACTGACTAGCATCCTATCAGATTCGCCTTTTTGCCCCAAATTATCATAATCTTCATTCTATTCGGAGTATCATCCGCGAAATATGACTTATCATCGGCCTCTGTCGGTGATACTCGGACAGTTATTGGCAACAGGTAAAGTCCAAGCCCCGGCTTCGAGAATCCAAGCTCAAGTTTCCTAACCATGATCTCAGAATATCCTTCTTCTCCATCTGTCTCAGCGCCGCAGTCACATATTCCCCACTAGCAGCCGATTTCTTCGTCTACTACCCCGAAAACACCTCTCGGGTAAAAATCTTCTGCCTGTGTCTAGCAGGCCTCATGACCTCATTCACTCTGGCCCTAGTCTCCGGTGTGGGATTGGCCTCTGGCATCTCTACACACGCAGAATATGCCACCGCGTACGCGAAAGGCCAAGGCGCGCTCATCGTCGAAGGATTCGGCCCCCTACACGGATTCGGCAAATTCTGCTCCGTCGTCTGCGCCCTGGGCCTAATCGCCAACAATGTTGCTCCCACTTACTCCGCCGGCATTGACTTCCAGATGCTCGGCCGCTACGCGGAGGCAGTACCGCGCGTCATCTGGAACACCGTTGCCGTAGTCATCTACACCGTCTGCGCCCTCGTTGGCCGCAGCAACCTCTCCGAGATCTTCACCAACTTCCTCGCCTTGATGGGCTACTGGGTCGTCATGTGGTTCGCCATCATCCTCGAAGAGCGTTTCATCTTCCGCCTGCGCACGGGATACAACTGGGCGATCTGGCGAGACCCATCCAAGCTACCCCTCGGCATTGCCGCTCTGACTGCCTTCATCATTGGCTGGGTAGGCGCCGTTCTGTCTATGGCTCAGGTGTGGTACATCGGACCGATTGCGAAATTGGTCGGCGACTACGGTGCTGATGTAGGTTACGTCCCCTCCCATGTGTGTATGTATCTTACTAACTTGGCTCGCTAGATGGGGATTTACGTCGGGTTCTCTTGGACTGCGCTTTTCTACCCTCCTCTGAGATACATCGAGCTTCGCTTCATCGGCCGCTAGGCTTGATTTGTTATAGGCTGTGTCCGAGATGAGTGGTTTTGCTTCTCTTCTAGACTAGAGTTTACTCGGCTTCTCGTTGACTTTCTAGCGTCTACGCCCACTTCGTTTTGCTGGGCACGTCAGATCAAAAGTGATATATCATAATATAGGATTGGGTTTCTTCGGCATGCACGGCGACGATCTTTGTGAAGAAATTCTATAGAACACTCGGGTGTTGTGTTGATAATGTGTGTATATATCTTGTACATATCTGTGAAAAAAGCTTGATTGATTTCACCATCAATGTGGGTGGCACGAACATCGAAGAACTTCGACCCAGATTTACCAGAGAGACTCTATCTCATCGTACCTACAGGCATAATGCAATATAATATTAAGTCAAAAGCACCACCCCAACACTCTCATTTTCATCTACTAGAGCACTATTCTACAAAAGAGACAGAGGAGTCACGGAGACAGACCAGAGACAGACACACGCAAGATAATGTTCACAGTGTATTGGGATTCCAAGCAGAAACCAACTTCAAGGGAAACCGCCGCGCAAGCAGAAACGCGGTATTAAGGATTTACCGGTACCAGTACTCAGGCTTGACGTAGTCGGCGAAGGTCTTGGGCTCGACGTGAGGGGGGGGTGGTGGTGACCGTGGTCGTGGTCGTCTGAGAAGAAAAAAGTTAGCACAATCGCCTCATCAAAGACAAAATATATGGGTTAACATACGGGAGTGGGGGTCCTCCTCGGGTCCGATATAGTTCATCTTGACGACGTTGCCGCACTCGAGGCAGCGCTCGATGGGGCGCTCGCGGGAGACCTGAAAGATGCAATGTTAGTTTCTAGAACGGATATTTCACCCGGGGTTGGGTCGGGATGGTCATACGGTCAGCCAGTTAACCTGGTGGGAGTCTGCGGGGAAACCGGTGCAACCGGCGTACTGCTCATCACCGGCGCTGTTGACGATGATGGGGTCTTCGATGGAACCTATACGAATCCGCCAATTAGGTTAGTCTTGTGACTTCGTTTCAAAAGAATGATGCGACTTCGCCGGCATTTCGTCATTGATTTGGGCGCGACGATGGAACATTGGGATAAACATGTCGGGAATACATACCCTTGCGGGAGGCATCAAGGGGACGCATGTCGAAGATGTCAATGCCCTGCATCTTTCCGATGAGTTCCAGACGCTCGAGACCGGTGGCCTGGTCAAGATCGGTGGGAATGGTACCGGGCTTAGCACCCGGGGCGAAGAGGTCCTCCTCGGTCTTGATCTCTATATACCAGCGAAAAAGATAGGTTAGTATTGCGTTTTGCAAGTAGCCAATTCATATAAAATGACAAGCCCGGGCTTCTGGCTCGGAAAAAGTATCCACATGACCGACATCCGAGGTACCATGGCATTCAATTGAACGTATAGCCTCGAATAGACAATGCTGTGTAATTTTTCCGAGCTATAGAGGCCATTCAAGGAGCAATTGGCTGAAATGGGGCCGGGTAGAGCACTCACCCTCGAAGGTCAGGATCTTGCCCTCCTGCTTAGGAGCCCACTTCTTCTCATTGGCTGTGAAAAAAAGTTTCGTGTTAGCTGGTGATTATAGTAAATAATGCACATCTAGTGATTGATATAGTATAGAAGCCGCCCTTTGGGTCGGGGTGCGCAGGGATTGGAGCAGTTGTGCGAAGGTCGGATCAGGCCATTCGAGGAGTCACGTACAGCGAACGATAGAGGAAGAGAAGGGGCGCTGAGCGAGGGTAAGAGCGCGGGCAGGCGAGCGCCTTGCGAGGGCGGAGGCTGTACGTTGGAGGAACATTGTCCTGGATGTGGTAGGGTGGATGACGCGGGGCGTTTGAGGCAGGAGAGGGAGTTTGGAGGTTTGAGGTTGGGCGAGTTTGAAGCCGCTTTGGCCCGAGCGCCTGTGATTGGCTAGCAATTTCGTCCAATGGCACCACGAGCATTGATGAGTCAGCCCCGCTGATTGGCGGGAGCTTCGAAAACTTGGTACGGCGGGTCGCTCCTGCCAGAAGTGCAGGATACCCGTTTTGAGACAGTTAGGGCTTTTTGTATAGGGCACGTATATATCTTGAAGAGTAATCACTTAGGAGGAAGCTTGGGAATATCGGTCACAAGGTAATACACAGATTCTTCTATCCTCACAGAACAGTTATTCCAGTTCCAGCTCTGATTCAAGCTCGGCCGCTCTCAGCTTACATGCCGCCGCTGGTACACCAGGCCCAAGCTTCCGGGCAACATGGGCCCATTTGTCATTTTCATAGTCCTCCAGCGCCTTTTTCAATTTGCGATCCTATTTCAACACTTAACACAAACTCGGCTCAGTAGGGAGTGAAAGCATACCTTGTCATTATCCCAGACCACAGTCCGTTCCTTTAACTTGGTACAATACCGGACCTGCAATGTTTGTTGCTTCCTTCCTGGAAAGAAGCATTCGATCTGCTTCCAGGAAAAATTCCATCGCTCCTTCAGCTCTATCAACATGTCATCTTCCTTGTGGCCGAACCTGGTCTTTGCTATTTTTGGTGCAGGCCATGGCCTTGGTACACCTGGTAAGCTCATGAAGCTGAGGTCCATCTGCGACTGAGGTGGTTCTGTAGCTTCATGACCGTCGTTACCAGAGCTCATAGCCACCAATGCCTGTGATGGCATTCTATGGTGATGATGCTGTTGCAGCAGAGCACCCTGGCGGATGTAATCCGGGTTTGGGGTCTGGTGGGAAGAAGAAGGGTCGACATGCACTGGGTATATTAGGTCGGTTGATTCGCCTGATGGAGCCGACGAGTCTATGGACAGACCATGCAAGATAGGTCGATGCCCATAACTCTGATTGGTGTCTCGATTGACTTCTAGATCACTGTTCGTTCGCTGTCGCTTTCTCCTATCCTGAAGGGGGGCGAGTCCATAATTGTGTGTATCATAATGCGGAGCCATCTGGCGTGGCAGCAAACGATCTGTGATAAAAGTTGAGGGAGATGCAAAAGGAGGCTGTGTTGTATCGGAGTGGTAGCGAATATCAGTGGGCCTATCTTGGATGAGCAACTGAGCTGCGCCATAGGAAATTATATCCTCATGGTTCGCATCTTTACCACTGCCATGATGGGTGTAATTAACCATGAAGCCTCGATACGGGTCTGCTAGCGTTGCAGACATATGTGAATAATGCTAGGGCTGCAAGCCCTAGCGAGTAGTTTGGGAATCTGTTTGGGCGTGAATGATCCAAAGGCGTGGTTGTTTATCCCCCAAGGATTTTCCCCCTCGAGCTGTAGGCAAGCCAAAAAAAATAGAATAAAAAAAAAATAATCGCATAAGAGAATCCTGCAGAAATTAGCTTGCCTGTGAATATAGTTGCAACAAAGGAGAGAAAGATCTTAATGAAGTGACGTGCAGAAGCAGGGCTATTTTAGATCAAATTGCAGCCAGGACTTGCAGGAGAATTGGCCAGGCATAATGGGACAGAGAATGGAGAGTAACAAAAGGGATCAAGCAAGTAGGCTACGAGAAAACCCAAAAAAAGGAAGACATGGGCACGTCTATAACTACATTTAGAGAGTCCCCTATCCTAGACCTGTGCCGGTGACCAAGTTGGAGCCTTGGAGCGTGCGTTGCCGGGCTGTTTCCTCCAGTCTCCAATCAATTGGACCGGACTGCAAGCAAGAACCACTATGATTAACGATTCCGTGATGGGTAGGCTGGATTCCATCCTTCCGGTCTTGATGGGATAGGGGCTTTTTTTTCCCTTTTGCTTTCGCACAGACTCCTAACGTCGCGGAGAGGGATTTGGAACACGGTCGACGCGGGAGGTCCCTCAGAAGTATTGTTTACAATCCTCCTTTGAGTGGGGGTAAGCACCAGGCGCGGAACAAGGAGCCAGGGTCAAGTCCAGGGTCCGGACACAGCCAGAAAAGCAGACCCGACAGATACTTGAAGCCTGTCAGATTTGGCCCGGGGACGTGATAAAATAAGCGGCAGCTTATTGGGCGGGCAGATGTTCCATGCAACTATGCCGTCTTGCAAGGGCAGAGGATGGACATATCGCATCGGCTGATTGATACGGTCTAGGTTAGTCGCATGAGCAATGGGGAGTTATTTGTCCATTGCATCCGGGTGTCCTCGGAGCCAAGGCCCTGCGAGAGTCAATCACAGATGTCCGATAGACCCAGAACAGCAGGGGTTGAAACATAGCCTGAAAAGAAGATTGGCGTTTGGACTTGACAGCAGCGTTCATCTATCAGATTGGAGAAGAAAAGATACGTCCATGATCCGGGGCTATGCCAACCAGCTCATTGGAGGAGATGGGAGAAAGGGCCGAGTCACATCGACCTCTTCCGTCATCTTCCCAGCCTTTCTCTTTGTCGAATCGCAGGGGAGAGATGTGAGCCGGAATGACTACCGAACTGTGCTAGTTGCATGCGGGCCGTCATCTGTCATTGTCTGACCGTGTCGAAGAGCCTTCTTGATGCATAAGGAGCGACCTGTGAATGGTCGTTGATTTGCAATAGTTGCGCAGGGTGTCTGTTTGTTATTTTTTGTTATTTCCTTTTGGTTATCCCCCCTTCTCCCCTGATTCACCACTAGTCTACGGAGGGTACCCAACCCCGTCCAGTCGTCCACTGGTTATTTTTTCCGTGTTGATGCTGAGCGCCTTAGCTCAGGCTTCGGGCCTTCGCCCGAGTGGCTGAAGACGTTTACTGCTACTGGGCGTCTGCTCAGGCAGCCTTAAGTCGATCACATCGTGGCAATCTCCGGAAAGCAATTCCTCGTAAACGGGAAACAATGGTGTGGCTGCCATGTCAACTAGTGCCATCGATGCATTGCGAAGCCAACCGGATCCTCGTATAGTTACAGAGAAGAGAGGAGAAATGTAGCAAAAACCCTACAGAAATCACTCTGATGTCGAAGTGACACGGAATGTATTCGAAGGAAACTCGTAGTATACAAAAAAAATAATCCACACTGGCCTTTTTCTTCTTGCCTTGGTTCTCGCTGCAATACATGATTAAGTTGTCGTGATACAAGAACCCCAATGAAAAAAACAAGTAGAAAAAAAAGTAAAGAAACAGACGCTCGGGAAATGGAAAAAAAAGATTTTGCAACGCCTGACCAGCTGCACATGTGTTTACGCAAAGTTGTCAGCCCGATCAACCCAGATGTCTTCCAACTCAGCAAAGTTCTGGAAATGGAGCGGACGGTGTTGGTCATCGTAGAACTTGAGCGGGGTATCGATCTTGACGTAGATAGGTCTCTTCTCCACGCTACCGAACGAGCTGCCCATGAAGCTATAGTTCCAGACGTTATCCTCGGGAACAAGGAAATAGCCGCGGATCTTATCACTGAGAAGCAGCTGACACTTCTCACCCATGCTGGTGGAGAAGCCTTGAGGCTGATCCGAGGTTGTATCCTTGTTCTCGGCACCCCATTTGTATCCTGACGGCGTGAGACCCCAGGCAGCAAGGGAGACGGATCCAGGAGTGAAAGAGACAGTCATAGTCACGGTCTTCTTATCCCACGAAGGGTGAGCGTTCATAAGACGTGCGTGATGTGTGACATCGGCCGCGGACATGTACGGAGGCTCATTGCCAGAAACTGTGTGAATGACACCAAGTGGCTCCAGATGCTGAAGGTAGTCGTGCTGGGGTAATTGGTGTGGCAGCTGGACATCTCGGGTGTTGCCAACTTGGGGAATCATGACAATAGTGCGAACCTCCTTGACCTGGTCGTTGTCTGGTGGGGAGCTACCATAGATGTAGCCCGTAACCTGTACTCGGAGATCGGCGATGGTGATGAATCGCTTGAGCACGTTCTTAGGCATGATGTATGTGTAGCCTTCGTCCCGAATGTCATCGGAGGAAACATAGATGTTGTTGGATCTTGTCCGGAGGTTGGAGGTTGCGATTGCACGAGTACGCCATTCCGTCTTGGATGCGAATGATTGCTGTTCGTACTGAGACGTGGTGGTGACGATAATGTCCTCACCGCGAGCATTCTGAGTCTTGGTCGTCACGGCAGTGAGCTGCTTTTGCTCTTCTTGCTGTTTCTCAATCTCCGCTGCCTGCTGTCGCTGCAGAGAGGGTGCGCTAATCTCCATACCCAGGATAATATCACGTACTTCACTACTAGTCAAGCTCTGCACATTCACATTGTTCTTCTTGCCATAGTCGTTCAGGATCAAGTCGCGCAATTGCACTTCGACCTTGATCCAGTCCTCATCGGAAAGAGACGGCCAAATGTGGTGCTCTTGAGTGATGACGGTCTTATCGGGACGCAGAATAATCTTAGCCTTGTCGATGTTGACGTGAAGAGCTCGCAGAATGAGGATGAGACGAGAGAAGGCAGTGTACGGAGAGATGGACTTGAGCCACTCGTCATACAAGTTGAAGAGTACCATCTGAGGCTCGGTCGCACGAAGAATCATGTCGGCTAGTTTCTCGACCTTCATGGCAGCCTGGAATGGCAGCTGAAGCTCAGAGGCACGGATGGAAATGTTGGGGAAATCAAGAAGGTGGACCTCGAGAGGGTCAAGAAGACCCTTACGGGTAACAATGAGCTGCTTCGGTTGCTCCTCCACAGGAAGGGATCGGATGAGGGCTGCAACTTCTTCGGCTGTCTTCCACTTGGCCAACTGACCCAGACGCTTTTGGCCCGCCCAGACACTAGTGTGGATGATCTTCAAGAACAATTGTCCAGTTCGAGGGTTAAAGATGAAAATTGCACCGTTGATAGGCTTCGTAGTCAAATTACCCTCAAAGGTCTTGTGAATCGTGACACGGTAAACGTTAGTGTCATCAATGAAGAGCTGAATCTGCGGGCTGAAGAGCTCGGAGTAGTTCTGAGAGTTAAGGAACTCTTGGTTGCTCTCCGAGGCATACAACTGGAGACCCTTGCGGATACGCTCACGTAAGACATACAAGGCCGGGTTCGCCTTCATAATCTTAGCCATAGCCTGCTGAACGAGAGTCTTGAGACCTGGGAAGTATTGTCCGTAGGCAGAGAACAGGTTGTATGCAAGATCAACACCAATCATCAAACCTGTGGCGGAAGGATAGATACTCATGCTGTCCGTGGTGTAGTCAAGGTACTTGGCACGAACGTAGCGCTCAATATCGTGAGAATCATAATCACCATACCTAAGCTGAACGTCGATCCAGAACTTGTTTGTTGTAGTCGGCTCGTAGACGTCCTTGGTATCGAACACAAGCGAAGGCCGGGTGACATTCCATTTGTTGGTTGCGAAAAGGAGAATATCCGCACAAGAGCTGTTCATCTTGTAAGATTTACGCGGGTGAATAGTCTCCTTTTGAACAGCCTCGATGCCAAGCTGCTCCAGTTCCTGGTCCAAGACTTGACACAAATCCATGACCACAGATTCGTGAATCTTTTGCCACAAATGGGCACGGAAGATTTGAATGAGCGAGATTTTGAGGGTAGGAATCTTGCCGTGCAAGAAGATACCAGTCAGATCAAGCTGCACCTGGAAACCAACATAGACGTTGGCACGATTAATGGTTGGTGACCACCAAAGAGTGAATCGACGGTTGGGAATTTGGTTCAAACCGGACCGCTGAGCATTAGTGAGCTTCTTGAACTTCATACTCTCTTCGAAACCACTGTTGTGCAATACAAGGTGATCATAACGCAGGTAAAGTTGATCCTTGTCGACACGGAAACCAGCCCACTCTGTCTCCTCAAGTTCGAGGCTAATATCTTCGATCTCGAAAATATGTGTTTGAGGAACCAAGCGTTCATCACCTTTCTCAAGTCCAGGAGAACCGAAGGCACGGTACAAGCCTCTGTCCTCGGGGGAGAGGGCAGCAAACTCAGCAGCAGTCATTTCGACGGCTTGCTTGAACACCTTGTTGGCTCGATCGGAGGCGGCAGTCTCCTCCCGATGGAGTACCAAGATATGATTTGGTGTCACCACAAGGTCTTCCTTTTCGCCACCGATCTTGATGCGGTACAAGCGCTCACTACCACTGACGATGTTGAACGCACGGCGAGGCTCTCCGTCGGGGCCAAGAAGTTGGTCACCTTCGCGCACGTCCTCGACATTGATCTCGGTGCCGTCGTATCGCAAAAGTCGGGTTCCCTTGGCGAGACAAGCTTTCTCCCAGAAGAGACCTTCCCAAGACGGGAAAGCAGTTGCCTTGAACAAGGTATGTTCAAGAATTGTTTCGACACCACCCAAAGCTTGGATGACATCAGTACGGTAGGCGTTGAGGTTCCAGAGTTTACCGTCGTGTCGCTGACTTGTCCACCAGAATGGATTGCTCTTCATCAGCTGATACTGTTTGAACTCAGCACGAAGTCGGAAACCCTTGTCGAAGCTGAGGGTGCTGCGATCCTTCTGGAAGAGTGTATTGATACGAGGCAGACCACGGTCCCAGCTGTCTTCCAGATCCTCCAACGTCAAGCGGCGGTTCTGCTGCTGAGCTTCCATGCGCTTCTGCGAATATTCCATCCAAACACGCTGAGAATCAATGAACTCGGCCTCCCAGGGAATAATGTAGCGGAAGATATTTGGAATCAAGGTTTCTTCATCATGAGACATACCCGCTCGGAAGTGAGTGATGCCAGTGTCAGTCTGCTTGGACCAGCGCTTATCACTGGTAGGGATAAGGATGTGAGATCCTGAGATCATACCAAGACCTCCAAGCTCCTTGGGCGTGTAGAAAACAGCAGGAGGGAAGCGAGATGGCATCTTGGAGTTGAGGCCAATCTTGACTCGAGTTTGGATCTTCGTTTCACACTTCACGATGGTATCAAGGAGATTGACGGTGGAGACGGCAGCCTCACGGTAGTAAGTGAAAAGTGCGATCAGGGCAGTGTTCCACTTGTTTGCAATCTTGGTGAAGGTGGTGGAACCAGAGGACATAAGAATTTGACGGATACGGTTGTTGAACTTTTGAACATCCTCTTCGGTGACTTGAAGGAAGGCATGAGCCGTACGTTCTTTGGTAGAGTTGTCAACCAGAGACCAGACACTGTCCTTGACAGAAAACTCCTCGTTCATATTCCGCATCTTGGGAAGGATGCGAACTTCAAATCCATTCATTGAGAACAGCAAGTTGGGGTTGTCCTTGCTGTACACGCTAGCGAATGTGTCATCCCAATCAATAGTCGTGATGGATCTTGGAAGGCGGTTCTTCATATCCCAGAAGACGGCACGACCAAGGTTGACATCGTGACGCATCAAGCGCATACGACAGTCGCGAGGCCAGCACTTCTTATTTTTGTAGCCAATAACATTCTCGAAGTTAGGATCAGGATTCTCGGTCAAGAACCGTTGAATCAAATCACGAGAATCATCGGCCTGGAATCGGAAGAATACCCAGATCTTGTCAACGTAACGGGTGTAAAGACGAATAGGGTGTCTTGTCTCAGTGGCACGGTCTCTGAACTGCAAGAAATCGTTGGGGCTTCCGGGAGGACCGGCCATTTCACTAGCTCTCTGCAGACCAAGGAGCAACAGGTCGATCATCAATCCGTAGAACTGGAACACGAAGCCCGAGAACTGGAGACCGCGAATCATTCCATAGCTGTTAGTGTGATTCATGTCCTTGTAGCTGAGCTGAACGTTGTTTTTCGAGGTGATGTAATCAGCCAGATTATGATCCATGATCAAACGAAGCAGTCGGTTCAGCAAAGTGAGATCAATCTTCTCATAGACCTTGGATAGTTCGGTCTCGATCATCACGTTTGTCTCGCCCTCGGCAGTCTCCCAGACATTGGACAGGTTGTTAATGCCCTGGGTCCACTTGTAGGTGAGCAAAGGAGGAACTTCAGAGTCGGAGGGCTTGATCCAAGCGGGGAAAAGATGGCGCTGCTCCGCTTGGTACCAGAGGTATTGATCCAAGTAAGCATCGGTGATCTTCTCGATGGGTTCAATATCATACACGGGGTTGATGTTGTTATAGTTATCGTTCATGTCAATCTTCACTTCCTTGAAAGCTCTCTGTGTGAGGAGGAATCGCTTGATTCTTGCCAATGTTGTGCCAGGAGAATCGTAGGCCTGTTCTATGAGAGCCAATTCCTCTCGCTGAGTTTGGTTCAATCGTCCCTTGACAGAGTAGGACTCGCGCAGCCGCTCGAGCGCAAGAATCAAAATCTTCGTATCGTGCTTATAGGACACACTAGGGAAGGGAATTGGAGAGAACTTGCGAGACTCCAACCAATGAACCATAGTGGTGTAGATTGCAACAGCTTCCTCGGACGAAACATAAGGTCCATCCTTCAGATAATTGTGTTGGCGTTCTTGCTCGGACTTGAGCCAGAGACGCGTGAGTCGACCAAGATTCTTCTTTGCAACAGTCTTGTCAACTGTGGCACCGCGACGAATTCTCTCCCGGTTGTAATGGGCGACAGAGATCCACCAGTCGGCCTTGCTCTTGACGTAACGAAGAATGATGTTCTCAATTGGTGCAGGCAGCCCGGGAACCTTCCAGGGGATGTTACTCTTCCAGCATCTCCAGGCCTCTGACAAATGTTGCAAGACTACGTTGACCTTGTTCTGCTTGATACCCTCAGGCATCATGTCCATCAGATCAGCCATGACAGACGCACGCAACTCGAGATCGAAGTGAGATTCCACACGTTGCTTAGTGACCGTCTTGGCCACGCCCTTGCTGTGACGGCCCTCAAATTGACGAGAGAGCAAGTTTCCAAGCCAACGTTCAAGCAAGGGAATGATACCACGCATGAAGAATAGCCAGACTCGCCAAGCGGGAGCCCAGAAACCACAACCGGGTCCCTTACCAACGGGACCGGAGTTGAACCGGTAGTAAATCAAGTGCTTTAGATCTTTGCAGGAACGAATCTGGTGCATAAGCTTATACTTGTACCGATACATGCCGGTAAGTTGACCAACGTGATTAAAAGCATAAAGAATACCATCGGCGAGTTGGAAAGCATCAATGTTGCCCAGACGGTATTGCACCTGGGCATCAACAATGAGCTTAGTCAAACGAAGAATTTCACGCATCAAGTGGAATGCATTTCCGAAACGAGACTTTTTACGCTCCTTAGTGGTCAGTGTCTTGACAGGTTTCAGGTTGAAGTTATAATCAAGATGGAGATAAGTCAAGTTCTTGCGGTGAATCAGCAAATTAAGCATGTTGAAGCCCTGGCGACAAACTTGCAAACCAGCCTCAACCCAGTCAATGGAAGTTTGCTGGAAGAATTTTGTCGATTTGAGAGTTTTCATGAGGTTCTGTTTGCTCTGAGCCTTGGGTGTACTCTTGTGCAATTCGTTAAGCACATAGGTCTTCAGCATTTTCTGATAGGAAACTCGGACTTTGACGGGCTGACCCTGTGGACAATGCTCCAAATACCACTGCTTGACTAGCGGCACATCCTGTGCACGAACCATCTTGCCAGATCTCTTATCGAATGGGTGAGGGGCCCACCACAAGGCAATGGCGGAAGCGGTATCGGCTGTGTAGAGCTCCTCGTTCTCAAAGAAGGGTTCGAATTCACCTGGAAGCTCGAATTCGTCGTCTTCATTATTTCCAGGTCCAAAGATCTCATCTTCGTGACTGATGGTGTTATTTTTTGACACGACGGCGCGGGGGGTGATTGGGTTGATGGTAGGGTCGAAATGGAAAGCGGGTAGGTTGGGGTCCTCATGCCGAACATAGACGGTCTGGGGGTGAGAGTACCAGGCAACCTTGACGCTTCGGGGGAGGGTATTGTACAGGAAAGGGAAAGTGACCCGGTACTCGGTTCGAATTGGGGCACGGAAAATGATACGGTCGATGGCATTGAACTCGCTGAAGTCTTCGTCATTGGGGTCGATATCTTTGTACAAAGGTTCAAAACGAGGGCCACCAGGAATGGCAACGTTGAGTGCCTTGGCTGTGAAGAAGCTGTTCAAGTCGAACATGTGATAGTAATTTTGGTCAACGACGTCACTCAAAATTTGGTGGCTGAGACGGTGAAGAGTAGCCATCTGGGGTAGAGACAAGTTCCAATTCTTATAGCTTGGTCCATTGACATGGGGAGTATCAAGAAGGGGGCGGTGATCGTAGAACCAGTCATAGACTGCCGAATCTTCGATATCATCCAATTCCATTTGAATGGGCTCCAACGGCTCGACATCTTCAATGTTTTCCGACCACGAGAGAGGCGGCTCCTCGTCGTCGAATGGGGGAAACGCATGCGCTTGAAATGTCTTCGGTCACTCTTCTCTCGACGCATGGACATCCACATCGTTGCCCATTGGGCGTGGAAGACGGGCTCGATGACACGCGGCGTTTCATTCACTAAAGTCAGGCAGCCATTGACGTGATAAAGCACCTTAACTTCTCTTGCGGACTCCCAAGGCATTGGCATGTTTTCCAATAGCTTGAGGACAGCATGGGGCATGAACTTGAGCGCGCCGAGGTAGCTCCGCTTCTCGTTGGTGAATTTCTTCTGGGAGACATCGCCGATGTCTCGCACGATCTTTCGTAGGTGCTCTGGAGGCATATCGGCCTTTTGTGTCTCGACGAATCCTGCTTTGCGCTTCTCTCCAAATCGATTGCGTTGCGTGCGCAACCATTCATTCTTCTTTTGCGCAAATTTTGCGACATTTGGGTCGGCCGGCGGCTGGTAACCTGGCGGCGGCGGCGCCAGCGGCATCGAAGGAGGAGCTGCGCCCCATCCTGGAGGGGGAGGAGGGGGAGGAGGCAATGATGCCATGATGTTGATGGATGGATGGAAAGCCCACCCTCCCTCGTAGAGCTTGTGTTGGTTCCAAGTCGCGTCAAGCTACGTTGGAGGTCATGTGTAGCAAGATCTGCAGCTTGAAAAAGTAATATGACAAATAGAAAAAGCTTAGGTGATGGGGAAATGAGGATTGAAGATGCAAACGCGACAAAGATAGAGATCCACGATCCCCTACGCGATGTGACTATCTCTGCTCCCTGTCTCCGTCGAACTTTGAGAAGTGGCGGCTCCGAACGGGGCTAGTCCGCATTCGGTCTAGCGCAACCTCGCCAAATCTGCGCTAGCGTCGGCTGAAGCAGAAACCCACACAAACCCATCTCGACATATTTCACTCTGCTTCACGACAACTCCGACAACTGCCGCCCTTGACCAGTTCAAGTACAGTCAAGATGACCAACAACAGATTGCAATACGTGAGTTTTTGGAGAAACCCCCGATTTTAAAATTCCCTGATCTGACTCTTTTGTGATTTTCAGCGCCGCCGGAACCCGTACGTCTGAGAATCCCCTCCAAAATACCAATCCCACGCACCAGCACGATATCTACGAAGATTCTTGTTACCGATGGGCAGTTTCCCTGGTCGAACGGATTATTGACAGATTTTCTTTCGCTCAATAGGTACAACACGCGGTCCAACAAGGTTCGCATCATCAAGACCCCCGGCGGTGAGCTCCGTTACCTTCACCTGAAGAAGAAGGGTACTGCTCCCAAGTGCGGTGACTGCGGCATCAAGCTCCCCGGTGTGAGTACTCCCTAGGCATCTCTCAAGCATTTTTTTGAACGGGTTGTGTGGGATGTGTGCGATTGCGGGTGGGCCAACCGAACGACTTCAAGAAAACTCTGTCTGGTTATACGACAGTGCGAACGAATGGCCGACCGAACCGCTGCAATCTCCATACGACCATCTCGCCGAATTATTGAAGTCAGGTCGACTGACAATTTTGATTTCCATAGATCCCTGCCCTCCGTCCCCGCGAGTACGCCCAGATCTCTCGCCCCAAGAAGAATGTCAGCCGTGCCTACGGTGGCTCTCGCTGCGCTGGCTGCGTCAAGGACCGCATTGTCCGTGCCTTCCTGATTGAGGAGCAGAAGATCGTCAAGAAGGTCCTCAAGGAGTCCCAGCAGAAGGCCGCCAAGCGCTAAGCGTGCTTTTTGTCGGTGTTGTCCTTTTACGGTGGAGCGAATGTCATGGGAAAAACGGCTGGGAATGGTTCTCTTAAAAGCTTCAAGATGAACAGGAACAGCTAGCCTGCGAGTCAAAAAAAAAGGCTCGCGGCTAAGCAAATGAATCAATTTCATTTACCTTCACGAGAGATTCCCTGATATGTCGAATCAAGTTGTGTGAACTTATTTTCGTGGTATCTTGAACTTCCTTCCGAACGGAAGACTCGTATTTGCCTGCCCATGAACAACATTCGGCGCACTCAATCTCGTTTAATTGGGATGACGCATTCGGGTAAGTTCATGAGTCTGGGCAGGATTCAGCCTGGGCAATGCCTTCCAGACCGTGAGATGCCTCTGTTCGATCTGCAGGTGTAGACGCCTGCAGGCTCAAACAAAACGTAATCGCCGGGTAGAACAATGGTGTTTGGTGTGCTGTTCACCGTAGTCCAGTATAGTCTGTCAGATTTGAAACCTCGGATGTATGCCTAGATGACTTCTCCACGTCTCGACCTCATGGATCTTTGTGATGATTCCCCCATTGCATATATCTACGCGTGATTGGAACCCCACATAGTCTGATTGATTGATCTAGGCCTTGACCTTAACAAGGGGTGAAGATTCTCACTGTGACAATACTATATTGCCAAGCCACGTCAACTGGCGTCACCATGTAGACGCCATCCTACTAGGTACCAACTTGGCGTCTAGAACGGCGGTTCCCACAGTATGTGAAAACAAGAAGTATGCATCTAGCTGTAGATCCATGTCTTTGCTATCAGCTCTATGAAACACTTCTATGATGCCCAATAACTCAGCTACTTTCTACCCTTCGGTGTACCAAATCAGTATGCATAAAACCTACACCCTTTTTTAGCAGGAATCCGATATCCTTTCTCGCTAAGAAGACATCTTCGTCAAAGCCCAAGGCTTGGATTTGAATTGTCCGCGAACCAAGATTGTTTCTTTTCGAAAGACTTACTACCCTCTTCACTCTGCCCTTTCAACCTCGGACTCTCGCCATCCTTACTGCGCCTAACACGAACATGCAAATCACATACACTTCCATCACACCGGTAACCTATTACTGACAGATTCGAAAGCCACCATCTACCCAGATATGTCCGAAGCTTTTAGCGGGAGTCAGCTGCGCATGTAATCCTTGTGCTATGAATTGGTCAACATCAAGCCAGCAAAGCATGGGTCGCTAAGCGGCTGCAGATCGCCTCGTAACCTCGGAAGTTCGGTAGAAAGCGGCAGCATATTTTACTATTTTAATGCGATCATGGGGATCTTTGCCCGCGGAGTTAGGGTATTCGGGAGATTTGGATCTCGGCCAGCCATGCGTTAGGTTTACGGTTAAACGACACCGCTCTTCACAGAGGCTATTAAAGTCCTCGGTGTAGGCTATCTTTTCTAGTAGCACCTATCATCATATTGACGATTTAGCTCCTAATTTGGCAAGATTCCCGTGGTGTGACTATCGATGTGATATATTTTGATCGTCGTTAGGGCTTAATATATTTACGACCGACGGAAGCCGCAACCGACAGAAGTAAATCAAGTCAAACATACATGTATATATATTTTATCTTCTAATCTATCGAATCCATCGGAAATCGATGGCAAAAAAAAAAAAGAAAAAAATACGATCTAATGACTTGTTCATTCTAAGTTTCTAAAACTTCGTGAACTGCCATTTCAGGAAGGAGCTGTATGCTGCGGGCACTTTGTGCCTTGACCTTCTCGCAGATGAGATTGGTTGTAGATACACTAAGTCAACGGTTGACTTCCAGTCATGCCTATCATTTTACATATTCTAGCACATGCCAATGGTGTCTACCGGACTTTAAGGTTAAACCGCACGGGAACTATTGCATTCGCTAATCCATACATGTGGTGAACTCGGATGTTCTTTGTGAGTGCTACCAGTTAACAAACGACACGAGTTGACGTGTGACAAACACAATCGCTCTCCTTCTCAAAGCAGACATATCCCTGTCCCACTCAGTCTAAACTAGCTCAAGTCTACTCCATACGGCGGAAAAAGAGGGCCACTACTCTGGACGGAATGTGCCTTGATGTCGCTAAGTACCAATGAAGATCAATCCTCACACTTCCATTTCTTTGGGTGTACATATGTACATGTAATCAGGTACTATGTAGCTGCCTACATCATGTAGGACTGTGCGTAACACGTACACTCCAGCTCTGGAGAATCCTGAAATTGTATAGTACTGACGATGTACGTGGCGGCCGCTATTCTTTTTCGACGCCGGAAATTCGAAGCGGCCAATTGGAAGTTTGCCGCCCGATCTCAATGACATCTCTTTTTCTTTTTCCAGTAGCAAAAAAAAAAAGCAAAGAGATGAAGGGCTTTTTGCAGCTCCCTCCATCATGGGACCCGGGGATACGGATGGCAACAGACAATGGGATCTGCCCAAGAAGCGGTCAGGCGATTGTTCTGTGTCGCATTGCCGTCTGAGGCTGGACATTCGAGGCTTAGCATCTTCCAGAGAGAGCTCGAGTGTATGCACAGTTGACAGCTGTCAAGCCGGGCCGTTCCATCCCATAAAAGCATAACGGACGAGGTTCGTGCGGTTTCGGACATAGCAAAAGAAAAGTCCGATTAGTAAAAGAGAGAGGCAATTCGTGACTGTTACAATGCCATACACAGCAGCCCCCTAACGGCTTGAAGCGACTACGGTGCAAAGAGAACAGACTCCCGGAGCTTATAGGTCCGCGAATTCCGGAATCCAACAGGCTGGGCATCCTATCGGCTACAGAGCACATCTCAAGTGACACTCCCGCCATCCGCCTGGATTGATGTCATGCAGATTAAAAAATAGGAAGATCGCCTGCCTTTTCCCCCTGGTTGCCACTCGAACAAAAGTTGATAGATCGAAATCGATCTAGGGTGAACCTGGTTTGGGATTGAGTGCCTGCGACACGATCTTTTGGGCGTGGAACGGTGGGGCGGTTCCTGGACAGCGCTCGTTCTCACAATCGAGGCTATTGATGTTGGCTGCTTATACCCTGCATGGGAGAGATCCAGATGGCCCTACCGCACCCCCTTTACAAAGATCGGTGGGGGAGTAGAGATCTGTGCTCAGGATTTGCAGTAAGGACATGCACGTGAGAGATGGGTATGCACGTCAAAATAAAAAAGCAAAAACCGAAAAGAGAGTCCCAAAATAAGGAAAGAGAAGACGATATCCATAGTGCGTCTCCGAGGTGCATTGGCCCCTTCACAAGGGGATCACCATAGTATTCACGTACCAGCTCGGCTTTTTTGGACAAAGAAAGCTAATAAGGTTACTATTTTATTAGCCACAGTGCGAAATGGACAATGGTTGGTTGGACGGCCTACTCCACCTTCAAGATGGATTTGCTTACTCCGTCTTCCGTCCTCCGTACGGCGAAGTGTCCCCAATTAAAGCTGCAGATGTCACAAATGGACATCATGGCCAATCTGGGACGGAGAAGGCCAAAGCGGATTTTAAGTGAGCTAATAGACTACCTATTACACACTAAAATTAGTTGTATCCAGGGATGTTACTCCGTATGACATGGAGTACGGGACATGAAAGAGTCCGAGCTCGAGCCCGAGTTAGGGTTAGATCAAGAACATCACGATTTCAGTAGTCCTCGGCTCCAACCTCCAAGACAATCCGAGAAGGATACGGAATACGAAGCTCTTACAACATACACAATTAATTCCTTAAATTAATATCGGCACGGCCCGGCGGGGGTGCTCCGAAACTCACTTCCCTCCCGACAAATTTGGTGTTGGGGATACCAGTGCAGATGTCACCCGTATAATAGCGTACAGATACAGCCTGTCAAACCGGTGAGTATCATATGTAGTACTCCATAAACCAACGAGCATGGAGACTACTGTGCCACACGGGACGCAAGTAGGCCAATGGCGGTATCTTTCCGAGTACGGAGTACCCATGCATCATATAGAATCCCACCCCGGGGAATAGAAACGACGGACGCACCTACCATCCACAAACCCGCAAACTAGTGTTGATCTATATCAATCTACTGTACATGGAAGGGGCTATATTGTCTCATAGGCTGTCTGCCTCGTATCATTCCAGGAGACACATTAGTCCGTAAGCGACCTTGCTAATGCCGTTCCTATCACACAAGCCTGTGGCTATGGCAATGCGCACCCGAAGCTTCATGATTCGTGGGTGGACGTGTGGGGGACATATTGCGGGACCCAAGCTGATCTTTCAGAGTTGTACGGAGTACTCCGTACGGAGATCCTCCATTATCTCTGTGTTTCAATTTGAATATGCATTGTTTCAGGGGCCTCGACAGGGGTACTTTACTTGGAAAAATATTCCAGTAGATGATAAAACCTCTGCTAACCATCAGGTCGGTTATTCATGGGACTCCCAATAAGGGCGGGAAATTGTAGGGAGGCAAGATGATCATGAGGCAAAGGCAGCATGCAGAAGCTGATGCCAATGCTGCCAATACTGCCAATACTGCCAAGAAGGTCCGCGTCATTTCAGCACCATGGCCTCCTGCAGCAGTTGACAGGGCGATGGAGCGGGGTGGTGGGGTTGCTCGACCGGTTAAGTAGGGACAGCACCCGGGTGTACTCCGTAAGGAGAGGCTAAAGAGGACTAGCATGAACAGGGGCGGCAAATTCGTTCCTTTGTTAGCCCCTGGATATTGGCATCCCACGGTGAATGGGGGCTTTCCCACAATCTATGAAAGCCTGCAGGGTGTTAACTCACAGTGCTCCCCTTGGCGATGGTAGAAGACCATTCATATTACTTGAGACATCGGTGTCCTGTGCAAGCACATGAGACACAGTCGGGAGCACAGCGTATAGTCTACACATACTATGTAGCGTCACGAGTACTTCGAATACATGGCCATCGAGCAGTCATAGTTCCACCTGATATGGAAGCTTAGGAAGTAGAGACCTGAAGATTTTCTTTTCTTGGCATTGTTCATGCCCAACATCATTTCCAGCAAATGAAGACATGTGGGACCCTAAGAGAAGCGAGACCACACGGCCTTGATATCACAAGTCACGCGCCATTGAATATCCTTAGCCTGACGAACATGACAGAGAACGATGATCGACATAAGTGTGCGCTCATGGTTGATAGATCTCGATAAGATCCACAGATTCCAAGCCCGCAGATGTCACTTATGATACAGTTGAAGAAGAAAACATGCATAGCCCATGACAGGGTGACCAAGATAGCAGAAAAAGCAACGCAAAATCAAGACAAGGCAAGGAAGCAGATAGATCGCCTTCATAGGGCCCCATGGAACGCCATAGCACGTTCCCAAACCAAATAGTGGATATGCAACCCGAAAACGCCATGTCCCTCTAGTGTACTCAATGACCAAGATAGTCTCAGCTCGGAAATAGGCCAGAAAATGAGCCAAAAATGAAGACGCAAAGAATGAACTAAAAAACATGTAAAAACTATTTACTCCGTATGCACGTCAGCCCTTCTAGGCTTTCTTTCCTAAAGTCTGGTTTCATCACATCCTCCACTCCCTCCCCTCCTTTTTCGGTTTTCTTTTCTTTTTATCTGTTTTTTCTCTTTTTCTTTTCTCTTTTCTCGCTGGTTGGATCTTATCATCTCTCATTGCATGTTGATCATCGGCCAGTGAATTCAGGTGAGCTGTGGACCCTGTTGGGGCCCTGCACCTCTCGCATACCACTCTTCGCCATTGCCCATGGCAAATGTTGGTCGTTGATCCGCAGCATCAAGAAAGGTGTCACCCGGTGGTAACATGGTGCATCCAACGATATCCCCCATGGGGCGTTGCAGGTATTGGTACATGCTTGGAAGGCCCATAGAACCGAAGTGATCGATAGCGGGATTGAGGCCTGTCATTTGCTGTTGATGATGTGCGTCGGTCCGGTCGCTATGAAGACTGTTCGTGTGACGTGGTTTGACAACTCTAGTGGCATGGCCCCCCTTAGCCCCTGATGGCTGACTTTGAGGGGTACGGCTTCTTGAATTCATTGCCTTCCTCTGGTTTTGGAGCTTGCGGTACCGTGTGGTGGATTGGATATGGCCGTTTCGGATTGCTTCAGGCGTCAACCTCCAGAAGTTGACCGTTTTCCTACCTGGTTCAACCTCTTCTTTCACTGCCTCAAAGCCCTAAACTGAGGGTAAGTATCGATGTTGAATCTAGCAGAGCCTGCAGTGACGCTAAAACAGAGAGTCACGATGCAACAAAAAGTCACGATGGAACAAGAAGGGATGATGGCACAAAAGAGGACGAGTGAACTAGAAATTAGAGTTGTGAGAAGTGAGACAAACGACTTACTGCATTCATTGACAAGTTATGTCGGATACTGTTCTGCCAACCCTTTGCTTTAGGATCGGCACCCTTATCTGTATTTGCCTCAAACCAAGAGTAGATACCCTGCAGGGGGAGCTTGTTCCCCGGGGCAGCCTTCAAAGCATCGTAGATGAGAGAAGAGTAAGGCTGGTTGCTAGAACGGTCCTCTTTGTGGTCACCAGTGCTGGAACGTGGCGATGGTCGATCTGTGGTATGGATTGTCATTGCTGGGCTCGCATCGGCGAACGATTGTGGAGAATGGTAAGAGGAGACCTCAGATAGTGGCGAGGGCGGGGAGTTCTGAGGTGGCTGAAGAGGATTCAAGTGGACAGGGTAACTGTACTGCTGGTCCTTGAAGGCATGGGAGGAGTCCAAAAGAGCCCATTCAGAGGGAGCATCTACGGCCAGGGGGGCCAATGCCTCCATGGATGTGCCAGCCATGGGATGAGTGACATATGAGCGGTACAGATCCTGATATCCATTTGGATCTTCCATTGGCTCTTGAGGCAACGGACCCAAGCCGTATGGCTCACCGTACTCGACGCACTGGCGAGATGAGTAGACCGGCTGAGATGCCCAAGCCGCCCAATCACGAAAACTGAATGGACTGGGAGGCGAGCTCAGCGCAATGTGGGAGGTGTCAGGTTGCGACAGGAGACCAAGCTTGGAGTCTTCCTGGTCAGTTGAGATCTGCACCGCATCGAAATGCTGGGAAGAGAGAGAGTAACTCATGGTCACGTCCAGCCGTAATGATAACTGGGCTGAATAATAATGATTCAAGATAAAGATGAGGATGAGAGAGATGGAAAGGAGAAGCCTTGGAAGAGGAAGAGGAAGAAGAAGAGAGAGGGGGGAGAGAGAGGGGACGGAGAGAAGAGGGAGCAAGAGACATAGGACATAAGAAATAAAGTGCTCTCAAAGGACAGACGTATTCCTATAAACCACCTGGATCCCAATTGTGCTCAGGATTTGGAGCTGTACACTTCCCAGATCTCCCCTCTGCCAACACACACTACACATGTCCATCTCCTTTTTTTTAGCCCCCTGCAAATAGCCTCAGAGATGCATTTCAGTCCAAACAAAAGACGGTCTGGGCCAAAGCCTTGAATTTTTTCATGGTATTATATGAAAAAACAAGAGATACCCTAGTACTTCGTTCTACGTACTGCGGGAAACGCCTCCCTAGATGCCCAAGTCGTGGAACGGAGATTCATAGCACAAACAATGGCCAATGACCACCCAGAGGAGTCAAGGTGGCTGAATCTGGTACTACAGGCGACTAAAACGAATGGATCTCAGGAGCCGATGGGCCTCTTAGCCGGATGGGGGCGATCAAATGGGAACCTGCAGGGGAACAAGTCGCCATTCATCGCTTCATGAGCCTTCTGGAAGTCAACAGGTATTCAAAAAAAAAGAAAAAACAGGAAAGTCCCCGCTCGGTGCTGAGATTTGTCTAGTCCAGACATTTGACGTTTCTTTTTCCAGAGACTGCATCCAGCCAGCCGGAAGTCGTGAATCGTCCTGCACTCTGCAAGCCGGGCAAGTGTCACCAAAAGCACCCTCAACGTCAACCGTTTCGCGAGACCCCGGTAACCGACAAAAAAAAAACAAATAAAAAAAGGGGACTTGCGAGCCTCAATACGCTAGTCGTCAAGGGAGGCGAGGGGAAATATTCTAACTCCGGGGAATTCATCAGAGTGGGCAAAGAAGCGTTGTTAAATGAAAGGTGGAAGTTGGAACAAGCATTTTGATATCCCCAGATATCGAGTCAGGCTTATTCGATTGCCAAAAAAAACCCTTGAAGGAGGGAAATGTTTCCAGCCCAATCATCCCGAGTTTGGCTGGAGTCGCTGGAAAATACACCCTGAAAATCTCCCTGCATACACTACACAATCCACCTCCATCCCGATATGACGCCCATGTGGAAATCGTCGGTTGCGCATGTGTTACTTTCGGTAATAGATCTGAGACAGGTTAGCATGGTCGTTGTCTACCGGAATAAAAAGACTTACTCGTTTGAACTGGAAATGAAGTTGAAGGATTCCCTAACTACGTCAGTTGAGCAACAGGGGATCATCGGGTAGCACAACATACCTTGTCAAATGTACTCTTGAAGCCCCTCTCTCGTTTGGCACTATAATCCCATTCTTTGTCGACAATTCGGAAAGCAAGGTCTTCGTACGGCGGTCCAGCCACAAACCGAATGAGACAGGTGTCTTCCTCGCCCGCTTCGGCGGATGACTCGCCACGCTTGCGACCGTTCTCTCGCTCAATGCGGTACGTAGGAGCTTTGGTCTTGTCGATCAAGTCGGGGTAGAAGATGTTAAATTTGTAACCTTGTACAACCTTGGGTGGCGGGTTGTCATGGTCATAGTGCGTTTGGTTGTATTTATTCCATTCGTACCCCATTTGAACTCGATTGAAGTACCGTGGCTTTCGAGGCCGATGCTTGCCGGCCCATTGAGGCTGCGAGCCCGTGTTCACAGCCTCTTCACCGGTGAAGATTTCCTCGTTCTCACTGACACCCTTGGCCAGCTCCCTTTCATATAGCGCCTTGGTCGCTTGTGAGAAGTCTTCGTTCGGGATAGTGGAGAACCGTGTGGATACAGAGGCCGCGGGGGCATTGCTGGATGGCTGCCTCGACACAACCGCGGAGGATCTTTCAGCAGCTCGCTGTCGTAGTGGTACAAAGCCCATACGGATGATTTTCTGCCGTTCTCGTGCCTGTGTATTTGGTCAGCATCTGGCCCAGGATGCGAATAAACGAAGCAAGGGAAGTTGAAACCCTACCACTTGGTTAAGGAATGCAGATTCGTCCATGATTTCAAGACCTTTGTCCTCCGGGAGAACCTGAAGCAGTGGCTCTGGGTCAAGGCCTTCAAATTCAGCAGGATTCTCTTCTGCAATGCCGATTGGAGCGAGAGGTGCTAGTTTTTCCCGAATTGATTCAGCTTCCACTCTTTGCTGTTTCCTTAAATCCCGAACACGCTCATCGATAATGGCCTGGTAGACTTTCTTCAGACTAGCCCTGGCCTTCCAAACCGACAGGCTGCGCAGCAGCTCTTCCCAGTAGTCTGTGTCAATCGGCTCGTTCGAGTTCAGCTTTCGTTTCACTTGTACTTCAAGATTTTGGAGTTGTTCGTAAGTCTTCGGACTGAGCAATTTGTTGATATCGGCAGCTACAGAGTTCAACACGCGACCCTCTGGAGTAGCAGTCTTTTGACGATCTCGACAGATAATTTTCATGGTCTGTAGGATGAACGAGGGTCAACACAGGTGTACGGCAGATAGCGAGGAGCGAGAAACTTACCTGCCAAAAATCACGGTTCTTCGCATTCGTCTCCAGATTCAAAAATGTATCAATATCCTTCTCCAAATCCCGTAGTTGGCTTTGCGATAGTCCCTCGAATACCCCGTCTGGGTCCACAACGTCTAGATCGGAGTCTGCAATCTCATCATCCAAGGGATCGCGCGTAGGATCAATGACACGGAGAGTAACTGTAAGCCAGTCGATAGGCTTTGCACGCCCTTCTTTGACCCGAATCTCTGCCTTCTTTTTGGCTTGTTTCAACACGAACACATCCTCCTGCGCGACCCACTCGCGCTCTTGCTGGTCTTCCTGGATCAGGTTGAGCCGGACTTGATCGCGCATATTGCGAGGCTGTTGTGAAGGGCCCGATCTTTGATTGTTCCATTCCCGATCCGAGTCTTTTCGATCGCGCCAATCTCTGTCGTCTCGACGGGGTTGACGCCAGGGTGGCGATCGCGACCGGCTGCGCTTTTGGTCTGATCGGTCCGGGAATCGCGCCGACATATTAGGAGGAGGAGGAGCGAATTTCTAGTTTGCGAAAGGATCAAGAATTAAAACAAGAGCTCAAATCCGGGCGTCACTAGGGTGTTGAAACGCGAAGTCAAGAAGTCCGGGAGATCAGCGGGAAAGTCAAGCGGGCGGCAAACCTTCTCTCCGCAGCCCAGGCAGCTATAACAAGTTCACAACCTCCCAACTTCACATTGTAAACAGTACACACAGTCATGCCTTCACGATGGCACCGACTACAGGTATCCCAGAAGGGATTGCCTCCTTTACTTTTCCAGTATACCTGGACCCGACAAGGCTATGAATTCCACATAACAGATCTCACCTACATCTGGTCAGAGCGACTATCCAATATAGCGATCACCAGGAGAGCAGAGGAAGATGCCACAACAATCGATCCCGGAGAGGATCCAGAACAACTCGAGGTTCTCCTAGAAAAAATTGGAGAAGCTCTACAGAAAGGGAAAGAATGCGCAATCCTCAGCAGTGGAACACAACTCGACGCCCTTGAAATTACAACGACAACCAAGTTACCCGCTCCGTTGAAGCCTCTAAAATGGTCTTTGAAGTTATCAAAAGAGTCCCCTTCATCTTTGACAAGTCAGCTACTACTTCCGCTGCTGAAAGAGGAGGCGCAATGGGAATCCCGCCAACGTTCCCTCTTGCACCAACTCAAACAGAAAGACTATGTACTTGGCAAGTTGTTTGATAAAATGGAAACACTCAGTGTTGAGCTAAGCTCCGTGTTTCCTAGCGCTGCCGGATCGCGCACGTCTCGCAAGGGCATCACACGCTCAGAGGCTGCTAGGTTCGTCAAGGGCATTGCCCCGTTCGAAGAACAGACCTGGCTCGCTGAAGTAGGATCATCAGCTGAAGCAGGGCTGGCCACCAATCTACTTGAAGAGATATCGGAATCCGATGATTCTCCTAAACTAGATACCTTGGCCCAACCGCAAGGTGAATGGTGGCATCAACTCGAGAAGCCTGAAATTGGTGCTAGAGAAGCTTCCCCCATCGAGCAGGAAGTTCATAGCTATGAAGCAGATAAGAAGAAAACGGTTGCACCCAGACATATTGATACTGAATGGGACATGGACGGGGACGCGACGGCAAGCAGCGACGACGAGTTTCAGGTATGCTACGCCTTTCTTTTGACCGCATTGTTTAACCCGATTATCTAGCGACAAGATACCCCTCCTAGACTGAAAAAACAAATCAGAGACACGATACCCTCACCCAAGCAGAAACCCAGAAAGAAGAGCCCGTCTCCAGTCTTGCCTTCAGAAGCAGACGAAGCCACAGCATCAGACTCCGACTCCGAGCCTGAACCGGCACCGCGTCAAAGACGTATTCCTAGTGTTTCAAAATCACCACCATCCTCTCCTCCAGTGAAAGCTCGAGAAGCACCTACAAGGCACAAGGGTGGATTAGGCATGATAGGCGGTAAGAAGAAGCAAGCAAAAGAACCCTCGCCTATCCCAGAACCTCCTCCTCCTCCCGCGCAAGCTCAAGCGGCCCCTCAAAGGCCAAAGGGCGGATTGGGTAAGATTGGCGGCAAGGATAAGAAAGAACCAGAGCCTCAGCCTCAACCCCAACCCTCACCCTCCCCACCCACTTCTCCAGCCCCTGTTCGAGAGGCACCTAAAAGGCCCAAAGGTGGATTGGGCACGATAGGGGGCAAGAAAAAGCAAACAAAAGAGCCCTCGCCGACGCCAGAACCTTCCCCTCCAGCGCACGCTGACAACTCCCCCAAGCGCCAAGAATCTCCAAAGTCCGAGGAGGATGAACGTGTCACCAGTGATTCTGTTCTTCCTACACCATCGGCACCAGCAGCGCCTAAAGCTAAACGGTCCGGGAAACTTGGCATGATAGGCGGCAAAGCCAAAGCCAAAGCCCCGGAACCGGCTCAGGACAAGACTCCGCTGCCTACATCTGATACGGTGGTCATGTCACCAGGGAGACCTTCGCCTGCCAAACCGGAGACTGAACGGCCAACTACAAAAAAGGAAGAGTCCCCGTTACCCCTACCAAAAAGAGAGACAGCTTCACCTGCGGAGCCTGAGACTGAAGAACAGCGGGCGGATAGGAAGCGCGAGGAACTCAAGCGGTCACTCGAAGCTAAGAGCAAGGCTCCTGCAAAGAAGAAGCGGAGGTTTTAGGCCAGGCGAGTTGGTCTTTGTACATGCTCGATAGCAGGTGTTCTTGGTCATTTGACGGGGATTACTACGTGTATCCATATGATGCATTCTAGTCTGCCTAGGGAGGAATTCATCACGTGTATCTCATCAAACCAATATATTGATGCATTGAAAGTATCGCGAAAGGGGAATCAGATTGAAACAGAAGATCACAAACGCCGGGTAAAAATCACGCGCTAATAAAATACACAGTGAGGCTTAATGATAATTCAAGCTCAGTCTCTTGACGGGGGAGCCGTCCGAGCGGACTCTTGCTCATTCGGGGTAACAAGTCGCACCCTCTTAGGCGACATAGCGCCGGGCGAAACCGGTACCGGGGAGGAAGTATTGGTGACCGGACCAGCACCACTGCCACCGGTGGCGGCGGCAACTCCAGCAATACCCAGCATGCCGCGGACCTTTTCGACTGCCTTGCTTTCACCCTTAGTCCAGGGATCACGCTTGACGAGGCCGACGCCGGCAGATCGACTAGTGGAATCGCGGCGCTTGGATTCCGCTTGCAGGGCTTGGCGGTTCAATTCGCGACGTGGACCGGGCCCGCAGTCGTGTAAGCAGCCGGCTGTAGCACAACCACCTTCGCTGGTTGAGATATCGCCTAGCCAGGTTGTGATGCAGGCTAGATGGCCTCCATGGCCGCAGCCTTGGCACCAGGTCCAGAGGGCAGAGCCCTTAGGCCGAGGTACCGTGAAAGGCTCGAGGTTCTTGATTTCTGAGTCTGGAACGGGCTCAGTAGGAACCGAAGACTGCGTCGAAGAGTTGGAACTGGTTTCGGAGTTTGAATCAGGAGTCTCGTCTAGATGCTGCTCTGAAACCCATTCTGCGGGTGGCTCAAGGCTCATGCAAATGGAGCATGGCGCTTGAGGTGTATTGCACCGATGGCACCGAGTATTATCTTGAGTGGAATTTTCGAAGGGTCGTTGGCAGGTATGGCAATAGACATTGATAAACGAATCTGTCTGAGCATAGTCGTAAACGGCGGGATAATTTGATACACAAGACAGGCGCAACTCTGCCGCCTCCAGATCCATCGAGTGTCGAATGAGATGCTCATTGTAAGTTTTGAACACCATTTCACATTCCTCATATGGTAGAATTTGTTCACAATCTCGGAAAAGAATGTGAAGCTTCTGAAGAAGGTGTGCTGCGGTCTGAATATCGACCGAGCTACTGCTGCTATGATAGTATCGGACTGCTTCTTTCAAGATCGCTTCGATGCCCCATGGCTTCAAGTCTGTTCCATCCGGTGTGAGGGGAATTTGGACTCGTGAGATCCCTTGTATTGATGAACAAGGCATAGCACCTAGCCAAGGCATGTTGTCTAATTTTGCAAGTTCTTGAAGAGGAGTTGATTCTGTTATCAAGGTTGGAGGGCTGGATGGGCGCTCCAGATGGAGCCGATCCGTCCCTGAAACAACTTGGTCAAACAACTCATCTTCCGATTCCTCGCGTGTAGAGGCTAGAACCGATCCTCTCCTCAATGTCCCCGAGAGTCGATTGGCAGATTGTCCAGGGTCCAAAAATTGAGACTCGAGTTGCCCGTTGGACGAGTATGACGCGCCGATAGACTTAGAGGGATGCGAACTGTCAGATGTAGAAAACATGGGGAAACTCTCTGAGGAGTTTTGGTAATGCTCGGAACGAGGAGGCCGGTTAGATTCCATTGGCGATTCGAGATTCAAGGGCTTCTTGTGATATTGCTTGTAGTCACGAATCGCTGCACGTTTATCCTCCAGCTTTTGGTCATAGTCATCTTCGGAATTTTCTGGAGGAAAGTCCGGGTGACCACGACGGCGCCAATCTGCTTGGCCGGCAATTGCCCGAGGCGCAGACCTTTGCTCACTATCCAAGTCTTCTTGTCTTGGGTCCCGTAAATGACCTAATGAATGAGTATCATCAATGGAAGAATGTCGCCGTGGCAAGGGTATATGTCGGGTACCCGAGTCCGATATTCCCCAACCGTTGTGGTCACTCAAGACCGAAGGCGGGAGTGGGTCAAGGTCGATCATACCATCACTCAACGAAGGAATTTGAGAGTCGGTGCTCGACCACGAGTCCTTGGGGGAATCAGGCAATGGCCGCGCAAGAGGAGTGGGCATGTTAGACGTGCTATCAGCCTCGGGAACCGCCTCCATGACACTTTTGAACAATCGGCTTTTGATTTTATGACCATCATCGCGCGATTTGCCGATTAAGCTACCATCCTTGGATAATCTGTCTTTGCCTCTTGGCGGATGATCTCTAGCTCTACGCTCAAGTTCTTGAAGAATGGCGAATTTGACTATTCTCCAGGTTTGTGCTAACTGGGCCTGAGAAACATCATCTGCACATTCAGCATTGTGATCCAGTGACTGAACCAAAGAGTTCAAAACTTCGGCCTGTGTTTTATGTTCGTGGTGCTCATCGATCAACGGTGTGTAATGGCTGGCCAAATACCGAAAGACTGCCGGGTCGTTCGTGGCGCCTGGAATACTTGCAATGGTTCCAACCTGACTAGGCATCGGGGTTGCAATCTTGGCCAATGCTTGTTCTAGAGGAAGTACCGGCGTAAGATCCACTGTTTTCGGTGGGGTGCTGCCCAGCGACTTCGAGGGTCGAATCCCGGCCGATTTGGTAGGCTGGTTCCGAAGGGAGGTAGCCAAAGCCGCTTCATCGAAGATATCATCTGTCGGACTTCGGCTCAACGATTGCTCGCCCAAGCTATCCTCGTCCTCTTCGGGGAGTAGAAGTTCAGAGGCATTGACTCCCAGCGGGCGTCGCATGGGCCGTTGTTGACCGAAGGCAACAAACTCGCCATTGGGGCTCCAGGCCACTGAGCACATCGGACGGCGATTGACCACCGCAGGTGCATACCGAACATCAGTCTGCGTGAAAGCTCCTGCTTCGCCGACCGTCCATAAGAGATCCTTGGAGCGCCAGAGCAGATCGGATGCAGGAGTATCGTACCGATCGAACTCGCGAAATGGAACATGCGGGCGGCGGAGATCCCAGAGATGGATGCGCGGGTCTTCTTTGTCGTAGGAAGTGACAATTTGAGATGATTGCCATTCTCCTGACGCAGGCGACTCGCCAACCCAAGAAGGGGGCCGCCAGCGCACATTCGTGACTGCCTGGGGAGTTCGGAACTGGAAGGCGGGTTTCTGCCGTCGTTCTGCAGACGAAGAAAAGTCCCACACCTTTACCTGGCGGTCTGTGCCACCGCTGACAATGTGTTTCCCGTCTGGATGCCAGTCAACTGCGAAACATGGGCGATCATGAGCGGCGATTCTCATCAACGGCGCATTGACCTTTCGATAATCCCACATCTGTATGGCGCCGCTGTCCGAAGCGGTCGCAAACACAACCCCATCGCTGGGAGACCACCGAACGTCCCGGATAGCATCGCTGTTGCCCTGATACGAATGTTTGCTACCGCACGTGGAAGTTCCCCGATTCGCGGAGGCAGACCGCAAGTCCCACATCCGGATTGTGCCATCTTGACTGCCAGACAGAAGCCAGGAAGGGCGATGGGGGTTGAAGGCAAGCCTATGAACTTGGCGGTTGTGGCCTTGGAAACGACACAATTGAAGGCCGGGCCGCTGTAGGTCGTAAACAACAATTCGACCATTCGCGACTGCAGTTGCGATTGTTCGGTCATGGTTGCCATGTGACCATTTCACATCCTTCACATTTAATTGGTCCTTGTGTGGCATCGAAACTCCCGCATCATGGTGGGTGGACGCATAGCTGACAACCGCATTGCGAATATTAAATTCCTCCGACGAGCGATTCGGCGAGACCTGGATGGTTTTGAGAATCTCCTTGCCTGCGATCACCGCATGCGTCCCCTCGGGCGAGATGTCTAGCGCCGAGATTGCGATACCGGTTTTGTGGGTGACAGTTTGCGGCTCTCCTGGTCTGTACAGAATTTTAGTTGGGTTCTGATGACATCAAACCGCGGGGTGGCCATTGCATGATAACAAAGGAGATGAGAGAGCGGTGTGAAAAGGGCTACAGCACTTACAGCGATTTGGATCTGATCGACCGGGGACCATCCGCACGACTACTTTGAGGACTGGGTGGCCTCGAGCCCGAGAAGAAGGGTTGAGCGAATCTAGCAAGGGCATTGGCAGCGCGGTTCGAATACTTCTGTGGCGGAGGCGGAGGGGGAGGAGGGACCGGGGAGCGCGAACCTGAGAGGTCCGACATTGTTCACAGCCAGATCTCCATTCTGGCACACGACCAGTAACCGAATTGGAGGGAAAGAGAGTTGAAGATCGTCCAAATGCAAGCGGTGAGGGAGGAGATCCCTTAGGCGACTACGGAGTACAGTTATACCCGAACCTGCCTACATCGCATACCTCATATAAGGGAGGTCTCTTGCGTTTCTAAATCACCTTATCTCAACTCCTACCTAGTTATTTCTTCCAAATTCATAACATTAGGAAATCTTTGTACGCTTTCAAAATCATTTTGCTTGAGATGTTCCCCAATTTTCCTATCTTTGATAGTGGGCACTTGGACCAATGTCTCTCTGGATTAGGCGGAAATTTCAATCAATAGATTCACTTGCATTGAAAGATCCTAATCGCGCTTAATATATTCTTGCCCTCGCAGTCTCCACAGCATTGCATACGGACGTTGTGTTGTCCACTCCGTACATGTAGGTACATAAGTACATATGCACCTAGAACGAATTTCCAGGGTTGGAAGAAAGTGATGTGCCGATCTCGATGTTTAATACATACGGGGAGTATCTGTATCTATTCTGATTTTCAATTGCTTATTACACTCGTATTTGCAGAATGAAATATCTATATGTCCGGGAATATACAAAGCTGTAGTCGATTGTTCCATTTACCTCCCTACGTACGGAGGACACGCAGTTGGATGTACTGTAGACCCTCATTACTTAACTGAAGGAGTCTCTGTTTTTATTTTTTTGGTTTGCCTTAAGATTTTCTCCTTTTCTCATCCAAAATCCTTCATACTGTTCCAAGGTTGGTACATGGACCTACGTCATCGTCGCACTATATGTGGAGATCACTGGCATACTCCGTACTCCGTACATACATGTAGTGTTGCATAGAAGTTTCGAAAACATCCAAGATTATGGAATAGAAGGGTTCTATGATACTACCTCTTATTCTAAACTCATATGCACCATTGATATTCATGCATTATTACGTGCCGTGGGTAAGGTCCGTATCGAAATGTCGCTATATACGTGTCTAGGCACCCGACGCACATAATAAGCACAAGTGATAATGAAGTTATCGTTTCCGTGAACATAAAGTGCATATGGTGTCTGTCGCCCCGAATTAGTTTATATCCCCTGCTTGAGCCCAACTGAACGTCGAAAAAGTAAAATAGTTCAAGGCTATATTTCGTTGACTAGCTCCAAGCTTCGGACGCTGGATCACTAGCAAGCAAGCTTTACAGAAGATATCGGAGAAAAGTCACATTGCCAATCTTGAAGAAATTCTGCCAGTCGCAATCAGATCACATGTCCTCCCTGAGCGAACAGACACTTTGATCCTTCATGGTTGCAAGTTAGTAACGAGCTCTCTTTCGGGGCGACGTTGCCGGATCGTCCACAAGAGGAGAACCTTGGAAAGCAGACTAGTAGAATGATTACCATAGATGATGGCCGATCGACTAGATGACCTCGGGAGAACCCTAGATAGCCATTGCCTCGCAGCATGTTGTATGTTATGTCCAATCTGCATGTTCTCCAAGATTGGCAGACTATGCCTGCATTGCAGCCAAGTTCCAACCTGCCCTTCCACTAGAGGGAACCCTATCTGACTTGTCCTAGTTGGCGCATGGGAGAATCTTATCAAAGAGGCCGCCTATTCCTCCCCTAGTTGTCCTCATCAATGCCCTCTACCTCAATAGCTCCCTAGTTTTCGAGCTTGAACCCCTCGAGACAACAAGCAGCGTTCACGATGATAATTTGCATTGCGAACGAACAAGCTGCCGGGGCTTCCAGTACCGCTCAAGGGCGGAGACTTGGTATATTCTTCCCGATGACTCAGGATGTGGCGTCCCCAGCTGGCATCGGGCAAATATAATGGAATGATATTGATGCATATCTGTGGAAACGGGCAGGTGACTTCGAATCCATTGTTTGCGTCGTACGGAACCATACGGAGATACGCGTATTTTCAATCTCCCTTTCCTTGGGGCCCGAACACATGTTAAGAGCGGTCTAGACGACAACACATGAGAGAGATCGAATTGGAATGTGATCTTACCAGTAATTTCTCCGAGGGGGAACGTGTCCAAAGACCAAAGTACTATGTTGTAGGAACGAAGACGATTCCGGTCTTACCGTGACCGGGTTGGGAAAACACATGGCGATCGAAGTAGACTATGGATAGGACACTATTTGGTGGCCAAATCCATACTGCGCCTCCGAAGTGGCACCGGCGAGTGACTAAAACCCCGAGGAAAGAGGCAAAAAAAATGAGACATTCAGCTAATCAGATATATCCGAGCGCAACCAATCCAAGCCCGAGTCACACATCCTGTACGGAGTAGAGAAGATCCCAATCTAGATTCATATCTGTCGTTTTCTATATAAATGACCTACCTCAGACGATCCGGTCAATTTTCCCTTTTTTTTTCTGTTTTCCTTGGCAACCGGTGAAGTCATCATACGCGTGGATTGTTCTCGATCTATTGATCGACGATCTTCTCTCCCCTGTTTCTCCAGGACGATTGGAACTTCGACCATCGAACGGGCTCTCTAAGTGATCGAGGGTTTAGCACGGGAGACAAACAACGTCCCAACACCGAATCGGGAGTAGAGAACCCCCCAAATCAGACAGTCTCTTGGGAGTTGAGAGTGTCCAGCTTGTTCCGACGGTGTGGATACCCTTTTTAGCTGCAGCACTGCCTGCAATCCACACACCGTCATTCCTCTATATTTATTCTTATTTCCCCCTTCATTTTCCTTGGAGATCCAAAGATTACCTATCTCTGGTTTCTCTGCTTCTTTTCTTCCGAGTCCCGAAAAAGAGACCACTTAAAGGGGGGAACATACAAAGTAGGGGGAGAAAAAAAAAGGAATCACATTGTATATTTTTGAAGTGTTTTTTTTTTTTTTTTTTCCTATTTCTTTCCTTTCGAGAACTCCTTTCCATATTTGCTTCTGCTTTGCATCTCCATAATTTACATTTCTTTTATTTTTCCTAAAGCTTCGATCCACGTGGAAACCTGTTGAGGTGGTTGCTCCCCGCGTCATCTTCTCCCATTCCTCGCGTCGATCCTTCGCCGTACCCGTCGTCCAGTCCTTTCCGATCCGAACCCGGCAACCTCCTCCCTTTCCTATTCTTTCGGGGAGGTGTCATGGACTTTGCTTGAAACCCACTCATTTCTGGGATATTTTGTGGGCAATGGATCCCCACGCAGCCCTTGAGCTGCTGGAGTATTTGCGCAGTGGCTATCCAGTCTTTCTGCTAATCCTCTTTGTCGTGGCCTTCGTTGCCAACACCACTGTCACTGCGAAGAACGCCAGCAAACATGAATCTCAATCCCTCGGTCCCGGAGGACGCCCACTCCCTCAGCGGCTACGAACGGTGCCTGCCTACCACACGCCTCGGGAGTTCTCGCGTAATGTCAAACATGTTTTCAATTGGCTCTCCGTCGCCGTTCTCTTGACGTTCATTGCCGATGCAACTATCTATATCGTCCATGTGATGCTGGCCAGGTCAGAGAATTGGTGGCGAGGACAATCCTTTGTGGTACGTTCTATTCGGGTAGCTTAAGGGGTCAACCCGTTGACACCATCGCAGATCTACGTCGTCGGCTCGTTTTTTGTCTATGCAGTGCTACTTATGGCAATGCTAGATACCTCTCCCTCACCCACTCTAGCCCAATTCGTCTGTTGGTCCGTTGCCGTCCCCATCGAAATGGTCATTCTTAGCACCTCCCTTTCCATATACACCTCCGCTCACCATGAGCCCATTGTTGGGAACCCGGAGGGAGGTCGGGTCCGCAGGAGCATCACATTCTGGGAGTGTCTGGAAGTGGGGTCGAACAGTATCCGCATCCTCATTCTGTTTGCCCTGGTTCTGCTCTATGTCATTCAATCACTGAGCATGAAGAGCCAAGAGAAGGCAAGCAAACGAGTCAATGGCGCCACAGAGACCACAGGCCTTCTAGATCCCGCTGGCGCAGAAAATGGCAATGGTCATGCTCATGCAAATGGAAATGGAAATGGAAATGGAACAGCGAATGGCCATTCGTATGGTTCAACGAATGGAACCGCTCGTCCCCAGCCCTCTAAGCCTACGGACCCGTGGGTGCGTCCTACAACAATTCCTTCCACTAGCTGGTGGGAGTATTTGAGCGGGTACTCGCTATTCTTCCCATACCTGTGGCCCTCTAAGTCCCGCCGCTTACAACTAGTCGTTACGTTTTGTTTTGGGCTCCTCATGTGTCAGCGAGTCGTCAACGTCTTGGTACCGTACCAGATCGGCCTTATTACGGGTTCCCTGACCAAGGGCCAGGAAGAGGGCGGGGAGTTCGAAGTACCCTGGATTCAAATTTGTCTGTATGTGGTCTACCGATGGCTGCAGGGGAACCAGGGCTTGCTCAGCTCTCTTCGCTCCAGTCTCTGGATTCCCGTGAGCCAGTATTCTTACATGGAACTTTCCACCGCCGCTTTCGAGCATGTGCATGGTCTCAGCTTGGACTTCCATCTTGGTAAAAAGACCGGCGAAGTCCTGTCTGCCCTGAGCAAGGGTAGCTCGATCAATACGTTCCTTGAACAGGTGACCTTCCAGGTGGTGCCGATGCTTGTCGATCTTATCATTGCAATCGTGTACTTCTTGGTTGCATTCGATGTGTACTATGCGCTGGCTGTCGGTATCTCCACATTTGGTTATCTCTATGTCACCATCCGCATGGCCCAGTGGAGAGCAGAGATCAGAAGACAAATGGTCAATGCCTCGCGACAAGAAGACGCCGTCAAGTAAGTCAGACTCGGAGCTAAAGGCATATAAATAGATGTATTCAAAACTGACTTGCAATTCTAACAGGAATGATTCTATGGTCTCATACGAAACCGTGAAATACTTCAACGCCGAACAGTACGAGTTCAACAGGTACCGGGGCGCTGTGGCTGACTTCCAAAAAGCCGAATACCACGTGCTCTTTTCTCTTACTTTGCTGAACACCTGCCAAAACACCGTGTTCATGCTGGGATTATTGGTCATGTGCTTCATCTGTGCATACCAAGTTGCAATCGGCCAGCGCCCTGTGGGCAAGTTTGTCTCTTTATTGGCCTACATGGTTCAACTTCAGGGCCCACTCAATTTCTTTGGCACCTTCTATCGGTCCATTCAATCTGCATTGATTAATGCTGAACGCCTGCTCGAATTGTTCCGTGAGCAGCCAACCGTGATTGATAGCCCCCGGGCTACTCCGTTGGCAGTGTGCAGGGGCGATATCAAGTTCGAGGATGTTGAGTTTGCCTACGATGCGCGAAAGCCTGCGTTGAACGGCCTTACCTTCCACTGCGAGCCAGGAACCACGACAGCCTTGGTTGGCGAGTCGGGCGGGGGCAAGTCCACCGTTTTCCGCCTCTTGTTCAGATTCTATAATGCCGAAAATGGCCGCATTTGTATCGACGGACAAGATGTGCAGGACATCACGATTGATTCACTCCGCCAGAATATTGGCGTGGTGCCTCAGGATACTGTGCTCTTCAACGAGACGTTGATGTACAATCTGAAATATGCCAACCAGAACGCTTCCGATGAAGAGGTTTTCGAAGCTTGTCGCGCCGCCAGCATTCATGATAAGATCATGAACTTCCCTGACGGCTATAACACCAAGGTTGGGGAGCGTGGCCTACGGCTTAGCGGCGGCGAGAAGCAACGTGTGGCGATTGCTCGCACCATCATTAAAAACCCTCGTGTCATTCTTCTAGATGAGGCAACCGCAGCTCTAGATACAGATACAGAGGAGCATATTCAGAGGGCACTTTCCACCCTTTCCAAAGGTCGCACCATGCTGGTAATCGCTCATCGTCTCAGCACCATTACTACCGCTGACCGCATCTTGGTCCTGTCTGAAGGTCAAGTGGCGGAAAGCGGCACCCATGAAGAGCTTCTAGCAATGAAGGGTCGCTATGCAAGCATGTGGCGGAAGCAGATCCGTGCACAAAAGGCCGCGCAAGAGCAAGAGCGACTCCGTGCCGCAACCACCAGCGATGACAGCTCGAGCCGTGATGACAGCTCGAGCCAATCGGATGAAGACCGCAAAGGCGTTCCTTGCCGGGCCAGCTGAGCAGCGATACCTGAACCGCTAAATCTCCTAAGAGCATGAAATAGCTCTTGTTCTACTTTTCAACATGTGCATATGCTTTTCTATATCCTTTTTGCAAGAAAAGTTCCCGGAGGCAGTAATCATCGGAGGAAGCATGAAATTGGGGTTGATTCATCATCTCGACAGATGACTCTACTCATTTTTCGGTTCGTTCGTTTTTCTTTTCCAAGCATCGTGTTCTCATTTCTCAGATTTTGTTGTTGGCGTTTTGGGTCTACGACGCGTACGATGTTATCGTCTTTCCTCTTGTCTTTGTTTCATATGAACCCAGGCGCAGAGGGTCAGGATTGGGACTCCGCAAAATCAAAATAGATTAATTGCTAGGCTCAATATTAATATAAGATCAGTTCGATTAGCGTGCACCATATCTACCTTTTTGCTATATTGCACATCTCCAAGGTTCTACTTAGGTACTGACTAGGCCAAGTTATTAATTGAAGTGCATGACACGTAATCTTTTGTACTTCCTATATATGTGTACTTAGCTCCCTATAATTAATTAAATATAGTATGGGTAAGTGCGTGCTAGTACATAAACTCGCAAGTTAGTGTGCGTTACCAGGCTTTGGTGCCACTAGCTCTCATCGCCAAGACCCCGGACCGGAAAGCTTTCCTTCACCTAATGTTCACGACCGAGACTCTCCACCATCTGAACCTCTGCATAAAACGAGACAAATAACTTGGCCAACCCGTTGATCAATATCGCATCCATGCAGTCACCATCCCCACAGCTTCTGCGAGCTCTGCGCACCTCGCTAGTGCACACTCATCGCACCTCGAACTTGACTCGATCCTTCCCAATCCCATCGATTTCGTGTCCCATCTCAAGCTGTAGCACACCAATCCCTTCAACACACCGCAACTATAGCTCTATCCGGCCAACCCGCATGATCCCGCGCTCACATGCGCACAAGCCTGTCAGCCACGACCGTGGACCAGCGTCCAAAGAAGACACGCAAACGAACTTCGATGCACTGAACGTATTGGGGAACATCCCTGCGCCCACGACGGCTATTGACGCATGTCTTGATTCCGGATTTCATCTTAACAACGGCGTCAAGGTCACCAACGGCGATGGATTGTTGCTTGTCGGTGGCGAGGCGTTTGCGTGGCGGCCTTGGAAGGCATTTGAGGGTGCGGAGAATGATCGTGTCGCTAAGGATGCTATGCTCAATGCTAAGGGTCAGTTCGAGCTGGACGAATCGGTTTGGGGGTTGTTGAATCTTGTCTGGCCTAAGCCTGGTACGTTATACTCTTGGATGTTTGTCGGCTGCGTGCTATTGTCCGCGGATATCATCGCAGGATAAGCTTTTCAATTTGCTTACAGTTTCCCTTTCACAGATATGCTTATTCTTGGCCTTGGTGGCTCGATGTTCCCGCTTTCGCCTGAAACTAAGCGTCATATCAACTCTCTGGGAATTCGGGTTGATATCCTTGATACTCGAAATGCGGCCGCGCAGTTTAACTTGCTTGCTACGGAGCGGGGTGTTACTGAAATCGCTGCTGCAATGATACCTATTGGATGGAAGGCTAGACCTCTCTAGGCTCTCGGCGGTTTCTGAGGCTGCCTTGAACATTTATGTATGATATAGATACTAGGTATTTTTCGAGCATACGTCCGCCAAAAGTAAAATCAACTCTTCTCCTCGTGATCACGTTGTACAAAAAGAATGCTTCTTTGCTACATGGAGTTCCATGTGTACCCGTGATGCAGGAACGTGATATAGCATACATAATTCGAATGTATCATGTGAGACCGGCTATCTTATCCTTATCGCATCTCCGCCTCCAGGTCCCAGGGTCCACTTGGACCAACGCAACCTTGGAAGCAATCGAAGCCCTTGACATCTTAAACCCCTACTCTTGACTTCTCTTCCAACATTTGGTTCATTCTATTTGATCACTAAAGCCGTTTCTGCCTTGACACGCAGCCATGGCGCGGGAAGAGTCCCACCTGGCTCCGCGTCCGTCCTACGACGATGGCTCATCGACCCAAAACGACGAAGACTACGCCTTGTTGACCGGCGAGCGATCGACTCGTCGGCACGATGGACGGATCCGGACTTCCTGGAGGGAAATTGGAGTGTTTGCTTGGGCTCTTGTTGCAACGGTTTTGGTAATTGTGCTGGCTGTGATCTATCCACACAAGCCAGCGGAATCTCACAACCATTATTCGTCCAACACAACCTGGGGTCCTGGAGGCAAGCCAACCGGGAAGAGAAATTTGATTTTCATGGTTTCTGATGGCATGGGACCTACCAGTCTCTCCCTAACTCGAAGCTATCGGCAATACAAGGACGACCTACCGCTTGGCGACATTCTGGTTTTGGATAAACACCACATTGGAACTTCCCGCACTCGATCAAGCTCTAGCTTAGTGACAGACTCTGCAGCTGGAGCAACGGCTTTCTCCTGTGGCCGTAAGAGCTACAACTCTGCTATCTCGGTGCTCCCTGACCACTCGCCTTGCGGAACTGTCCTTGAGGCTGCTGCGTTGGCGGGCTATAAGACAGGTCTGGTTGTCACCACTCGCCTGACGGATGCGACACCAGCATGCTTTGCGGCACATGCCAATCTGCGAAACTACGAAGATCTGATTGCGGCGCAAGAAGTTGGAGAACATCCGCTCGGTCGGGTAGTGGATCTTCTGCTTGGCGGTGGACGGTGCCATTTCTTGCCTAACTCCCAGGAAGGCAGCTGCCGTGGCGATGATCATGATCTAGTCAAGGTTGCTGCTGATAATGGTTTCGGTTATATTGATGACCGCGCGGGCTTCGATAGCCTCAAGGGCGGCGATAATGTCAGTCTGCCCCTGCTGGGTCTCTTCGCGAATAGGGATATTCCTTTTGAGATCGATCGCCGTACTCAAAATGAGACATATCCCTCTTTGGAGGAAATGACTCGCACTGCTTTGAAGGCTCTGAGCAAGGCCACCGAGGATAGCGAGCAAGGATTCTTCGTCCTGATTGAGGGCTCCCGCATCGATCATGCCGGCCATAGCAATGATCCTGCCGCTCAAGTGCATGAGGTTTTGGCTTATGACAGGGCCTTTGCAGCCGCACTCGAGTTCCTGGAGAATGATTCTACCCCTGGTGTGATCGTCAGCACATCCGACCACGAAACCGGTGGTCTCTCTGCGGCACGACAGCTGCACAAGAGCTACCCCGAATATTTATGGCTTCCAGAAGTTCTGGACAAGGCTAGCCATTCTGGCGAATATCTTGCCGTCCAACTGGAGGAGTATCTCTCTGGCTCAGGCAAAGACGACAAGGATTCGGCCAAACAGGCTTGGATTCGGGAAAACCTTCTTGAGAATGGGCTTGGTATCGAGGATGCTACAGATGCCGAAGTAGACGCCTTGCTCCACCCAGACCCCCAGATCACTACAGAACACGTGTTTACAGATATTATCAGTCGCCGAGCCCAGATTGGCTGGAGCACTCATGGACATTCCGGTAAGATGTCCCCTCGCAGTGGCCTAGCGTATTAGGTGCTAACTTTGTCATAGCTGTCGACGTCAACATCTATGCGTCGTCTTCCAGGGACGCTTGGCCGTTGGCTGGCAATCATGAGAATACCGAGGTGGGAGAGTTCCTCGCAGACTATCTCGACCTCAATGTCGACAATGTCACCAAGTTGCTCCAGGATACCAAGTCTGGAATCTTGCAATCATATGACTGGATGGGTGATCGTCTCGGTATGACTTTCCATACGGACGGACTGGATGGATACCACGGAGACTTCAAGAAGCGATCTACCGATGACTGTGGATGTGGTGCTGCCCACTAGGTGACGATCACCACTTGGGTGTATATATGTGCCTACCTAGTTTGGGATTTTCTAAGTCTGCTATACTCGTACATCGGGCGTATGTGTGAATATTTTCGGGATTTTATCATGATACTCTTATGCAATTCATATTCTTTCATACACTCAAAAAGCCTCACACGGGTTAAAATCACGTATTCTTGTTGTTTCTTTCACTAGAATCTCCCCCATAATAAGGCCAAGAGCAAATTTGTGCATATTCTGCACCTCCACTTCAGCCCCGGCGACGACCACAATCACGGCCCATTCATTCTGCAGCTCGGGCATCTCTCCTCCATATCCACCAGCCGGCGCATGATGTTAGTTTCCAGCACCGTGCTGGCATAATTCATGCCAGGATTCGGGAAGACGGCAGCCGGGCTGACGATGACGGTGTATGGCTCGCAGCCGGCACAATCATCAAATGGCAAATCGTACATCTCCCGCTGTTCGGGATCATTGATCCGGTCCAGTTGTCGCAGAACCTCCCGACAGAAGATATGGAGCTCGAAACACGTGTGTTTGCACACTGGGTAGTGGGTCTCGACAAAGAAACACATCGTGGGCTTAGTTGTATCCTACACAAGGCCAATTGCTCTTTCCGGATGTGTGTGTCGAGTTGGCAATATTGCCGTTGTGTATGGACTGACGATCGAGTACGCGTTTGTGCTCTCCTAGCTAATTCCCCTGTCTAGGGATCTGAAGGGGATCTGATTGTGGTGGAAGATCTGGACTGGAGTAAGTGGAATGAGACTGGATGTCCTTGATGATAGTGAAGCAAACACTTTTGATACCTGGGTATTTGAGTGGTCTGATAGATGGATTTGTGTTTGGTAAGGTTTTAAGACTGTGTTGGGAGGAGACATGAAGAATGGAGAGTAAAGCGATGTCCTGTAGAGGGGGACGGTCAATGGAGTTAGGGTTAACCGGTTGGTCTGATGGGAATGAAGTGAGAGCGGATTAGACTGGAAAGAAAGCCTCTGTGCCTACCCCGTTTACCTTTTCAAGAGGAATCATTGATGTAGCTTGATCTGTGTAGCTTATTGTAAAAGAGAATAAAGTGCTTTCTAAACCCTATGTACACTCTTAATTCTGCGATAGAATAGTGGGATGGATTCGCTTTGCAAGATCTTGAAGCGAAAAGAATATCTACACTGGAAGAGAGCAGAGAATGACTGTAGTCACACGCATTTATAGAACGGCGCAGACAAAGCCGGACACTAGATATCCGGACTTGCCCATCGTTTACGAAAGTATGAAACTGCTTTCGGTGGTTACTAGATACCGATATCTTGTCGCTTTTAATTTTATAACAAGGACCGGGTGATTCAGAAGAAAGGGGAGTATTGGTTCATCCTTAAGCTACCATGGGATTTCTTCAGCTTCTCAAAGGGCAACACAAGGGGAACATACCTTATAGGCTTGTTTTCAAAGCTGCCAAGTCATTCAAAGTCTCACCCATAGACATCTTATGTGGATTGGTGTAATCAAGCAGCCTTTGAGGCCTGGGGGATAGGTCTGCTTGCATCCCATTGCTGGGGATCAGATCTGTACACCTCTATCCCATATGCAGCCCCGGTCGTAGTTGCCCAAATATCAGATTGAAGTGCCTCACCTGGCCATGTTTGTCACCGCCAGATGGGATTCCTTTTGCTCTCCTGTATGTTGACAAACAGTCTTCGACTCTCACCATCGCTTTGCTTCGCTATCAGGTTCCAGTCGAATCCATCTTCAACATCCTCAAGAAGCACAAGACAAATTAGTCAGTTCTCTTATGAGTCGGGCCTGAAAACCAACAGAAAAGCTTCAAAATGGATAATGTCGCCCAGGACAAGGGCAAAAAGCTCCAGACCGAGCACAACCAAGCCCATGAAGCCACCGAGGCTCTTCGGAACATGAAATTGACACCGGACGTGACTCGGGATGAGCTGTTGGTCATGTTCAAATTTCGACAGGATATGAATAAGGATGTGTCTGCCGATCGAGACAGCCCTAACGCCGTAGGTGTGTCTTTCGCCGCCCCCGTCTATCCACCGTGCCTGCGCCCATTGAAAGACCTGACAAAGGTCATGGTGAAGGATCTAGCTCGCGGAACTCATCATCGGGGCTCTTACATTTTAGTCAGAATCGTCGCCCTAGCAGACGAGTTGACCGCAGTCATGGCAGTGGTGGAGGATGAGAAGACAGATGCCGTGCCGCTCCGACTGTTGAACGAGGCGTTCTGTTGCCAAGATGGCACCCTTGAGGAAGGTCGGGTTTTGCTTGTAAAGGAACCCTACTTGGCCTTGATGTCCGACGCAGACTATGTTATTAGAGTGGATCATGTTTCCGATATCGTCTTTGCCCCAATGGATGACAAGATGGTTCCGTCTGTTTGGCGAGAGGAGCTTCCAGAGGATTCGACCTCTCAATGGGTGGCCGGCGACTGGATAGCCAAGGCCTATAAACATTTCAACCGGGGCAGATTCTATTCTGCCATTGAATGGTAAATATTCACTAGACCACTCGATAGTCAACAGAGCTGACCACACCGACAGTTTCACCAAGGCCTTGGAGTGCTCCCCAACAGAGGAGGAGACCCATCACATCTTGTTCTTCCGGGGAAAGGCCCATTTCCATGTCGATGAGTGGGATGCGTCTCTCCGTGACTTCGAAGCTCTCCCACTAGGTCCCAAATCTGACCTGGCTCTGAGGGGCAAAGCCCAAAGCCTGTACCGCTTGAACAGGTTCCGAGAAAGCTGCGATGTATTCACGGAGCTCTGCAAGAAATCCCCGAAAAATACCAAAGCCAGGGACGATTTTCGTGAAGCCATAGCTCGCTTTGCAGAGCAAGAGAAGGGTCGATACAATTTCAAGACCATGCAGGAGCAGGCCTCCAAGGTCTTCCCGCCGATCTTGGACCATGCCACATGGATTGGCCCAGTTGAAGTCCGACAAACTGAGACCCGGGGACAAGGCCTATTTACGACACGAGCAGTCAAGGTCGGCGATCTTCTCCTTTGTGAGAAAGCCTTTGCGTATGCGATCGAGCATCCTCTCAAGCGTAAATGGGCCAACACCCTCCACATCAACATGGAGACAAACACGACTGCACGAGGAGGCCAGATGGCTATTGCATCATCGATTATCAACAAACTGCGCAAAAACCCATCGTTGGCTCCAGCGTTAACCAAATTGCACAGTGATGGGTTTAATGCCACCGCAACAGCCGCTGTGGATGGAACGCCGGTGATAGACACGTAAGGAGAGAGAAAAGCCCCTCTTATGTCCAAGCTAACAAGGCGCTTCTATATTGTAGATTCCACATCTCGAGCATAATCTCGCTGAATAGCTTCAGTGGTCCAGCCTCTTCGAAAGCCGAGCACATCCCCGACGTGCAGGATGCAAGCGGGAACTTGCAAACACTTCTCGCCAACGGCGTCTGGCTCTTAGCCTCTAAATTCAATCATTCCTGTATGTGCAACGTGAATCGCGCCTTCATTGGCGACATGATAATCGTCCGCGCGGCAACCGACATCCCCGCAAACACCGAGCTGACAATGTGGTATCTGCTTCCTGGCCCAGAAAACCAGCCCATGGATTTTCAGCACTGGGGATTTGAGTGCAACTGCAGTATGTGTGTCGCTATCAGCGCAACGGAGCCTCACATCCCGAGGAAACGGATCCGACTGCGTCAAGAGATCGCTATGGCTCTGGAAAACCGCCTGAATGTGCTTAGCCGCCAGCGTGCTAAATTGCTCATTCAGCAACTGACCGATACGTACTTGCAGGGTCCGGATGGGGCGCTGCAGATTGGGTTGTGGGAACCTCTTACTTTGCTTGCTAGTGTTTATGAACGGCAGGGAGAGCTGAAAGAGGCCAGTAAGCTTATTCTTCAGGCCTTTGAGGCAATTGGATTTGTGCTTGAGGGGGCTGGGATAGATGCAAGTGTTGAGGGACCGCTGGTTGTTAAGAAATGGGGGCTTATTCTGGATGGTACCGTCGTTGCGTGGCTTATTCTTCGCAATGCTCTGTTCGAGGTTGCCCCTGGGAGGGCGCTACGGGCTGATCAGTATGCTCGTCTCGCTTACTTGATTTGTGTCGGAGAGGACACAAGTTTTGATGCGGTTTATGGGCGTAGTTTTGACAACGTTGAACGCTAAAGTCTGAAGGGTGTTGGTCAGATAGGACTGCATGTTTTGCAGAGAGAGCCAAGTCCAAAAAGAAACAGAATCATTGAATACTGTCCCGGATGCGCAGGCAATGTCATAATGGAGAGACCGTCTATGGAAGTATGTGCTATCATGCAAACATCTACAGTGGTTACGCTACGCGTATGAAATCAAGACAAATTCCGAGAATTAAGAGGATCAAATTAGACACCTAATATCAACAAAAGGCCACAATGGACCTTGGCTGTTTTCCAGTCATGTACAGGAAATCGCAAATCATTCGCAGTAGCGATACATCGCATAAGCATAAATCGGCCAGGGAACGCCAGGCAGGTATATCACACGTAAAGAGAGTAAGAAAGGGAGAAAAAAGTGCAAATTGTGTATGCCGTCCACCGTTGAACATCACCAATTAACGAAGAAAAGAAGAAAGAAAAAAAAAAGGTAGGATCAAAGATATTCATTAGGTGATTTGTTCAAGGTTCAGTCGGAGAGACAGACACGAAGCGAAATTGCACACAAGTGTAAAAAAAAATGTACTTATGCTGTGCGATAAAGCATGGCAAAGATGAGAAGAATAGAAAAAAACGAGGATGACAATATATGACAAGTGCATTTACAGCGTCACGAGGACAACGATGGCCACAAGGACGCCGAAGAGCGAGCCACGGAGGACACGCTCGTTCTGGCCGGCGGCACCGCTGTCCTGGGTGGGGGTGGCCTGAGTGAAGCCGGGACCGCCGGTCTCGGTACCAGAGCCGGTCTCGGTACCAGTGCCAGTACCAGTACCAGAGCTAGAGCCAGACTTGGATTCACTGGAGGACTCGTTGCTCTCGCTGTTGGTCATGCCACCGGAGCCACCGTTAGCGCTAGACGGAATGCTGTTGGAAGAGGAGGCGGTGGACGAGGAATTGGAGCCGGTGGAAGAGCTGGAGGTTGCGGCGCCGAGATTCATGTTGAGACCGGTGGCGCCGAGGGAGGCGATGACGGTGGAGTTGTCGGTGATGGAGATGTCGCTCTCCATGGAACCGATGTTGTTGTAGATGTAGGCATTGTCGCCGGTCTTCTTGACGTTGGAGGGAGCATCGTAGCACTGCACGCTGACCTCACCGAAGGTGGCGAAGTCGTAGCCGTAGTTCTGGATGTCCTCGCTGTTCCAGTCGATCACACCACCGGCCCAGTCGATAGTGCCCTGGGCGTTGCTGGGCTGGCCGGCGGGCCAGAGGGACATTTGCAGGCGGGAGGGGGTCTGGGGGAATTGGTACTGCTTGCTGGTCTCGTTGTAGGTGTCGGCCTTCTTCAGGGTGCGCTGGATGGCGCCATCGACAATCCAATCGACCTTCTCGGGGCTCCAGTCGATCTCGTAGGTGTGCCAGTCGTTGTAGGTGTCCCCACCTTCGACGGAGATGTTACCGCTGTTGTGCCCTTTTCGAGAAAGTCAGTATAGATCCTGGAGATTTCCAAGGAGTTGAAGACTTACAATCCAGAACACCTTGCCAGTAGTAGTTGGTCTGCACGCCGGTCAAATCGGCGCCAACCCACTCGTAATCGATCTCGTCCTTAACATCGGACAGGAGAATGAAAGCAGTCACGACACCCTTGCCGCGAGAGCTCTTAATCTTGCCGGAAACCTTGCCGTACCAGACGTAGTGGTTGTTGGCGAAAAGAGCACCGACACTCTTGGCCGGCATGGTCATGATCAGGTTACCATCCTCGGTCTTGGCCTTGCCGCTGTAGGTCCAGTCGGCGGTGGAGGCATTGCCTAGGTACTTATCCTGGGTCACAGCGTTGTCCAGGTTCTCCCAGTTGTAAGTCTTGCTCTCGCAGACGGGCATGGGGACACAAGAGTCCAGAGAGAACGAGGCGCGAGGGTCGCAGCCACCGAGGCAGTAAGCACCAGTACCGCACTCGCCATATTCTATATTGAAACGGTGGTTAGCCGGTGAATTGCGACCAGGGGAACGGGAAACGGGGGATTCACGCACGGGAGCAACAGGGGAACTTCTCGTCGCACTGGCTGCTAGTGCTGCAGGATTTGGCGGCCAAGACGGTCGCTGACAGCGAGGCCAGGATCAAAGGTGTCACAAAGCGAACCATTATTATGTGTGGTTATGTACAGCCGAAATGACAGAATATAAAGAATTCGAATCCAAGCCACAGGAACGAGGGAAAGTGTGGGGTGGAGAATAGGGGGGATTTCCAAGTAGAAAACCGATTTTGCTAGATCAAGGAGCGGCAGCAAGTGAAGATATGTCCTATCACTGCAATGGGGAGGAAGAGTTGAAAGCAGTTCTATCAGAGACGAAAACGGAGGGGGCGAATAGTTATTAATATGCTTCTCTCTCCAGAATCCGAAAACATGGGAAAACGTGAACCCAAGGAACACACCTGACCTAACCCAATCAGGATTGACTCCGTCAAGGCAATGCGTCGGGGTTAAAAAGGGTCGGCGAGAAAAAAAAGCCTCATTGGGTCCATTGGGTGCTGCCTTCGCCTTTCGCCCATTTTTTGTGGGGCCGTGGGAAATATCCGTCTGTGCGTGCGATTATGTGGTATGGTCCGGTCACGCCGGGTCAACGGTCGTCGGTAATCTACGGTATTTTTGGCCTTTACCTCCATGTACCGAGTACGGAGTACCTTGGACGGAAGTACCGAGTACACCCCCTACGGGAGTGTTCATTACTGGGAAATAGAGACCTACATGTACCCAGGTAGGTAGTGGATATGGTCTGACAAAGAACAAAAAAAGAAACCTCAAAGAATCGCCCTCTTATCCCTATGAGCTAATTTGACTAGCGAGTCAGGTACCAGTCGCATCAAAGCAATTTTAATCCCTCTAACCAATAAGACCAATGCAAGGTGGCCGAGTTCATGCGTGGCCGTTACAAGTGAGACATCCCCAGGTGTTTGTGAAGGTGGAAATTGGTATGGTCACCGGAATACCGCGCTAGTGGCTCTTTCCACTTCCCACTTTTAGTCCGCCCACTTGCCTTTTTGTGCTGGACAGTCGATCTGCGGAGAAGCTAACTTGGCCCTTCGGATCGACAGAGGTGACTATATACTCCGTCCTCCGTACTTATCTCATCTATATGCTCCATATCCCTTCTCGAATAGATCTGAATCCTCCCTGTGGCGCTCAACCCAATGCACCGGACGCCCGACGTCTATTCTCCGGACGCCTTGGGAACCATCACGCCAAGCTAATCCTATCTCGTCAAGGCCCCAAGCACATTGGCCACTGGGAGCGAAACAATCAGCCCCAAAATTCGATAATCTTACAGTCTCACTCCCCAGAGCGAGGCTCATACATCCCTTTTGGGCTGCCACGCGCTTCCAAGACACTCGCTACAAGACTCGCTACCCTCTCCTCGCGCTGGGCGTGCTCGGCACCAAGCTTCCGATATGCCGCACTAGGAAGCTCGATTGACCCCCCAAGCACTCGACCCTCAAGTAATGGTTCCCCTGCCTATCAGGAATGGCGATCCAAGACAACTCAACTTACCGGACTAATTTGCACCAGTTGACAGCCAGTCAGCAAGGTAGAGGTGGACACACCAAGCACTGGGCAAGGAACGCAGATCACTAGTGCCGCACGGGGCAGAGATCTGGGTCTGTTTTAATTTCGTTTCTTTTTCGTCTGTCCTGTTCTCGGAGATAAAAGGGGCACCGATAACGGATAAGACCCATCCTATCAGGCCATATGCTGTTTCGCGCTGGGAGTTCGCATTCGGAATGGTTCTGGAAGGCATGCCGCGATAAGCAATGTCACGATCTACAGCTACACATCATCGGATCTACTCGAATGTGACGTTCGGGGGAAAATGTGTCATGGAGGAATGCAAGGAGGTCTACCCTCGTTGTTTGACTGCAATTAAACCGGATTTATATCAGATTGCATTCTGTGATGACATTAATCTACGTGGTCCGGTTTGAAATATGCAAGGACGTTTCCCTTCAACGTGCGTCGTGGAGGATTAGTGGCCACCTGCTGCCTCGTTGCTCGTGTCTGGGGGTCTCCTTATATACGTAGATCCAAAAAGAAAATTACCAAGCCTACAGCATGTGGGTAATACGGCATTCTGAGTAACCCGATTGTCTATGGAGGGAATACAGACCAATGGTATCTGGATACCAAGGGGCAATATATGATATACGAATAACACATATTTAAGCTCCATCCGGTTGCTCCGGACATGGCCCTTGCCTATTATAGTAACTCATTTTATTTGTCGATTGTTTACGCTCCCCTATCAGTTTGAAAGCTGGTTTCTAGAGCACAAGTTCATGCATTCTCGAGATGACTATGGAGTAGTTATGCCAGGTAAAAGATAAGGTAGGAGAGAGCAAAACAACAGAAAAGAGGAAAGATCAGCCATGTTACATCATCCTGAGGATCCATGAATGGATTCCCACAGCATGAGTGTTTTGATCATCCCTGGATATCCAGAAGACAGCGGAAACGATGATTGCCAGGGTATTCATAAGATCAACCTGTACATTCTCGGGTACATCCCCTAAACCCATTGAGGGGGCTGTGCTTGGATCTTGCATATTCAATTCGTCCGTGATAAGGTGCGATGCCATGGACAGCAAAAAATGTACGCATGTAATCTATTAATACATAAGTCATACTGTGGTAAATGGTCGGACGTATGACAGATGAAGGTTATTTAGATGTTGCGCAATTTTAGTAGCAGTAGCAGATTACATGATGCCACACCAGGGGTTTTGTAGGTCACTCTATATAAAGACCCTCAAATGGACTAATCAAGGATGGCAAATGATTCCCTCGTGGAAAATAGAAGCTGCAGATTACAACGGGCGCAGGGTCTGTAAGACACAGTGGAGTTCATTAGAAGACTAGTCAAGACCTTGCAATGGTCCAAGACATCCTAAACTAGTCAAACCCCCGATGACCTGTGCCTCCCACGAGCATCTCGATATGTAAAAGGTTGCTCGGAACAACATGCGTACAAGCATGCAATAAGAAAACAAAAGCAAAAAGCAAAAAGCAAAAGCAACGCAATCGGGTGCAACCTATTAGGGCACCCTAACAACACGTTTTTTTAATTAGATTTTCAAAAAAGGAAAAAAAAAGATCTGTAGAAAAGAAAAACCAGGGAAGCCAGAGAGAAAACGCCTATGCACAAGGCAAACCACGCCGAAAGAAAAGAACTCGGAGGTGATCACTTGCAAATGACCACCTCCGAGTACTTCTCGAGTACTTCCCGAAGATCGAGAGCAGAACGGACGGTTTCAGGGTCAATGTCCGTACTGACAAACACCGCCCTAAACTCGCGACCGACCTCCGGTACCTTCCCGCCCCGGAAAACGATTTCGTCCTCGTTCTCCGGGTCCACCGAGTGAGGACTCTCATCGAACTTGATATCAAGTTCGGCCGCAGGAACACCCTCCTTTGCTGAAGGGGTGGTATTGTCCGTGTCGACATCCGATTCAGCCGGAAGAACAACAGTGATATCCTCGGCCAGATCTATCAACACGCCCTCCGTGGGAGCCCCGATGTTGGCAAACTCGGGGAACGTCTCAACCACGCCGGTACCAATGGAGTCCTCCAGCGACAGAGCCGGGGCGACACTTCCTTCAGCCACCGGGGGACGGCGGTGGCTGCAGACCGGGGTATCTTCAGTCGACACACCAGAAGCTGGCTCAGCACTACTTACTGTAGCGGGCCGCTCGGACAAGCTCTGCCTGTCTTTCGGTTCAAGATGGGCCTTCACGGTCTCCATCTCGGCCACCATGCTTGGCAGCAATTTGACAAACTCCACGTCGTCATTGAAATTGACGAGCACCCCTGTTGGCGGTGGTGCTTTCTTCACAGGAGGGGCCTGAATGGCCTTCTGGGTGGGGACGCTGCGGATCGAGGTGCCTTGTGTCAGGGCGAGACGGTTTGCTGTATCCCGGGCCGATGGGTTCTGTTGTCCGGTGGGGCGGGGCGGGGCGTTTTGCACGTTCCCCGAGCCACCTCTTCGGGCCCGGGGCGGCGGGTTTTGTCTGCCGCTAGTTCGACTGACAGGAGGACCCTGGCTCGAAGCCTTGTTTGCCGGAGGCCTCTGGCCTCCATTACCGGACCCGCGATTGTTCCTGCGTCTCGGACCACTGGGGGCGGCCTTGGGATAGATTAGCATTTAAAGCATAATAATGGACTGTAAAGCACTTACAGGTGGAGGAAGCCGGGGGGCAGTCCGACGCACGGCGAGGTGGTGAAGCATTTGCGCTCAAAAAGAAGCGCGAGTTCGCCTTCAATACGGCAGAACTCAATTGCCAGCAAGGTCTCGTTGTTTTCCACAAGCTGTTTTTTTTGACACAGTTAGCCCAAATGTGATCTGATATTGACAGAAAGAACCCTTACTTACCCAATTATGGCACTCCCGAAGAAGGGACTGGGCCTTGCGCATGTTTGACAAAGTCCGAGCCGCCATCTTCAGCTACTGTATGATGTGATGTGGAAATTGAGGAGGTATGAAATAATGCGGGGGGTTTCAAATTGCGAGTGCTGCAAAGTGTAGAAATTTCAAATCGTGGTGTTTGAGAATTGACGAGGAAGCCCGAATCTAGTGAGAAGAAGGTAATGGCAAAAGGACGAGAAAGTAGTAAAGCAGCACAGCAGGGAGCGAGGTTTTGATCACGGTAACTAGCAAAGTAGTAGGAAAGCAGCGATCAAAGCAGCAGGTTAGGGAGCAAAACAAGAGGAAAGTGATGGGAAAGTCACAGGAAACTCCGAGTCTAGTGAGGAGGAAATGATGGGAAAGCAATGAGGAAAGAGAATAGAAGACGCTGCGGAAAGACTGTAGTCAAAGAGCAAAGCAGGAAGCAAAGTAGTAGAAAATGTACGGCAGAGTGACGGAAAAGTAACGAGCAAGAATGACCTCTTGAGACATGCAGATGGTTGATATTCCGATTGAGCTAGCCACTAGAAGAAGGAGAATGCTTGACTACCCAGGCACCTATTCGGGTCCCAACATGACCTTCAACGGCCTATGAAGAGCATGGAACAACAATGTTCATACAGTTGATGAGTGATATATGTGACGAAAGAGCGTTATCACGGAGAACCTGGAAGAGCGAAGTATCTGTTCCGGAGTTGAAGGAGCCGGACTTTGATAAAGCAAAAAACTGCTGCTGATCTTGAGTTGTAGTGATCAATGTAGATCGCGGACATGCGCTCTAGAATACCCTAGGCTTTCATCGACAGAACGCACAGCCATGTCAAGGTGGGCAAGGGCAGGTATCTCTCCATGGCCCCGAGAAAATACAGAAATAAGCAGATCATAAGTCTTATACACAAATCTTTGAGGGAATATCAGTGTCTTAGGGATATAAGTATGAGCACTCTCGCAAGACTTAGAATTTGTACTCACCGGACAGAGGAGAAGAAGCAAACTTCACCCGTCCGAGGATCACAATTAGGGTTGGCGAAACGTGACCCAGCGTTTGCAGGGCCCTACTTCTTTGCCCGAACTGCTTCATCCCTGCCCCAAATGTAGATTTTCTCTTCGGTGACTATCAAAAGACTCGCCTCCACGACACCCGAGTTATTTGAAAATACGCAAAGAGATCCAGAAAACGCATTGAATGTAGGTCAAGGCGCCGGTCAAGATTGGTCAAAGAGGTATGCGATCTCATATTTTGCTCTGTTCTTTCTGCACCTCCATATTTTGCACCCAAGACCTACCTCAGATCGATCATGATTTACCTCAAGACACTGTTGAACTTTATCTATCATCAAGCTTTTTGCAGAATCATCCATTGGTAGTACAGAGGATCCTACGGACACATCTCCAAGGTCTGTCAGTGCCCAACGAGGTCTCCTGGGTATGATGCGCTTATGATGGAACAGCCCATGCACTACTCCTCCTGTGCACTTCACCTTCCTTTCCCTTAATATGCAGTGCTCCTCATCCAAAGAGCTTTGTACATACAAACATGTCGCTCGAAAACCTTTCGACTCTTTCCACAGGGGCAACTTCTTGGAGAATCTGCCTCCCTCCCTCCCAAAATATCATATGTGGGAATACAGCAATTCCACAACATTATCCATCTTGAATTTGATTGTCTTCTGAATGCTATCGCTTGTGAATCTCAAGAATTTAATCAACACAAAAAGGCTAAGAATAGTCAACAGCTTGATAACAATACCCTACAACACACCAGCCATGCTCCGAAGGACCGGAGACATAGCAGCGGCAGACGATGCAAATGCCATCGATCCGCAGACGAACTGGTGCTTTTTTATAAATTGACCCCAATTCCCCAGAGAGAGATTTTCTCGATTCACCGTCACTCAATTCATATATCGACGCTTTCGGCCTCAGATATCAACTACTTTGAGTCAAAATGACCTTTTCTATTCACTCCAATGCCATTAGAGTCATCAACACCGCCATCAGCAAGGACACTCTCGATGATGTCAAGAGTTTCTAGGGTGTCGTAGTCCGGGATCGGTTGGAACTAAAATCGAATTTGCTGCCTGCATATGCCTGGTTTTATGCGAGCAGAAAACTAAAATACCCGAAATACTATGGCAGAGACATTGATAAGTGCCCACATATGTACCTATGTTATGTAGGTACATGTAGTTAAGGTATGTACTTGAGTCTAACCCTGAATGAAGCTTTTCAGATAGTCACCCACGTTTATGGCCTTGCGATGTCTTTTTAGTCTTTCTAGTCGTCTTTTCAACTATGTGGTTAAAAGTTCTTTGCAGATGTCATTTGTACAAATATCTTAGAGCAGTCCAAAATTGAGCATATGCAGGCAGCAAGTTCGATTCAAATTCAAACCAACCCCTAGGCGCTATACACCTTCGCATTGCATCTCGATCATCTGACCGGTGCTATTCAAATGATTAGCATAGGACAAGTATGGAAATGATATCAACAAACAAGGAGAAAACCGTGTGCCGGGCGCCTGGAATGGCATAGGATGGACATGAAAAGAAGAACTTTAAGCCTTGTGAGAGACAGAGCAGTCGAAGGAATAGTATAGACACTATGTTGAACGCAATGTGCATTAAAGCGAATGCCATTATGAATGGTCGAGACTGCTTGGCAGCTGTGGAGGACAGTAGTTCAAGTGAACTTGGATAGATCTTCCACCTGCAAGTCTGGGAAGCTAATCAATAATATTGGACTTCTGTAGGCTGGAATGTTCGATCTAGAATGGGGAACGAAAGTATTGAGGAAACCAGACACTCGAAAGGCAGGATGATCATGATATAATGAATTATTTGGTTGACTGGATATTCCGATTCTTCTAAATAATCTGAAACAAGACATAAAAGGCGTAAAGAAAGGAAAAGAATAGTAACAAACGATGGAACTAATAATACTACAAAGGTCATTGTTAGACTAGAAATTGGAGTTTGACGATCCATCTTTCTTGATTGGAGACACTAGTAGGACTTTACCGCTACAGCTGTAAGCATTTGGCTTTCATAGAGCTCCCAGCTGCTTTTAGGGGTTTAGTCGCATGGCGCAGGTTGGATGGTCGTTAGCTTAGATATTCCAATAAATTTCTACGGGGATTTTGAGATATACCAGAAATACCTGATAGCACATAGAATACAGCAGGCCACAGATTCCAATCCAACCAAATAGGTAGATGTGCAGCGTAATCTCGTTGAAACGTCAGATCTCGGAGTAAGAAAGATAGATCAAAATCACCAATATTGAAAAAGAAACAGACCCCATAAAGCTCCATATGCCTTCAAGTCTTTGAACTCCGGCCATGCTTGACCTGCCCATGGGCTAGACCCGAACCCCCCGATGAAACATAAAAGCATGAATCTCCTGCCCGTCGCAAAAAGAATGTAATCCACAAAATGAGGGAATCTTCAAAGTAAATCCAAACGCCCAGATCAGTTCACAATGGCAAAGCAGACACTAGAATCAATAAGCCGAGAAATCAATAACATATTAAAGTGGTCCAAAAAGCATACATTATGTGCCAATCAGTATATCATGAAACTTGAAGGACGGGCATGTGTAACCTCGAGCGTGGTTTTAAAGGAAAGAGTAAAGGAATGGGGTGAGGATGTCGAAAACGAATAGCTTGTTCAGCAATAGACTATCTTGTTCGGGGCCACAGTCTTGAATTCAACTCGTGATTGATAGCGGACTGTGCCACCGTCCTCAAGCCAGGGTGCGAGGTTTTTGCATTGACTGACATCAAAGATCTTGAGTTGATGGCAACCCTCTGCTACGGCCTCCACCCCTACTCCAGTGACCCGAACGCACCCACGTACGGATAGATGCTGGAGGGAAAGCAGGTGAAGGCCGATACTCCTTAGTGAGGGGTCCGAAATTGCAGAGCCACAGAAGGCCATGTTGAGATACTTCAGATTTGAACACTGTAAAGCAAGGACCTCGGTTGCAGTATCTGACAATGCGCAGCAGAATGTCTATAAGTGTTTAGTAAATTGGCAAAATACCCTAACGAAGGAGACAAGACACTCACCAGATCTAATTCTTCCAGATTCTTAGCCGCGTTCGTCAAATGCACGATAGCATTGTCCGTCAAATACGTGCAATCTGCCAAGCAAAGCTTTCGCAGATTGGTGAATTGAGAGTTTCCCCAATATTTGAAGCCTTGATCGGTGATTGTGGTGCAACGAGTCAGGTCCATTTCCTCAATCCGACCAGCGGCGTGAGACGCAATGTGATGCATAGATCGATCGGTGACGTGTTTGCAGTACGAGAGAGTGAGCTTTTTCAACTTTGGACAGCCATACACCGTGCATTCTGCTGTCTGGATGGTGGGTTTGATGGATGTCTGTTTCTCGCTCATCTTTTGATCGGCGGGCACTACCCACCCAATGATTCGCGCGAGGAGTGTGTCTCCAACTTTGCGGCAGTTGCTCAGGTCCACCTCCTGTATGTTAGTAGCCTTGCTGGACATGTCAAGTATGGCAGAGGCTGTGACATCCCACACGCTTTTCATCTTCCACACAGTCGTATTTGGGGCGCAAGTGGTGGCTAATGCTGTGAAGCCTTCATCGGTGATGTGAAAACAATTGTTCACATTAACGGACCGAGCTCGATTACCGACGAAAGGACAAATGATCTTGATAAGAACGTCATCCGTGATCCTGCGGTTGTAGACGCTCAAATCTAAATCATGAACTACATCGGCAGATCGGGTCAAAAGTTCTGACCAATGTGATGACACTGCCCTGATCCGAAGCAGGTGGTGTAATTCAAGAAATTGGAAAATGCTCAACAGTACGCTGTCCGGGAAAATACCGCTGGAGCCATCAATCCGAGGCCGAACGGCCTGGTGTGGCTTAGTGAGACTGGTAGTTTCGGGAAGGGCGAGGGCTGAAGAACCAACAGAGCGTGGCTCAGTGGGGGATGGTCGCTGCTGTTCACCTGACATCTCCTCGGGGGTGAGGGGTGCTACCGAACCACGTCGGCTTCGCAGGCGGACTTTATCCAGACCCATGCTGAGATATGGATCAGGATCGGAAGGCCGCAGCACAGCCTGGTCTTGGTCTTCAACGTGAGAGGATTGATGTGGTCCATCCAATTCAGTTTCCGTGAGAGTGAGTAGTGGCATCGACCGTCGCCGCGAGGACGCGATCTTCACTCTGTCGCCGAGGGCAAGATCCCCCAGAGGTGGCGGGGGTTCTGCCTCATCAGACATAACCACGTCGCCATCGGCTGCGGCCTGGAGTCTCTCCTGCGCAGTGCGTTCAACTTGCTCCCGCACGGTGATTGGACATTTCTCCCAAAATTCGGAAAGGACATCACCGTCAAGCATCAAGCACTCAACTGAAGTCACAGATCGAACTGTAGCAGTTCTCCGGGGCGCTAGAGCGAGACTGACTACTTCACCAAAATACTGGCCTTGCTTCAGTCTCGCTTTGACTTCTATTCCGGGTCGTTCAATCACCCCTTTATGTTGAGCTTGATGATTCATTTCGGCCTTTTCTGTGAGAACCTCCACCTCACCACGAACAATAAAATAGAGCTCACGGCCTTGGGAGTCTTGTTGTATGATGTCGGTGAATGGAGGGAAAGATCTTGGTTGGGCATTAAGACCGAGGTAGTGGAGGATATCGGCAGGCAACCCCGAGAAAAGTGGCAGCTCTTTGAGTAAGAGACGTACATTGACCAATCCATTTGCCAATGCACTGGAGCCATCTGGCCGGCCGGGGCTCGGTGACTTCCTCTTCTTGTACACAGACTTAGCACTCAAATCATCGTCCTCTATGACCGCCAGATCTTTTGAGAAGCTTTCGCGCAATCTTTTTGAGCCTCTTCTTACGGGACTCGGCGCATCCAATGCAGGCGCGGAGGTTTCTTTCTTTTTCTTTTCTAAAATCATCAATCGCTCCTGGGCCTCCTCCCGGATTGCCTGTTCAACCGCTGGGAACCGAGGTAATATGTTCCGAAAATCGTCCTTTGTCAGCACGACCAGCATGCATCGAGTCCGGGCGATAATGGTCGCCGTGCGAGGCCGATCCATGAGCAATCCAATCTCCCCGAAGAAGGCACCGGGTTTGAGCTCGGCATATATACTCTCACCATCTCGAGATGTGACCGAGACCGCACCTCGCACAAGCCAGTATATTGCCTTAGCTTCATCGCCTTCCGTCAGAATATAATCGTTGGGCGCATGGAGCTGTGGGCGCAGGTGCTGTCCAACCTCGATTAAGAAAGATTCCGGAGTGGCCTGGAACAGCGGAAATGATCGTAATCGATCTACCAATTCCAAGGGCAGCGCTTTGATATGAGAGGAAGCCAAGGGCGAGGGACGCGCGGGTCGGTTTGGGTTCAGGACCGAATCGAACGAACGTATGAGGGATACAGTGTCGGACAGAGGCGACATGGCCTTTGTTGGTCCACCACTGGACCTGCCATGGCGACGCATTTTGAGCTATGTAGTATTTTTTTTTCTTGAAGGCAGAGGTGGGATGGATGGTTCAGCTATTTCTCCCAGGCATAAAGAGGTCAATAAAGCGATGACGTCGACGAAACCAGCGCTGTCGAATTTCGCATCGGCATCTTCAGCGCCCAATGGGGGAGTAGATTGCTATCGTTGAGTTCACCAAACAGACATGCAGGGTATAGAGAGGAAGCAAGATCAAAAAAAAAAAAAAAAGGTCAGAGGCCACAAGCGTTCGAGCTAAGGTCTTGAGGTGGGGGTTTCCGAATCAGCGACGTCAAATGCGGTTTCTCCGCCGATCACCTGGGAACCTACGGGAACTCTATGGGAACCTCCACTGTGTATTTTTGGCTGGATTGTGAAGGGCGAGTGTCTTCTAAAATGTGATCTCCATATCTTTGGAGTAGGCTTGAGTGGGGTGTCAGCACTGAGCGGTCAATCGGTCCTTTGAACCTGCAGCAGCCGGGCCGATATTCTCTATGTTGATCCAAACAAAGAACCACCAATTGACGAAACACTAGATACAGACTACGGACTACGGACTACGGAGTACACAGACCTCACTTCCAAGATGAGGGAGAGGATCGAATCCGCCGACTCACTTTATTCCATACACTGGTGCTGTAGCACCTCGGTCTTTGCTTTGCATATATTACATACTATATTATCCACCCAATGGTCTCGAAAGTACCTCGTTTAGCTCGTCTAAGAGAGCCCACAACCTCCTAGTCCGAATTCAATCTAGTTCCGCCACAATGGCGTTTCTAATCGTTTTGGGGCGTGTGAACATACTCCAGCGCAGAATCCGGCGAGTCACGTGTTCCGATGTAGCAGCCCGAGGGCACAACCTTGGAATGTTCGTGTTGAATGCTAATTGGACAAGTGGGTATCAAGAATGCAAATAATACATCGAAAGAACAAGAGAATGGGCTGAGTGTTGCTGCCGAGGCCATCACATGGTGACTAATTCTCCCAGGTGGCTCGATGGAAAACACAGATATAGTGATTGGGGCGGCATTGACTCGGATATGCGGCTCTTGTCGCTGAGATCGAACGCATACCACCTGCATCAGGATACACAGCAGTCATTTCTTGAGTGGATGTCGAAAAGCGTCCCATAGAGTAGGATTGAGGGCTCCTCGAGCTTGCTGCGAGACTGGGACGTCCCTGGGCGGAGGAAGATGGGATGCCATGGTTATTGTTATATGGGCCAACTTTGATCAGATTGATCCTTCCTTTTCGGCCTTAGACCGCCGGTTACCGAGGACGAAATCAACGTAGGCAGGGCGATTTCCTTTCAAAGTCTCAAGGGCGTCTTGCAAGAGACCATAGGTCAAGCTTAATTTCAGCCCAAGCTTGGCTGTGCGGGCGGCGGTGTAGACATCGTGACGAGCTGGGTGGAGGTCAGTGTTGATCCTTCGAGTGATCATCCCCAAGCAGAAGAGCATTCTTACCAAGCAAACTGTATACTCCAGAAAAGGACAGCCCAGCGATGACTGTCGATAAAAAGTCTCTCTCTTCATGTCGTGCATAGTCCACGGTCTCTTCGAACAGACAGAACGCAAGAGCACCAGCACCAAGCTTGGCTCCCATCTTCATACCGTCCTTGACACCTCCAACCACACCAATGTAATTTTTCGTTTTATGATACTGGAACCACCCTGTCGATGTTGTGGGGAACCGATGCGCGTTTTCCGCCCGAAACACGAGTCCTGCCCGTTTGCTGCCGTGATAATACCCTAGTGCCAGCCCAGTGGAAAAGGCAGACATCGTAGCATATGGCAGCCGCCTGCCAACCTCAATGCCTAACCGCGGAGGGCTGTCGCATTCAAAGAGCTTGTCCCAGTGGATGATCTTGAGTATGGTAGAATTCTGTCGGGAAGGGTCGGCGGATGGAGGATGATTAGCCTCCATGGTGAAGACTTGGGAAGCAACAATATGCCACACGTAGCCAAAAGCAAAGACTGGCCGTGAACAATCAGGTAAATGTGAACGAGTGATGCTGGCAAAGCTTGGAAATTCAGGGCGCGGAAGGTCGGCGTCCCGCCAGATTCTCCGCCTTCCGTCACTGCCCCAAACCGACAACCACACAGACATAGCCCACCTAATCCCTCTGCAATCTCCAAGATGGTATGAGAATTCCCCCTTTTTTTGATTGCAACCCGTTTAATAAATTATGGCTAATGAGTGAACAGCCGCCCAGACAATCCAAGCCCGATTCAAGCGCTCTGACCCTTCTCTTCAAGAAGCATAAGACTACCGTCCTGCTGATGCTCCAATCCCATGAGTCACTCGAATTGACCAAAGAAAAGCTGCTTGAAGCTCTAAAGATGCGAGGGCTCAATGACATCAACGGCGATCCTATTCCTGATGACTCCTTTGACATTGAATTTGGTGAGCCAGTGGACCGAGCCGACTTTGAGAAAGGCTGGAAGCGCCTCCAAGCAGATACACCAGGACAAGACCAAGAAGATGCTTCTAAGAAAAATAAAGGAAAAGGGAAGAATGAGTCCGTTTCGCTTCTCGAGGCGGGTATTGAGAATGGACATCCAATTGCCTTCCGCTTCCGCAAACCCAACGAGGATCAGAATGCTAGTCTCGATATGGAGATTGACGATGAGGATCCAGGCTGGGATGTTATCATGCCAAGCTATGAGGATGAGGATGAGGAACAATGATGGGTATATCATGACTTGCGAGAAGAACACCCTCGGAGGATTGAGGTGTGTGACATTCGGCGTTTAGGGAGCACTTTATGGATTATTGCATGGCGCTTTTCTGGCGTAAAGGGATTGGGATAGTAGCAATACAGAAGGCGGGTATGCTTATTTAAGAATTTTCCGATTGTTCATGTTTTCAAACAGATATACATAACTTCTTCACACTCTATAGAGAGAGCATATGGAAATCACATGGTGGTGGTTTGTGTCCTTTTCAGCCCAATCTTGGAATGCAGTGTATACTGTCGAGACCACAAGGAAATTTTGAAACTGACAGCCATGTTATTCAATGCCGGGATTTCACCCCACAGCTTAATATCTAGTCGGCGATCTTGAAAATCCCTTTGAAATGATACAAAGAAGGCAGTGTGTGTAAATAAAGTACAAAGATCGTGTTCACAATCTTTAATGCGTAGATTTCTGTGCGTATGAGAGCTTTTACTATTGGTTCTGCGCTATTGCCACGAGGGGTGGGTTAATTGCCACTTTGGAACGGTTGCTCGGAGCAACCAGCTTTGGGACAACACGCACACCCATCAACAAATGAAATCGCTTCAAGGCGCCCCCCATCGGAGAATACTGTGCCCCCTACCCCATACAATTTTAGTTCCATTCTTCGACTCTCCGACATTCCTTATTTTCGACAACCCGCCAGCTTAGCTTCCCCCTTGGCATTGCCATTGTAGGGTGCCACCAACTACCTGACGTACCGGCCCCGCAAAACAGACTAGGGCTTGATCCTACACAACCTTCCACCATGGCTGCCTCCGACGGCGCTTCCTCAATCAGCGTTACAGTCCGAGTCCGTCCCTTTACTATCAGGGAGGCAGCCCAGATCACTCGGTGTAACGATGGTCCCCTGTTCCTCGGCGACGGCTCCTTAGCGGGTGCTCCGACGCCAAAGCTTAACCAGAAGGGAATCCGATCTATTGTCAAAGTGATTGACGACCGATGCCTGTGAGTATTCTATATCTCTTGGGTGTCAACTCCAATGTCCTAACTCAACCAGGGTGTTCGATCCTCCAGAGGACAATCCCGTCCAGAAGTTCTCTCGAAGCGTGGTGCCCAATGGCAAGCGCGTCAAGGACCAAACATTCGCCTTTGACCGCATTTTTGACCAAAATGCCTCCCAGGGTGAGGTGTACGAATCTACAACACGCGGACTACTCGACAGCGTCCTCGATGGATACAATGCAACAGTGTTTGCATATGGTGCAACTGGATGTGGAAAGACGCATACAATTACCGGAACCGCCCAACAGCCCGGTATCATCTTTATGACCATGCAGGAATTGTTTGAGCGGATCGACGAACGAGCGAGCGAAAAGTCTACCGAGATTTCGCTTTCCTACCTCGAGATCTACAACGAAACCATCCGTGACTTGCTTGTACCCAGCGGTACCATTGGCAAGGGTGGGTTGATGCTGCGAGAAGACTCCAACCAGTCGGTCTCGGTTTCTGGCTTGTCAAGTCACCACCCGCAAAATGTGGGACAGGTTATGGATATGATCGTACAAGGCAACGAGCGCCGCACCATGTCTCCCACTGAGGCTAATGCCACTTCATCTCGATCGCATGCCGTCCTCCAAATCAATATCGCCCAGAAAGACCGAAATGCAGATGTTAATGAGCCCCACACTATGGCCACTCTCAGCATCATCGATTTAGCAGGAAGTGAGCGTGCCAGTGCGACAAAGAACAGAGGAGACCGTTTGCTCGAGGGTGCCAATATTAACAAGTCTTTGCTGTCTCTGGGAAGCTGCATCAATGCGCTTTGCGACCCTCGGAAGCGGAACCACATTCCTTATCGAAATTCGAAACTTACTCGCTTACTCAAATTTGCTCTCGGTGGCAATTGCAAGACAGTTATGATTGTCTGCGTCAGCCCCTCAAGCCAGCACTTTGACGAGACCCAAAATACACTTCGATATGCGAACCGAGCGAAGAACATCCAAACCAAGGTCACACGAAATGTATTCAATGTTAACCGGCACGTGAAGGACTTCTTGGTCAAGATCGATGAACAGATGAACTTGATCAACGAGCTCAAAGCACAAGCAAAGGACCATGAAAAGACGGCCTTTGCCAAATTCCGCAAGCAAAGTGAAAAGAAGGACGCTGTATTACGCGAAGGCGTTGCCCGGATCCGCAATGCCTACGAGCACACGCTGGCGGGAAGACAAGAGAGGACGAACAACATGTTGAAATCGAGACAGATTAGCCGCAGAATTGGCATTTTATCGTCTTGGATTGCAGCCTTCGATAATGTTTGCGCTGCACGTGAGAGCGAAGACGGATTGGCAAACCTGTATGCCGTTCGTAAAACTGCCCAAGGCATCCTCTTGGAGTTGGAAGGCAGCAGGCATCATTATAACCAGAAATTATCGAAAAGTACTTGGGACCGACCGGTGAGTTCGGCAGTTGAAAATGCCGCAAAGCAGCTGCAAGAGTTTGATATTACCGATAACAGCGACTATGCCAACTTGGACCGAGAAGCAGACCTTCTTCGGTCCAATGCAGAGCGCGAAGCATTGCTGGCCGTGCTGGAACAAGATAAGGCTGGCGATGCTGTTGCTGTGCAGCTTCTGCTACAAGCGCAGTTTGAATTGATGAACTCTATCGAGGATATCATGCAACTTAATGCAAATGAGGCTATTCAAAAAGGACGGTCCATCCTCACAAAGATGTTGGAGGATTGTTCAAACGCTGCGAGCAACCTCGTCAAACCAGATGGCAACATGCCTTCCGTTCCGAGCGTCGGCTCTGTCAGGACTGCTAGCCCCACTAGAACAAAAAAGAGATTCAGCTTGGTGAGCTTGCCGCCAGTATCTACCTCCAATGCTCCGGTCATCACACTCGCCCCTGTTGCTCCCGTTTCGCCCACCAAGGGCTCTCCGCGTCGCCGCAAGGTCACGACTGGTCGGAAAAGCGTCAGCTTTTCACCAAAGAAGGCCCAGGCGAAGGCCTCCAAGAGATCTGTTCGCTGGAGAGACGATGAAGAAGACGGCACTCTGACTGAATTCCAAAAAACCCCCAAGAAACTCGATCCCTTCGAGGAAGCCAGCTTTGATGAGCCATCATTGCCACCTCGCTCCGGATCGCCCATTCCACGCAATATCCCGAGAATTGTGAGCCCATCCGGTTCTCTTTCTCCAACCCCTGACGAACCTACCGAATATGCGGAGCACACGTTGAACATTCAGAAGAACAATAACCGCTTCAAGGCTGGATTTTTGTCGAAAAGAAACGACAGCTCACCGCTAGCACCACCCCCTTCCTCTACCCTCCCTCTGTTGAGAAGCAGAGAGAACTCCCCTCTCCGTGACATTGAAGGTAGCAGCTTCATAAACCGGCCTACCGTCGAACGTCCATCCCGAATTGCAGTTCGTAGCCCTAGCGGCAACTACTCGAGCAGTCCAGCATCTGAGAACCGGCACAACTGGAAGTCGGACAAGGAAGAAGCAATTAAGATCAACTCGGCCATGCGACGTATGTCTAGTGGACGGATTGCCAGTGGAGGGTTTAATGCTCAATCAGCCAACGCTCTGCGAGTTCACCGTCGTCGCAGCCCAACCTCCAATGGCCACGGGGCCTCGCCGGCAGAGAACCATATGTTCACTGCATCACAAGCGCGACGCATGGTCAAGAGCGAGCGCGAGCACGATGTCAAACCTCGTGTTTTGAGCCCTCATACTCTCCCGGTCATGAAGAATACGGGACGCCGTACCACATTTGGCGCAGATGGGCGACCTCGAAATGTCAGCCTTTCCAGTAGAGATGCTATCCGTCTCAGTGCGATGGCAGCGCCACCTACCGACCGTAGCTCCCCAGGGTGGTAGTGTAGTGGATTGCGGTGGCACTAGGAACATTGCATGTAAGGCTTCTCATTTTGTTTCCCGGTGTTGGGATTGGCGTTTTATTGGCGTAGCCGATACCACTTTTTTTTTTACTCTCTTTGTGTACATCGTGTACAAAATATGGAATTTTCGGATGTTTCGGATGTTTCTGTGTATTGTGTATAGCCATATGATAGGCTGAGGCTCCGAATCGGATGGCTTTGCCGGACTTCAGACTACTGCAGCCCTAATTCTTCACGGCCCATCCCCCACGCCGCTTTGTCAGATCTGAAATGACGCCATCCGGTTCTCCAATTTTTCGATCAGCTCCTTTTATAGTCCATCTCACTTCTTTCTTTTCTTTCTTTCCTTATCCCCCTGAACCCCCTTCAACCAATAATCATCAGCTCGTGAGCTCGGGATCACCCCCTGTCATCAATTACCGAACCCGCAAAGCTCTCCACTTCTTATCCAGTACGTCCCCACATCAGAATTTCTGCAGATGTCTTTCGTCGCGTCTTTTACTTCGTTTTTCTCACGCTTTTCCCGTCCCTCCAGTCCGACTCTTTCTTTGATACCAAAAACACAATCGCGCAATATGTCAGGCACACAGACCGCAACCGTAGCAGCGGGCTGCTTCTGGGGCGTTGAGCATATGTTCCGCAAGAACTTTGGGAACGGCAAAGGTCTCCTTGATGCTGAGGTAGGCTACTGCGGTGGCGCAAGTTCGTCGCCATCATATCGAGCGGTATGCTCCGGCACAACAGGGCGTGAGTACTATCTACCTACTCGCCAAATCAATGATAAAAATGCTGATCTCTATCTTCTTTATTGTTCAGACGCCGAAGCTCTCCAGATGACTTTTGACCCGTCCATTGTGACTTTCCGCCAACTCCTCGAATTCTTCTATCGCATGCACGACCCCACAACAGAGAACCGACAGGGTCCGGATGTTGGCACCCAATACCGCAGTGCAATCTTCACACATGGCGAGGAGCAGCAAAGGATAGCAGAGGAAATTTCAGAAAAAGTCAGCAAAGAGTGGTATAAGAAGTCTGTTGCTACCAAGGTTGTACCAGCGGGCCAATGGTACACCGCCGAGGAATATCACCAGCTCTATCTTCAAAATAACCCTGCTGGTTATGAGTGTCCTGCTCAGTATGTGTTCCCGGTGTGACTCATTTTGATCAAACTGCTAACTTTGCCCCCAGCTTCATTCGACCATTCCCTCCGCTGTCGGAATGATTCGCTTCCCGATTGTGATTGATTTTAGCGGGTGTTTTTTATTTGCATAATGTGTCTTCGCCGAAGATCCGATTTTCTTTCAACAAAAAATCGATATATATAATATGGAATTTTCGTCTGCTATAGATGATTTCCTGGAGGTCCACTTTCAACTTACCCATTTTTTCAGAAGAAAAAAAAAATGAAAATAAAACCAGTTACTCTTCCCTTCTAAACAGAGATCCCTAACTGTACAAGTGAACAAAGTAAACTACGCGTTCCTACGCAGTTCTCCAGCATTTATCTCAACCTGATTTCTCCTATTGGATCTCCTCCCCCAAAAAGTGTTTATATGTCAAGTAGCACCAAAATATCCATATTCGCCCGAGAATTTGACATTAATCTACATACATATTTCATGCAAGTGATATTTTACTTGGCGACGACGAATGAAAATAGCATTGCTAGATGCTTACATGACACTTTGGGGCTCAACGCAAGAAACATAGCCATTGAAAGAACGATAAAAAGCTCAACGCCATTCATTGGGGGTAAAAGAAAAGAAAATGTCCAAAGTTCATGACACTCTTTAGACAAAGAAGAGCTATGCCACGTGCAAGAGCAGGAGCTAAGAGCATACAATAGCTCTGTCCTTGATCCTGAGACCGTGAACACAGAGAGTAAACAAAGCAGGCAGGGCACCACAATTGAGCTATTTATAGGGTTCTTTGTCCAGTGAGCGAAGCCAGCAGTATGAACAAAAGGATTCAACAAGAGACAAAGACTTTGTACTCAGACTCCCTCTGAGTGAGACTCCTCTTAGGGGAATAAGAAGAAATCGACCAGGAAAAAAGTGACTTGCATCTGAAACTAGCTTATGGAATGAAAGGTAACTACTCCACGGTCCTAAACAGGTACTCAATATGTTTCTTCGGTCCTTTGCATAAGAAGGCAAGACGAGACGTCTTCTAATGTCCATCATCATCACTTGCAGAAATAACTTCATCTGATTCTCATCATGGATACCCCCGAAATCATCAATCTTGGTGGCGAGCCTGTCACCACGGCTCCCCCTGAGCCTGCCCCCAAGAGCAAGAAGATTCGTCGCAGCCGCCACGCACCAGAGCCCGACTGGTCGGCCATGGTACGTCGCAGGGTCAAGTCGAACCAACGTCGTGTAGGCCAGGCCTGTGATCGTTGCAAGGTATGACTGTATTCGTGTTTCATGGTGTTTATCCAGAACTATACACTGACTGTCGGTATATCGATGTGTAGTTCAAGAAGATGAAGTGCTCACCCGATCCCGGAGGCTGTGCTTCTTGTCGCAGCCTCAATATCCCATGCAAAGTCACCGACCTTGTCACAGGCGAGACCATGGCGCGTGGTGAGGCTAGAAAAATGCGGGAGGACATCCGACGACTCCAGGAGCAGAAGGCGGATCTGGAGTGTCAGATCGTGCAGCTTCAGCAGAAGAACACTGAGCTCCAGGAACGTTTGGATGGTCCCTATCGAACTGGTCTTATGGACCCCTATGAGGTTTGTTCTTACTCTCATTTTCCTCTGTGTTGACGTGATCCTTTGATTCTGGAGACTAACTGGATTAATAGCCGGAACTCGACCCTGGACGTCCTCACCTTGATCTACTGTGATGGCGATACCTCTTTCGTCTGTGTGTCTTGTTCAATCGATCGTGCCCTGTGGGTTTGTTTTTATCTTTATTTTCATTTTGTCATGCCCGAGATGGAGCCTGTTTGAGTACCTAGGTAGATGAATGCACTGATTCTGTGAGTACTATACCCAGGTAGTGATTTAGCAACTCGTCATAGTAGCTGGGGAAACGCGAGTTTGCCCTAAAAAAGGAACTCACGAGTGTAAGTAGCGATGTAATGTATCAGCTCTTACCTACAGCTGGACAATAGGATTGCGAGAACCACAGCAGTCTTGAGACAATTGAATCCTCACTACAGCTTGGGCTCTTGAAGCCTCAGAGTTGGGTCATATGACCACTCCTTCTCCTTGGGTTTCTTCTTAAACTCCATCTTCATCCTTCATCCCCCCTCCCTTCCAGTACACACTCTTGCAAGATGGCATGCATCAGACAGCTGTCACATGCCATGACTTTCAATAGCCCTAACTAATACTCTGGCTATTGAATTATACCCACAAACAGAACCAATCTACAGATAGGACCAATTGATGCTATCCGAGTGAGAGCACTCAGACAACAATATACCCAGTAACGCTTGGTTCTAGTTCTGGGAATGCGGTTGGCGTCTCAGTGATATCGCTATAATCGGTGACATTACAGCGGATCCTACGGGTTACAACCAACATACAGGGAGTTTTTGATATCTGCACAAAAGACTTGGGAGTACCCGAAGAATCCCGCGATTGGAAAATTGCTACAAGGGAAGTCGCACTCACGAGCTCATCAAAGAGTGACCACTGAACCACGGGATTTGGTATGGAAATCGGTGCCTCCGCAAATACCCACAACTTCCAGTTCACCATCTGTCACTCAAACGAAACAAGCAACCTCGATCAATCTCCGACATTGGCTCCCGAGCCTGGTTTTTGCCATCTTCAATCAAGCAGAGCCTAAAAGAGGAGAAGGTCGACATATCTTCACATCGAACTGGTTTCCGGAATTATGAGCTCGGACGGCAATATCGAACAGGTGATAGTGAATCTTGATGGGACCCAAAACCACTTATTCCAAGCGACGTCTCCTACGGTGTCTGGATGATATCTATTCCATCTATCCCTCTCTGCCAATCAGCCATTGGTCACCAATTTTGTCCAAACCGCGTCCACAATTCTCCTGGCCTCAAGATCTTTGTCAAACTTGCCAATATCATCCGTTTTAGAAGCAATGGTAGTTTCCAGCGCCATTTCAATGGTTGCTCATGTTGCGAAGCGATATGGTTCATATGCCAAAGGCGCAAAGGTCAGCATGGGCATCAATACGCATGTCGGCGGTTGCCTGTACACATTGTGCGAAGGGAATCAGCCTCACCATTCCCATTAATTTTTTGGGGAAACGGCCTTAGCGACCTTCAGGCTCAGGTCCAACGTGATCTGGGTGATATCCACAATATGGAAACTTGTGAGCCCCTTCTATACGACGAATAGGAGATGTTGTGTCCTATTTCAATGATAAGTTGTTTTCACTGCAAGTCTGCCGTGAGATATTGCGGCTGCTCTTATCTCTTTGTGGTCGATGATCTTGGCACCTGTCATAGCCACTGACTGTGTGATAAAGGGACATATACGCCTTGAATTCCAATCTATCATGTGGGATCGACCGGTGCTGACTTGTCAACGTGAAGGACTGGGATTGCGACAATAGTCAAGTCTAGCAGTCCCAAAACATTGTTGAGAATCCATACCGGTCAGTGATTTTTGGTTCCTCTGGTGTCAAGGCAACCGCTAAATTTTGGTGGTCTCGCGGTCAGTTCGATTAGCACAAGAGCAGGTCGGTGTGGGCCTGGGAATTTGTGGTTTGAGTAGAAAAATCCCATTGTTTCAAATACTAAACCTAGAGTGTCTTTACAGTAAATGAAGAAAAGCAATTCTCTTTCTCCTATTCCAAAAATGATATGTCCACGGGTATATGTAACGCTGGCTATGTATGGCAATCCAATCTATAGGCAGAGTATTCAAAATCGAATGCCTCTTGAGTTGTCAACGAAAAAGAGGCAATCCTTCCTTTACCAACTGGCATTCTTCTTCCAACAGCAACAGATTCCTTTGCTTTCACACCATTCCCTGACAGTCACGGTGCCAACCTCGCAGTCTTCGCCGACAAGCCCAAGACCCTCAGTGTTGAGCCAAGCTGTGAAATCTTCCAGGACGATGGGGTCATACATGAGAATCTTTTCATGCCATGTCGGTCGAGTTCGGCTACCACGAGAAGAAAGCGGCGAGAGCCGAGATTGAATACGTACAGCTTCAGTGATCTGTGCGGATATTTCTGCCAGGCTGAATTGTTTGGATTCTGCAGTGCGGGTGGTTGTAGCGGATGCAGAGGATAGTGGTCTTTTGACTGAGATTTTCGAAGAAACAACCTTGCGCTTGGTTGGGCTTGGTGGTGGCGATTTGGTGAGAATGTCCAAAGAATGATGCTGCATCTTGCTTTTTGTCTTGGATTTGGAGTAGATGTCGGTGTAGTGCTTTTGTACTTGACTTGGAGAGGGAATGATTTCCTCTTCTGAGTCTTGGATCTCCTCTATATCAATAAATGACGCTGAGACCTCAGTGATTGACTTCCCTTGAGAGCTTTTCTGTGGGCTTGTCTCGAGATTCGTTTGCGAGGAAATTGCAGATTTTGTCGTGTCAAGTGGATTTTTGTTCTTTGTGGATGTTTTTGGTTTAGATTTCACAGTTGTCTTCATCTTTGCCTTTGCCTTTGCTTTCACATCTGATATTGACTTCGGGTCATTGCACTTTTCAGAGACGGCTTCCTTCTGTTGATCAGATTGATGTACAGACTGACTGTCAGAAGCAGCATCGGTACCGTGTTTCGACTCCCAGCATTGTTGAAGAAGATCAATCATCTTCTTGCGCCCCCTGACTGCCTTGAAGCCATAGGTTGAAATCTGTTTAGACAACTCCGAGTCTGTAAATCCGGTATAATGTGGCATTGAGGGAGCCTGCGAGGCACTTGGTTGGGAAACAGTCGGCTCAGAAGGAATTTTAGTTCCCTTTGCAGGCTTTGGAACTGTAGGTTTGGATGTAGCTGCAGCTGCAGCTTCCGGGGCTGGGGCCGGAATTGTAACAATGGTATCTGAACCCGAGTCCTCTTTCGTCAATGGCAACAATGGTCTCTTTTCTGGTGGCGAATCTATGTCCGCAAATTCAAGCTCAAACCAATCTTTTTGAAGAGCTTTATGGCTTGGCGATTTCATATCCTTATAACTCTTCTGAATGGGAGATTCCCTCCCATCTGTCAAGTCAACCATCCTTAGTGTTTCTGATTGGATCAAAGACCCTTCAGAATCTCTTGCACCGACACACCACAGATTTCTGCTGCCTGCCATCCTTGATATAGAACGAGTAGATGTTTCTTGCATCGATGCAGAGCCCTCTTTGCATGTCTCCTTGGGGTATGAAAGAGTCTCGGAAGCGCGAATGGCCTGTTGTATTTCCCTCAGGGTCTGTGGCGAATCTTCTCTTTCTAGTTGACTGCAAGTGCCAAACATATGATCTTGATCATTCAGAAATTCAACAGCTGCTTCCGGGGAAAGTACAGTGAAAGGAGACTCTTTCTCTGTCTCTTTGGCTTTTCCTCGTCTACTTTTTGCCGTCCTGATATCTGGAACACATTCAATCACCGACTCTTCTTCTTCGGCATCATCCTTTGCATATTGCGCAGTCATCCGAGCCGTCAAAGTTGTAAACTTTCTGGGTTTGACCTTGGTGGCCTTTTTGGATTTTGCCGAGGATGCCATGTTCTCTCCTTGAGCAGACGTCTGATCGCTTGCCCCAGAGTATCTTCCATTAAGAAGTGCTTGGATTTCAGGATCGACCAGCTCTATTCGTCGACGTTTTGTTGGTCCTCCGTCATTCGAATTCTGGAAAAAGTCGCGGGGATTCAAAGCTGACCCAGAGTAATTATAGTCAGATAACAGCTTACCAAAGCCACCGATCAAGTTCGAATCCCGAGTTGTTTCCTGGCTATCAGTATCATCTATGACACTGATTACTTCGCGATGGGTATCTGGTGGTGGGGTCCAGTCCATCCTCCTTCTCATCGCCTCGTCTAGATGCAACGTCTCGCCCTTTCCCAGAGAATTTGATTGAATAGAGGTAGATTCATTGGGTAGACCTTCTGGAGGTGATAATTTCGAGGTAGCTGCCTTCTTTCCGCCTTTGCTGGGTTTCTTTGCTGGTGGATCTCCCGTCTTCGTGACCTTCCCAGCCAGTGTCATGTTTCCTGAATCTTTATTCTTGGCATTTTTGCGGGCACGAGCTTTGGTCGGCTTCACTGCATCATTCTGTGTGCCAACAGAATTTTGCAGAGACTCCTCGGGGGCAGGTATTTCTGGCGCCTCTGCGCTTTTCTTCGCCTTCCGCCGCGGTTTACTAGGTGCAGTTTGGTCACTACCGTTGGAGGCAGAATCCTTCTTTGTCGATCGCTTCTTCGCTTTCGTCGCGTCTTTGGTACAGCTCACGCTCGCAATTGGGGTGGGAAAGAACCGAGAACGCGTAGGAGGTTTGGACAAGCCGGATGTCGAAGGTGCTGGCGGTGGCGTTGCGCCTCGTGGCGAGTTATTAGAAACCTGGTTTGCAACATTTCGGCCTGGCCCTGGAGACCGTGGTGGGCTAGGAGAGGATGACAGAACGATCACATCTGCAGTGCTGGTCATCGTGTCGAGTCGCGTCTTTGGGTGATTGCTTGATTGATCAGGGCGAGTTGCGTATACCTCTTGGGTTTCTTAGAGCAGACATCTCCTGGGCAACATATGCCCTGAGGGGAATAAAATAATTGAAAGCGTATCTAAGTCGGGTGCGCTTTTTGGGTACATGTATGTATGTCCATGTAGTGGTCCAATGTTGAAGTTCAATGTAAAGGGTCGCCCGCGGTCTTGGCAAAGTTGCAGGGTTGCTATTTTGGGTTGGTCACATAGTTCGGCCGGGCAACCAACAGAGTCCAGTCTGTCACATCCCTGCAACCATATAAACTGAATAGGCCAGTAGATATATGCTGGAGGCTTGAGCTTAGCCTCCAGCAATTACCAATTTTGGCGCCTGCCTTCTACTATTGATGTATACTACAAGGGCCCAACTTTTCTAGTAAAACAAACGGGTTGCGTATATGGAATATAGCATTCGATTCATCATTATCTTGACTTCGTGCAGTATCTCGAAGAGAAATGGTGGTGTTCCCAGCCCAATTCAGGGATGTAAGATAGGTAGCATATGACAGAAAATCCGGCTCATGTCGATTTGATTTTGACAGCTCGTGAGTCAGATTGAAGCCAATCGTCCAATATTCAGCCATTGCACGGCCCGGATTCCTAGGAGGCAATCTTTACCTCGTCGAACGGTACAAGTGGTAAGATGGCTGCATCTCCCACTTAGCCAAAAACAGACTTCAGAGACGAGTGTTTTGGGTATCGTGAAGTCTCATTGCTTAATGTAAATAAGTGCTCACGATCCTCTCAAAGCAATTGCGCTCAACAAGGAGTTTTCGAGCCTTTGCTTGGCCTCGTCATTCTCCTTGGCCGTTGGCGAAGGCAGAGCCCCCAACTTGTATGCTTTCTTGATCTTGTTGATATCCGCAAGTTCAAAAAGTGTCTGGTCATTGAAAGGCACGGGAGTTCCTTGGACCGAGCTGTCCAAATGGGCTGCAACAGACTCATGGGTTATTTCCGGAGAGACAGAGACCTTGATGACCAACAAGTCTTTGGTTGAATCGGTAATACCAAATCTACGGAATGATTCGGCAATCTAAGTCCGTGTTAGCTCCGGCTATTGATGACGAACTTGCCGCTCATCTTTGGCGCATGCAACACACATTATTTGTAGGATTCAATGAGAATACAATCTCAGAATGCACGTTATGGGACCTAAGTCGATTGTGCATGTAATCATTAACTGCTCTGAACACTGCAGCAATGGCATGCGCCCTTGACAGCACCTATCACTCAGTGTCAGCAGATGGGTCACTTTTTTTCGTTGAAAATAAATGAACATACCATGCTTGCATCAATGAAGGCATACTCGAATTCTTTTTGGCCAGCGAGAAGCTGACCTTTCAGCGAGGCGGCATTTTGCACATCACGATATAGAGCAACATGTACTGGCAGAGATGTCGGTAGATGGGGCACACAAATGGTCTCTAGACTCGAAGCCATGGCTAAAATTGAACTAAAGTAGAAGTCGAGGACGGATGACGTATCTGCAACTAAGTTGATCTGATAATCAAAAACACAGAAGCCCACTATGACTCTATCAAACCCATCCCACTTCTTGCACGTGACATGTTCTGGAATTTTCCGGATTTAAGCGGTCGTTAACGGAACATGAGTAATCGCCGCCTTGATATCACCCGTGGGCCCGACATTTAAACATCTCACTCTTTCCTTTCGACACCTCCATCGCAAACATGGCTTTCTTCTTACGGCGCCCGTTCGCTGTATCCTCGGCACTTCGCCAGGTTCCTAAGCTCTCAAATACCACTCGATTCATTCACAACTCTCCTCTTAAGCCCACCCAGGCAACCAAGCCTCAGGGTGTTTCATCCTCGATCTTCGCCAAGTCCCGACAAAACTTCCAGAATGCTTTCCGTCGCACATACATCCAGCAGAGCTACAATGCTGCTCAAGGTGGTAACATGACCCAGAAATTGATCTACGGCGCTGCCATTGTTGGCGGTACTGTTCTGGCAACCAACTTCATTTTCAACCGCGAGACACGAGAGGACGGCGGCATGCCCGCTTACGAACGGAGCTTCCTGAACGAAACTTTCATGCACACCGGTCTCGGTATTGGTATCATTGGCGTTGCTGCTCGCGCTCTTCACATGAGCGGCTGGTCTTATCGTCTCATGGCTATGAACCCGTGGCTCGTCATGGGTGTCGGTCTCGTTGGCAGCATTGGCTCCATGTACGGCACTTTCTACACCTCTCCGGATAAGTAAGTCTTTTTCACACCTCGAATATCTCCTTGAATCTGCATGAAAGCAACCAAGAATGAAGCTAACCATTTCAATAGCTACGTCGTCAAGTATGGCTGCTGGACTCTCTTCAATCTTACCCAGGCTGCTCTTCTTTCTCCCTTGATGTTCATGAACCCCGCCATTCTCGCTCGTGCTGGTCTTTACACCGTCGGTATGATGGGCTCAATCGCTTTCGTCGGTGCCACTGCCAAGCAAGAGAAGTACCTGTACCTCGGTGGCCCTCTCCTTGCCGGTGTGACTATCGTTGCTCTCTCTGGACTCGCCCCCATGGTTCTGCCTGCTACTGCTGTTCGCACTCTGATGTGGTCTGAGCGTATGTGGCTGTATGGCGGTCTTGCTGTCTTCGGTGGTTTTACTCTCTACGACGTGCAGAAGATTCTGCACCACGCTCGTCTTGCTGAACGTGGTTTGATCAAGCGTGATGTTGTCAACGAGTGTGTCAGCCTGGAGTTGGACTTCATCAACATCTTCATTCGCATGGTCCAGATCCTCGGCATGGGCAACAACCGCCGCTAAACCACATTATGTCCAACTTTATTAATTGGGCAACCTGATCTTGGGTTCGCCCAGCACCAGACTCGGTGTTTCTCTTTTTTTTCTCATTCACTTGACAACCCCATATTCCAGCCACTTGTTTTCTTCCCCAATCTCAAATTCAAGGTTTTTTTTTTTTAATTTGCTCACATCAATGCTGCTTGGTTCGTATTAGTAATCCTGTCTAATCACCTGGGCAAGGGCTGCGTTCTACTTGCCGAAGTACATAGAACAGAAGGAGCAACAAATGCAAATCTCCACTCTTGTGAATGGCAGTTCTCGTGTATCATGGATGTAGGTAAAAATGGGACCGACTTGAGCCAACAACCTCTAGGAATATCACAGGTAATGTATGCTTTGACTTGAATGAAACTCGGACAGTTATAGCTCTCAAACGAAAGATGAGCTTGATATATGTAGAAATTAGGTATGCAGGTATTCGGCCTGCGGGCTGCAGTATAAAGATCTATATTCGTCCTATCGCACATATACTGTCAGTTATAATGAATATCAACCGAATCTCTGATATATTTCTAGCACGGGGGCTAGTTTGATACCTAGGTACTCCGTACGCTAAATAAAAGATCCACCCATATAAGTAATTATCCGTTTAACAGAATGTAAAGATCAGTCCCTCGGTGCGCAGTTCATAGTCACGTGATTACCAGGTTCCTGGGAGGTCGCCCAAGGCCGCTTCTGCAGACCTCAGATCGCGATCCAGACCCAACCCCATTGAACATTTCCAGTATTCGACCATTTTCCTACACAACGCCAAAACCACTGCACCAAATTTCTTGCTTCATAATCTCACAAAATGTCCACTGAGATGGAGGTTGACCCTCCTGTCGCACACGACGAGGTTCCCGATCAGTCTGACCGCAGTTTTGAGCCACGCACTCAGGGAAACGCAGTCGCTGTGCGCAGTATCGAGGGATGGATTATCATTGCGTCTAATATCCACGAAGAATCATCAGAGGAAGATGTCACTGAGCTTTTTGCGGAGTATGGAGAAATCAAAAACTTCAGCTTGAACCTTGATCGGCGAACAGGTTATGTCAAGGTGCGCGCGACTTCTGGCTTCACCCTCAACGCGTATTTCTTTTGAAATATGGAGGCCTTTGTAGACTCCAGTTAAAATTTTGACAACAATTGCTAACACAACTGCTCGGATAGGGATACGCATTGATTGAATACTCGACACTCCCCGAGGCTAGTGAGGCCATCCAGAATTTGAACGGCTACAAGCTTCTCGAACAAACCCTCCACGTTGATTACGCTTTTGTGCGCCCGCCTCCATCTGGCAAGAACAAGAATGGCGCACCGAAGGGTCGGGCCGGCCGCAATCGTAGCCGCAGCCCCAACCGCAGCCGTAGCCCTGAAGCTGGCGATGATCGGGACTGAACTTTTCTAATGAATGGGAACAATCAATCTTGGCGGGCATGAATTGCATACGGCTTCTCCCTTGATATCTGTGTTGTTCGTTCATCCTCGCCTTTTTGTTCAATACCGAACCTTGTTTCGTCCGAACCTTCCCAATCCTCCTCCCCGAATTCATCTATGATGAACGAATTATCTGGGCTTTGCCGGCATGGCTTCTCCATCCGACCTGTATGGGCCTACAGGTCGAATATGCATGTGCATGGGACACATCCATACAAGAGGTGCATGCCGGCGTCACGATAGATTACCATAATGGTACGGAACCCCAGGCTTACAGGTGGTTAGGATCATGCTGACCTCGGCACAGAAATGAAAGACATTTAATGAAAATCAAAGTTCGAGTATGAACATCTAGTCTGCCAAGACAATTTCCAGGACTTGGACCTCGAAGCCCAACGTTGTTGAGTAATGTACTCCGTACAGTATGAACATTGTTTCTAACTAAAAGCCACCGTATACCATGCTTAACAGCCTTGCGACTCATGTCATGACCAAATCGAACATCCATCCAAGTGGGATTACCACAACAGTATAATATAAGTATAATATACCTAAAGATCCCTTGCGGGGTGCATCACGCGCCAGCCATGTGGCGCCCTGGTAGAGCCAATACGTATGTTTGAAGAATAAAGATACATGTAATATTCTCCGTTGAGTCAGAAGACTTCAACGCCCTTCCATTGTGATCTTATGCCACCAAAGTTTGTAGATGCTTTTCAGCCATCACCTGGCCCCGAGCCCCAGAGCTCGACGGGAAACAGCGGGTCTGGTCACTAAGCTGCGCCCTTGGCCCCGGGGGCCCGTTTTCCCCGCATAGGTTATCGCTCTTCCTCTTCTTTTTTTAGTCGCAGTCATTGCGAACTCATTATTCATATCCAAGGTCTGAAGACTTGTGTTTGGGGATCTGATTCTGGCAGGATATCTTTCCTGGGGCAGAATGGCTCCCCGACACGTATCCTTTACCCCCTTGGGACTATCACCATCACGATCTCTATACAGTATTCTTATACTATGCTTCCTAGCAGTTTCAACTGGGGTCAATGCGCTGGTGGATACGTCTCAGGAAGTCTTAGAAGTGGCTTCATCATCCAGTGTGCTTGACGCTTCCTCGAATGAGACCAGCTTTGGAAATACTGTATCAAACCCGGAAGAGCCGACTCACGAACCCATGCTCGATACCTTGCAGGAACTTATCGACGCCCTGCAGGTGATGCAAGACAAGTACTTTGTACTATGGCAGGGCACGTGGCCCACCAGCATCGATTGGACCGCAGCGGTATTAGGGACACATGTTTCCGCCGCGCTATCGTCTTTGACCTCAGGTCCACTTGATCTCCCTGACACGGATGAATTGCAGGGATTATCGTTCTTCACGCTTGAAAATACAGTCAATCAGTTTTTCAGTCATACATCTGCATTCTATTTTGGCGAAAACGCTTTCAGCCTAAGAAACCAGGCCTACGACGACATGCTTTGGGTCGTCTTGGGATGGTTAGAAAATATCAAGTTCCAGAATCTTCACTCGGACCTTCACTATGTGTCCTCAACCAATTATTCCGGACAACCGTGGTACGGTACCCAGTTTCGGGATTCTGCTGCACACAGAGCGCGCATCTTTTACGAGCTTGCCTCCGCCGGTTGGGACAAGACTCTCTGCGAGGGGGGTATGATATGGAGCCCGTACTTGCTGCCATACAAGAACGCGATCACGAACGAGCTCTTTGTCTCCGCGAGCATAGAAATGTATTTGTATTTCCCAGGGGACTCCATTGATGCCCCGTTTCTTGCCGGCTCGCAAGGCACGCAGCCAGCACGAAATAATCCACACAGTCCTGTTCATCTGAAAGCTGCGATCGATGCGTACGACTGGCTCAAGGATTCGAATATGACTGGCATTGGCGGTCTCTATGCAGATGGTTTCCACATCAGTGGCTGGCAGAGCACATCAAATCCCGGCTCGCGGCAATGCGACGAACTCAACTCGATGGTTTACACGTACAACCAAGGAGTCATTCTCAGCGGGCTGAGAGGACTCTGGTTAGCCACGAAATCACGGGACTATCTGCATGACGGTCATGAGCTTGTTTACAAAGTGATGCGGGCCACTGGGTGGCCACATACTTCCAGCCGACAGTGGCGGGGAATTGGTCGTGGAGGCATCCTCGAGGAGGCATGTGATTCTCATGGGGCCTGCTCCCAGGATGGACAGACCTTCAAGGGGATCTTTTTCCACCATCTATCAGGATTCTGCCGACCTCTTCGGCCACAAGAAAAGCATTTTCTGGTGGATACAGCCCGTATACATTCAACAGGTGATGATTGGGTAGAGCAGTATGAGGAGCATATGAAGCGGTGTCGTGCCTATGGTCCTTGGATCGAGCACAATGCGCAGGCCGCCTTAGTAACTCGTGACAACGAGGGCAGGTTTGGTTCTTGGTGGGGTCGTACATATCATCAGCTGGAAGCTGAGGGGATCGTGGACAGTAGCATCATCCCGGATGGCGCTGTCGACTCCCGCAATGATGATTACGACTACAAATCGTCAACTGCGGGTTTCACGTCAAATGACTATAATGACCGGGGCCGGGGCCGCACGGTTGAGACACAATCCGGCGGTATCGCCGTGTTGAGAGCCTTGTACCAATGGCAATCGTACGATGCTCTATGATGATGACAGGCAAAGGGATTGGGTTGGTGTTTTGGCGGTAAATAGACACCATTCATTGCATTTGGAGCTTTGGCGGGGCTTTTCGGTACAGTTTCCAAGGTTGTACATTCTGCTATTATTGGAATCATTATCATATCCTTCCTGTTCAACTTTACTCAGACCGTCGGCATGATCTTGGTGCCCATGCCAAGTCGACCCGACTATCATTCTCTATGTGGTAGAGCCTAATATCATTTTACATGGCGACCCTGTCACCGACACAACCTCGAACCCACACACACAGCATGATAGTTCAGCGCTAGCCTTAGAATTAGATCCCCCGTGGATCTCGGGCTATATATATCCCATGATGATCAAGTCTCCCGGCCGGGTGATTGGCAGAGCAATGGATACGCAGGACCGACAATCCGCCGATGGAGCATTCTCCACAAAGCACGCACAAAACAGGAATTGACATCTGTAAACCGGATTGCCTGATCGCCGGATCTGCAAGGAGCGGATACTATAAGGGATCCCAATACAACATATGTGTGTTGTGTGTCACCTACGACAATGTAAATTTGGGTTCGGCGGGGGATATCCCACAAGACTTGTTGAGGCTGATGTGTGACGGTGGAGACACAGACACGTTTCTGGCGAGAGATACACGACGTCAACGACTCTTGCCAATTCGAGCTTGTTTATGCTGTACCCATTTGGCCGGATGCAAACTCTTGCCTTGTTGACAAGCTAGTGCTTCCCGTGTGTCGGCAGAAACAAACGTACGATATGGTTCGTGGCAGGCAATCCCCGTGGGATTGTACAACGTCCTCTCGGGGTATGCTAGGCACGGCAGTGGTCGGCATAGTACATACTTCCTCCATCGTCATCGATGCATTGTACGGTGTAAACCACAACATGCGTTGTAGCGCGTAACTGCCTTGGGCTATGTGGAGAACATATTGAATTCAGGCAAATGCATGGAATGAATCGAAGAATCCTTTCGGGATGAGCACGATCGTCTGGTACTTATCATTCCCGAAAAGGCAGCATCGGGTTACGGAGGAGTCCGTACGTTGTATAGAGATAACAGGATGTTCTAATATACTCACCTAATATGCTCACATAATATACTAAGGATGAATTCCTTGGAAGGGCCGGAAGATTGCGACAATGATTGGACCATCTTACTTTAGGGGCCATCGAAGAAAGACGGGAATGTGGCCACTGAGGACTCAGGGAGGGGCAAAAGAAGCAAAAAGAAGGGGAAAATAACCCACTCTAGCGTGCAACTAAAATTTCCCTGGACGCCCCCTCCGTAATCAAAAAGCAAAAACCGCGTTCGTTTACAATAGGTGGGGATTTCGGGGTTCAGGTCGGACGAAACATACTTGCAGATCGGGTACTTGGCTTTGGCCATTGAAGCGGGTTAGGTGGTGGGAAAGGGCAAAATAGGAGGCAAGACGCAAACAGTCAGGAAATGTCTCGGAGACAAAGGCCAAGGGGCTGTAAAGACGGTCGTCATGGTCTGATGCTGTCTCAGCCCCAAATCCCACGTTTTTCGCCTCCCAGCTCCCTAGCGGGAACCACGGTTAGGCTAATATAATGGAACGAACCAGTATGTTGTATGGACTCTGTACGGAGTATTCAAACCTGAAATACCACATACCTAGGTACGGCATATCATGATGTAATTTTGGTCCCAAACCACCTTTCGGTAGCGTTGTCGACTTTTAGATTGCGGCCCAAAGTCACACGCCGATGAAGAGCGTTCAAATACAGTCACTGGCTTACACTGGGTTTGACCAGAGACGGACTCCGTACAAGGCCTAAGCGTATATTATGTTATTATATCGTATAAGATAGGACAAAAAAGTCATCTGACAACGGGATTCAGGAACGCACGCCACTGGCTTGACAGAAGGATGAGTTGGCCGATGGTACGGAGTACATCGTACATCATACATCATACCGCATAAGCACCATAAGCCAACAGTTTGTATATAGGAAGAAGTGATTACGTACTCCAGAGGGCGGTTGAAGGGCTATCACATTGAGGGTTTTTTTGGGTGATAGTCTGATGCGTCTCACTCGGCTCAAATGGTAACTTCCAAGATTGAAATATAGCCCAGAAAGGGAAAAAAGGGAGACAGGAGTCAAAAAGGCAGCCGATGTCCATCGTGCATCGTACACAAACGCGGAACATTACTACACATCCCCGGCGCTTTCCAAGCTTAAAGTGGCGCCGGCAATCCCCATCGAATGCCAATTTCACGGCGAACGGCATGATTCAGATCATGACCATCGAGCATGGGGATTTACCAGAGCCGAGTATACCGACATTCCTTATCATTGCACTGGGAACGATTTTCTAAGATCGGCGGCTATGAGCCTTTCACCTCCTTTTCGGCTCACGATCCATCAAATTATAAGGGAGCATGTCAAAACCCGCGGGAATGGATCGTCTGAAGCCCAAGCGTTGGGCGCACATTGGTGGTGAGGGAGTGGGCTACGGAGGGCCGATGGTGACTGGTTGCGGGATATTACGACAGGCCTTGGTGCGGAGCAGCAACTTACAGTTGTGCCACTTTTTTCTTTTTTTCTTTTTCTTTTTTCAGTTTCATTTCTTGTCCCATTTTCTGGCGAGGTACCGGGGAGTTTCCTATGTACTTCCCCAGGGTGAATAGGTATACAGATCTTTTGCTTTTTTGTTTTGGGTGGCGCTGGAAGCGGCTAACGAGGGATGAATGGGGATTTGATGACGGATGTGTTTTCCTTGTGCCTTGGATCCAATCCGATGGGCGCTGGATATTAAAAGACATATGATAGACACCTTGTCCCCCTTGTTGGGAGGGTATCACTGTGTTCAGAAAAGAGGGCATAAACAAGATTCATTTATCGAGCTTTTGCCTCGGCCGATCTTCTCCAAGGGCGGGTGTTTCTGCCCCTTGGAATTCGTTGCCATCCCTGAGCATCGAGGATGTACCTTAAAAAGTACGAGATGGAGTCAACGGCTATACTCCTGATGTATAGGTATGTATATGCATGTTATTCCTAGGTGAATTTATATCTCGCTGTCCGCGTGAATGATAATTAAAGGCCAATGAGATCACGGGATTTGACTCTGAGGCTCGATCGACATTGCATGCCCCTCCCCTGAAGGATGGGGATATGACCACATGTGCAAATATTGTATGGATCATACAGTATGTATAGTCGAACCTCGCATCGAGAATTATTGCCCAAAGGTACGGGATATCCGGGTGGAATGGAATGCAGGAGACCCAGGTTCCCGGGGCCAGGTGGCTGAGGACTTTGAATCGTATGGAAATAGACTCCGTCGAACAGCTTACAATCCGGATCTGAAGGTAGCATGTAGGGAATGGTATAATATGGAATAAAACCAATACGTGTTCAATGCCACACTGGCGGTGGAGGCAGAAGAGCGGAACCGACGAGAAAGCGTGTGCCCTATGATGTACCGAGTACTTGATCGGACCATGACGCAAATAGGGAACAGCGGTGTACCGGATACTTGCCCGGAAAGTGTGCGTGGAAAGGGGAATCCAAGGAGCCACCCGTTAGTTAGTCCCATTTACATCCCCCTCGTTTTTCTTGTTTTTTTTTTACCGTTCCCTTCTCACCGATGAATATCGCGTTTCAACCGGATTATGAATGGAAATTGCTATCTGAGGGGAATTGAGCAGTGGATGTGCACGCCATCGAGGATCCATATGAATATAGTAAATTAATACCCAGGTACCTGCAATATACCAGAGAAATACGAACCTATACCCAAAACCAAAAAAAAAAGACCCGATCAAAAATACTGTAGAGAAGTAATACCGAAGGGAAAAAGAAGGATGATCCGACCTTGGAAATCCCAAGGGACATGGGTTCCTCCTACAGGCAAAAACGGTGCTAAGATAGACAATCCCAGGGGAACTCCATAGGTACCACTGGGTACCGCTCCCGTCGCACCATACCTCAGGTCACTCCCATGTACCCCCTCCGCCGTAACGCCGATACCGAAACTCTCTTCCTTTTTCCTCCAAAGCTCTTTTCGGTTTCCCTCTTTCTCTCTTTCTTCTCTTCTCTTTGAACTTCCCACATCCCAAATCCAACTCTCGACTCTCCCGGCGTGGCCAGCCTCTCTTGACGCAAAATAAGAGGAAAACAAGAAAAATTCAGCCAGACCCTCTCTTTGAGCCCACCTTCCCCCTCCCCCCCCGGTTACCCTTCTCTCCCCTCTCTTCCCCCCAATCTCGAATTGCATTTATCTCAACCTACGCATTTCGGATTTCCTAGCCTCATAAAAGTCGACCCCGGTCGTCTTGAAAATCACGCAATCCTCCTCTCCTTTTCGACTTTCCACCGACCCCGGTAGCTACCTCAAGCGTAACACAGATTTCTCATCTGGGGTACATCGCTAGGGGTAGACCGTGGTCGTTCATCCACCGCTTTTTCCTCCGGCCTGAGTTATCCTGCAAACCCTCCCAATCCTGGGGATTTGTTCACACCGCCATCCTGGACCTCCTTTCGATATTGAGTGTCGTGAGCAGTTACCTTTATGGCATCAGATACCGAAATGACTGAAGCCTTTCCCGTGGATACCTTGCCGCAACCGAACGACGGTGGCCGTATGCATATGTCATCCCTTTCATCATCCTCTTCCATATCCGACGCAGAAACAGAGCGTCGCGGCCGATCAGAACGTCCGCGAATGGCGAGCCGCAAACCCAGTGCTTCGATCCTTGTCCCCCGGGACCATCCAGAAATTGAAATTGAGGAGGAAGAATTTCCCCCGGACGACGCTCGCGCAATGAGCCCACGACGCAATTCGGCCGACTTGGAGCGTTTGGGCAAGGAGGCCCGACAAACCCTTCAGGAGTGAGTTTCGGAAGGCGCTTTCGCCCATGAACGCCAGTGTGAGGTGTTCAGAAGCTAACTACATGACTTTTGCCCAAAATCTAGGCAAGCTAAAGCTCTTCAATCATCCCTTCAGGCTCTCGCCGAACGCA